TGATGTGATGGATATTCGGAGTACATGAGCATACACAACGCTCTCTCTACAAGCTCCAAAGACGTATAAGTCGACTCTAGGAGCCTTTTTGCTCCTGGAACCTCGAGTACAGTTCCCAGGCACGGCAAAATACCCTCCGGGGAGCGAGTAGAGTGTCTCTGACATTGGTGTTAGTTGATGGAGGCATCCAATAAACATCCGCAGGTTCATGGTTTCCATGTCTCCTTTTCCTGCGGACTCCTGAACCACATTTTGACACCAAAAACTGCTACGTGGCACAGACAGTTAGGATGAGCTGTCTATTCAGAGCGATGCTAATTTGAGCTTCACTTTCCTACCCAGCCCATCTCTAAAGCACGTTAGAATATCAACGTTCGGGAAAGAGCCAGAGCAGTGACGTCACTCAGCCTTATTGGAGGTGATTAGTGAGGCGCAGTGGAGATTCGGGACTGCTAAACTAAAATGGAGTAATGTATCCTCAAGAATGAACTTAATATTGAACAACGCTACTGTGAGGTCTACTTTGTCAGCCCGTCGTATAGAGGCTGCTCTGGTGGAGAGCACATCGCTGCTAGCACAAACCCACTCGAACACTACTAGTTCGGCATACAACTGGTTCGGCGAAGCTGAGCGTTGAAGTCGGAAGATGAGGCACAGGATCCGTTATGGCTAAGATACTGGCCTGTGGCTTAATTAAGTATTAGTGAACGATAACCAACGGTGGAACGAGATAGTGAATTCATTGGGGAAATTTCCAGGCCTAGTTAACTCAAAATTTTTCTTGAGGTCGAGGGATCGCCGGAAAGATGAGGAGAGGAGTTGATCTATCAGATGAAATATACCTCTGTTCAGAAAACTATGTACCTGTACTGAAATTTCTACGATGCCAAAAAGTGCGTTCTAAATATTGAGTAAGCATGAAGTAATTCGTATACATTTAGTTGGTGTTTTAGTTGATGCTGAATAAAGGATCGTTTCGTGAGGATCGCTTGATGAAGAATATGGGCAAAAATATTAAAAATATGAGACATGCAAAGCAGTGGGCATAATCCATGAGACACCTAACACCAGATTTAATTGAGGATAAGGAATGTTATTTTAGGTGCGGGTGATTGTCTACTTGGCCTCGATTTTTTTCGGCGGGGATACTCCATTCTACAGTACCCGTCCAATTTTCCATTAACCTGTTCAAACTGAGGATGCAGTCAACGACTACCATGTGGTTCGCATCTATAAATACTATCTCAAAGATCTACTCCAACCCCTCTGGCCATAGGTTCCGTCAGCGATAGCACTTCAGTTTGCCTCTTGCACAGATCCTATTCCTTAAAATGGGGCCTAACTACCCAGATCGGTCAGGTATGTCATTTTAATTTTCCACGACGTCCCTTGGAATGATTGCATGATGTTAACTGCAAAGACTAGAGCACGCCGAAGCGTGTGGCGCTAGGCGGACAGCGATAGAGGTAAGCGTATTCTCTCTATTTCAAAAGAACTTCGCTGACTATTGGCTTAATTGTTGTACCCTCCTCACAGCGAAATGACACAACCTAATTATCCTTCGAAGTAAAAGGCTGCTATAGGAGGACGGAATCCGGGCGTCGCGCATGATGCGCTATGGTGACTGGACTTGCCAAGGATTCTGAAGATGGACCGAACTTATCTATGTACTAACGAGGCACATTAGGTACCATCGATTCGGCGTATGCTTTGGAAACGTGACTAAAATCAAACGTGGCCAAAGGCTGCCTATGCCAGAGGCAACAATCCACTCTGGAGTCAAGGAGTAAATCCCCTCGCGACAGCCCATTCCCCTCGCTAGCTAGCGGGGCTCCCTACTATGTTGCTTTCAACTTGCGTCATTCGTCTATCTACTGAATACTAACTTTCGACAAGGGATGGAGCAAACAATAACTGAGTTACGATGTCAGCTTTGAAGAACAACGAAGGCTTCAAGAAGCGGCAGAGCGCCGCCATAGAGAGGCCAAATAGCGATCCCAGCCCCACACTCTGTTTGCCCTTTCGATCGCTGCCACATCTCCGTCTCAAGCGATCCGAGGCGAGACAGATGCGACCCTCACGACTAAGCGCGAGGCGACCGACCTAGTGAACTGACTTTGCCTCCTCAGTAGTCCCTTTGAAGCCAGAGAAAATCCAATTTTGGTGAGCGCTATGGCTTCTTTTGTTGACGACGGGGATATTGCCATACCTTCGAGATGCTAAAATTAGCCAGCGGAAACCATGTCATTTCTCGGGGAAATACTTCCACCGGAAACCGTGATCAGCTGACATCCGCCCCCCAATCAAGCCCCCAACCAAGACTGGTCGCGATTGTCTCAAAGCACCCTGGACACATCGATGGCCGACAACAACGCGCCAGATTACAAGACTCTTTTTCTGCAGGCGGAAAAGAGACGCGAAGAGGCTGAAGAGCGACAGAAGCAGGAAGAAGAGCGGAGGAAGCAGGCTGAAGAGCGACAGAAGCAGGAAGAAGAGCGGAGGAAGCAGGCTGAAGAGCGACAGAAGCAGGCTGAAGAGCGACAGGAGCAACTTCAAGAGCTCAGCCAACCAACCACTTTCGTGGAATTCTTACGCCATTCCCATGACCTGCTCTCCCGACCGCTGAGAGTCGAGACACCATCTCGCTCGACTACCGGGAAAATCCCCCTTCCCACGGGGAAATATTGCCCAACACGATTAGAATACTGGACCGGCTGCACAGCGCAACAGTTTGAGCTTTACAGGTCCGTCCACAACTACCTCCAGTCAACACCGGGAGGGGCGCCGCGTTTGTTTTCATCTTTGCATGAGCTAGAAGGGTTAGGCCGACGACTTGGACGTAAGCCCATGAGCAGTGAGCAAGACCTTGAGGCTTATGAGCGGTTCGCTGTGGAAGAACACGTCAACGATATAATAACGGAGTTGTGCAAGATACCCGCTGCTCGTGAAGAGTTCGGCCTCGGTGATGGCGTCCAGTTTAGCAACCATACGAATTCCTTGAACGATAATGATGCCATTGAAGCAGATACAAGTCAACCGTCAAGCGTGCACCACCCAAGACCTGACCAATTCTGCATCCATCGAGTTGACGACCGCAGCACCACTCTCCTCACGACCGTCGAGTATAAGCCACATCATAAGCTTCCCGTCGCAACCCTTCGGATGGGGCTTCGACCAATGAACTTGTGGAAGGAGATTGTCAAGTCGAATAAAATACCCACGGACAAGGACGCGAAGATGCGGTACAATGCAGAGCGACTTGTCTGCTCCGCTCTTGTCCAGGAGTATCATGTCATGATCCAGGAAGGGCTCGAGTACTCCTACGTGACCAACGGGATCGCTCGGGTCCTCCTCCGTGTTCCACATGATGACCCTGGCACGCTTTACTACTTTCTATGTGATCCAAATAGTGAAGTGGACATGGAAATGGAAGCTACCCTTGCAAATACTTCTGTCGCAAGAACACTGTGTTTGTGTTTGATGGCATTCCACTCGCCTGTGCGAGGTCAGGAATGGAGGAATTCCGTACGACCAGACATTCCTATATGGAAGACCAGTTTCGATCACACTCGCTCTCACATTCCCAAAGACGAATTCCGGCAACTTCCTCTCAATTCCGACAGTACCGCGCCCGAATTTCCAAGCCCAGTTTCTGGTTCGACCTATGAACCATCGTCATCACCGCCAGACCCCGCAGAATCAACAGCTCGTCAAGTGTCTACTAGATCTCGAGTTAGCTGTGCCCCATCCGATGTGAGGCATCGCTCACAGTCACAATCACCCGACCCCGATTCAAACCCCGCAACACGCCGCAAACGAACTTTCAGTAATGTTCCGTCTTCTCCATCTGCCCAACGCGTGGCTCGAAAGAGAGACATAAATGATGATAAAGGCCCAGATAGCCAGTCCCGCCACCGCGATGCACAATTTTGCACCCAGCGATGTTTACTCGGGTTGCAATCTGGTGGTCTTCTAGACGACTGTTGTCCAAATGTGATGCTCCATCGCCGAAGCAAAGATGACCTGCAGCATCCGATTACCTCCGAAACTTTGATGCGTTTGCTAAAAGCACAATTGGATGAAAACATTGACCGATGCACACCCCTTGGAGGTTGCGGGGCGTACGGTGCGCCTTTCAAACTTTCTTGTGTCGTATACGGCTACACTGTCATCGGAAAGGGAACCACTTCGGGCCTGTGGAAAGAAGTCTCCCGTGAAGCGGAGGTATACAGAATTCTGCGAAAGGCGCAAGGGCTTGCCGTGCCTGTTTTCCTAGGTACGATCGACTTGGCAAAAATTTATTTTCTTCATGGGGCTGGCGAGATTCGCCATATGCTCGTGATGGGCTGGGGAGGCGAAAGTATAGCGTCGTTGGAGCTCACGCCTGGGCTCCTCCAGGAGATTCACAAGTCGAACAAGGAAATCAGAGCTTTGGGAATCATCCATGAAGACCTTCGGCGTGACAATGTCCTGTGGAATGAAGAGCTTGGGCGGGCGATGATCATCGACTTTCACCGCTCCACATTGAAATGTCGACCGACTTTGCAGCGGCCGCGAGCCTCAAAACGACGACTACAGCAACCAGAGAAAGTTGAATCAAAACGTCTTCGTGTGACGTGAAGACGGGTGCTCATTTATTGGATTAGCAATTCAATTATGCATGATAATGAAGCATGAAGCATTTCCGGCCCACGTCTTCATGAATTAGTCAGGATTTCTATCCATTGTCATTCTTGATGCCCGCTTCTCCACTGCATCTACTGGCTTCGGGTGATATACGATGCTATATGTGTTGACAATGACGAATTGATCATCCAATTCTGGCGCTCTGACTTGACTTATGTGATGCTGTGAATGATATGAAACATTGATTCAACTATGAAGCTTTAGGACCGATATTATGGGCTGTCGTGTACTAACCGAAAATATTGCGATAAGCGCCTAACTACTCGACAACCGAGAGGAACGAGAATATCCACATCACTTTTCCAGGTATGCAATTAGACATACATTCCATCAGTAGGCCTCTCCCTGCCAAACTCCTTCGAAAATTTCTTATTTGACTCAGCGGCTAACTCCAAGTATTTGTAGTTTACCTGGTCCACATCAGCCTCAGCGAGAGCGTGTGCAATTGCTGCGATGTTTTTGATCTGGTTCATGATTGTCAGCAAGTGGGAAGTATATAGCAGCGCTCTGGAACCCACCTCTCGTCCATTCAGGGCCAATGACTCCAATCGTCGGAGGTCATGCTCCTCAACAAGGGCAGGTCCTTGCATTGTACGTGCCCTGGCCAGAAAAGTTGACCAGAGACCTCTGCGAAACTCCTTGCTCAGGTCTTCATACTCGACGATCAAATGGATCCGGCTCAGGATTGCATCATCAAATTGAATACCCCGATTCGAAGTCAAGAAGAGAACTCCTTGATAATATTCCAGCTTTCGCAGGAATATAGTTACCAGTCGATTGTGGTTGTCATGGAGCGCTGTGCGGCTTGCCATGAACGCGTCCGCTTCATCTAAGAGCAGTATAGCATTGAAGTGCTTCGCGATCTTGAAGATGACTTCAAGCTGTGCTTCAAGCGCATGAGAATCTCCGTGGTCAACAACAAGTTCGCCTGCAGATATCTGGCAAAGTTAGCACGGCCACAATCAATGCGACGAATTGTTCCTACCGAATACAGAGGGAGCTTGAAATATTCCGAGGTTGCCTCAACCGTGAATGTCTTTCCGACGCCCGGTGGGCCACTAGCATGGGTTAGGGCGGAAGACTTGACAGGTTACATAAACACTTTGCCGACGTACTTTAGAAGGATGTTGAGCCCTTGACCTTTCCCATCAATTACGTCGTCGAACGGTACCGTCGGAATCAGACCCAGGCGGGTTTTCGTCAATGATAGGAGCATTGTCTTGGTCTCTGAAGGGATCTGCAGGCAGTCGAACGATTCGGGTGACCAATTCACGCCCTTCAGAGCACTGACTGCGCACTCCACTGGAATCAAATTAGTCAGACTCCGAGCAATTGTCAGTCGTCTCACATACTGAACATTTTCTCCTTGAAACTAAAACAGCATACTGTTGGGCAGGCGACCAAGAAATCGGTCTCGCTAAGTTCTTGTGCATCCACACCGTCACCTTGCATTTTCTCCTTCTCTCGCTCGCGGTTATCCATGAGCATCGCACTCGTGTCAAAAAATGTAATTCCACCTTTGTCATTGATCCCTCGGTCACGGAGTGACGGTCGGGAGTAGTTTGGCTGCATTTCATAGAAAAATGCAGAGTCCACTCCCACTTGACTGTTGATGTTGAGTTTGACAGCTTTCCCCTTGTTCATAAAAAATGCGCTGCCTTTACAGTGCTGAATGTGTGAGCCAGCCAAATCCCGGAACCTTTGACCTCTCTCAACTAGGTCTTTTCGGACCTGCTCGTGACTCGGATGGTGGCAGAGAGGGTAAGCTTCAAGAGTCTCGATCGGCTTTGACCCCCGGAACTTTGGCACACGCAGAAAAGTACCGGCCTCGCCGAACTTGACTCCGTCATAATCAAGGAATCGGCATTCGAGGTTAAACCACGTCTCGTCGTTTTGGGATATTTCTTCTCCCGCATCGAATTTGACACATCGCGGCTCTTTTGTGCCAATGCATGTGGTATAAACATGGCAACCAGGCTTGAAAAGCGCCCAAAGAAGGTCATATGTAATATGACCGTGCTGCAACATTGATTTGAGACGCTGCGAGATAGAAGCATATGCCTGCTTGAGGTGGTCGATGAGCAGGCGAAGCTGCTCCGTATGTGCCGAGTCATGGTCCGAACTGTTGTCCGTGTTCCCCACACATCTGTCGAGCTCCGGGAGGAAATGGAAAAGGACGTTTTGCTCGATCTAAATCCACGTCAGCTTTCTCTTCGAGATTTGACTCAACTCAATTACCGATGGCTTGTCCTCCATCAAGCTAATAGCTTTGATGTCGTGCAGCACCGCCCGCAGGATGTCACGTAGGCCTTCCGATTTGATATCTATGTAGGGCGTCACCTCCTCAGAATTCCGTTCTAATCATGCAATTAGTATTGGTTAGGTCCCCTGCGCAAAGACATTACGTACCAACTCGTTCGCGGACAACAAATGCATATTCAGCATAATCATCAAGACTATTGCTGGTCTCCACCGGGTCGCCGATCTTGTATTTACACGCTTCTTTGTCCCAGCTATATCGGAGTCAACTAGTTGCCAGAAAGTGATGAGAAGGGGAGTTGGTTGCTCATACGTTTCCACAACCGTCTTGAATCGGGATCCCGATGCCCATTTCTCAAACGATTTGAAATCATCCGAAGTAGTACAGATGGGACGATTGAGATCAACTTCATCTGCCACCTGAACAACCTCTTCCTGTTCATTGTTGGCAAGGCCAGACTGAGCAGGATTATTTGTCACGAAGGGTCCAACTGAAGCACATTCATTGCTGGTGAGTTTCACCAGCAACTGCTTCAGTTGAACCATGTCAGGGCCTCCTGGGGACTGGTCCTGGGTGACAGGAGTGTTTGGAGGTTCTTGGTTGGCAAGGTCGAGCATCTTTTCAAGAAACACACCAAAGAGATTCTTCAGATCCTTCACGGTAGCCAGAGACGCGGCAGTCCCCTTCCTTGGGCTATCTGGGGGCGTCAACCCTTGGTGGCAGGGAGAGGAAGTCTTCAATGCCATTGTGCAATTTGAACAACCAAGAAATATCGGTGCAGTATGGGAAGCTGGTATGAGATGTCCAAGAGATTGGAATGCTAATGATGAACAGAAAGGTCGATGAGAGCCCGAGGAATTGCTTCTTATACGTTCGTAACCTGTCGTCCACGCCGATGGCGTGGAGCGGTATGACATTATGCCGCGAGATGCACGGTGGACGCCTCGAACATGTTTGATTGTTTAGATACCTTCCAACCTAGGTATCAATAGCTTGACAGGCGTGCATGATTTGTTGTACCGTCATTCCGTACGCAGCTAATGACACTCTTTCTATGCCTGGTTATAACTTATGGGTATTGGCTCGTGCATTCGCTTATTCAGTCGTGCTTGCTCTTATTCACTCGTATCTGCTTTTGTTAACTTGTGTCTGCCCCACACTGGTCCGTGCAACGTGTGGCTAGTGTTTAGTCTTTCCTTTCTATGCCACAAGTATTCATCCTTGTAAAATCTATACTCAATTTGAGAATACGCTTGCTTGGCCGCGTATGTTCTGATTTATTCTTAGTTCGTTGGATAATTCTTGAACAGATTCCCAATTTGTTGAGCATGCGCGGCTGAGTTCAGTGATTCGGTTCGTCACGTGATGAGCCTTTAAACGTGTCCCTGGCTCGAAGGTCCTCTCTGTGTATATAGAACACAATCCTCTGAACAGAAACACACTCTCACACAAATATCTGACACAATACAACGCCATATAGTGGAAGCCCTCTCTTGGTTTGATACGTAATGCTGCCCGAATTGCTCCCTTCCGATCGGGCTGCTCTGGCTTTGTCAGGTCGCAACAACCGAGCCCCGCCGATACCCCGCCAAAAAAACTCACCACTTTACAATCATACCCTTCCAACCCCGGACGTATACAGTCTGTGTTGCTGTTCAGGTTCTTGACCGAAGCCCGTCATACTTCACCCATCTGCTTCCTGAATACTAATCTGGCCCTGCTTCCACAGTTAAAGTGAAATCCTACTCGCGAAACCAATCTCCAACTAGCCACAAAAATATAGCAGCGCAGCTAGGTGGTGGCTCCTGAAAGATTATTCTGAACAAACTCTCTATTTCGAATATCTTCTACCGGAAGACTTCCCAAGTCATGGCTGAGAAAAGTGAAGTGATAACACTGGATGCCGCTCCTCAAGACGATGAGCGTCTTAGGAAGATGGTTCAAGAGAAGGTGGGAAATGCCCTGCATCTTTTAATCCTCTTACTAAAGTAATAAAACAGGTGAAAAGAAATGTTACCCTCGACAGAGATTGGACAGTCGGCGGCAACCTCGAAAGCATAGACCCTTCAATACCTGCGCTGCTTTTAAAGAAAGATGGTGCATGGGGCGCCGTTAGGGTCGACACTAGCCCTGTGTTGAATGAGGTTTCAGGGCCAGGGATGGACCCTGGAATTGCCTTGGTTATTGTCAAACCTGGCGAAACCTGCAGGTTTTATCAAAGTCCTTCAGTTCGATACTTCCGTTACGCCAGTTAGATCCCGCGCGACTCGAATATATTTGACCAACGCCTCACTTGCTCTAAGAGAAAGTTCAATGCGTGCGGTCCGTTCTGAGGAGGAGTCTAGGTTTATATCGATCCATGGCAATGGCGATCCAAATAAGGGACACATCAGTTTCAACCTTGGCGAACCAAGTTCATACTTTTGGAAAAAGTTCAAAAGCTCCGCGAACTCGATATCGACAACCGTGGGAGGAGGCTGATTCGTGGAAGAGTAATCCTTCGGCATATCTGCTACTTGTATTAGTGATATTTTCATTGAGGAGTGATGTGAGCCTTACCTGCTGTATATTTTTGTTTGAATTCATCATTGCAGATTTCCTTAGCCTTGATGGTAAGGCCATTCGGGCACTTGCGGATGGTTTTCCACCATTGACGCACTTCTAGCACAGTTTCCTCCGAGATTCTTGACAACCTCGTGATACTTATCGCTGTAGCAAAGAGGAAGAAAACCTCTTCTCCCAAGCGTCGGAGAATGTCAAATAAAAGCTTTCGCGCCCGTAATCTTCCGAAGCGTTGTGCTTCGGACAACCCAGTCAACACAGGACTTTCAAGCAAAACCAAGCATAACTGTAGTCGCTCATCTTGATCATGGAGTAAAGGACGGTTCTCTTCATCGAAAGTCTTCAGTTCCTTTTGGAGAAGCTGCAGTATTCCAGTCTTCGGCCGAGGCGTCTTCCGTCGTCCCGATGACGTCATTATAACTGTTAGGAAATATGAGGCGTGTTGAGTAAGAAGTTGCACGAGGCAATCAGAGAGGATAAGACAAATGAGGGGGAAAAATTAAGAAATAAAGTAGGACACGACAGGATGGCGAGGGGAACGCAAGGGTGAGGACGAGCCTGTAAGAGTGAGGACAAATATGTAAGAGTGAGAACGAGAACGTAGGAATGAATAAGAGTGAATAAGAGAGGGGTTGCACAGTGACGCATCTTAAATAGAATTCCGTGCCTAGCTGCTCCTCCGGAACGTTTTCTTATTGGTCTGCCCTCCTAGCCCAGCCCCATCCCAGTTTGCTGCGGTTCATGAAAACAGTCTGGCCAACAGGCTGACACACGTTATGAAACTCTCTATTGAAAACAATCTCATCCCACGTATTACCGGATCCACTACATCTTGGCGGGGCTCATTTGGCCGGTTGATCTTGCGGAATAGGCGTATCGCCCTGGTATGCGATACTACCCAATCACCTTCAGCTTGTTGGTTTAGCTGCTGAACTAGCTGTAGACCTTCTTCAACCGATAGGCCCCCTTCATGTGGTATTTGCCGATTCGATCGTGTACATTTGCCACGCGTAGATTGCGTTTGTGTACCCCACCCGGTCACTGTCTAGTACCTCAGTGGTATATATAAGTATTTATAATACGATAAGATGTGATTAGATACTTATATGTACTTTTGAGTTACTGGAACAACACATGGTGGGGAATGCAAACTGCTTGTCAGGCAGGGTAATTTGTCACATTGAGGCACAAAATGCCTTTCATATCACAGGATCACGCTATGCATTGACGGTCACCTCCATGCTCTTGAGCCTCTTTTACTTCTACCGCAGATTTGTCTACTTCGCCCAATGATAAGCGGCTTGCTCTTGATATGTGCTTCAGAGGTCGGTCCTGAATTATTAGGAATCACTAAGTCTGGTCGTGCTCCGCCCCTTCGGATGAGATATTTATATCGTGTTGACAGGGTTCCCCGCTCGGTTCACACACCGTCGTCGATGTAGACATGACTTTCGAGCAAGATGACATTTTACTTATTTCATTTCCCTTCATGTACCTTCATCTCCGCTAGAACTCTCAGAGCAGTAGCTCGCTCAGTGCTTACGAGGTCTCAAGCCAGCTGTGCACATTCGGGTCAATAGCAAGCAATTGTCCTTAGAGACAGGTATTCGAGGAGGTGTTTGTCTCTGTTTACCTTTACGGTTAAGTTCTCCATAGCGCATATGGTGAGGCTCAGCGGGGTAGTTACGTGTCAAAGCGCATTTCCAATCGTACTCATCGGATAAAATCCACAATGAGAGCTGTCAGAAACCTTCGAGGGGTACCCGCATGCTATGTGCTTTTCATTTGCTTGGGCGTATCGCCCTGACACAGCTGACACATGCCTTGCATTTTGAGATTTTTGAGTTGATCCTTTACCCCGCTCCACACGAGCTGGACATAGATTATAGTGATGAGAAAAAAAGGGAAGCGAAGAGTGTGCTTAAAACTATATAAGGATACAATAGTCGGTCGGATGTTCCTGAACCTGTATTATCTCTAACTTCTATTATTCTTTAAAATCTTGACTCTATCATTGTGATCGATAAAGATCAAAACTTATTGAAGATGAAGTGTCCCAAGTGCGATAAAAACAATATCACTGGGAGAACCCATTGCGAATTCTGTGGTGCTGAGCTCCCCGGATCCATGTCCCGACCTGTCATGCTCAATATGGTACGTGTCGATTAGACTCGATGTTTGATTTTAACGTCACTGACGGCTGGAAGGACAAGACTATTTACCAGCAAAGCGGCACGATCATACTAGGAGAAGAACAAGCTGGGAGGTCCTAAATGTCAAACTTGGACGGAAACAGTGTCACTCTTTGCTTTTACTGCAGAAGACTAGCAGAATGGTAGCTCACTCCTGTCCTTATGCCTCATTTGGCAAGCTCAATCCACAACTGCTTAAGAAACGTAAACCCCTGTCGTCCAAGTTCGGATATTTGCACAATGAGTAGAAATCCAGCCAAAAATTGCGGGCCTCAGTATGATCTGGCAGATGCTTGCGTAACAGCTCTTTCCATTCCTTGTCTTCTTGCCCTAGACCAATTCCCGCGCAAGTAAACTCCCACCAAACAGGGAAGTAGCCCGAAGCTTCCCAGTCCAGAATACCTGCCAAATTACCATTGTCCACGATAATATTGACATTGGTAAGGTCACCGTGAGTGAAGGTATAAGGAGTAGCAGTTGGCATACGTTGACGCAAATTCAAGCGAATTTCCTCTGGCACTTTGGACAATGCTAACGACATCTCAGTCCACAGCTCATCGTCAGATGAAATCGGCCCGTGCCCAATGCCGTACCCATTCGGAAATAGAAAAGCCGAGTATAGCGGTCGCCCGCCTAAGCTTTCCATTCGGTTCGAGTGAAGCTCGCGAAGCTGCATCGCATACTCAGCGGTCTGTTTTGCGACGCGTTCTTTGTCCGCTCCGGACATGGTAGGCCAAATTTCACTCAAGGGGTGGCCTTGAATCCGTTTAGTAAGCAGAAAATATGCCCCGTTATCTTCCTGCCACTCTTCAACGATTTTTGGTATAGGTATTGATGTTCTTTCGGTCAAAAATCGGATGTTGGGAGATTCGAAGTTGGGTGGCTCAGAGGACCGTTCTTTCAGAATCAGGTTGGAACCCAAAGACCATGCTCCTCGATTGCTGACGCCGTAGAAGATTTTCACATGACTGTTGTAGCGACACCCCTCTTGGCGTGTTGGTGACCAGCTACATGCTGAGCAGATATTTTCGGTATCCATCTAGGGAAGGAAGGCCAGAAATGGTCTTGTGATAAGTAATCAGAAGGAAATAGCCTTAACGTTGGGAGGAATCTGGGGTTCTTATGTAGTAGCACAAAGGCTGAACCAACAAACAGACCGCCATTTCCCCCCTCGCCTACACCGCCTAATTCCAAAACGCCACTTATAAGGTTTTCGTGGCGAGCAGGCCTCGGCCTTCGCATTTGAATAAATGATCCACTTTCATGCCTCGATCTTAAGAGAATAGGCTTGGTCATGTCACATAGTTTTGATTGGTAAATTCGAGAATACAGGCCAAAATGTTAAAATATGAGGCATGCAAAGCAGTGGTATAATCCATGGGACATCTAACACCAGCTTTAATTGAGGGTAAGGAATGTTGTCTTAGGTGCGAGCGATTATCTCCTCGAGCTTCACTTTCCTACCCAATCCATCTCTCAAGCATTATCAACGTACGTCGGGGAAAGAGCCAGAGCAATGACGTCTCAGCATTATTGGCGGTGATCAGTGGGGCTCGGTGGAAATTCAGGCCATATGCCCTCAAGAATGCGAGGGCTTAATATAACAACGCAACCACGCGGTCTACCATGTCAGCCAGTCCTATAGGGACTGCTCTGGTAGAGACCATATCACCGCTAACGCAGGAAAACTCGAAAACTACTAATTCGGAACAGAACCGGTTCGACGAAGCTGTGTTGAAGTCGGCATGTCAAAAGATGAGGCATACAATCCGTTGTAGCTAAGATACTTGCCTAGGCTTTTATTAAGTATTATTGAGTGGCAGTCAACGGCAAAACGATATAGTCAATGGATTGGGGAAATTTTTGAGGCATATGATGAGAAGCTAGTTAGTTCCAACTTTTTGAGGTTGATGGATCTTGACGAGGAAGCAGTCGCTTTCCAATCGAGTTGGCCTCATGAGCCACCATTCGCACACTTTGGAAGATAATGATATGCAAATAATGAATACACGAAAGAAACCATCGCCGTCAAGTTCTAGCTCTTTTGGCCAATCGCCCCGATCGTCTGAGCTCAGAACGCATACCATCAGGTGATAATTTGCGTTTCACTGGTCCCGCATCATGAGAGCGGTGCGGTAAGCTCTTCCCAACGGAAGTATCAATTGCGTCTATTTCCAGAGTAATAGCGCCGCTAGTCATCGAAGGTTCAGGTACGCTGTTCAACTCCCTGGGACCTTCAGCTTGAGAAACATTGCCTCTATGCCTTCGTCTTCTGGGAGTAGGTCGATGCGTGCTTCTAGGCTTTGTAACTTTTGCAGGATTCTCTTGATAACCAGACGCAGGCGAATGAAGCGTGCGATCGGCAGAAGACTGCTCAGAAGAGAAGGCGAGGAAGCATTTTGGGTCTGCCCCATCCGAGTGTGTGCTCACAACAACTCTTCCAAAGAAGTCTTGTCGGCCTTCATACTCTGAGTTTGAAGGGGGCCATGTTTTATAAAGTTCGATAGAAACTCGTCCGATAAATTCGTGTCGCCGACTGGCTCCCTTTTGCCACTCTGGAACAGCCGATTCAATGATCGCAACGCCGTGCGGCCCCTTTCCACATCTAGGCGCATTAGTACTGTGATAGACCGAATTCTTCTCAGGAGAAAAGGTGAGGAAGCATTTTGGGTTTGCCCCTTTCAAGGAGACCAACACAACGCCTCGTCCGAAGAGGATATCGTCTTGCTTGCAATCCACTACGCTGGAAGCTGAACGTGGCATAAACAAGGCTCGTCGGATAGCCACTTGGTTGACTATAAATCGCTCTGGCCACGTAGCCCCCTTTTGGAAATCTGGAACATACAATCGCACAGTCACACGGCCTTCTGTGCTTGGTTCTTGTTGCTGTTTGGTCCAGTTTGAGTTACTTGGCATCGTGACTTCTGAAAAAAATATCAGCGACCAGATTGAACCTATAGTAGGGTATCTGACTCACGAGGGGTCTGCATCTCATCATAGAAAGATTTAGCGTGTAGACAATCGGCGTTCCGACAGTGGTCCACATGATCGTAGATCGCGGCTAGTTCATCGCCGATGGTAGTAGATATGGCAGGATGGCCTCTCTCAAGGGAAATATCGGTTTGGACTGTTGTTTCTTGTGGAACAGCTTCGCGGGTCATCGAAGCAGTCTCTGGCACACTGCCAGCCTCCCTGGGTTCCTCGGCCTCAAAAAGCTTGCCTTTCTCCATGCTTTGCTCGCCATCTTAAAACCCTTAGTATGACAGCCACAAATATTCGTCGGCCAAGCGTACCTGCGTGGCCAATTGCAACATTCTCACTCCTCGCAGCCCCAGGACCAGAACAAACCTGGGACGCGTCAAACGAAATCTCGGCCACTTTCAGAGCTTTGTCATCGAAGTGAAAACAGTTCGGGGTTGATTGCTCGAATGATCGAAGGTCTTCTGGATCCTCACAGACTAGCGATCTGGTTGGCGCACGGACGGAGGAGGAATCAACAGCTTCGCCTTCGTCTACAGGGGCGGCGAGGTTTCTACCGATCAACGTCTCCCAGAATTCCGGCGTAGCTATGATCTCAGTGTCGGCATCGGAACCAAGCCGGTCTGGCTCATCACCGTACCAACCCTCGTTAACATGGATCACGATGGGATTGGATGCCGAGCCCAACGGAGCAAGATCATCGCCGATCAGTATGGGATTGGCCTGCGTGCCTAACTCGGGGGAAACGTTGGAGTTGCGTACGACCACTTCAGGCCATTCACGCGGCTCAGTGAGGATTGAAGCTTCGCATTGTCAAGTTAGTGAAATCAATCATGCTTGTAGAAGATCCCTTACCGAAGGTTTCGTGTGCTTTTTCTGTAAAGGAGGTCATATTGACTTGAATCAGTAGAAGAGATGGAAACAAATACGTAGTGGATAATGCGGGAAAACCCGAGAACTTGGATGCAATAAGAAGACCAAATTGGATTCTTGTCTACTTTCTCTCCAAGACGGCGTGCGAGATACATGGCTTTATACCTCTCGTCAGACCGATCACGCCTTGCTCAGCCTGCACACTGAGGCGGACGACTCGCTCGGAGAAGGTTCAAGCTTAGAGGGCGAAAGCTCCAGCAGGATGGCATCCAGACTCGACCTGCCTGCCAATCGATTCAGTAACTGATGCGCCGTGCAGGGTACTTGCGCACGAATGATTCGCCCGCCTATCCGCTTGATCCAATAGCCATATTGCAAAGCGCTGTTGCTATTTCGGGGGAACCGCATGCCTGCGCGTCGTCTGCATCCGGTGATCACCACCAGGTCGACAGAGCTCCGCTTGCCAGTCGTTCCGTGGCCCAGGACCGAAGTCAAAACGCGTAGGACGCGCCGACATGGAGATAATAGCTCCCTCGTCGTTTCCAGTTCGCATCCCGTTCGTGCTGCACGAGTAAAACCCTGTTTTTAAACCCGTCCATCTCATCTTCTCCGCCAATCGCTCATGAAGTCAACGGGGGCTTCGGCGACAAGGCGCACTCGGTGACTGAGGGCTCTGAATGTGAACGACGGCACGAAAAACAGTGCAGGTCGACGGGAATGGACATTGGCACGCGGTCTGACGGGATCGCCTGGCGGCTTCTTCAGGTTCGACATGGCTGGCGTGAAGCCTTGGGATCATCGTGATAGGGCGGGGCGTTACTGTGTTCGTCACGTCAACCACTAGCTGACGCGAATTGAGGCCGAGAAAGTCTCGTCGTTCCTTGGATCCGAAACGATACGGGCGTGATCAGCCAAAGGTTGCCAATGCTCTCGCCCTCGCTCTGCCCCCCACCCAAGGGAGATTTGAACCGCTACACACGCGCGAAAGTCCAGAAAGGGTGTAGGGCGAATGCTCCTGGATGCGCGCAAGTTCGCATAAACGTGAGAGGCGGCGGACCTGTAGGTCGGCGTAACGGACCAAGGACAAAAACAGCATGTCGACCGTAATAGCGAGAGCTGAGCGTGTGCGGTATTTTCGCTATTGGCCGGTATCACCGGGTTGTGTTTCGAATATTCATGGACTGGGTACAGAGGAACTGGGGAGACCGACGGTGACGCCCGGGGCTGTGCAATGTAACCTCAGATGCTTCAGACGGAGTGGGGCAAGCGGCGTCAAGGATACGCCGACACTTTGTAGGATGTGGATGTGGATGTGGGATATGGAGGCCGGTAAAATCAGGGACGAGAAAAGTGCACTGGCAGAAAGGCACAGATAGCTTCGCGGTATGATGCAAAATCACTCGCTTGGGGGAGGAGTAAGAGTATTGACACGAAATCACACGGTGCGGCTGCGGGCTGGATCATCCCAGCGGTTCTGTTCCTATGCGACTGCCATTCCAGCCGCAGGGGCGAGAGCGAAATGGCGTCGGATCGAGCGGCATCTCCGGTAGAATGAAAGGGGCAGTGTGTGGGGCTGAAAGTCAAGGCGTAGTGGTCGGTGGGGCCAGAGTGAAAGAAAGGGGGCGGCGATGAGTGCAAGATAGAGGAGTTGAAGGAAAGGAAAAGAAGGAGAGAAGAGGACGAGAGGGCAAGTCGGGTCTTTTATGTCGGGGCGACATGAGGGGGAGGTTACAAGACGGTGTATTGGGGCGCTAGGCCGGGAACGGCAAAACTAACCGCATCTAGTAATTCACAGGTCCCTATATTACATACGAGATAACAGAAAGACAACGCAGCTAGATTAAGACTCAGTATATCTGTGGGTATGACGGACTCACGGAGTAGTGCCCTTGCATCTACACCATTCAATCAGGAACCAGCCATTTCCACCTTCCATCACTTCCAGCTGTACGGAGTCGCTGACCTTCAAAAGCGCCAGCCATTCACCACTTGAATGAAACTATTCGGGCCTCGTCGACTTCCAATTCATTCCTGCCTCCCTAACCTTGAACTGACTACCATGAAGGAGCTGATACCTCGGGGTTGAACCACAGTTTCCACCTTGACCTAGTTTCGTAGCGTCACACGCACTGCATACCTGGAAGATTCTGCTGAGGGGCGGGGCAATTCGGACGAGGGCTTGACTGGTAAGAGGTATTTCTTGAATTATTCCATATACGGTACATAGGTAGGTAGGTAGCCAGGCGGATAAATCCAACTTCATGAACCGGTGGACCGATGATCAATAAACACCCGACGAGAAATCTGACATTTGGCCCATCAACACTTAACACACCTGTCTCTGTATGTTCTGGGTCCACTTGCTCTTCCTCCCCGCTTGACACCGTCTTACACTTTCATCTTCTGGTTCCTCTTGTGCGGTGTGCACACTGCGCGGTGAAGTATGCACAAGCTGATGCTCTCGGTGATGAATGAGTTCTTGAGACTAGAGTAGGTATGGGAATGGTCCATTCTTGGTAGGTCAACGGTCCGTCAGCAATCAACGGTCAACGCTCGATGAGGCGGTGGTGAGGGAATAGCTGTATAAGGGGTTGGTCATTGTCCATCGACTCGAAATGAAACGAGCCGCACAGGAGGAACACAGTGTCCGCGCGACAACTCCGGCCTTGATATCCACATTTATAGAGCCTCGACCATTCTATAAGATAGAAGGAAGGTTTCTCGGGAGTAGAGTCTACCTGCCTGGCTGATGTAGCCTACCTAGATGTTCTGTGGGCGTCACAAGGAGACTGAACACCGGAAGCCAAAGGTCCATCATACACGATCAACATAGTTCGCATGTGTTGGTAAAGTTGAGAGTCCCATGTAGCAATGATGAATGAATGATCAACTAGACTGCGTCGAATACGTGGGTATCGGTCCTGAGGTTCACCAAAAGGCTTGACGCTGCGGATGCAAGAACAGCCTGCTATCCGGAAGTAACAGAGGAAAAGCATTCCCATGTTGTACGTCCTACTATGCCACTTGCTTCGGCAGATGAGGTTTCTACAAGTCTCTCCGACGCAAAGCTATGTTGGATCAAACAAAGGAAATTGACTTGAACACCAAGGAAAATATTTAGGGCAGGTTTTCAACCTCTAAATACACAATAATGAAACACAAGCCAGGTCAGGGTGCGTCTAAACAAGGCTTTTAGAAAGATGCGAGGAAATAGTCAAGGGAAGTAAATCTCATCAGCTCGCTTGCCAAGCAGAAGGGATGTTTCGCCTCGTTCAACGAGCACCGCCATTGAATCTCGAATCACCTTCAACAGATCTCTTACTCGCCCAATCTCCCGCATGTCAGACCCGTCTCCTCCACAAGGCGAAGTCAGCGCTTGTTTTCCCTCATGTCTCCCTTGCTCATTGAGAAAAAATCTCGTCGAATCTGCGTCGTCGGGGCTTTCGCCTCGACAACCTCCTTTCCCGACAGAATCAGCTTCACTGCCAAGTCACACAGTGATCACACGTCAGGGTTCACAGCGCGAAGGGAACCACATGGACAAGGATGAGTAAATCCTCCACAGTCGTTCTTTCCTTCGGACGTCGACAGCAAATCGAGACCAATGTCGCGCAAGACAACTAGGCCCAAGAACAGCACAGACAAAGTGTACTCCAGAGTGAGACACCCGCTAACGGGGCGGAAGCCGAACACCACAGGGGAAGCAGCAAGAACATGTTCGAAGAGTCCCGATCCTGGAATCGGGAAGACGGGGAGCATGGGAGAAAGAAATGAGAACAGACATACAGTGGAAGACAGGTCTTTAATGCAGAGGAAAGGATTTCAGAGAGCCGCGAAAGTTTTCGACATAAGGGGATTGTTAAACATGGTAGAAACAAACCCCGCCGCTAGCTAAACAAAGTGGATAAAATTACATTTAGGAAGAGCCCTCAAGCTCAGCCAGAATCTTCTCACCCTTGGCACGGGCGGAGGCGAAGTCACCGACCATGTAGAAGGCGTTCTCAGGGAGGTCATCACCCTCACCGTTGATAATAGCCTTGAAGGAGGCAATGGTGTCCTTCAGGTCGACGAGCTGACCCTCGATACCAGTGAAGACCTGGGCGACAGCGAAGGGCTGGGACAGGAAACGCTGGAGCTTACGGGCACGCTCGACGGTAAGCTTATCAGCCTCAGACAACTCATCCATACCAAGAATGGCAATGATATCCTGGAGGGACTTGTACTCCTGGAGCATCTGCTGGACACGGCTGGCGGTGTTGTAGTGCTCGTCACCGATGATACGGGGGTCGAGCATACGGGACTTGGAGTCCAGGGGGTCGACAGCGGGGTAGATACCCAACTCGGAGATACCACGAGACAACACAGTGGTGGCGTCCAAGTGAGCGAAGGTGGTAGCGGGGGCGGGATCAGTCAAATCGTCAGCAGGCACGTAGACGGCCTGGACGGAGGTAATGGAACCCTTCTGGGTGGTGGTGATACGCTCCTGCATGCCACCCATGTCGACGGCGAGAGTGGGCTGGTAACCGACGGCAGAGGGGATACGACCGAGAAGGGCGGACACCTCGGAACCGGCCTGGGTGAAACGGAAAATGTTGTCAATGAAGAGCAGCACATCCTGACCTTCCTCGTCACGGAAGTACTCGGCAATGGTCAGACCGGTCAGGGCGACACGGGCACGAGCACCTGGGGGCTCGTTCATCTGACCGAAGACGAGAGCGACCTTGGAGTCACCCTCGAGCTGAATGACACCAGTCTCCTGCATCTCATGGTACAGATCGTTACCCTCACGGGTACGCTCACCGACACCACAGAACACGGAGTAACCACCGTGAGCCTTGGCAATGTTGTTCTGTTGAGATAAAAAGGAACCGGGTTAGCGAGCTGCTGAGGGAGAAAGTCGACGGAAAATGCAAAAGGTTGAGCGAGCCGAAAAGAGGAAGAAACTTACAATCAACTCCTGGATGAACACAGTCTTGCCGACACCGGCACCACCGAACAGACCAATCTTACCACCACGGGCGTAGGGGGCGAGCAAGTCGACGACCTTGATACCAGTGACGAGAATCTCAGCAGAGGTGGACTGCTCGACGAACTCTGGGGGCTCGGCGTGAATGGGGAGGAACTTGGTGGCCTTGACAGGACCACGCTCGTCAATGGGGTCACCAGTGACGTTCAGGATACGGCCGAGACAGCCGGGACCGACGGGGACCTTGATGGGGGAACCAGTGTCCTTGGCGGCGGCACCACGCATAAGACCCTCAGTACCTGGACAGGTAGCATTAGCATACTGCAGGGATATGACAGCGTCGACGTTCCAGGCTGGGCCAGGTAAAGTTCCGATTCATTCCAGATCGGAATCAGGCACAATAGAAACATGACCAGGGTGCCATAGAAGAGAGAGGAGGAGAGGAAGAGCGAGCTTACCGTCCATGGCAATGGTACGAACAACATTCTCACCCAAGTGTTGCTAAGGAAGCAGGTTAGCGTCGTGTGATGGTAGTAGATTGAAAGGGGACACAGAAAAGGCAATTGGCCTTTCGAGGTTGGGAGGTGGTCGGTCGCGGGTGGATCCGACCAATCAGAGGGCACGTACAGAAACCTCGAGCACAAGCTTCTGGCCGTTGTTCTCGGTCTCAATGGCGTTGAGAATGGCAGGGAGCTTCTCGCCCTCGAACTTCACTGTGGCATGGCGACAAAGAATTAGCGTTTGTTTCTGATTCGGTGTTGAGATCGATTGCGATGAGTTGGACGATGGATCGGGGGGCGATGGAAAAGATTTTCGCGCGTCCGTCCCGATGCCGACAGGGTGATCCGAGCAGCCACGTACCATCAACAACGGCACCGATAACCTGGTGGATCTTGCCGTTCTGAGCGACATCTGAGCTGGCGAAGCGAGCAGAGAGAGCGGGCAGAGCATTGGCGCGGAGAGGCTTGAAGGCGCGGGCGACGGGGGTCGGCCGGGCATAGGCAGCCCTCCCGAAGGTCCGGGCAAGTCCGCTGTAAAAAGCACAAAAGGATCAGTTAGGGGGGGGTGAAAAGATCTTATGGATAGACACAAGAAGACCCAAGGTCGATGGACGAAGGTGTGAATAGGATGGGTGACGTACCTCTTGAACATGATGGATGTGTTGAAGAGCGAGGTGTGAGGATCAGGAAAGGTGTGGATGGGGGGAGGAGGGAAAAGAGGGAAGAAGAGGAAAGAGGTTGGTGGACTCTACTCAGTTTCCCTCCCTTCTCGCGCTGGCACGGGAACTGGACCGCACTACACCCTTCCGGGATGGTTTTGCCGATGGTCCCGTGATGAACCGATGGAACACCAGGATTTGTTGGCCAGGGCAAGTATAAGGGTCGACTAAGCTGGAACAGAACCATAACAGAACAACTACCTAAGATCGCAAGCTCATTGACAGATTCAATCCGTTGGATTTGTTCATTGTCATCTTCCATGGAGTGATTTTGTTCTATTCTCTGCTGATCTCTTGTATGCTGTTTCTCATTCTTCCGTTGCCAGGCAATTCTTGTCCCTTCTCACCGGTCGGCTTGGCGCCCGGATGCAGGGAGAGCATCCTCTAGGGCATCCAAGTATACCTCCTGTATCATCTCTTGTCTAGCACAGCAATGTGCAGTCAATGCGATCACCAGAATCTGAGGATTGCACCTGATACCACTCGCCGGGTATTGAGCTCATTGAGACCATCTTCTGTCCAAGGGATATATCATACTCCAACTGGGGCAGGTACACGAATCCTCAGCGAAAATCTCTGACGTGTACTTCGGGGTCCTTTAACCGCCCATCACTCCGTTTTGGGTGTATATGTCAAGGTGCATCCATCCTCTAGTCCTGAGTCAAAAGAATATCCTGCTCAATAGGGAAGACATGATATCTATTACTATCGAGTACCTCATGGATGTACAGTCCCTATTTTTGCAATTCCCATACGTGAGGATCAATGTTCATTGTCGCTCTGCGCTTGGACAGGGGTTCTCCGCACCAGCTCTGCAGGTTCCGAATCCCTCCGGGAAGGCGACGCACGAACGGGTCCCAAAGCACCTGCGTACCTACGTAGACTTCCATACAAGCTTGTCAAGTATAGGACTACTACATTCCAGACAACGACCAAAAATATACATCTTTCAATTGTCAGAGAGCCAGAAGAGATAGGACACCCTGGAATTCAAAGAGAAAAGCAGAAAACACGGTCAACCCTGTTACTCTATGGCGACAAAGGAGATACATTTGACTATAGCACAGTACAGGATACACGCATTTTGGGATGCTTGTGGGCCAAAGGACAAAAATTCACAGAGAGCCCCGACTGAGAGGGTGACGGAATGCCCACCAGCGGTCATGTCAGTAAAGACAGAACCGGCGATCTGGAAATCGTATTACGAAGAAAAACATGTCTCCGAGTCCAGAAGGGAGGGGTGCAAGGTCTGGGATCATTCCAGACAACCCGTCAACAGGGCCCTGCTCATCACTTCAAATCAAAAAGCCAATCGATTTATGACTTCTCGGCAGCAGGGCTCTGAACGAAGCCCTTGCCCTCGTAACCCTCCTTGCTGATGCCGTGGATGGGGTTGATCTTCTCGGACTGTGATAGAGGGATTTCGGTTAGCTTACTTTGACCCTCCAGACGCAATTCAGACCAGGTAGTGGTCTCGAGTTGCCTTCTCTTTGTAGCAAGACAAAAACTTACCTGAGCGTACTCGTTGGTAGCCTCCTGCCACTCCTTGGACATGGTCTTGGGCTGGGGCTTGGCGAAGTAGTGAACAGCGTAGAAGACAGCGATGGAGGCAGCAGTGAGCTGAGCAACCTTGAAGAAGATGCGCAGACCCTCACCCTTGGGGGCCTCGGCGCGGGGACCGTGAGGACCGAAGGCGATCCAGTAGGCTAGAGACATGATGTCAGAAAACTTGCAGAGTAGTTATTGCAGGAAGGGAAAAAAAAGATAGCGAGTCGGTCATTCTCGGAAGCCAATGGACTCTTTGGGCATGGCTGAGGCACGAGCAATGACAATCTTCGAGCAACGGGAAAGGATGGACAAAACATTACATACCAGCCTTCTTCTCCTGCAGAGTCATCTGGTGCCAGTCGACCTTCATGCGGTCACGGAGCTGCATCCAGAGCTCGGCCTGCTCCTGAGGGGGCATAGCCTCCCAGCGCTTCTCGATGCTGGCCAAAGTAGGATTGGAGATAGCGTGGTCAGAGGCAGCGCGGGTCTGCATGGCGTTCAGCGAGGCCACAGGGCCGGCACGGATGGCGGCCGGGCTGCGAGGAGCAGCGCGAGCGATGGAGCGAAGAAACATTGTGCGGCAGGTGGGAGGTGGGAGCACCACGTCGAAATGAGGTCAATTGATGGTGGAAAGAGCAGTCCAGGTCCAGAGAGGTCTGGTAGCGGGGGCGACTCGGCTGGAGTAGAGAGTGGAGGGGGAGGGTCGTGGGTTGGGGAAGAATTGAAGTTGTTCGGGTGGTTCGAAGTGGAAAGTCGCGAGGTTTCCGGACTAGCGTTGGCTTGGTTTGTCCGCCAGCTGATTGGGCCGTTGCTCAGCCTGGGCTCCCACGGGACATCATCAATTCCCAGCAGCATCATACGACGATGGAACTGGAGAGGCACCCAGCACTTTTGCATAGAACACAAATGCCAATATCTGTGAAGATTTTCGATAGTTATCTCAACAGATTCGAATATGGATGACAGGAAAGACGACGATAATTGAGATCCTCAAGAAACCCACCCCCGACCGGCTACTCACAGCTATCTAGGTAGTTATATCTAGACGAGTAGTACCTAATGACTGCGATCTCACGTAGAGCCATTCATTACACTAGAGCGTCGCATGGCCCACAACAATGTAAAACCGTGGCATTCACTTGCTGTTAGCTTCAGAAGCCATTGAAAACCAATAGAACATTCAATGCTCGGTCGCGTCTACTAAATTCGGTTCCATGGTGCCTCGGTTTCAAACAATAGGTGATATGGTATGGTGCTCTCCTCGCCCAGATACAATCGAAAAGGCCAGAGATGCACCTCGCTGACGCAAAGACAGTCGCGAAGTCGGCACGAGTACGAGTTCCGGGTATCCACAGCCACGAGTTCCTCTATCAATTTAGCGTTGAGTTGATAAATCACCAGGATAGACGGGAATCGTCAAAATTCTTGCATTGCCACTAGGCAAAAGCTGCAACAAAACGGTAAAATACGAGAACGGTGTGCAGAGAAGGGGATAAATTTGAGTGTGCCATGACACCATTGAAGTAGGAAACAACCCCCCGTCGATCACGCAGCCCGGACCCAGCCGGCGCATTCATTTATTTGCCAGCCTTGCCACCGCTGGCCTCGCTCAGGACAGTCTTCCACTCAATGTCAGACTTGTCATCGGCGTGGATAGAGGCAGACAGGTTGAGAGCGTTCTTCAGAACCTCACGCGTGCTGGCGTAGATCATAGACCACTAAGATGGATGGGTCAGTACTTTTTCTGAGTGTCTAGCAGCTGTTGCCAACATCAAGACAATGATGGTCACTTACGAGGGTGGGGGTGTCGCTAGGAACCCAAGAAATGAAGATGATCTTGCTTCTATGCGCGTAGAAGGTGTGAGCAATAGAACTGGCCGATGACCTCGTACATGGGAAGAGCCCGAAAAGGGGAAGACGCACCTCTTGCCCTCACCACCGCCAAGGTCGTACTCAACATCGTAGACGGCGTAACGGGGAGCGGGGCGACCTTGGCTGTCCTTGGAGGCAGCAAGCTGCTCACGGAAAACCTCATAGTCCTGGTCGTGGCCAACGGCGTCGACGACAACGTCCTTCTTGTTGTCGGAGATCTTGTAAATAATGTACTTGGTCTTGCCCTTGCTCAGACGGAACTCGTTGAAGGCAGTCAAGCACTCATCCTGAACGGAGACACTGTGATGTGGCTCGTTAGTATGGCATTCGATCGGCTCGTGTGCCCGCTAGCCCACCGGGAGCAGCGGAGGTTTAAGGATCCAATCATACCCGGATGCGAGCTGCAAAGAGAATTATCAAATTACTATCAGTCTGAGTCTTGTTTGGGGTCTGTCCTGCTGAAATGACTTACCGACATCTTTCTTTTTTTTTCTGTGGAGGAAAGAAAGGAAAAGGGGGGGGAAGGTCGACTAAACGGCACACGATGTCAGCGGCTGGGGGTCAGGAACACGGCCATTCCCAACGCCTTGAACTCGAATTGTAAGACCGAGCGAGGCAGTTTTGGAACGTAGTCAGAGGTGATAATAGCATGACTCAAGAGAACAGCTTTTTTGACGGGGCAAATTGCAGCAGCGCACTCACAGGATTATTGGGGGAATATGGGAGGTGGATAGGTAAATGGGGGGGGGGGGGGTTTCACGGCGGAGGGGTTGTTTGCCCAGATGTTGCGATGGTGGGGGATACGGGCTGCACGTGATGACAAGCTACCTCTCTGGGAATAAACAAAACTGGAATTGAGAGACCGAAAGCATCCGACCATTCCTATGTATTTATCGTACATGGTGCATGATGAGGCTCTACATAATGCAGTCATAAATTTTGTCGTGTCATCATTGAGGCTCGTGCACCTCACACCCAGGCGTCTCGATTTTCGAAAACGAGCAGCCTGGAGTAGTGGCATCAACGACAAGGCACCAAGTATATTGTCTCCGAATACCAAGCCAGGCGGCATCATTTGGGAGATGTACCTACGCCGTACAGCTTCTCTTTACACTAACGTACCTACTTACTAGGTATTGGGAAGAGTAGTAGTAGAGTGGTAGTAAACATCCACATCGAAATTCGCCAAATTAGATTTCCAGATATTCTGTCTCACATACAATTTCTTCCTATATCCCAACAGGCATGGCTACATCACTCTTGAAGCGTCTCATTTTCCAGAGAATCACTTGACTCGAGGTGCAGCCAGGGTCATTGCTACCTCGTACCGGTACCAAGGCACTGTGTACTTAGTGTAGTGTGTACGTCTCCATGCCGTCCATGGGCCAATAGTACAGTCAGGAGGTGGGTAGGTAGTCATAGCAGCCTACTGTGGCTTGGGGGCAAATTTAGCGCGCATCTTATCGGTAACGTCTTTCTCGTTGAAAATAAAGTTGACGCTTTCATGTGCAGACGTGGCCTCCATCCAGCGCTTGAATCGTGGAGCCTGCTGCTCCAGCAGTCCAGGCAGCTTTGAGCTGACTAGACCATGCTCAGGCTTGCTGAAGCTCAGAATGCGAATCAAGAAAGAGCCGCACAGCACCTGGAACGGGACTTAATTAGCATTGATCTCTGGAGCAAGGCGTACCTTATGCAGGCAGGGGATGTAAAAGCGTGGACAACATACCTCTGCAAGTGTCAACTTGTGGCTTCCGCCAAAGAACGGACCCTTGCCCTCCGTATCGGCGAGCAGAGGTTCAACCTCCTTGGCAACACTAGCCACCAGCTGTTCTGCGGCAGTATCACGCTCCTCTTCCGAAGCAGATCTGATACTGGCGAACAAGGACGGGATGGCCTTGCTGAAAAAAGCGTCTACGAAAAAGGCGAGCCGGGCTCGGTACAGCGTATTTTCTGCTGGCGCCGACGGCGGGAGCAGATGTGAGGGGTGGGCATCGGCCAGAAATTGTGCGACAATGCCAGACTCGGTGATGATCTTGCCGTCATAAGAAATACTCGGGACTAAGCCACGCTGGAAGGCGACAACAGGGTTACGTCAGTGTCTGCGAGCTGATCGTATGGCGGTAGACTACCCGTTTCCCAGGTAGCTACCTAAGGTAATCATAGACCGGGATGTACTGGACACCGAACATAGTACATACAGGGTTGATCTCCAAGTACCACGGCTCTCGCGGAACGCTCAGATCAATAGTGACTTCCTCATACTCGAGACCCAGTTCTTTGAGGGCGGTATGAGCGCGATGCGCCCAAGGACAGTTGCGGTTGGTATAGAGAATCATCTTGGGGGCGGTAGCGGCCATTTTGATTGACTGAGGAGGAGAATAGTCGGTCGAAGACCAGTTATTTGAATCACGAGGGTTTGAACTGTAGTCTTGAGTCTTGACCTTATAGTGGCTAGGTAATATGGAGGGGAGATATTCAATATGTCAGCAACCATCGCCGAATGCAATCGAAGCTGGGGAAAAGTGGACTCAGGTACAGTCAGCCGTAATTGTGTGATCGCGATCTCCGATTTCCCAAGACCGATCGGCGTAATTCCCTGTGACCCTGCTACCTACCTATATACTCGGGTTAGTGTACTTGGAGCGGGGTGATGTTGAGCCGAAAGGTGCGACACACTACTAGGTCCACGCAGACCACGCCGTGAAACTAATGGGATCGTTCTTTTTATGGCTATTGCCCAGCGCTGATTCTCCAGGCATAAAGTGAACCTTGAACCTAGCACGGATGGCTTCTCGATGATGTGAGGCCTGACTTTCATTTTGTACAGTTCATTTCCACGCTTGAGATAAGACCAGATTCATTGTACACGATGAGGTGGTCACGGTTGATAATCGCACCTGTTTTGCAAGAATAATCCTATGCCGAAAAGTATAGCTTTTCCATCCCTCTAATGTTGGAAAAATCTAATTATGTACGTAGAGTGTGAACATAGTTGCTCACGAACAATTCAGCCAAGGTCTTCCCGTAGGCAGCCAACCCGACATCAAGGCCAGAACCCGACAATCAAGTCGGCAGCGCACCAATGTTCACAATCAGGACTGCACTCATAGTACGCCTGCGTGCATCTGCCAGCTGAACAAGACACCCCACGTACCCCATGCCTCGGAAGAGAATTGCACGCATGTCAAGTGCCAGCGCCGAAGCGAGGAAAGAAGTTATAAGAAGTGAAGACACAAACGGGGGACAGCAAAAGAAAAGTAACCTTGGTTAAAGGATTGCAGAGAAGTAGTCGAATCAATGAAAAGCTCCATCAACGTAACATCTGAGGGTATATAGAATGATAAACGCGAAATGAACAAAAGCCAAAAGAGGAGATGGAGGCGTGATCATCCAACGCAAGTATAATCAGCAAGTCATCTAGAAAGATGACCTTCTTCAATATCAAGCGGTCTCAAAGACAAAGACAGCTTCTCAAAAGGGGAGGTGCAAATCAGAGACGAAAACTAGACGGGAAAAGAAGAAAAAGAGCCATGTGAGCCAGTCACAAGGGAAGGCAAAAAGCTCTTCTTGTAAAGGTTGGCTGGTGAAACGGGAATGCTGCACACGCTGTCGTCAATGCGTAACAATGGCATGGAAGCCACAAGGAGTTGAGAATGATCTTCATGCGGTACACCAGACCCAGACTCAATCCTCTTCTGAAACCCCTCCCTCGAAAATCTTCCGCCAATGCTGGGGAAGACAAACACACACCAAGGGGAAAGCTTTAATTTCACCAGTGGGTGATAGTGAAGGGGCTGGTCGATGCGAGCCACTAGAGACCCCACTGTCACGTTGCTCGCGATGGCGGAGATCAAAATCTTCGGCCCGCTCTGTGAGGCGCACACCTGTCGCCCACCCATCATCCCAGATACCAATCACCTTCAACATCTCACCTCGATCCAACACAAATTCATCGCCAGCCCGGGGCGAGTATGCCCAGAGTACAGCCACCTTGTCGCCAGGCTGGATATCATCCTCGGAGTAATAGTCTCGGAAGAAGGACAGTTGCTCGGATTGACCACTAGTGAATCCCTCGGGGGAGGAGAATTGATGTGCAGTGCCTGAGAGAGGCGAGCTGTCACTATCTAAACCGGCCAGCGCTGAGCTACTCGAAAGCGAGCCATGGCGTTTACCCGTCACCGGAGGAATTCGACGAGAGAAAGCCCCCGGACTCGCCCCTCTTGCCTCGGAGTCGGTGTCGCTGTACTTTGCCGTGCTGACCATGGCCGGTGACTTCTGCGAGTGAACGGGGGAGGAGCTCGGGACCTCCCGTAACGCAGACATGCGGGCGACGCGACCGCCAGGAACTAGGTTATACCCCGCGGGGCTCTCGGCTTGTTGCATTTGCTGTGAAATACCTTTGCGCTGCGGATTGGGTCGGTTCAGAACCGTACTGTCTCGGGACCTGCGGCGTCGTCGAAGACAAAGGAGGACCAAAAGTGCAGCGAGGATAGCAGCAGCTAGGATGCATCCGACCACAATACCAGCAATCTGACCTCCGGAGAGTCCGTCGTGACCACTTGCTGCTGCCGCAGCAGTAACGGTTGAAGTCACGATGGGCTGTAACGTGACGATGGAGCTTGGAATGCTGACGCCGCTACAGCGTGTCGACGCGTGCGAACTGGAGCAACAGGTGTCGGTAGAATTGGGCGAATTGGAGGCGCAGTATGTGCAGAGACCAATGGTGTTGGATGCGAAACCACAATATTCAGGTTCGTTGTCAGCTCCCCTGACACAGCTCCCCGTCAGCGAATCCGATGGATTGGAACAAATGGCAAAGTCGGAACGGATTTCGCTCATGTAAGACTTGTTGATCTGCGGGCAGAGTCGCTTGTTGACCATGATCTCTTGCTCGCTAGTGGCCATGAGCGCGCATGTTTCAGCACACAGCGGTTCTGACTGGGCGGTAGAAAGATTACAGTCCTTGATGGAGCTTTGAACGAGACCACTACAGATTGCACTCGTCGTATACTGGGCATAATAGTCATTCAGGGCGCTTTTGTTGAGACCGCCGCACCCGAGCTGATTCACATATCTGGGGTCCTCTGATCAGTCTGCGCGCAAAAGGGCAGGAGGGGATACAGCCATGTCACATACTTGTTGGTCACATAGGTGTTAGCCACATAGTCTCTCAATGCATTATCGAATGCGGTGAGGTTGGAGACACCGTCCAGCCACGGACTAATCACCAAGGTTGTCAGCTCATGTTGCATGTCACCAGTGGTCATGTTACTGACAAATTTGTGAATTGGTCGGAACTTATTGAGACCCTCGATTCATTCCACGCCGGACAGGCCTTCGACTCGGACAGTGAAATGCAAGAGGCCATGACGGTGTGCGAGTCCCACGCCGAAGGGTCTCCGGGTTGGTGGTCCGCGTTGGGATGTAGCCGGCGAGTGGTGTCAGGACAGCAGATGTAGTCTACTTGGCTCACGCGCGTCGCATATCGATTTGCAATCGTACTGCCACGGCGACTTGAAGAGATCGAAAGGATGGCCGCCCAGGCAACAATTGAGGCCTGCGAGACGTGGTGGGATTTCGTAAGGAAATGGCTTGACTAAGAAGGAATGAACCTCAAACGTTTGGCTCGGCCGCCAATGAGGGAGGGGGTCGGCGGTATAGCGTGCAAAGAGAGTGTGTGATCAATCGAGGGCGCGGTGGCCACGACTGACGAAAGAGTAAATGACCAATTGCTCAAGAAGCGACAAGAGAAAGTAAAGAGAGTTATGAGCTGTGTGCTGAACAAGGCTCGGATGGTCTGGGCGCGGTGGCTCCTTTGGAAGGGGGAAGAGAGGTTAGAATTTTGGGGGTGGGAAGGGGGCCGTGACTCGTGAGATTGCAAACTGCAAAGTACAGGCGTCGGTCTGGCAGTCTATTACCCGATACAGTAAGACCATCACAGTTGCGGGAAAGCGAGGCCGGGTACTACAGAAAGTCCAGAGGAGGTAGTTAGTAGTTTACTAGTTAAAACTTACAACTGAGTCTAACAAGTTACTACTAGTCCTACAGTTTATGTATAAAGCACCAAGAAAGTCAATTCACGATCGGTACCTGAGCGGGTGTATGTGCCTCGCCATTATCGTTCCCTGGATGATGTCGAAGACCATCATCCACCAAGTCACGCTAGTAGTCACCACTCACTATAAGACTCAGACTCAGACTCGGGGCCAAGCCGGATCCTGTATTCCTGTTGTTTATCGTCCCTCCAAAACAGGCGGAAGTTGCGGATCCAGATCGTAATCGACTCGGCAGGACAATGAAAAAAGGGGGCCCGCCCCAGTGCTGGCAGGTACCCAAGCGAGCGCTGATCTCGAAGACTCTGAAACCGACCCCAGCCTCAGCGGTACCTGAACTTGGCTGTCTATTGTCATACTACTCTATTAGTCTATTGACTCGATACTCCAGACTCCAGACTTAGATTCCATATCATTTGGTAGTCAGCTGTCAGTAGCACAGCGGCAACAGCAGGATGCATTCAATATGTGTTCAATCATTCGAGACTCTATCGCTGTGGTGACCGAAAACTCAGTTGTGAACAGAGGGCGGTTAGGGTTACCTGCGTGCATCTATGAGAGGGTAGTACTGTACGGTGGAACATCACCCCCGACGATCCTCCTCCTCCTCACTTGGAAATGTATTATTCAAGCTTGGAAGGGTGTTTGTAGACCGAGTCTCCATTGCTAGCACTAGTATCATGTGCTCTGCTGCCAGAGACGAAACTGTACAGTACTTGCAAACACCACTGACCAAGGTCCCTTCCTCAGATGGTAACTGATCTGTTCCTGGATAATGTTAAACTCGCTGCGCCAACCATATTCGAGAGACTGGGGTCTGCACTTTGCAGAGCCTCGAAAACGGCTGCCCCCAAAGCCGATCGCGCACTTCGTCATATGCTTGGCCAAGAAGTCCCTTGAGTTCGGGCTACATTGTACTTCGGTTTGTTTCCGGACGTCCATGCAGTTGTTCGACAGGACTCGTAACATCCACTGCTGATCGAAGATTCCCACTACCTCAAAATCGTTGTGGCCCATTGATAGGAACTGCTTCATTTGAATGTACTCGCAAACACAGCCGCCCAATGCGCATAGTGGATCCGACCCATACGGCGCCTTGCATTTACCCTGCGAGAAGGAGTCCTCCCGGAGATGTGAGCTGTCGGACGGCGAAATGGTAGAACAACAATGCGAGGGACTACTTTTTTGTCTTTGTTTTCTGCATTGTCTTTGTTTTCTGCATGATGCATGGAGAGGCGCATCGAGCCCGCTGTTGGTCTTCTCTCTGCGACCGTTGAAATTGCCCGAGTCCAATGAGTCTATCACAAGCGGCCTCGGTACTATGTACTTCAATACTTACAATCGCACAGTGAAGTACCATGACAAAGGGACTACAGCACTGGATAATGGTATACGCAGCAGTCAGGACACTGCATGCCATGGTGTAGTTTAGGGGTTATACTGAAGTCCCTCAAGTCAAGACTGCCGCTCCACTGGCTTTTCTGAAGGATCAAATGTTGAGGGAACTGGAAAGAGGTCTGTGGATGACGGGATTATAACAGATTCAGATTGTCACAATCTCCGGTCGCTCAATCCCGTCTTCTGCCTGAGAGAATGTCGCATGTCACATGATCAACGTCATCTGACGTCTCCGGAGGTGAAGCAGGCAACCACGAGGATGAGCTATCACAACTTCAAAGAAGCGCTTAGCCGAATAACTTTGTGCATGCCAGGATCGAGACCTCTTTCGATCTAACATCAAACTCTGGTATAGAGCTCCCACTCATCTTCGGAACTTGACGTGTTTTCCGAATATCTTATCTGTCCTAAGACGAGAAGAGAACGTCATCTCCACTTGCACCCTCTCTCTCTCGGGAAACCATGTGCAGCTCTGATATCTTCCTCGCGATTCTCGCGGTCTTTTTCCCACCTATCGCGGGTAAGTACGCTCCGTGTCGGATCGTCAGTCCCTGAAGACACGTCTCTGTCGCATCTGTTCATGATTGACGCAATCCGAATCGGCTGCTAATGCTTTTCCGTCATTCGTAGTGTGGATCAAGGCCGGTATTTGTACCGCAGACTCGGTCATCAACATCGCACTTTGCCTGCTCGGCTTTATTCCTGGTCTCATTCATGCATGGTACATCATCATGAAATATCCAGAGCCCAACTACGATGAGGCTGTTTACGAGCCCATTCCCGGCGGCTCGAGTCAGCGTCGTGACCTCGAAAATGGTCGTGTGACTTACTACTATGTCTCACACCAGCCACCTCAGCACTCGGCACCGCAGGCTTCGTATGGAACCTTGAACCAGCCCGGACAGCAACAGTCGACCCCTCAGTCTAAGACCGCCGGCCACCCTCAACACCAAGGTGCTGCTGCTGGTAGCGGAGAGGGACGATCCGATGCCCGACCACCGCCCACATATGCCGAGGCTGTGAGGGGTGATAACAAGATCCAGTCTCAGGACTAAGGGCAAGGATATTGATCCAAAGGGATACGACTCGGCATGCACGCATAGCGGTGTCGTTGCCTCCTCGGTTCTACTTATGACCTAATGCGCTCTTTGTTCACGAGCGCCGTGGATTCTGAACACTTTCGATTGGAAATGCTTTTTACGACGTTGATGACGGGGACTTGAATGGTTATTGGATTGTTTCTTGGATACTTGGCTAGTTTCTCTCCTTTTCCCAATCGGTCATATCGGGCTCGCGTATTCTGTGCAAACTTCTTTCTCTGGAAGTCCTTGATGCTCAAGGCTAGTGCACTGCTGTGGGACGTAGGATCTCCCTCGGGTTTTCAGCCGAACCGACATGCGGCGCGCCTTTGACTTTATTGTTATGATGTAACGTAGACTGTCTCTATATACCATTTTCACAAGTCTTATTTCAAGTTCATGGCATAGCTTCATTCTCGGCAGGGGTATTGTCGCAGAATCGAAGTACTCGGTGCAAGATGAGAACGGTATCCCTGGTGTATTGAACACTGCTTAGGGTCATAGGCGAAATGGAATACATGATGCCAGATAGGTAGTCAAACTTGGCAAGTCGAGCCTGGGCAAGACTCCCGTGTCACTTCCAAGAGATTCTCTCGGATACTCCATCCATCAGAGTGAAGGCCGCACGTATTCCCCGTCAATATTCATGAATTTTACCGAACTGCGGCCGAAATGGGGGGAAATCTGGGGCATTGACGTCAATAATCGGCAGCTTGTTCATCTACCAACTTCTCGATTTGCCAGTGATGCCTAAACTACGCCGAGACTGTGTATAGAAATGTGCTAAATCCATTAATATACTACCGGAGAAGTCAGAGTAGGCTTTGCATGTCGGGTCGGACCTAATCCGCATACACTGAGGTTAATTGATTGAGTCCTGATTGCCGTCTCCCTGCGCGAACTGGTGCACTTCGAGTGACATGTATGGGCGAAGACATGGAGGACCGTCTGGTTCAAAGTAGCCGCAAGGCGGCATCCACAGAGGGAAAACACCGTCCGGCGAGTCTAGAGCACGGTATATTTACTGTTGAGGCTCCAAAATGTAATGTAATTCCGGCGAAAGCAAGCGTCCCGTCAATTCCACGTCAAGGGGCCACTATTCAATGTCGGAGATACTTATCCTTTCTCAAGACGTTTCAGATGCCTCTACCAGATGGCTATCACTTCCAAATTGCAAAGCGGTCAAGGCGAGAACGATGTTCGATGCTGAAAGCCTTGGGTACTTTCATCTGCCCGGGAGCTAACAATCTGATAAGGCGATCTGCTCCGCGACAATCCTCAGGTTCCGACCGGAGTCGGGTAACCCAAAACGAGCGAAACCCCAACATTTCAATCCACGACGTCTCACCACGTGTAGAGCTCTGCGCTGCCCCTGGCCATGCAGTCCGTGCCATTGCTCATACGGCAATCGCTGCGAGCTCATCTCCAGGTTCAATGCGCAGGCGCCCGATCGATACGAGTTCCCCGAATCCGTGCAGCAGCTGCCACTGCCTTTGCCGACAGGCCGAATGCTCGAAGCTTCTCGATCTGCGGCCGATGCCGGTTCCGCCAGCTGTCCGGGTCCTTCTCCCCCCTTGACGAGAAAGAAAAAGATAGAATTCTGGAAGAAGTAAGGAAAGTACGCGAGAGGACAGCGCCAGAGGTTGTGCCAGAGGGCGTGCCAGACTCGAATCCAACGACGGGGACCCCTCACGGCAGTTCTCCGCAGTCAGATTCGCCGTCGACATGGCAAACAGAGACAAAACCAGAAGACGAAGGTCCAACCGGGGAAGAAAAGCAGACCGAGCAGAAGCAAAAGACTGAAGCCCGGTCGGCAGCCCTAGGTTCTCTGGGCGGCGGCTTACCGTCATATTTGGAAAATCGCCGATCTCAACTGTCGAAGCAGTTCACTACGATGATGGATACAATGCAGGCCAATGTCTTTGTCGCAGGACAGCGTCTGAATGACCTGACTGGCTATTCGGCCATTGAGGTGCTGAAGAAGGACATTGAGACTCAAGGTACGACGAAACAAAACGGAAAAAATTCTCTGTCCCACCTGCTCTTGAATATTCAATAACATTCCATTTTCGCCTTATACTACAGAGGCTAGACTTCGTGAAGCCCGTGCACAAGTTCGCAAAGCCAAGGAGAACTACACAGCCGCGATCAACAACCGGTCTACTTCTCAGCGTGAGGTCAACGAGCTCCTGCAGCGCAAGCACGCCTGGTCTCCGACAGATCTGGAGCGCTTCACGCTGTTGTACCGCAACGACCACACCAATGAGGTTGCCGAGACCGAGACGCAAGAGGCGCTCTCCCGTGCAGAGCGCGAGGCCGAAGAAGCGGCCGCTGCGTTGAACAAGAGCATTCTCTCTCGTTACCACGAGGAGCAGGTCTGGTCGGACAAAATTCGTCGAATGAGTACCTGGGGGACCTGGGGCCTGATGGGTGTCAATGTGCTGCTCTTCCTGATCTTCCAGATTGCCGTAGAACCGTGGCGTCGCAGCCGACTTGTCAAAGGCTTTGAAGACAAGGTCGTGGAGGCATTGGAAAAGGAAAAGCACCTGAATCATTTCAGCAGCGCTGCACCCCCCTCAGCTGCCACCACCACCACCACCACTACCACCACTTTACCCGAGGTTATTGATTCTGAAATTGAGACATCCGTCGCAGCGATGGAGTCGCCCAAAGATGAAAGCACTAAGACTGCCTCCACTCTGTCAATGTCGTCCATGGAAGCTTCTTCTGCTCTTCTCGAACCCATTCCCGAGCAGTCACTTTACACTCGGGTCACGAATATTCCCTGGGCCCCGATCACCGCTGAGTACTGGCGCCAGATAATCGATGAGCTGTTCGCCGAGCGCACGGTCTCACTAACTCAGCGAGATATCACCGTGGCCACCTTGCAGAGCGCCGCAGCCGGCGCTGTTCTGACAAGCCTGCTTTTGGCCATTTTGAGACCTCGGTAGATGCAGCACCTACTGTTGTGCGTCGAGCAGCTGTGGTTATAGCTCTGCACACGGTGCGTGTCTGCTACACACGCCCAAGATGTTGGACACCTGGGTGCTCATTTGGACGCCTTGAACATGTATGAAAGATTCTCAGCCGATGTATATGAGCATCGTAAAGAAATGTATACTACAACTCGCATCATATCAACCTTTGACATGTCTCTTGCAGGTTGACCAGTCGGTTTCCTTTGCCTTCGCAGAATAGATGAATAGCACCGATGGTAAGATATCAGACCATGTGAATACCACAAAGTCAGCCAAGAGGCCTGGTTCAGTACTATCACTGAAGCCAGGGCTACATTAAAGTATGACACATCTGCAGACCGTCTTGTGGACACAGTGAACAAATGAAAATGAGACTAATTTTTGTCCATATTATAACACAAGTCTCTTAATCTTGACAAGACACACGGACGCTCTGTCTAAAAAAAGCAGGGAAAAATAAAGATCACACAAAACACATACACAGACAAGATCAACTCGGTCTAGTTTTCATCTTTGTCTTCATCAAACATCCCCACTCATCCCGACTTCAATGGAACAGCAGTCCCATGATGGTCGTAGCAATAGCGGGGACACTTTGGTCTTTGACGGGGGCAAAACCCCGATCACGGAAGCGGAGCGATGTATGGACCCCGGTCCCTTAACCGATGATGAGGGTCTCGTCCTCGGGGAAGCTGTATTGAGGAACCTCCAGGTTCAGAGGGGCGGGACCCTTGCGAATACGGCCAGAGATATCGTAGTGGGAGCCGTGGCAGGGGCAGAACCAGCCGCCGTAGTCACCAGCCTCACCGATGGGCACACAACCCAAGTGGGTGCAGACACCCAGCATCACGAGCCACTCGGGTCGCTGCACACGGTCGTCATCGGACTGGGGGTCACGGAGAGACTCCCACTTGGTCTCGCGGGCCTCGGTAATCTCATCCTGGGTGCGGTGACGGATGAAGACGGGCTTACCACGCCACTTGATGATGACCTATAGCGGACGGACACATGTTAGAAGGAGGCACGCAGATATGCATGCGCTAGCTAACGGGGTATCAGTTGACGTACGTTCTTGCCCTCGGGGATGGAGCCAAGAGCGATCTCGACCTTGGCCTGGGCCAGGACATCGGCGGAAGCGGACATGTTGACGAGGAAGTCTGTTCGAAAGGAAGAACCAACGTCATCAGTACACTTGATCTCTCATATGGTTGTGATTATCCACATTGACGATTCGGGCGCTGCGGAAGTCGTGTAGATCCGGGGAAGGTATTGCATATGGAATATATTGACAGGAAGGGTTGACGTACCCTGAACAGTCGCCTTGGCGCCGACAGCGGTGGCCAGACCCATAGTACCGGCCATGAAGTAGGAGAAGACCTGGTTGGAGCGAGGAGAGCTCTTGGACTGATATTTGCTGAAATTGGGGACGTTCAGGGTCGAGCCACGCTCGTTGGCAGTAGCGAAGGGACTCTGGAACGAGGACTTCGCATCAGCGACTCCCCTCCGCTGCTGGCAGGAGGTGACCACGGCGCGGGAGCTGGACAGCTGCTGGCGGGCGCAAGTGCGCAGCAGAGTGCTGGAGGCGGAAGAGAGCGACATTTCGAATGGCAATTGACCACGGAGTGGGAGGTTGACCGCAATTGCGATGCGTCGGATGACAAGGCGGGTTGAGAAGTTGGAGGGAGTGGATGAAGTCGGAAGTCGAAGTTGGAGCCAGAGCTTTCGCTAGCGATCGGAATCACGGGGCCTGTCATTGGCTGAGCGGGTCTGCGGGCGAACTTCACTTCTCGTCAGTCCAAAGCCGCATCTTTCGATCGTAACGTTTTCCTAAGGCAATTCATTTTCAGGAGATCTTGATTCTTATGTCAGAGGTCTCTACGAACGCATTTCCAGGGACAGGAATGTTTTGAATTGAAACATTTTCCGTGATACTGTGTTGAAACTGCGGCTGATGCGCTGGTACTCGCCGCTATACTTCCACCCGCAACTATCACGAGGTAACTAAGACAAACATTTAACAGAAATAAAAAGCGCCCGCAGCGAATAATGCCCTGTGAGATGACCCATGAAAACTCCCCACCGCAATCATTAAAGAAATGACACAAAACAAGGTGAACAAATCTCTGGAATTGATCGTTCATCGTCTCAGTCCCTCATCTCAACGTCCGCATCGCCCCGACCTGCAGGCTCAGCGGGCTCGTCAGCGATCAGCACGCTAACAGGCACGATCGGCGTCCTTGGAACAGAGGTGGGAGAAGCTGTAACTTCATCCTGATCTGGAGCTACGCTGGAAGATGCGCCGTTTGACTTGCCCGGGCCCGAGCCACTGCCGTTCAAGGTTCGTTGGCCCTTTTCCATCTCGGAGCGTTTGGCAGCATCCTTGGCCTTTTTTTCCTTGAACTTCTTGTACGTTGTCGTTTTGGGAATCACGTCGGAGAGAAATTCCAGGTTATCGATATGTGAGACGGCGGTAGCTAGGACGACGCAACAGCAAGTCAGTAAAAGACCTCGGTGAAAACACCATGCATGAGCTGGACTCGACTCGACTCACCCAGATCCTTATACTGAATTGTCTTTCGAGGCTTTCGTTCTGATTTGACGACATTGTGTCCTTGTTCCGCGAGGTATTGAATGAACATTTCCTAGCAAATTGTTAATCGAGGCGAGTCGGCGTCGCATCGGCACAGGAAGAGGGAGCGGCGCACAGTAGCCATGGCAATGACAAATGTCGCATTGCTTGAGCATTGCGCAATGTCCTCGTCGAGCTGAATGATCTTTTTCACTCGTGAAACTAGACTAGAATTAGGCGCCGCATGTGAGATTGGAGAACGTATTAAGGACCCGGCACTCACTGGGAAGTTGGCTCTGTCCAGTGATCTCCTCGGGCTCCGGTGCATTTTTGGGGGCCATGGTGATTGTGTCTTCCAGCAGGCTGCTTCCTTCAAGATGATATCTGAGAAGGGAGACTCTCAGATTGTGTTCAGTACGTCTAACGCAAAGATCAAGCACAACGTGAATGTGAGTTCTCGAGCAGCGGTGGTACTCTGCGGACGCGGGTCTTGGAATTAAGGAAAGTCAGACGCGCGGGCGCGGCGTTATCTTAGCACGGCTCCGTTATCGATACTTGGCCTGGACCCTTTGACCCTCCAGCTATGATCGACTTCCTGGACAACTAGACCCGATTCACAATTTGGGAGTTCTCGACCCTGCGACTGCACGACCCTGGATTGAGGCTTTTCTGATACTGCCTTAATACGCCGTATATCTTGATCGCACCCTCAGAATCAGCTTGCGACATTCAGCCGCGGCGTCGGAGACATACTTCTATCCGTCTCGGACTCGACTATGCTGATTCTACTGCATAGGTCGATACTATGACCTCAACACGCTCCTCCTCTACCAATTTGAGGTCGCCATCCATCGCCGATGACCCTCGCATACTGCGTAGGGTCTCCGGTCTTTCATTCGCTTCGACTGTTGACCCCGAAACCGCACCTGGAGCGTCAATACCTCAAGGGCCCACGATAACGGATGAAATCAGTGAGATCAAGCGCTATGAGGATTTTACTACTATTGACTGGGTACAAGATGCAGTCAACGAACAAAATGCTCGCCGAGCAAAGCGACAAATTGGGGGCGGTTTCTGGGACCAAGAGGGTGTATTGGGCTGGCGACGAAAGGTACGAGAGTCCTATGACGCGGGGCAGGCCTGGCTCGTGGTGACTCTTGTCGGTATGGCGATTGGGCTCAATTCGGCTGTGTTGAATATTATCACCGAGTGGCTTTCCGATATCAAGCTGGGACACTGTACAACGGCATTCTATCTAAACGAATCATTTTGCTGCTGGGGGGCAGAAGGAGGTTGCTCGGATTGGAAGCACTGGACGTCCTTTTGGCTGATCAACTATGTGGTCTACTTTTTCTTTGCAGTACGTCTTCTTCGACCACGCCGACACATTACTACGTGAGCTAATGAAAAGGTCACCATAGGTTTTGTTCGCCTTTGTCGCGGCAACACTTGTCAAGTCTTTTGCTCCGTATGCTGCAGGATCCGGCATCTCGGAGATCAAATGCATTATTGCTGGATTTGTCATGAAGGGCTTTCTAGGAGGCTGGACACTCCTGATTAAGTCAATCGCTCTGCCACTAGCCATTGCCTCCGGTCTTTCCGTGGGAAAGGAGGGCCCAAGCGTGCACTTTGCTGTGTGCACCGGAAATGTGATATCACGGTTTTTCGACAAGTACAAGCAGAGCGCATCCAAGACAAGAGAGATCATGACTGCTTCAGCGGCAGCTGGAGTAGCTGTTGCCTTTGGAAGTCCCATCGGGGGAGTTCTCTTTTCCTTAGAGGTGGGCCTTCACAATGCACGATGATAACAAATCCAGAACTGCAACCGCTGACTCCTCCAAAAGGAAATGGCAAATTATTTTCCCCTCAAGACTTTATGGCGCAGCTATTTCTGTGCTCTAGTGGCCACCAGTGTCCTTGCTGTATGAGACGCACTACATCCAAATCCCGGTTTCATAGAGAAGCGCTGCTAACGCTGACAGGCCCTCAACCCATTCAGAACGGGTCAACTGGTCATGTTCCAAGTCTCTTATGATCGGACGTGGCACTTCTTTGAACTGATCTTCTTCGTCTTCATCGGTATATTTGGAGGCCTCTACGGCGCATTCGTGATCAAGTGGAACCTGCGAGTTGCAGCGTTCCGGAAGAAGTATCTTTCCCAGTGGCCCATTACCGAGTCGCTGGTGCTTGCGGCGCTCACAGCTATCCTTTGCTATCCCAACATGTTTCTGAAGATCAACATGACCGAGATGATGGAGATTCTTTTCCAAGAATGCGAAGGAGGACATGACTATAATGGAATTTGCGAGTACGTCGAATTTGTTTCTCACTATGTTGCCCCGTCCGGTTTTCTGACATGATACTCAACTCCCACAGGAGCAAGCATCGTTGGTGGACTGTGCTCTCCCTGGCTATTGCTACGATGCTGCGTACCGTGCTGGTAATCATTTCGTATGGCTGCAAAGTACCCGCTGGTATCTTCGTTCCATCGATGGCGATTGGAGCCTCATTTGGTCGCATGATCGGCATCATGGTACAGGCGCTCTACGAAGCTTTCCCGAACTCTGCATTCTTTGCCTCATGTAACCCGGACGTGCCTTGCATTACTCCTGGGACGTATGCTTTTCTCGGTGCTGGTGCGGCACTGAGCGGCATCATGCATTTGACCGTCTCGGTCACGGTCATTATGTTTGAACTGACCGGTGCTTTGACCTATATCCTACCGACGATGGTGAGTGTTCGCTGCTGGCGCCCTGATTTGAAGACAGCAGCTCGCGTTTTTGAGTGTTATCTAATCTAGAGTACTTCCATTAGATTGTGGTTGGCGTGACCAAAGCTGTTGGAGACAGATTTGGAAACGGAGGTATCGCCGACCGAATGATCTGGTTCAACGGGTTCCCGTTCTTGGACAATAAAGAAGATCACGTCTTCAACGTGCCCGTCTCGCACGCCATGACGACAGACCCGCTGACGTTGCCGGCAGCTGACTTCCCCGTGCGGGAGGCAGAGCATTTACTGAACGACAACAGATTTCAAGGCTTCCCGATAGTGGAAGACCGTACGAGCAAGATCCTCGTCGGCTATATAGGTCGCACTGAACTTCGGTACGCCATCGATCGTGCCCGCAGTCAGGGCTTACTCTCACCCCGAGCTCGATGCATCTTCACCGCAGAAGCGGCCGAGGCAAACGCCACACGAAGTGCGTCCGTCTCGCAGCAGCAGCAGCGAGCCCCCGACACAACCTTTGATGAGATCCAAGCCACTGTCGGTGCCGGGGTCGTTGATTTCTCACGCTACGTCGACCACACCCCGTTGGCCGTACACCCACGTCTCCCCCTCGAGACCGTCATGGAGATCTTTAAGAAGATGGGGCCTCGAGTGATTCTCGTTGAGCGACACGGCCGCTTAACAGGTCTGGTGACTGTCAAGGATTGTTTGAAATACCAATTCAAGGTTGAGGCGGAGGAGCATGCGCTGGCGGCGACAAGCGCGGCTGAGTTCTCATCGGCTCCACTGGGCGGCCACATGAACGCCCCTGCGCAAGAAGCCCTGGAGGATCGGCTCTGGCACTTGATTCTGACAATCGCTGGGTTCGTCAGTGGATCTATTCGCTCCAGGGGACCTGTCAGATTGCAGGAACCAGCTCGACATGGTAGAGCAATGGAGGCAGAAGGGATATCGGATGGGACTACGGCAGATGGGGTTGTAGAGTTGCAAGAGAGAGATGAGCGACATCGCGGACTTTGAACCGTGATAGTGTATATTGCAGTCATGCTGGAGCTATAAAGAGTCGCGAGAGCGACGGCCAAATCCTGGATGCAAAGCACGCCGTAACAGGAAGGAAGCAAGTTGCGATATTGTATATCCTCATATAGTATACAGTACACGACTACACGCTCTTGTCAAATATGTGCGCTTCGATATTTGACTGTTCTCTTGGATCAAGCCAATCAACGCTCAGGTCTAGACATACATCGAACAATCGTCGTGTAAATAGAGACCTACGATAAGACGTTTCCGGATGTAAGTCCAGGCATGGGCATCTGTCCGCGGAAATGGTCTTTGTAGGGATGCTCGCAAAAAATATCTGCTTGAAAAATAGAAGTCTTGAAAAAAAAATAAGCCGTATGCAAGTACAATAAACCTACGCGGTAGGACAACTAACTACATCTCCAAGGCTGCCGAATTTCAATCGATACATCATCTTTTGCCTGGCGGTACCATGCTACTCAGTACTCACATACTTGACAGCGAGGTGGCCTCTGATAATCGCTCTGATAGGTAGGTGACCGGCAGGATTCGCAAAAGGGTCTCCAACTCTTGTCATCCCTTCGATGGGACTACATGTACAAATGCAAATGGACTGAACTATCCTCTATAAACAATGTCCCCAAAATACTCACACAACATTGCACTTCGCCACCGTTCTACAGAAAAATGGTGGAATAGCCCCCTCCTCAAGCTCCATCACGCATCCCAACCAATATACAACCAGCTCCCATCATCGCGGCCCCCAACCACCACAGCCCCCCGACCGATTCTCGAAAGATCACCATGCCCAAAAGCGCAGTCACCAAGAAGTTGGCCGATGTGTTTGTGATGGAGACCTTGGTCGTTGAGGGTCCGGCAGTTAGCGCGCGAGTGAAGAGCGCCCACATTATGATGTTGCAGAGGACGTTGAGACCGAGGCAGAGCTGTGGGATCGTAGATATCTTGTTAGTTGATGTGTGAGGTTCCTTGACATATTGAGATTGGGACTTTTCGGAGAGCTTGGGTGCTTTGGACTGGAGATGATTCCCAGGATAGTTCATTTGCGATGAGATGGCGAGATGGGGAAGAGGCAATAACGTACGCCGCGAACTAGGAGCTCCAAGAAGCTTGAGGATTCGAGTCCGAACCGGTGTGCGATGGAGTGGGCGAATGCGGTCGTATGAGTGTCGGTTGTTCTGGATGAGGATGGTTAGAGCCCTTGTTACTTGAGTCGATCGAAGCATCAAGGCAAGTTTCACGGGTTGGGTTTGACTTGTCTAGTAGCAATGGGGGGGGGGGGGGGGGGGGGGAGGGGAAACTTACAGCTTCGCAAAGAGTCCGTTCAGGGCAGCGAATGCGCCACTTGCCAGGGCGATGATGATCCACGAGGATCGAGCCGCGGATTGTGTAGATGTGGTGGGCGCCTCCATGCTTATGTTATATACAGATGCAAGGGTATTCAACACCACACTGTACACTGAGCACTTGCGCGCTCGATTTTGGAAATTCAGGGATTCACAGAAGCTGCCAACTTCCCCCGGTCTCATTATCGGCCGGAGGTGTCTCCATTCTCCAATTGCTCCATAATGCGCCAAGACCGGATAAGATAACGGATGATTGACAATGATTCACATCTACAGTGAGGTAAGTAAACACAAGTCATACACTGGGTAGGTTAGTGTATACTTTGTGGAAGTACACATAATGGTACAGTATTCGTGCACGAAATCGTTCGAAATTGCTTCATTGATGTTACGCCAGATATGATGCCACTAAGGGGACAGTCTCTGAAGCCGCCATTTCGCATTCTCCCCCTCTCCTTCAATTCGAACGTAGCGGAAGCGATCATGCAAGCGACTTCGCCGGCCCTGCCAGAACTCAATGGACTCGGGCACCAGGCGCATGCCGCCCCAGAAAGGTGGGAGAGGGATCTCCTCGACACCCGCGAATCGAGCCTCCACTTCTTTGATGCGCTGTTCGAGTAATGCGCGACCGTCATCGATATCCGTGGTGTCAATGTCTGCAGGAACATTTGCGCCGGGCATCGACCCTGCGGATCCTTGCAGCTCGGTCACGCCCTTTTGACGTTGATGCGTAGCGAGTTGCTCGGGCTCGGCCGACCAGAGCACACGACTTTGCCAGCTGGCCCAGCCACCGATCTGACTGCCCCGCTCTCGAGTGCGCCAGTATAGTTCGCTCTCCTCCCGACGAAGAGGCTCCAGCATTCCTTCGATCCGTACCGACCGCTCCGTAAGTGACCAGGTGAAGGTCAATGCAGCCCACTTGTTGCCCGTCTCTTGTCCGCCCGCTGCGTCTTGGCCCGGTTCGGGAATCGCATCGGGCGTGGTGCGGTTATCGGCTGCTGCTGTCGTCTCCCGCCCAAAGATGTGAGCACCCTTGCCCTCGCGGCTTCCCCAGTTACTGTATACAACCCATCCGCGCTCATCCAGCTCCTTCAGGTAGACTGGTCGTGCGCTGACGCGACCCGAGGGCAGCTCAGCCGTGGCGAGGGTGCATGTTTCGGGCGCCGAGCTTGCTGGCAACCGGGGATCGCGGAACCAGGTATGGAATTGGCGGAATGGATCGGTGATATGAAGCTGAGATACAGTGAGAGGGGGGTTGGTCACAAACTGGTGAGCCCGTGCTGCCTTGGAAACCACCGTAGTGTCCGTTGCTGCAGTGGGCGCGACGGCATCCGCGGGGAGCGTCTTGGATTGACCTTGAGCCTGAGTAGTTGCGCCGGAAGTCTCATTTTCGGGGTCGATATCACCGGGGGCGACTGGGGAAAAGCATTGTGTTTAGTCTATAAGCTCGCTGACAAGGTGTCATGTGGGCATCGACTTCGGAGAGCAAGCGTGAATGTGTAACAAGATTCTCAACTTACAGATCAGTTTCTTCGGGCGATGGGAGGAAGCATCCGAGCCAGTCCCCTCAGGTGCCATGATGGTCGAGCTCCTCGAGTAGTGAGCTACGGCGGTCCTGTTCAAGTGGAAGTGGGGTGAGTGGAATGTGACTCGGCGGCCGATGCGGAGAAGAGAGTGGAAAGCGACAGAGGCAGATGGAGTCATGCGCGTTGAGATGAACAAGATCGGATGCAGTCCAAGGTATATTTGGTAGTAGCGAGCTGGTGTGTAAAGATAGGGAATGTTGAGAGGGCGACTGACTCACCCAAGAGATCGATGCAATTAAATCAGCTGATGTGGTATCGTACATTTTGCTCCGCTTCTATCCACGAAGGGCTCAATGGTTCCAGAACAAGGTAATCAGGTAATCCAGGCATGTTATGAGACTCTTCCATCGACACGGGCTATTATTGATGTGCACCCAGCCAGACACCACTGCGGTGGAACGATCTAACCGCTGGATAGTATGTACTCGGTAATCTCGCCATCTGTCGATCTGCCTCACGATCGGACACGATCTATGGCACTCTCTTGCACTCCGCCAGATCGAGAATGGACGAGGGAGAAGAACTCCACGCCTGTGATGGAAGCAGACTGCTTACTACTTTATCGGGCGTTACACTACCGGCCTAGTTGGGTACCTACTTCAAGGCCCCAGATCCTACCTTGCGAATTCATTGGAAAGAAGGATCTGAGCTAGGCAAATCACTCACTACACAACCACAGCTTCTGGCTTGAACCATATGGAATGATGCGTTGCAGATCACGACAAGTGCACATATAGCTATGTTGTCCAACTTGAGGTATTCCACCGCCAACTTAAACTTACCCGCCCAGATCAAAGTAGTGAAGTCATCATAACGTGGACCGCGGGTTACACCAGATATCCCGTTGCGCGCAGAGTCATACACAAGGTCGGATTTTGCCCCTTGCACATGGAAGCGAGGATGTGGATTCCAAGTTTTGCTTCTCAGTGTCCGTGGGAATCTCGATCTCATCAAATGACGTCCGAACGAGTCAGCCCTTCTCCAGCTGTATGACACCTTGCACTTGCACTTGCATATGGATCTAATATAATAAGTATAGAGTCGGCCTATCGGCCTACTATGAGAATCGTTTAGTACGTCTATCTCTACATCCATCTAAAGCTTCTCCTAGTGTCTTGTCTACTATTCACCACCCTATCAGCCTCTACGCGCATCGCAACCCCATTCAATTCGACGAGCCGCAGCAGAATAGTCTTACACGACTCTGAAACTTCCCCCGTTCTCAGTGACACCACATCTTCACAGTTATAACCACACACACCATGTCTCAGTCAATGCTCTCCACCATGCTCAACTCTCGCCTGAGCGCCGTCGCAGCCCGCACATCAAGACGATCCATCGGCCGAGCTCTGTACTCCAGCCAGGGCTACGGAGACGGCAAAGGAGACCCAGCGGCCGAGAACCCTGCCGAGCAAGGTGTGAGCCGTCGCAGTCGCGAATTGGAGCACCCAGGACCCGAGCAGCATGTCAAGAAGCCTTCGTCTGGCAACGGTGGTGAGCAGCAGTCAGGGAGCAAGGACGGGTCGGCGAAGCCGTCGTTTAAGAAGGGACTGGAGAATGAAATTGCTCGGGGTCGGGGGCAATGAGAGTTGGTTGATGGGATGGAGGGTGACTTGTGTGCTTGTTTATGGAACTCGGTGGATTCATGACAGACCGAAAAGTGTCTATCCAGTTCATCTTCGTGACTATTGTCCACCATGTCCATGATGTCCACTAGCTATAAAACCAAGTCTACAGGCATTATTGCCAGATCATTTGCTGGGTCAAGAACAGGAGGAGGGAGCATCAACATGATAATACTCATGATTTCGTGTTCTTCAACAAAAGTCATAAACATCCGGGAGGATGGATTCGTCTTCGTCATTTCGTAATTCGATCCTATCATTACAGCATACCATGTTATAAAAGTCCTCAAACACTGATCATCCGCAAGAACCGATCCCCCAACTCATTCGCCGCCATGGGATTGGCACCGCTGACCAATTCACGATGCAAAGTCGTCGACCCAACCTTCTCCGCCATACCCTGAACCATCTCCGCGCCCTCCTTCCTCAACGCAGACTCGACCTTTTCAATCTCTGCGCCCATCAACGTCTCCATCATCTTCTCCTCGGAATCACTCCACGAAGTAATCTGATACCCCTTGTACACAAACGATCCATCCCCCGCATACTTGGTACTCAACAACGCGTAGGGTCCATGACAAATCACCGCCGTCGGCTTGTTCTCCTTGTTGAAGTAGCGCAGAATCCGACCCAACTCCGGGTCATCGCCCAGATCGGTGAGAGGCGCATGGCCACCGGGGATGAACACGCCCGCAAAGCGAGTAAGCTCCTCGTCGCTGATGGATGCAAAGGTGCGAGGCCGAGAGAAGCCGTTCTCCTTCTTCATGCGCTCGATGAGGTCCTGCTCGCGACGGCGTTCGTAAAAGTTGCCTGCGTAGGCGAGCAGGGTCTCACTGTTGGGATCCGGAACGGGCTCCTTGCCTTTGGGAGAGGCGAAGGTGACTTCGTGGCCGGCGTCGAGGAGCTTCTGGAGAGGCTTGGCGAGTTCTTGGAGGAAGAAGCCGGTGGGCTGTTCGACGGTCTCGCCCTTGTTGGAGCCGCTGGTCTTTTTCATGGTGAAGGAGTCGGCATCGCTGAGGATGATGAGGACCTGTTTGGAGGGCATTGTGAATAGAGATGACGAGAGTAAACAAAAGCGTAAGATCAAAGGACGAGCCTGGAAGTATGGAGTAAGTTGGAGTAAATGTTGAGTTTGACAAACTGTCAGAGCTTATGGTTAATAAATATGATGGATTTGTGAGACCTCAAAGACACAGATATACTTCCTCCGATGTCACTCCCGCCCTCGTTTGCAGCCACGAAATACTCATTCCCTGCATGAACTTGGAAAAGAAGCATCTTGATCGCTGTTGACATCGTGATGACGTACCCGCAACGAAGCCGGAGGGCACAGTGGCACACTAGCGCAGCCAAGGACTACTACTACTGTTCGCTCATCGAGACCACCAGTACCGGGCCTACCGGCAGCCATTTCGAAGCGATCTCCCTTTGCTCATTGAATGAAACGCATTCCCCCTTGCCCGTGAGTAGGATTGGAGAAGATGAAATGATTCGAGTATCGTTGAAGCCCGTCATTTTCTCAGTACATCCCCACGTCATCGTGAATTGACGATGTCCGGGTATTTTTCCTCACGATAAACAAGACCAACCCCGTGAATACCGGACGTAAACCGAGATGGGTCAATAGCTTCTCATCGACCCAAAACAGTCCGAGCTGGAATGGGCACCTCAAGTCGGTGCAACTCGAATAAGACCGGCATGTACATGGATCACAACCGCTATGGATTGTGTGGTCATTGGTTGCTCGAGCAGCTTGTTAAGGACGAAGGAGATCCTTCAAATAACATCATGAAGCTTTTTGTATTGCACTAGAGCCTTTTGGCTCCAATGGAGAGTAGAGATATTTCTATAGTCATGCTCGGAAAACAATCAAAATGGTATACAGCCAACAGAACCTCGTAAGAACAGGGCACCAAAAAAAGACATTACAGAAATGCGGAATGACGAGAATGAAACATATGGACCGCATCCCCAGAAATTTTTGGGTATGAACAAGAACAGACCTCCATGTAATGACCCGCTCAACGCCGCAAACCTCGCTGAATGCCAGTTGACAATAGATCACGAGATTTTGAACCAAAAAAATATAAAAGACATGCTGTAAATACTTGGCAGAACAATTGTCGCAAAGGACTCATTAATCAACATCGACGGTCTCAAACCAAGCAATATCAGAGTGTCCCCAGGACAAGCACAGAAAGATAATCAAAATCCAAGCTTGATTCCAAGCCGGGATCCAGCCCTGACGATGGAAAGGGCAGCTCATCTATTGTCTTCGTGATCGTGTTCCATCAAGAAGCAGTCAAAAATGAAGAAGAATATGAGGGGGAATAAATCGAAGATAGACGCAAGGGCGACACGGCTCAGGAAGAAGGAGCGACTCCGACCAAGTCAATGATCTTGCCCGCTACAGCGCTCGGATATCCACGGGAGACCATCTCTTCAACGATGTGGGAGGCGGCGGCCCGATCATCTGCAGCAATGTAGGCGCGAGTCATGGCCTCATAGGTACTTGGCTCACGCTTGTCAATTCCAATGCCATCATAAATAGCCTTGGCCTTGGCTACATTGCCAGCAGTCGCCCAGCCGTGAATCAAGGTGTTGGCAATGTACGCCGTCATCTCGATATTACGCTGCTTCATACCCGCAACAACACCCTCGGTGTCTGCGACCTGACCATTGGCCACCATCCCTTCGAAGAGAGCTTGATAGAGGCACGGCTGAGGGCGCACACGAGCATTAGCGAGCACAGAGTCAAAGACCTTACGTGCGGCCGCAAGATCATGCTGAACGCAGCCCTTGGCATGGACAAGAGAAGCAAAGTGTACAGCGTCAGGCTGCACTCCGGCCGATTGCATGTCACTCAGGACACGCTCCGCAGCAGGCATGTCGATGGGTTCGAGAGAGGCATAAGCGTCGATGAGCAATTTGTAGGTGTGCGTAGTTGGCTGGATCTTCCGAGCTTGCATTCGTTCAAAGTAAGTCAGGACCTTGGAACGATCGCGCTTGGTGTTCAGGAAGTACTGAATCATCGAATTGTATGGAGCCGGACGAGGCTTGTAATTGGGCATGGACTCCATCTCCTCAAACATCTCTTCAGCGAATCGCTCGTCGCTGACTCGGCAAAGAGCATTCACAATGGTACCGTAGGTGACACTGGTGGGGCGCACATTATTAGCGCGCATCTCAGCAAAGTATGCGAGACAATCATCAATGCGCCGGGCTTTGCCAAGTTTACCAATCAAGGCATTGTACAGGAATGAAGTGGGCTCGACGCCCTCCGCAACCGCACGGTGGAAGATCTTCAAAGCCTCGGTTGCCTCGTCAAAAGTTTTGGTTGACTCTTTCAACGTGGTGATGTAGAGCCCGAAGGTATTCGCAGAAGGGGCAGAACCAAGACCTAGAAGCTCCTGATGATACTGAGCAGCCAACTGGCGATCACCAAGAGTAAGGCAAGCAGCGACCATAGCATCCAAGATGGAGACCCAGCCGTACTTGACAGCATTGTGGGCGGGGTTCAGGGGAACATCGGCACGAGCCATCGCGTGGATGTCATGCGCCAATTCCATGCGACCGACTTTAGCAGCTGCAGTGATGAGCTTGGCATACGTGATGTACCGGGGGTGGCGTCCAGAACGTCGCATGGTCTCAAGTCGAGCCAGTGCGTCGCTCAAGTGGGTATCCGCACGACCGGAGCCCTTCTCGAGGACCTCCGCGATCATCGCGGAACCTCGGAAGTCGGTCCCTTGGGCATACGGATCATATGACTCGGGACTGACCGGCGCGGTTGTCATCTTGGACTCGGCCATTGAGACGGGGCTGAGGCGATCTGTAACGAGGGGTCCCTGTTTCAAAGACTGAACATGGTCCCGCCATCTGGTAATGAGATCAGGACGATTGACGAAGACCTCGGCAACGGCACGGTCCACAAGAAGAATGGTGTTGGTGTCCAAGGGGACACTGGCAGCCAGAACAACATCAAGCATGTGCGCAAAGCGAGCTGGGTGGGCAATGTCGTAGAGCAACGCACTGTTGCCAGTCAACATACGAGCCTGCACCTGTGTGGCCAGGGCCAGGTCGGAAGTGCTCAACTGCGAGATACCCATAGGTCCAAGATTGGCAACAGCGTGTTCTGCAACAGGGGAGACGAGGCCGCCGTTTTCAGTCATAGCCCACAGAAGTGTCAACGAGGCCTGAGGCGAGAGAGGGACAGCCGATTCCATGACTGTGCGGCCGAAGAGGTGCAACGATTCCGTGATTTGTTCGCGGACAGTCTCAGCGACCGTAGGTTGACTGGCAGATGCTTTGCGAATCTGGGCAAACATGTTGCGGGCCTCATGAAGTCCGTCGTCGACCTGACCACTCTTCAGAAGGGCCAACGCGTACATCGTCGTCGGCTGCACCATGTCCGGGGTTGCCTGACCGACGGTGTTCAACATGATCCACAATGACCGAGCGGCAGATACATTGCCTTGGCGCACATGAAGAGCCAGAAGAGAGATGGCAGGTGGTTGGCGAATGGCAGGTGAGGTCGACAGACGATCGTACGCCTCTGAAGCGATTGTCAGGTCACCGGCATCAGCAGCGGCGGTGCAGATCCGAGAAATGGCCTGATCGCGTGCTACATCATGCAACTGTTCCTTGGCGTGAGCCAGAGCCTTGCCGTAGTCGGCAGTTTTTAAGTAGTGCTGAACAAGCGCGTCCTTGACAATCACCGACTCAACGGCAGACCAACGTGCTTCACGGTTCTCGGTGACCTCGTCAAAAGATGCACGGATTCGGTCCAGGAATTGCATTGCCCCAGATTCCTTGTCGCATGACAAGTAGGCTCGAATCACAGCGGCATAGACTTCACCATCCATACGATCAATGATGCTGAAGATGCCATTGTCGTCGGATACAGCCATGCTACGGTATTCGTTGTAACATTCAACCGCGCTGGACAAGTCACCAGTGCGGGCAAAAGCATCGATCATGAGGGGGAAGATGGAGGCATGGGGAGTCGCCTTATGGGATTCCATGTGAGAGTAAACGCGAATCATATCTTCGACCATACTTCCGCGGGCGCACGCAGTGATCAACAGACGGTACAGGTGAACGGGAAAGACGAGCCGAGGATGACGGCTGGTGGCCGTGTCGAACAGTTTCACCGCAATAGACAATGAATGGTCCTCAGCCAGCAAGGCACTTTCCAGTTCACTAGATTGCAGCATGAATTTGCCAGGCTCTTCCATGCCGCCATAGCGGACTCTCTCTTGCTCGAGGGTCTCTTTGGCCTCAATTATGTGGTGAGCCCGCGTGACCAACAGCTGCACGAGAGTCTGATAAGTGTCTTCGTCGGGAATTACCCTACGACGAAGCATATCAGAGTATACATCGAGAGCTTTGTGGATGGCGTCAGCAGCATCCGAATGTAGACGAATGGCGGCCACTAAAAGAGCGTTGTATGCCGCGACAGTCGGGGTAAGCCCCTCCCGGAGAATGGACTCGAACGCTGCCGGGATTTCCGCGAAGCTCTCATCGGTGGCCAAGCGCACAACGCGCTCCGAAGCGATCTTACTCTCCTCGGAGATTGCGTCTGAAAGGACGACATCGTCCAGATGAGATTCCGTGGCGGATTTTTCCGAGACGACCGAGGCCTCTTCAGCTTGCGCTTGCTCCTCTTGAATCTGAATCTCCCTCGCGACCGCCTCCTCCACTTGAGCGCTCACATTGTCGTTGACCGCCGCCTTGGACAGATGAGGCGTCTCGGGGGCAGGGATGCCCTCCTCCGTTGACTCCTCAATGCCGTCTGCTGGATTCCAACCAATGCGGCGCTTGAATTGAAACTGACGCCAATCGGTGTCGTCGCCAGTCAATTGGGCATGTTGCCACGCCGCGTAGTACGCAGCGAGCCCAAAGTCACCATTCCCGCCCGCACCCTGACCCGCCTTGGCACCGGCTCCCGAGGAACTGGAGGCAGTCGAGAAAGCATTCTGTAATTGGGTTGTCCGGGAAAACTTTGCGGCCGGCTGAAGGGCGAACTGGTTCAAGGTCGATTGCGAAGCATACGACTGTGACGCTGCGACCACCGACTGAGCATAGCCATGTGTGAAGGCTTTGGTGAAACTCTGGCGCGCGAGATGGGTGAACGGCTTAAAGACCATTTATCTGGCGGGAGTCCTCTTCACAGCGAAGAGGAGATGCTGAGAGAAAGGATCAGATGTTAGCACCGGGCGACGGTCTACTTACAGTGGGATGTTTGCCCCAAAACGCCGCGCAACCCCGTGAGCAACTTACCTTGCTCTCAAAATTAAGCGAACAATGCAGGTTCATTGAACGACTCTTGTCGCCAATGAACGCGCTAATATTCAAGGATGGTGTCGAACTATGATCGGTATAGAAGTTGTTATCTAGAAGGGTGCCACAGACAGACACCGTCAATATGGGAAGTCGACTCGGTGGATTGTGGACGAAGATGGGAAGGGTGTTTAGGGATGACCCAGCAGGAGAAGGGGAGAAGCAGACAGTGCGATTTGCATGGACGAGGAGGAACAAAAAAAATAATGACTGGACAGGCGACAGGGCCTCACAAATAAGGAATGCAGGGGATTCTGGAAGGTGAAGGAGTCGCATCGTAGTGGAGCCTGGCTGAGAGTGCGCCAGACTGCCAGTGAATGGGTCCGTCCCTTTGGGTGCACCGGGTGCACCTCCAGGCCGATCCTCTCCGGCTCCGCTGCAGGTCGGAGGTACTGGTGGTCTGGTACTGGTACTGGGTACTTGGAGAGCTGTCGCGTGTGGCCTTGGACTCGATCTACACTCTACAGCAATACCTCGTGTGCCACGGTGCCAATGGACCCTGCCTCTATTGTATGATTGTACACCTATTCCTGACATGTTTCATCATATGCAATACTGGCCATGGGGCAATCCTCTGTTTCTCTGTCCTTTGTCGACCGTCGGCACTGCAATGTTCAACGATCTGATCTATCGGCGCCGAGGTCTTCATGATGCCTGACTCTTGTTTTCGATACGTCAATCGTGCTCCAGCTCAGCCTCCTTGGGTCGTTCCAGGGTACGTGTCGATTGAGAGACTCATCGACCCCTTGAAGAAGCCAGATCATTTGTGGCAAAATAGAAGGGAGAAAAATGACCGTTAAGAGATACCTCCTGCAATAGGTAATCGACTTTGATGTTGACGATTCCGGGTGGTGGTAGAGATTCCCGTATCAGATCGTAGCAAACAATTGAAGAATGTCGATATACTTTCCTCCCGGGCCCCGGTTTTCTGACTGTCTCATCATCTCATGTCAGCATCCATCCATTTCGAGAGGGTCACCTGCCCCGTATTCATGATTCAGCAGTCGACGAACGGCGCGACTACGGGAGCCAGCCAATGACGGAGGGGAAAAGCTCCGGTCGATCGGGCAAAAGAGGATGCAAACTGTGCAAAGGAGGCTCCAACAGGCAAGACGCGACGGCGGGATGAGTCACCAAGTTCCGGTTCTTTTTCTTGTCCGTGCTTCGCGCCGGAGTCGTCGCTCTCGTTCCCCGTCGGCGCGGCGTCCCGGACTGTCCGACGGGGTTAACGGACGGTGTTTAACTCGGGCACATGAAGTTGCCTATTCCAGTATCCGAGCATAATCACCTGTAGTATACTGATTATCTGATATACTCTCTGGTTGGAGATCTTGAACAATCCATGTTCACTACTACCACTACAGTACTACTACCATGGCTCTTACGGACTGTGTCTCACTGTTCCTGGGCTCACGCTCCCGGCTTATTTCACTTGATCTGATTGTGGTTCTCTCCCGAGGAACGGCCATTGCTGGCTACACTCGGCGAAGCACACTCGGCGCAAAGGGCTTGCCGGACGAAGAGCTTATTTCTCGGACGAGTGCATCGCTTCTCGCCTCTGATAAGTGACTGTATGTTGACCTGCTGTCTCCATCCTTTTCCCATGACGTGTGAATGCGACGGGAAATCGTCATCTTGAGAAACCCCCCCCCCCCACGATCGATCTAAGATTCTCCTTCGACGTACTGTATCGTGATACAACGGGGTCAAAGGGCCAACAATAATAAACATGTGGCTGGATATCTTTTCAGCTCGCATCGTGGATCTGAGTCAAAACGGAAGCTTTGACGAAATGGAAGCCCGCTGAACCGGCATGACGATGCCAAGACCCATCGACCGATGCACTCACGTTCTTGCCCGCCGTGGGAGGAAGCAGATTGTCGATCTGATCGTCTTCGTATAGCAACCACCCTCTGTCATTGGATCTCCCCACGAAGACACTTTCTGGATCGAGATCTAGATCTAGATCTGACAAATTCTCCCCCTGGCCGTTCACATGTGTTCCATCATCGAGCGGAGAGGAGATCTACGATCCGCACTCGTCGACATGACCAGCTATTTGACCAGCAATTTGATGTGAAGTCTAGGCATGTATTCATTGAAGCGAGCGGCAAATTCTTGCAATTGATGTCGGCATCGACGTACTTACCGACCAGCAAAATTTCGTGAAGGAGGTTTGACGTCGTTATTCATTTGCCTGGTCATTACTATACAGCTCACTCAATGTGCTGTAAGCTCGAACCTTCGCCCTCGAGCCTGGCTCAATCAAAGCGGATCTTTGGGCCACGGACGGTCCGTCTTGCTGCGCAGAGATTCGCAACTTCAACTGGACTAGGCTGACAGCCGTCCCATGTCAGAAGTTCCTGGCCCGGGGTCTTACAACCCAATCCAGAACTTGATAAAGAGCAGGCCGTCTAGGAGATTTGCTGACGGGTTGGTCATTGACATGCCAGCTCGACTTGAGTGGCGCCAGCTGATGCCGCATAAACAAGTTTTTGCTTTCCACATTTGGAACGCTTTGGAAACAGACCTCGAGCGGGCAGCGACACAGCAGTTACCGAACTTTGAACGAGCGCAGATCTGTACCAGGATTACCACATGCAGCTTGGTCCACCTCGTTCGATCGGCTCGTGTCACCTTTTTGGAGTGTATGTTACCTTTCGACATCCGGACGACCTCTACTCTGTGCGGGTCTACCTTGATTCGGCCGAGTATATAGCAGGATGGACCCCATATCTCCGTATTCCTAGTACACAACTACGCACTGCACAGCGCACCCTATTCGGCGGATGGGTATGCTCCAATCTGCGTATCGCGTTCTCGGACGATTAGGCGGGCAGAGACCTGGTCGTTTAATTCTTTCTTTTGTCAAATTCCGAGATGGTCATACCTATTCGCTCCAAAAGGTAGTTGCAATAAAAACTCGAGGGCGTCATGGCAAAGACGAGACCGGGTATGGCTAGACTCTCTTGGAGACGTCTTTGGTACGTTGAAATCAGAAATTGTAGGGAAGGATTCCACCAGCCAACGGTTTCACGTATACTGAGCTCAGTTCGATCTACCTCGTAGTGGACATGTGAGATGCACGGTGGCTGATGTCGAATATCGAGACGTGGCAGCGGTGGGCTTTGAAAGAGCAAACCTTCCGTCCCCGCGAATTTGATAGCCGCTCGAGATGCTGGTATTCGGGCACATGCGCATGAGGTGTCACGCTCAGGCTGGCGCGGTGTAGAGAAGGCCAATTCGAGACTGGAACACCTATGCGTCAATGTATAGAAGGGTTGTGTCAAGTTGTCAACCCCATGGTGGTGATCCCTCCTTTACTATCCACCTCCATGCACTCATGGGTATGATGAACAAGAGTGCTGAATTCTCGATAACCCGTTTGCTCTCCCAGCTCGCATTCTTGACCATTCGAGTGGTAGCTTGAGTGTCGGGAAATTGTCAGATGCACTGCATTCCCTGATATTGCTCGACTGCAGCAGAGGAAGATTCCCTTGCCTAGCCCATGTCGCTAGTCCGCTTTAGGAGATTTGAATACAATCAACCCTCATCGGACTGGGGGCGTGCTCCTCGCACACAGATCAGCACGCTCTCCACTTAGTCTACCTTTCCCACTGAGTCCCATTCATCAGGATTGTCAAGAAGCAGAAGAACTTGCTTCGTTGAACTGGGGATTCGTAATCATCGTCAAGCGTGAACTCCCCGCTCGGAACGTCGACAGACTTTGTACCTCGATCACTTTTTTTGCGGGGCGTTCTGTACAATCGCCTGGTGTCTCTCTCCACCCCGCCTTTCCCTCCACCAACTTCGGTCAAAATCCATGTCCCCCCAACCTTCTTCAATCACGGCCTTGTCTGCCCCAGGCAAGGTCTTGTTGACTGGCGGGTATTTGGTTCTCGATCGCGCATACACCGGCACAGTCTTTGCGCTCGATGCGCGCATCCACGTTGTGGTCCAGCAGAAGAGAAGGGGTCACCGTCGGGGCCCATCCACCGCCAGCGCAGATGTGCGATCAACAGCTCCCAGTGGCGATGCGCATGACAACAAAGCCGAAGATGAAGTGGTAGAAGAGCAAGATACCATTGTGGTTGTTTCGCCGCAATTCAAGGATGCGATCTGGGAGTATGGTGTTCAACGATGTGAGAACGGTGGAGGTGTGAAAGCGGTTCAGAAGAGCAAAGGGTAGGATTGTCCCCCACTCCCTCATTTCCGATGCCAATATGAGTCCATACCCCGTGCTTCTTGACACTAACTTGGTGATCGATTCTTTCCAGACCTCGTAATCCTTTCGTTGAGACCTCCTTGAGCTACGCCCTGACCTACATCAGCTACGTTGCGGATTCCAAGGACTTTGGATCCCTGACAGTCACGATTCTCGCAGACAACGACTATTACTCGGAAACTGCCACTTCGAAAGACTGGTCCATAAAGGCCCCATCGGAGCGCTTCGTCCACTTTGGTGTTCCCTTGCTAGAAGCCCACAAGACGGGACTGGGCTCCTCGGCCGCCCTGGTCACGGCACTTGTGTCGGCGTTGGTGATTCATCGTACAATGCAGGCAAGTGACCTTGCTGTCGGCCGAGATAAGCTGCACAACCTGGCCCAAGCGGCGCACTGTGCCGCTCAGGGCAAAGTGGGATCTGGGTTCGATGTGGCTGCGGCAGTTTATGGGTCCTGCCTCTACAAGCGTTTTTCGCCTGCAATCCTCGAGTCTATTGGGGACGTAGGCAGCAGTGGGTTTGACGAGCGATTGTTCGCAATTGTGGAGGACGTCGACCCCAAACATCCCTGGGATACCGAGTGCGTCGACTTTGGCATGCAGCTGCCCCGAGGGATGCAGATGGTCCTCTGCGATGTGGAGTGTGGCTCACAAACGCCCTCCATGGTGAAGAAGGTTCTCGAGTGGAGGAAGAACAACCGCCAAGAGGCCGACATTCTGTGGGGGACTCTCCAAAATAACAATGAGCGTCTCCGACAAGAACTGAAGCGTCTGGCCCAACACCCCGATGCCAACGCGGACAACGAGTTCACAGAAGTTGGGGCCCTGCTCCAGCGTACCCGACACCTCATCCGTGCCATGACTCGCCAGACCGAGGTCCCTATTGAGCCCCGTGTACAGACCGAGCTGCTGGACAGCTTGACAGAGATCGATGGAGTTATTGGCGGTGTCGTTCCAGGTGCGGGTGGTTACGACGCCATCGTTTTGCTGATCCGAGACGATCCGTCGGTCGTTACGCGGTTGAATGAGCGGCTTGTAACCTATGAAAGTGCCGTTGAAGACGACTTTGGTGGGAAAATTGGCAAGGTCCGACTACTGGGTGTGCGACACGGTTCGGACGGCGTGATGAATGAGGAGTTGAAGCAATACGCTGGCTGGGTGTGACCGCTTCATACTCGACTCGTCTGAATGCCAACCATTGTTACATGTGAAGTGCGTTTCGAGGCACGCTTCTTCAGTCGATCGAAGTTTTCTTTCCGCCCTTTTCGATCACTTCCACTCTACATCGACTAGTTTGGGAAGTCCCCGTGATGTCATTTGCTTGTGTCGTCTCTGGGCTTGGAACTCAATGCCCCTGCTCAATTCAACCAGCGTGCTCCTCCTTCATTCTTAGCATAATTCAAATGGGTCAAACTACAGCTCTATATTCTTCTTTCATTTAAACGTAAGCGGAGGTGACCGTCAGTGAGATTTGCTTCGTCGGGCAAACGGGATCCACCTAGCAGCCTAGCGTGATGTTTCATCGTTGTCTCTGTCGCTGTAGATTTTTCGTGCTTTGACACCTCTCGAGGGACTCTTTGAGGGTGAGGCTGCATGGAGGAGCGTCGAGTCAATGGAGGTTCGATGAGTACAATGCCTCCCTCTGGCTGGAGTCCGCGTTGCCAAGTTCGTCAATCTCAAAAGGACAACCGCTGCTGCTCTTCGAAAACCAGAGGGTCCATGCATGAGCACAAGCGCAAATACAAGCTGCAGATGACAGCAGGGGCTGGCACCTGAGAGGCTATTGTGAGCCATTAAACCAGGAGCCATTCCATGCGCGCAAGGTCGATTGCGCTTGAGTGTGCTTTGTCTGCCAATTGCGGACGGCCCTCCTGAAATTCCACGGGGCCATGGTCCTCTTCAAACGACCAAACACGTTTGAAGTGGTGTAACCGCTTTCTTGTTCCTCTTCATGTAGATCCTTTGGCCAGTCCCAGGGGGAAAAACACTCTTGTATGGAAAGATCCTCCTGGTGATCATCACTCTGCCGAGTCCACCACGAGAATCCGACTCATATTCAAGCCAAACCTAAAAACCAAAGCTTCACCACCAGAAGTCACTCGTCCGAACGAGGGTGTGGTTTCGCTAGTGACCAAGAATTGTCCCAGCGCCTCCCGCTTAGGGGTCGACTCCTCACGTCTGGGCCGATCGACCGTCCGACCACGTCCTCTTTCTCCTCCTCCTCTTTTCTTTAGGTTCCTTTGGGCTACGCCGATCGCTTTCTTTCTCACAGCTCAATCTCTGCATCTTGAAGACTCTCTCACCCTCGGGGGCTGCTCATCCACAACCTCTTGTATCTGCCCGGGGACGCTAATTGCATCATCACTCACTGGGGCGGTCGCGATCATGTCCTCCACCGATCATCCGGAGTCTGGGGTGGCTGATTCCAGCAATGCTCTCGAGTCGGGAGCCACCACCACGACTCCGCAACTGAGCGCTCACCCTGAGCACGACACCACCAAGTCCACCGCTCCCTCCCCAGTCACGTCCGACACGGTCGCACATGTTGAGCCGTCTCCCACTTCGTCGGCGGCCGCTCCCCAACCTTCATCCGAGGAGAATGCAGCAGCTACTGCGCCTCAGCACCCCGCAACCGGTGGCGAACCCGTCGACCCGATCGCTGCCACCGCAGCGACCACCCCCGCGACCGACACCGTTCAGTCTCCTGCCCACGACACAGCAAATACAAGCATCAGCACGAGTCAACCCCCTGCCGACACGGCCGCGACACCCGCGGCGCTGCCCAGTTCTGCGGAGTCTCCGTCGATGGAGTCTCACGAGCCCAAGGCCACTGCAGAGCCCTCATCAGACCCGTCGGAGGTCGAGGAAGGCAAAGAGACGGAGCATGCAGGTCCCGCCCTCATGATCACTTTGTTGTTGACGACAGGATCCCGACACCCATTTACAATTGACACCAAGTACTTGCGAAAGCAATCTGTCAGCGTCGAGAATGATGATCCGTTCGCGATGAGCGTGTATACGCTTAAAGAGCTCATTTGGCGGGAATGGCGATCAGGTGAGCCTCTACTTCATATCGAGACGACCTGCTGCGATGTGGCGAGGCCTTCAAGTGTATTTCATGTACCAAGCTAACCTCTATTGTCTTTTCGAATAGACTGGGAGACTCGACCTTCGTCGCCCAGTGCCATCCGTTTGATCTCCTTTGGCAAATTATTGGACGACAAGTCGCCTTTGTCTGGTAAGTACCATCTCGTATTGTTTCTTTTCCTCCCCGAGTGGGGATCGAGCCATCGTTTGGCCAGTCGTCCTGATCCGTATTTCGTGTGCAACAGATTCAAGATTCAGCGCAGACCATCCCAATGTCGTACACATGACGGTCAAGCCGCAGGAAATCATCGACGAGGAAGATGCCAAGGGCGCAAAGTCGCATATGAGCCGTGAGCGTGAGGCAAGCGAACGTAGTCCTGGATGCCGATGCATTATCCAGTAAACTCTTCCTCTCGATCCCCTTGGGACTCGATATTAAGTCTCCCCTTGATGTCATGCAGATCATCTGGCTGTCTTTTTTTTTTCGAATGACTTCATCGCATTGCGAAGAGGCTGTCATGTTCCGGCCGTCATCAGCTCGTTTCTTCACTGCCTGGCTGCAGAGGAAACGCGCAAGTGCCTCAGTTCGCCGTCCACCTCCAATTTTTTCCGCTGCAATTTCACACCAGCCTGGCCTGCCATCGCTTGCGCCACGCGGCTGGAGATCTGCCTACCCAGCCACTAGATATCTTCTCCATCCTTTTGTCGGCCATATGTCCATCCCCCCATTGAGCCGTGCCTTTCTATACCCTTCCTCTCCTTAGCCTTTTCCTTTCGACTCCCATTCACCCATATACCCCAACCACCCGATCTCTTTTGTTCGTGCAATATCCTCTCTACTCACCTCGATCTGTGGCCCTGATCCAAGCTGTTCCTCATTGTCTGGTGTGTATCCCTTTCTTCTCGGGTTCATCGTCTTGGCGGGGCTCTACTGTTTCTCGGAAATCAATGCATACGCCACTTTGTTGTTGTCTTTTACCTCGGCCACTCTTGCTCGATTCTTTCGCATTCTTGGGCCTTGTCTGCAGGTTTTCTTTTTTGGGGGGAGGGGTCGGAGTTTCTTGTCACAGTGTATATTCTTACGGTCCTCTGGTACATACAGCAAATCCCTATGCCGTCGTTTCTTTCTTCAAAAATACCGAAAAGAGCTCCTACCTCGATGTAAATGAAACTGAAGCAGGTAAAACTTCCGTCTGAGAGACTATTGAGTTTCCTTCGTATCCCTCGTTATCTGATCTTGATTTTGATTGCGACGGAGTTTCCAAGATGCGCTTCGTGGACTTGTGCAAAGCAGCCGAGTGGAGCTACTAAGAAACGAATTTTTCCAGCGTTGTACTCTTGCATTCAGCCCTCGTTTTGAAATTTATTTAGGCCATATTAATGCGGAGATGCAAATCATCTAGCGGTCTCGAGACTGGTGCTCTAGATGCGCGAGGAAGCGTTTTCCGCCATGGAACAAGCTCTGTAGCATGGGAGTCCCTACACAGATCATCTCCAGATATAAAGGTGCAGGAGACGAAAGAAAGAATTGGATGCGTGACAGGCAAACGACTCGAATACAAGTATATTCCTCGGTGATCACTCATTACGCTTAATAGTCCATCTTCAGCCTCTTCTCCATCTCGTCGTGGAACGAGGGCGGCTCGCGGAGCTCGTCGCCTAAACAGAATCAAACAACGTTAGCTATGACCAGCAAGCCATTCTCAATGCGCCCATATTCCAGTGAAGTAGCCCGGTTGACTCCGGATCCAGAATCCCACCACCAAAGCCAGACCCCCCAAAGGCACACGGGGAAAAGAAGAAGAAGAAGAAGAAGAAGAAGAAGAAGAAGAAGAAGAAGAAGAGGCAACATACCATGGAACACATCCTCCCAGCCAATTTCCGTGTCTCTTCCACCAATGGTAAGAATATCCTCGTGCACATTGCCGCCTCGCATTCCTCCCAAGACAGCAGGCCGGAACGTGCCGTCTCGGACAATCTTCAGCTCCATTCCACGACGTACAGGCTCGGCGATGCCGTAGACTCGGCGCAGAGACTCCATGTGCATCGCCTCTTGGGTGGCACGCCAGGCTAGCAGCCGGGCTTCCAGGGGGTGTGTGGAGGCCGGGATCTCTGATAAGGATGGGTGGTTGGTGGACGAGGCGGTGGCCGTGGCGGGGAGAGTGAGCTTGTTGCGGAGCGTGTCGGGCAGACCGGGGGCAGAAGGGGCGCCCTTTGTCAATTGAGCAGCTTGTGAGGTCTGCTGGCGGGTGGTGGTGTTGGTTGTGGAGGTGCGGTTACCGCTTGGAGGAGCGATACGGAGAGACTGGACAAACCAGGGAGTTAGTTGTCTGGATCACACAATAGATGTTGCAGATACATGTCTGTCTGGGGTCATGGAGCGGGTAGTCTTGATAGTATGAGTGGCTAGGAAAATGATGATGGTAGAGCAATATCAAGCATGGCTTTTGGCCGTAGACGGCGTCATGGCGGAGCTAGGTGTAATTCAAGTGTGACGTTCTAGGACCGGAAGCTCCATAACGTACCATTGTGAATGATTGGCAACTGCTTCAAATAGCTCTCGTGTAGTAGAGTCGATGAAATCTGGAGGGTCTGAAGTGCGTCAAGCAGGAAGATCAGAGAGGGTGAGCGTGGAAAACAACGAGACTGATGACTGAAGTAACGGAGGACTCTCGTCGGCGATCAGTCAGGCAGAGAGCACCCGCGCGTCCAGCTCCTCCGGCCACACACGCGGACCCACTGCGCTGTTCGCACCGTCGAGTGTCACGTGATTCAACTCTCGATCTTCAAGTTCCCCGAGAAGTTGCACATCACAGTCCAGGTTGGAGGAAACAGCCGTTTTTAATTCCCCGCCCGATATCCGACACACACACACACACACACACACACACACACACACACAAAGCAAAATGCCTCAGTTAATATCGCATGTAGTCCTTCGGGCCTTGCGAACTCTCGCTCAAGCCCAAGCGCCAAAACCATCCACCATCCGCTCTCTCACAACCTCCTCAGCCAGCCTTTTTGCTCGCCGGACAACCACCACATCCACGCCCTCAATCACAAACCGCTTCACATTCGCCCCTGTCTTCCGCACCCAGACAGCCCTCAACACCCTCTCCGCCCGCCAATTTTCAAGCTCCCCCATCGTCCGTGCAACCTACAACCAAGTCCGACGCGGGTGTCGGACCGGCCAACGCGCGCGCCGTGGTCGCTCGCCCGCACTGAAGAACCACCCTGCGCTCAAGGGTGTCTGTGTGAAGACGGGTATCACGAAGCCCAAGAAACCCAACTCGGGAGAGCGCAAGGTTGCAAGAGTGCGGTTGAGTACGGGCAAGGTTGTGACTTGCTATATTCCCGGCGAGGGTCACAATATCCAGCAGCACAGTGTTGTCCAGGTTCGCGGTGGCAGAGCCCAGGATTGTCCTGGTGTGAAATATACTCTTGTTCGCGGCGCCATGGATTTGGTGAGTTGTCTGGGTGAAGCTACTTTCAGGGTGAGACTCCAGCTAACAGATTGATTCACAGGGTGGTGTTGGAAGCCGTGTGACGAGTCGGTCCAAGTATGGAACAAAGAAGCCCAAGAGCAGCTAAACGGTTGAATTGGAACATGGTGATGTGTAGGATAAAAGCTCTGCCATGGTACAAGTTTCATCATGAGGGCTTGCTTCGACCCGGAGCAATGGCCGATCAAGGTCGTGGACAGTGACACGGCCGACATTGTCATATCTATTGTGTCTACGCGAGTGGTATTCGATTAGTTATCTGCATGTACAATTATGGAGCAATCATTGATACGTTTGGACCGGATTCCATCATCCATACCAGTATATTCAAGTGACGCGATGAGTGTACCTTACTTGCCTACCGTAATTCACCCTAAGACAGGAACAGAAACCGCTGATCGAAAACAGAAATCAAACGACGAGACAGACTTTCTTGAATCGAAGATGACAATCTTGATAAATAGACAGATATCCAATGACCTTGCCAAGCACTCATCCAGTGAGATTTCAGCCCAACCAATCAATGCAACTCGCTTCATGAAGTCGATCCAAGACAAGAGGGATTGATGTATTCAACATGTAATGTCAAACTGGCAGAGAAGGGGAATATTTGTGGCAAGCGAAGTTGAGAAGTAAAATGTCGAGGTATAAAAGTCTCCAACGATCGAGTCAACGATCCTTCAGCCTTAGATCAATCAAGAATCGCGACGTGGAAATTCTCGAGACAGACTCATAATGGACTCCGAAGGCAGCGATGAAGAGTCTTTCACTCCCCACTCCCGTCGTTCAGAATCTTTTTTCTTTACAATCTTGTTTTGATAGGTGCCGTAGCACCATGCCATGACGGTCGCAGCAAACCTAATCACCACACGCAGCCTTTCCAAAATCTGCGTTCGTGCCGTTTGGCTACCGACCACGACCATAATGCAGATAAGAGCTAAAGCAACCGCGTAGTGACCGAGAGCCCGAAGTCAATCTTTCTTGTCCCAGCCATCGGGCTTCTGAAGATTGTTGACGGAGAACCAGCGAGAGGTGCCTGATACTACGTTAGCCTCTGCCATGCACCCGTCATGAGCCGTGCACTGGCCCAGCGTGAACACTTACAAGAATAGTCCTTCCAGTCAAAGTTCTCTTGGGGCTTGCAATGGCAACGCAGATCCAGCCGCGTCTGCTCGGAACTGGGGCAATGGGTGAATGGAACGTGGTAGTAGGCGATCTCGTTGAAAAAGTGAATCTCATCCCTTTTGAGCATGGTCGCAGCAGCGATGGAGTGCACTGGCGCATCACCCCATCGCTCGTAGAAGAAGCCGCCGTCTTGGTCCAAGGAAGAGAAATAATCAATGTAGGCTGGAGACCGAAGCCACTCGAGACTACCGATCTCGAAGTTGGACCACTGCGACAAAAGCTTGGTCAGTTTCAATCCCTCCAACTGTCACATCACAGATCTTGAAGGGGAGAAAAGAATTTCCATACAAAGTGGCATTTGTTGTAGGTTTCACCGCCATCATCACTAACAAAGTCCACGGCGTTGTTTTCGGCAATATGTTCGGGATGTGCCTGCAAAAACTTCTTCGTGCTGTCCCACAGGGTGGGGATGGTATCGATGTATTCGTACAAGCTAATCACGAAGCTGTACTTCTTGTTGTTCTGCTTCATGAACAAGAAAGGGTCGGTAGGAACGTCGCAGAACAGTTCCACGCTGGGCTCGACTCGCCAGTAGTACTCGTAATTCATCATGAGCGGGTGACGGAAAAAGAAGCCAGATTCATAACGACACATGTGACGATAGCTCTCCGAGTCTCCGTAAATAATCTTTCTGCGACCCATGTCTTCCCGCACTTCACGGGCCTTGTTCTGATCGATCCATGAAGGATAGGACCAGTGCTCCGTGGGAATCTTGCCATAGTGGGTGGTACCAGACGCCAGGGACGTGGTGAGCTTTTTGAACTCCTCGTCGAATTCTTGGTCGTTCAAAAAGACCCAGTCGTAGTTGAAGTTGCGGTTGAACCGATCCTCCACCGTTCGAATGGACTTGGCAATCTCCCAAATGTCGGAGTTGCGTGCCAGGGTCACAAAGGTTGCATTGACTCGCTCGGTGCTGTTGACCCCCGTGTTCTGGGGCTTCTGTGATTTAAAGTCCTCATAGGACGGTTTGGGGCGCGGAAGGGAGGCAGCGCTGGGTAATTGGAAGGATGATCGAGTGATGAAATAGAAAAAGGTCAACCCCTACACAACTTCTTGTTAGCATTGCGGCAATTCCTTTGCTGCTATTTTTTTTTTTTCAGGGCGATCTAGGAGGTTGACAACCGGCGTAGGAAACCAAAGTCGACGATCGCTGCTTTGTAGCTAGCTTACCACAACGGCGAACACCAGATACCTGGTGTATCGCGCAGAGATGGCCATGACGGCAGGGTGGAGAAGGGTTGGAAGGACTCTGAAGAGTCACTTGATGGAGGTTTCACTTGAGTGCTTGAATCGGCGGGTAAGTCGAGACCCAGATGATCGCAGCCTAACCTTCTGCTTTGGTCTTGACGGAAGAATGCAACACGTGCGTCGAGGGGGACCGATGTGGACACGAAGCAGCAAGGGAGAAACGAATGTACACTGAGCCAACGGTCGGAGACGCTAGTCAATTTGATGTGTGACGATGCCAGCAGTCGAGGTCATTGAGAGAAGAGGGTTTGTTTAGGGAGAGGGAGGGAAAGGAGGGAATAGGTCGAGCTCGGTCGCGCAAATAACATAAGGTTAGTACTACCGCAATCAGCCGCGTAGTCTCACTTCATGGCGAGACATTCGAACCGCTCTTGGACGAGACCGGAATCCGGTTGGACATGATGGGGCCCCCCGTCAAGTTATTATTATTCCTTGATCCTTGATTCACTCGGTCTTGGCCTGCATATTGGGTCCTAGCCCTCCGATTCTCTCAGAGCCATTGATATTGTTGATCTGTGCTCTCCATCAGGACTCGCTACCTTTGGTGAATGGAAGGTTTCACGTAGATTTGGGGCATTTCACTGCTCACGCCACAACAGAGAAAAAGGAACGTTGAATGGGCTTGAGCACAAGACTTTTGCCCCTTATAAAACATCTCCAGTGGTTGAAGGCATAACAAACGATCAGGGTTGCGTACTCCCTCTTCCTATATCACGGTTATGTTTGTTCATGCAGGTATGTAGGTCCATAGTCGGTGGAACGCTTACAATCTTGGTTGTATACGCCCGGTAGCAGGATCATCTATTAGGTAGTAGTTTCTTGTTAGGCTCAATATCGCAAGTAATTTTGGCGAGGAATATGATTACTGTTCTGATCATTACATGGCTAGAACCCATTCATTCTGGTCATAGTCTCAATTAGCTCAACCGAAGGCCTTCCAGGACAATTTTATCACATGGGGGTAACAGACTGAAATCCATCAGTGAATCTATCCTGCTTGAAAATGCATCTGCTCGAGTATCCAGATGTGGTTTTAATCAAGTTATAGTTCGTGTCAAGTCAAGACCTTTGGATCATGACAATTGACGCTCGTTAATTTCCCCTGGTAAGGTGACATATAGACTGTTTTACAAGTCTCAGCATTTATCCTGCTAATCGCTTCGATACTTCCCCAACAGTCTGCGAGACCCAGGCTACCCCAACTGTAGATGCCATGTTAATCACCGTTCAGGTTGTGGACTGACTCCACATGCGACCAACTGGTGAGTTGAGTGCCGAAAGTCAAATGGAGATGGTTGGTGGCCTGAGGCTTTGACTCCAGAACTTCGCACCTTCCCTTTCCCTCCCCCACCACCCGCCGGTCGTGTCTTCCCTCACCAACGCTGCCGCTTCTCCCACCGCCTCCTTGGTCCCTGACTTGAACTGGCATCTGACCAAAGAAACATGTCTTTCTTTGGTTTTGATACCAACCTCCCTCGGGACCGTCAGCAAGGCGGTCCGTCGCGGGGCTTCTTCGAGAACCCAGATCCCTTTGCGGAGGTAGCTCGTGCGCAAGCTCAGGATGATGACGATGGGTAAGCGTTGGCGTGGATCTCATGGATCGTTCATTGCGCAACGTGAAGGAAGCTGATCAGATCAACAGCATCGACTTTGAAGATACCTACGACGGCCTTGGCGATCAGCTCGACGATGATCAGGACGTGTTCAATGACGACACCTTCGGTGGTGCGGATGCCGGACCTGGTTCTGGAGGCCAAGTCGGCCGTGACTTTGACTTCTTCGGAACCACCGCTAAGGTCGCCGATGTCATTGGCGAAGAGCAGGTTCGCTATGCGCTGCAAAATCCCTCCGCGGCGCCAATGCCGGCTCAGGAGCAGGCGAATGCCTCGGCCGCCATGCCGACAGCCACCACGAACCCCCCTTCCAACAAGCGCTCTGGATATGAAAAGTATTCGGATCCGGACTTCATCCCTGATCTGCAGGCCAAGTCAAGCGTCTGGGGTATCTCGCAGAAGAAGCCGGAGCCGGCTCAGCCCATGTCTCGGAGACCGATGATGAGCCTGGAAGAAGTCGAGGCTCAAATGCGGCAACGCTCCCAGCCTGGACACATGATGCATCCTCAATCATCAATGCCGCAGCACCCAGGAGATCCCTCCTACCACCCCCCGTCTCAGTTTCCACAGGGAGTGCCCGAGGGATTCCCCGCAATCCCTCCCGAGTATCTGCGTGCGGCCATGGAGAAGGGCGTGCTTCCTCCCGGTATGCCCGGCCTGCCTCCCGGAATTGCAGAGCTTCATGGTGCTCCTGTCATGTCTGGACCTCCGCCAATGCGTGGACCGCAATCCCAGATGCCCCCGCAGGTTATTCCTCAACAAGGGCCCCGAAACGTCGGTCCAGTCCAAGGCCAGCAAGGCCAACATGTGCAGCAGCTGCCGCCCCCTCCATCGCGTGGGCCTAATGGCGGCCTGCCGGTAATCACCAACCCACAGCAACTTATGCACTTGACAGAAGAGCAGCGTAATGCTTACCTAGTCGAGGATGCTAAACGAGCGAAGCGCAATCACAAGATTTTCCTCCTTTCACGCGGAAATGGCCTGATGACACCCCAGGACAAGAACTTCATCACCCGCATCCAGCTGCAGCAACTCGTGGCTGCTGCAGGCAATGTGGCCGACGCGGACGCCGAAGCCGTTCTGGCTGAGGACTTCTACTATCAGGTTTACAGTCAGATTCGCGGTGCCCCACGTCAGCATCCGCACCAGCCCCTGGGCCACTTTGCGCAGACTTATCTTCTTCAAACCGGCAACCGTCTGGGCGGGCACGGCAATCGTCGGGCATTCCAAAGTGCTGATAATCACATGCAGCGCATGCAACAGCAGGTTCAGCGGGCCGTTGAAGCCGCAAAGGCCAAGCCGAAGAACAAGCAGCTTATTATCGAGGGTAGTTTGGGAAAAATTTCCTTCAGCAATGCCAAAGCACCCAAACCCATGCTCAACATTAAGCGACCAGACAGCTCCGAGGGCCCACGGCCGAAGAAAGTGCAGTCCGATCTTAGCCTCAGTGACCGGAAATCCATCCTGACGAACATCGAGAGTGTTTACAGTGCCTTGATGGCCATGGAGGACATGGAACGAACCATGCCACCGCCACCCGAGGAGGGCGATGCCGAAGCGATCCAAGCGCATATGGAATGGAGACAAAAGGTTCACTTACTGAACCAGAAGTTGTGGCGTGCTCTCAAGGTCATGGAGCCTATCGTCCCCAACTCGACTACTCCCCATCCCTTCATCGCCTTCCTTTCATATCCCAAAGGTAAAAAAGCGATTCCCCGCATTTTCCGCCACATCGACCAGGAACAGAGAGTCACCATCCTGACCATGATCGTGGTTCATCTGGATAGCTTGGATGTGGTGCGTCTTGCACAGCCCGTTCCGGGCGAAGCACAGCCATCACTTGCGGTGCGCGAATCCATAGATCTCTTCTCACTGGCCGTCATGCCCAGTCTGTTGGGCTACGTCAACGAAGCTCCCTTCAATATCATCATCGGACTCCTCGGCCTGATCATTGCTCAGACACACGTGCAGACTGTCGCCCGCACCAAGGTTGGTCTTGGAATTCTCACGATGTTGCTCAGTCGTGCGGAGATTGTCAAGGAAGCTGGTCAGGCTTCCGAGCGAGATTGGCAACAATGGGTTGAGAAGTTCAACGTTCTCTTTGATACACTGGAGCCCGCCCTTGCCGAGATCTTCCCTGGCGCTATCAATACTGGTGACGACATGTATGTGTGGCAGTTCCTGGCTGCGGTGGGTATCGGTGCTAGCCCCGAGCAGCAGCAGCGTCTCGTCATTGCGGTGAAGTAAGTCTGACCTCCCCGCTTCTCCGAAGACCCCATCCTCATGTGTTTCCCCCGATGCTAACATAATCACCATCAGGGACCGGGTTATGGAGACTGTTGGCTATAGTAAGACATTGCCCGCTGATATGGCTAGCCAGCGATTGGGCAATGTCAACCTGTTCATGAGGGCTATCGGCCTTGACGTGGAACTTCTTGGTTGAAGTTGGGCCGTGAAACTGTAGACACATATTCTTGTCCCTTCCGGCCAAGTCATCCTGTTCGAGTCTTCTCACGGGGTGTGGGATTACTCAAATGGCGGGCCTCGTCGGTGGAGCGTTCGTCGCCCGTGGGATTCTGTCACTGTGGTCACCGTTGGTGCAGTGGCGGCGATCTCAGAGACCCGACCGAGCTTGGTCCCTGGTGGTGACGGCACCTCGATCTTCGTTGCAAATGCTGCAACCGTGAGTGATGTCTCTTCGAGAGGTCTAGCATTTATCTACTCGGGCATCCTTATTACCTTCTCTCTTGTCCGCCGGGTATTACTCTTTCTTGGTCTCCCCTGGCTAGCAGCGACCCCCCAATTTTTTTTTTTTTTTGAAACGGGGTCCTTTCTATCTTATTATTTCTTCCTCTTACCCTGGCCCTTTGAGTTCCCAGTAGCAAGTTCTTGTTCCTCCGTTCTGGCGAGGTGATCGTTGCTGTCGACACCACGTCTTGTGGTTAAGTTCATTCCTCCCCGCTGTCCTGGGCCAAGATGCCGTCCTCGCAAGGGAGGACCCCATCCGGCGCTGCTGAGTTGAAGGCTCATGTTGATCGGTTGCCTGTGGCCCGGGCGACAAACATACTGTGTCATTCACGATGTCGAGGTGGACAGAAAGCGAGAGGTGTGTGTGTGTGTATGTATCCTAGCGGGTCTCTTAAGCAGGCCTGAACCCGAGCGAGCAAAGGATCGAATCCATTTTAATCATGTAAACATTTCCTTGTCTCAGATCTTTCACAAATGCATTTCTCCATGTCCCAGAATCCTCCCTTTCACAGGTGGAGAATTGCGCGGAGGTCGCGGTCCCATCACCGGTCCTTTCTCCCATTTGATTCAGACCGCGGGCCTCGGGGGCAAGCGACTGACTAGTGGGTTGGATCCTTGTAGATGGTTCGGGAGTCGGGCCACAGGACGGGTAAGCAGGTACGCACCGTGAATTCTCCGCGTCCGGACCAGGGGATTCGGGGCGCTGAACTGCACGATCGGCTTCAGTGGTCCTTCGGTGGTCTCGACCCGATGTGCCGAGTCGGGATCATTGGATCCAACTGTAGCATCCGGATCTGAAAGGAATTCACGGACTAGAGAGGTGCCAATCATGCAAGAGGCATGAATCATGACGTGTTCGAGATGCATTGGGGGAAGCCGTCGCGCGCATAGTGGATCTTTCTCTCATTCTCTATACGGAACAGGTGATTGACTGTAGATCCCTGGGGGATCGAGCTTCGGAAATCTTGGTCTTCTGTCGACATGGCTGGACCGACGAGGGGGGTGTCTTTCGAAACCTGCATGAGAATCTGCCTTGAGTTGTCTGCAACATGAGCGCAGGACAGAGGGAGAGGGTTACATAGATGGATGGTACGGTACCGGGGGTTGAGAATTCCTTTCGGACTCTTAGTAGTCTTCCAAGTGACTACAGTCTACAGTCTACAGTCTCCCAGTACCTGAACCGTTCTCCAACGTGCAATGTGAGCACCCTCAGAGCAATCGGAGTGGTCCTCCAGATGAGTCCTTGGCAGTTGGAGGACCACCCGGTTTCGGTGGCCCGAGTCGCCTTTTGTTGTAGGAGTACCGTCTGCTAGGAAGACCTTTGTAGTCGCACGCTTGTAGCAGTACTCTGGTCGTGGTACCGTACCTGTCCCCAAGACCCAAAGTGGCCCAGACTCCACAGCCCACGCGGGACACGTCTCTTGGTCCAGCTGCCAGTGCCTCTTCCAGCCGAAGGTTGCAGTACAAGTCACGACACTCTGCCCCTCCCAATTCCATTCTTCTGAACTCCAGACTTCTTCACTTCTTGCCCCCTCTCCATTCCCTCCTCCTCATTCCTCTGGTCATCTCCCCTCAACCGTGATCAATCCCTCTCATCATGCCTTCTGGATCAGTTCTCGTCACCGGGTAAGACTCTCCCCCTCTCATAACCCCTCCCCCTCCCCCTCCCCCTCCCCCTCCCCCCCCCCACACAGTCCCCCGCCATTCTGCCCCTAGTGCGCAATTGCGCATACTCCAGCCTTCACCACCGAGAGATTGCTAATTCCCCGCCAGTGGTACCGGCTACATTGGCTCATTCACCACCTTGGCTCTGCTCGAGGCCGGCTACAAGGTCGTCGTTGCCGATAACTTGTACAATTCCTCGCCCGAGGCTTTGAACCGCGTCGAGGCCATCTGTGGCAAGAAGGCCGAATTCATCCAGATCGATGTCACCGAAGAGAATGGGTTTGACAAGGCCTTCGAGGCCCACCCCGACATTGACAGCGTGATTCACTTTGCTGCTCTCAAGGTGAGTGAACCCCAGTGGATAGATCCTACGAAGTCACCCTACAAGCTCCCTTCAGTGGCTCTGAGACTAACAGGGGCCTTTTTTCCCCCTTCATTGCAGGCTGTGGGCGAGTCTGGCGAGAAGCCCTTGGACTATTACATGGTCAATGTCTACGGCACACTGAACCTGCTCCGCTCCATGGTCAAGCACAATGTCACCAACATTGTCTTCTCCAGCTCTGCCACCGTCTACGGCGACGCTACCCGCTTCCCTAACATGATCCCAATTCCGGAGGAGTGCCCCTTGGGCCCGACCAACCCCTACGGTAACACCAAGTTTGCCGTTGAGACTGCCATCACCGACGTGATCAATGCTCAGCGCAACAATGCGCTCAAGGCCGGTAAAGAGGCCGAGGCTCAGAAGTGGAACGGGGCTCTGCTGCGCTACTTCAACCCGGCCGGTGCCCACCCCTCGGGCATCATGGGTGAGGACCCCCAGGGTGTCCCTTACAACCTGCTGCCCCTGCTCGCTCAGGTGGCCACCGGCAAGCGTGAGAAGCTCTTGGTCTTCGGTGATGACTATGCCTCCCACGACGGTACTGCCATTCGCGACTATATTCACATTCTTGACTTGGCCGACGGCCACCTGAAGGCCCTGAACTACTTGCGTGATCAGAACCCCGGTGTCCGGGCCTGGAACTTGGGTACCGGAAAGGGCTCAACCGTCTACGAGATGATCAAGGCCTTCTCCCATGCGGTCGGTCGTGACCTCCCCTACGAGGTCGCTCCTCGTCGTGCTGGTGATGTTCTCAACCTCACTGCCAACGCTACCCGTGCCAACAAGGAATTGGGTTGGACTCCCAAGTTCACCCTGGAGAACGCCTGCGAGGATCTTTGGCGCTGGACCAAGAACAACCCTCAAGGTTATCGCCAGCAGCCCCCTGCGGAGCTCCTTGCTGCTCTCAAGAAATAAAACAAAAATAAGGTCTGGAAGGCCCGTGGAGAGCATGTCCTGCACTTTCTCATGATGGCTCGACGATGTGGATTTTCTTTCTCTTCTTTGGTGGATGTATCCCACGGCGTGCTTTGTACATGGATATAGACCGATTTTGCTTTCACGGTTGATTGGATGAAACGAATTTCTTTTTTTTTTCTTGTTTTTATTTCATGTTGACCATGGATTGGCTCCTCCCAAATCCTACAATAACGTACTGGATCACTTGATACACATATATAGCAAGCTCACAGACTCAACTTCCTGTAATTTAATTTTAGTGTATTTACTAGCTCGTAGTTACCTAGCTACAGCCCTCAGGAGCATGTGTTAGTTGCGCGCAGAGGCTCCGGACTTAACGAGGTCCATGAGAGCGCTACCAACGCCCTATCAACACGTCATGAATGCGCGGCATCACAGCAAACTATAGACCTGGGATGCTTGGAAGATGCAAACCGCCACCCACGCCCACAACATGTCGACAACTGGTCTCACGGGCCTTTTTGGATGGTATTCCTAGAGGGTCTTTCCAGAGGCCTTTGTGGGATAGTTTTCTACCATAGCAATTATAGGATGATCTTTGATTGGACTTGATTCGAACAAGTTTGCTTATGCTCTTGCTGATATGGTGGTTTTTTCGGATTCGGCCCGTCGTGAATCGTCGTGATCTTACATTTGTTCCCAAGTGTTCTTGTAGTCGGCCGCCGTAAAAGACGTGGTACCTTAGATCCTTTAACAAAGAACGACAGCCAGCCGAATTTCGAGTCCCGGGGTAGATAGTATGAGAGCTACTATCCGGAGACTGTACGTGCCAGATATTGTCGATCCGGAGTCAATGCATTTTCAGTCAAATCAAAAACGCCTTCTATGATACCACTCCAATGCAGCTTTTCAAGGGTACATGTATAAACAAGGGCTGTCGGTCCGAGGTGGTCCAAATCGCCCATCGCGTAGAGGTACAATGGAAGTTTTTGCGGGGTTGTCAAGACAACCTCTTATTTCGCCTTTCGACTCCTCCGCGATCCGGCACTCTTTTCCTTATTCGAGGCCGGGGCAGTCTGCTTCTTTTCTTGCTTCTGCTCGGCGGCTTCCTTTTCTTTCTTCTCCAATGCCCGCCTCAGCGCACCTTCTTTCTCGGCCTCTTCGATTTGTTGCTCACTGAATTCCCAGACTCGCTTGCCCAGGTCTTCGTCCCGGACATCTCGTCGTGCGCAATCCACTTCCCGACATTCTTTGATCATCCAGCCGCCCTCGCCCCGGCCGTAGTTCTCTTCCATCAGGGCGTACAGGATGCTCTGCGCACCTTGATCAGGTGACTTGAGGACCAGCCACCACAGTGGCCAGGTAAGCAGGTAGAGAAGAAGACCCCACAAGGAGCCACCGGTCAGCCAGCGGCGGGTGCCTGGGGTGCGGGAAAGACCGGGATCAACGACGAGAACACGAGTGCACGGTGGAAGACCATCCGGTCGCTTGTACGCGTTCAGATGGCGCTGGAAGGAGTGCGCAAAAGTCATGAGGGTGAACTTGCTCAGGGCGTAGATGCCCTTTGTCGAAGCCGGACGATGGACATCCGTCTTGACTTTGGCCTTGCTGTTGACAGAGACGGTAGTTGGGCCTCCAATTGCGCCCGGCTCTCTCTTGACGACGGCCAGGTCGAATTTGGCCCCGATGTAACTGGAGCAGGTAGCGAAGACAACGCGCACATCTCGGTGGGCGGGCTGGACACGGAGCGCCGGGCTCAGAATGCTCAGGAGGTGGAAGTTGGCAAGGTAATTCACTTGCCACTCTTCGTCGATTCCATCGATAGTGTTCTTGCGCGCACCCCGGGGTACGGCAACACCGCCGCAGAGCACGACGGCGTCTAGACGTCGTGGAGGGTTGTTATCGATCCATTTGGTGGCAAAGGTTCGGATGGAGTGCAGCGAGGAAAGATCGACTTGTTCGGCGTAGATCAATTGACTCTTTGTCAGGCGGCGAAGATCTTCGATGTATTCGACGAGGAAAAGATCAGACGGAGGTTGTTTTGTAAGCAGGATCACTTGGGCGCCGCGAGCTGCCAGTTCGCGGACCACGCACGCTCCGATTCCAGATGTACCACCCTGAAGAACGCCGCGCGTTAGTTTGACATACGCTGGTGAGAATAAGTCGGCGAGAAAATGCGTGCAAAGTTCATACCGTAACCATCACCACTTTGGAGTGCATTAACCTCTCGGAGGTGTTGCGAGCGCCGCCAAAGTAATACTTGAGAGCGGCAAGCAGGAGGATCCATGGTGCGGTCTTGAGGACAGGCCAGAGGTATGGGATCGTCCCGAAGCCCTCCTGGAAGCCCTGCACAATGATGGGAATGGGCATTTTGAGAGATAGACACAAATTGGCCGTTAGATCATGACAAATGCAAGGACAAAGGTAACTTAATCCCGGTGGGAGCTGTTGTTCTGAGTCTGCCAGCCGAGTATCGTACGTGGCTCTTATCGCTCCTCTTATCGCTCCATGCCATCTTTCTTATCGATATGTTATCTTATCGCGTCGGTGCGGACTCTTATCGCCACCGATCCTCCGTTGATAACCTTTTTGGAGGCGGTTTATCGGTCTGACAATTGACCCTCTTTTGAACTCTACTATAGTCGCGCTCCTTCCAGGTTATCTGCCCGTAGGGCCGCAGTGGCTGATCCTCTTGCTTCAAATCTTCTCTCGCGACAGAATGTCCCTTGCACAAGGCCATGACGATGAGGACTACTACCTCCCACTACAAGACCAGCGGGTATTCGGCGCAGGTGTTCGTCGCAAACGAGTGCCCTTCGTTCGGTCGTCCGAGCACGAGCTCAGTACGATAAAATCGGGAGGACAGTCGTCGTCTACTCCCTTGGGACCTAGCATCGCAGACAAATATCTCTCAATCGTGCTGCAGACGCATCCCATCAAGACAACGACAACCTCTCCAACGGCCAAGGCCACCTCTGATCCGGTGCGCGCAGTACACGCCGCTCAGCCTAATCCAGACCCCACGGGCTCGTCTTCCACCGCCACCCTTCCTACACCTTCAACACTTCAGCCCTCGCCAGCTGAGTATTGCGAAATTTGCAATCTTCAGCTCTCTGTCGAAAGCCAGCCGGAGAATCGACGCAGCGCCACCACTCCCTCGTCCCGACCCCACGAAGCCTCTCTCGCCCACCAAGTTTGTCTCGAACACTCACATCCACCCTCGCATCTCGATCGCACCCGTGCAGGTCTGCGCTATCTCTCCAACTACGGCTGGGATCCAGATAGTCGGCTCGGACTGGGCGCAACAGGGCGAGAGGGCATTCGCGAACCCTTGAAGGGGCGGATCAAGACCGATACTTCGGGATTGGGCGCAGGACGAGATCCAGATGGGGACCTGGTTCCCACGCCACCTCCCCGACCAAAGAAAGTTGAGAAGCTGAATGCAAAGCAAGCTCGTAAGAGTGCATTGGAGGCTCAGAAGCGTGGAGACAAGTTGCGAAATATGTTTTTCCAGAGCGATCAAGTGCTGAAGTATCTGGGGGAGGATGTGTGATTCTCGGACACCCGGTCTTGCCGAGCTGAGGAGTCGACGACATTGTAATTCTGATCATAGCGTTTGTCTTTTTCTTTCTTTGAACTATAGATACCCAGTGATAGATGAAGCCGCAGCTCCAACGGCCGTGAAATTTCTTTTATATTTCCCCAACGGATACTACTTTTCGAAGGTATTCCCAATCGATGAAATAAGCCAACTCCCGTCAACACTGAGATGTGGGGACCATCTCAGGCGAGGTGACACGCAAACCTACCATTAGCCGCCGAGTCTCTGGAGCCCGACAGGCCTCACGATTGAAATCTTTGCAGGGTTCTGTTTCCTCTGACATATGAGTAGACGGTAACTCGATGCGTTGCCGGGTTTTACGTTCGAATATGGATGCATGATGCCTGGGCTATAAGGAAGATCCGATAATATCAACATCCTAATTTACTCTTCAGTAGATCTTATGGAGGTTTGACAAACGCAATCAACAGTGCGCCATATGCCCATTTCGCCTCATTCGGCCGATATCCACGCAAGGACCTTACTCAACGGGGAATCCATAGCCGACCATCAGCGCAGGTTCATCGATGTTGTGGTGTTGATAACTGTGTCTGTCCGTTAGAAAAAGCCCCTCCGACCTGTGACTTGCGAGTCTCTGTGATCACTTTACCTGAGAACACCGACCGCTCCAGGGTCCAGCATCAGAGAAAGAGGAAAGTCCATCGGATACCCAAGCCAGCGTTTGGTGAAAGCCCGCAGAAGGTGGCCATGAGCCACAAGAACCACATCACAGTGCTTCTCGCCGTGCATGTTGTTTCGGTGGATCTCACGGATCTCTGAAATGAGATCGTCGATGCGATCAGAGACCTCCTGGGCAGACCTGCATGGAGAAATGACAATCAGATATGTTCTCTTTTCGCCTGCGCTGCCAACCAGAATCGCATGCCATGAGACGATATCCCAGACGATGCTCCTTCATCAACCTGCCTAACACCACAGGTGCTTTCTGTTCCAAAGACGCAGGATGAACTGACGCCACAAGGAGAAAAAAAAAAAAAAAGGAGAACCTACTCTCCGCCCTCACAGCCATCGCGCCAAATATCCCACGGCTTCTCAGCATCCAATCCATGCTCCTTACGCAAGGCCCGAATCTCCTTCGTCAGCAGACCCTCATACTGACCATAGTCCCATTCCGCAAGTCGCTCAGTCTCGCTGATCTTCTTCGCATCTTTGAGCTTCTGCTGATCTCCTTCCGCGAAAGCGATCTGGAATGTCTGCATTGCGCGCTTGCGCGGACTGATGTAGACATGAGCAAGATGAGCTGGGTCGATCAGTTTGCCTGATCCGACAATCTGCTTGCCTGAAGCCCGGACTTGTTTCTGGCCATCTTCAGTCAGATCAAGCTCTGTCTTGCCGGTGTATTGGCCGCTCTTGGACCAGATTGTCTGTCCTGGTGTGATGTTAGAGAGCTGTGACTATTCGCGCGTCCATATATGGGGGAGTTTCGGAGTTCTGTATCGACTACGAGATCTTCGGCGTGCTCACCATGTCGGTAGATGAAGACGCGGGGTGTGCCGGCGTCCTTGTCGGGCATTTTGGTTATGAAGTCACTCCGCTATTGAGATTGTTGCGCGATCAGTGTTTGATTCCTGGATTCGCAATTGGTCCAGCAGTAGCTTACAACTAGGTGGTGTCAAGTGGAGATGGTAGGTATTGTGATTGTTCAGATAAAGTGCCCTGTGGTTTCCAGGTTCTCTCGTCAAAATAGGGAAACTGCCCCGCGGAGGTGCCAGTCTCACCGGAGACCCGCCATTACAGCGTCATGGAAAATTAAGCATTTCCGAATGGAAGCAAGCGGGTACAGAACTACTGCATTGATACCTTGTTGAGGAGATCAATTACCGCAAGAGAGGAGAATCGAGTTTGGCCATGAACCCATGAATGGCAGAAAACATAGGTGTGAGCCTCAAAAAACAGATTTAACATCCTTGATCTCACCCTAATACACGGGCATCCAATTGCGATGCATCGACAAGTCCTATCGTACAACTACGGAAATACCAGACGTTGATCATTGATAATGGCGAGAAATGGTTCTGGAATATACAAGAAAAATAAGTGGTATCGCCAAGAGACATGAACAAGGATTCCCCTAACCCCAAGTCCCACCACCGCCACCTCTGCCCTGCCGACGCTGCGCAGAAAGGCGCCAGTCGTCCTCGCCAGCAAACCGGTTATGAAGAGGTTGAATGCGCTCAGCCTTCTTTCGCTTGGACAGGCGATCCGTTGGCGCGACCTTGAAGAAGGTTGGCGCCGCCTCGACGAGCCATTTCGGCTCGATGGCAGTTGTGCAATGCATGTACTCCTTCGTCGTCAGCACTAACGTATGATAGATGACGTGCTCGGCGGGCTTGCCAAAGAGGGCCGAGCTGGGGTGCATATACACCGGCGTGCCCTCAACAAGCGTCTTGTATCCTTCCTGAGGATCTTTGCGGGCAGCGTTCCGGAAGAAGCCAGTGCAGAGTGCTTGACGCACAAGAGTCGTGTCGCGTCCACACGAAAGAATCTTGTGGCGATAGCGATTCATGATTCCGAGAAGCTGCTGACGAACATCTTGGGCACGGCGAATCTGGCGTGCCTGGATGAAATTCTCAAAGCACCAGGCGTTGTTGAATTTGGAATTTTTCCATCCATTATAGACGTTCAACAGAGTGAGATGATCGCCATGAGGGTCGTGGAATTTGGCCTTCTTCTGATCCGCTTGTTGTTGCTTCTCCTTAGGACGATAGAAGACACTCTGAATGGATAACATGGCCACAATGCTAAGAATCTCTTCGGAGCATCCCATATCAACAGATGCAATGAGCACCTTGGCAAGGGCAGGTTCCATAGGGAAATCTGCCATCTTGCGACCAAGACGAGTGAGTAACCCTTCATCGTCTAGGGCTGACAAGGCGTACAACTCCTCGAGCGCTGTCAACATGGTATTCGTCGGCGGAGGATCCATGAAATCAAAGTGCAGAAGATCGTTAATACCCATCGCTTTGAGCATGAGAATCGTGTGAGAGAGGTTTTGCCGTTGAATTTCAGGGATAGTCGTGGGAATCATTTCTGATTGATAGGCGGCTTCCGTATACAGACGGAAACATTTGCCCGGCCCTGTCCGACCGGCACGGCCTGCTCGTTGTTTTGCTTGTGCTTGTGAGATGGGCGTAACAACGAGCGAATCCATACCAAGCTTGGGATCGTAAGCATTCTGCTTTACGAAGCCAGGATCAATGACGTAGTAAATGTTGTCAATAGTGATAGACGTCTCGGCAATGTTAGTTGCAATAATGACCTTTCGGCCTCCAGGCGGAGCCGGCTCGAAGATTCGACTCTGCATTTCGCTAGGAAGTGCAGAGTAGACGGGGAGAATGATAAGCTCAGGCACCGACGGCCCGAGAGCCTTCATCCGCTCGTATAGGATTTCACACGCTGTGTCAATCTCTTCTTGGCCTGTCAAAAAGACCAAAATATCACCAGCGGCCTCTGTCAAGTGGATTTGCATAACGGTGATGAGAGCAGCATCCAGATAATCCGACTCGGGCTCCTTGGAGTACATGATTTCCACAGGAAACGTCCGGCCTGGAATGGAAAAAATGGGACATCCATTAAAATACTCAGAGAACTTCTCGGCATCAAGAGTTGCAGAGGTAACGATGAGTCGCAGATCTGGACGTCGCTTAATTGTTTTCTTGAGCAAGCCGAAGAGAATATCAGTGGCAATAGTTCGCTCGTGCGCTTCGTCAAGCATGATGACGGAGTACTTCTTGAGGTCTGGGTCCATGAGAATCTCTCTTTGGAGCATGCCATCAGTCATGTATTTGATTTTGGTCTCGGGGCTCGTGCAGTCCTCAAAGCGAATTGTATATCCCACCTCAGCGCCGAGTCTGCAGCCAACCTCCTCTGAAACACGCTTTGCTACGGACATGGCAGCCACACGACGCGGTTGAGTGCAGCCAATGATGCCATTGTTACCGTAGCCAGCTTCTGCCAAATATTGAGTCAACTGAGTGGTTTTTCCAGACCCGGTGTCTCCAACGACAATCATCAATTGGTTGTCCCTTACGGCGTCGAGAAGCTGCTTGCGGAACTTGAAAACGGGCAAGCTCTCCCGTTGTTGTTTGATTGGCATATCCGTTCGCTTGCCGAGGGATACATTCTTGCCCATCGTGACCCTCTTCCACTCTGGCACTGGCTCGTCTGGCTTTTGTTGCGTCGTACGAAGATCAGCAGCGAATTTACGATCTTCTGGGGCCACCATAGGGTCCTGCCACTGAGCGTTGAGATCGACTTGCGCAGCTCTCTCAGCTGCCTTATCCTGCGCTTCTGATTGTTTCAATTCGCGTCTTTCCTTCGCGAGGTTTGTACCAGACATGGCAGCACGATTCATGGAGCCATCGGGCGCTTTCACGACTCGAATGGGCGAAAGCTCGAGAGATTGTTTTGTTTGTCCGGCTAAGAAGGGCGGTTCCTCATCACGAACTTCAATGTCAACGTCTTCCTCCTCCTCGAAAGTGCCTTCGCCCTTTAGCGTAGCGTGATATTCTTCGTCAAGGTCAGGGTAATCTGCAGCAGAGGCAACACCAGACGCAATGAGCTGTCTAATCTCCCATCTCTCGGGAGAGGTCATCCGTTTCCGACTCCTTAGAGGTTGGCCATGAGATCCTTCAATAACCGGCACCTCTGAGCTCAAATTGCCGTATCTGTCGTGTTCGGAACGACCATCGAGTCGCTCCATGTTTGCGCCAGAAGCCAAGCGCTTCTGGGGCACAAGATCCATTCCCGAAACTTGATCAACTTCCTTCATCGAAAGTCCGATCCGACTCCCTTGAATGCTGACTACCTTGACTTTGACCGGCTGGCCACGGGAGACCAGGTCCGAAGGATGGTTTACCCGGGCTCCCTCTTGCATCGCAGACACGTGCACCAGACCGTCGACTTTACCCTGCACCCCGCGCAGATTGACGAAAGCACCGAAGTCTTTCAAGCCTGTCACCTGTCCATCATAAATTTTGTAGAGAATTGGAGAGTCGTCAAGTTCGACAGGAGGAGGTCGTCGGAAATCGTCATCGCCCATTCTGTCGCGATCGCGACGTTTCCGACGATCGCTAAGACCATTGCGATCTGCATCTCGATCCCCATATTTGCCAATAGATCTTCCAAATTCGTCAATGAATTCGTTATTCTGAGAACTTCGGTGAGGACTGCGTGACCTTGAGCGATACTTGTCTCTGTGGCGGCGTGATCGGTCATAGCCTTCATGCTCGGGGCTTCGGGATCTCTTCCTACTACCACGCTCATCTCTGGTCGAGCGCTGATCACCATTCTTTGCTTTCCCAGCTAGACCCTCGAGCATTGCGAATGTGTCATCCATCTCACCATCCGGCGCGTCGGTCCCGTTGTCCGCAGGTCGGTCGAGGTAGTCGTCTTCGTCCCAGTTGCGCTTGCCGTCTGGTACAGCGAGCCCTTTGAAAACACGCGATCTCTTTTCTAAAGCGTCCAGCTCATCCATGATGTCGTCGCCTCCAGCGCCCGAGTCGCCATTATCGTGCTTCTTTCCTTTGTAATTTGGATGCATCGTTAGCACCAATCGGTCGATGCTCTCCATTAAACTCGACGGGAATTCAGCACCCATTCCGTCGAGAATCTTTTTGAATTCTGGGAATGAGCCATTGCATTTGAGATGCTGGTCGATCACAAACTCCGCCAAGGTCTTGTCGTTGATCCCCAGATAGTTCTGAAGCTCCGTTGTCACTCGCGAGACGAGCGACAACAGCTCCAGCGACTCAAGATCATCCATATCAACGCGCCTAGCAGCCAGCGACAGACTAGAAGGGCGTATGTCGCCGGCAAAATGACTCGTAGCCCGGTAACTGCAGAAGAAGCTCTGTTGTATACTGGACGATAACTTTGCGATCCTCGGGGCCAGGTGAAGATGAGGCGGAAAATCAGTCTAGCCGGAGTTGCCACTGATAAGCGGAACGATAAGCAGAACGATAAGAGCCAAGTCAGAGATGGGCCAAATGTAAGGATGGTCTTATCAGTTGTGGTGAAACGGGCGTTGGACGACCAAATTGATTCCAATTTTCACAGCACGCTCGATGTGCCTTGAGAGCGTGCATTATTTCAAACACAATGCGATTTGTTTACGACCATTTGCATCTCACGTTTGGTCGGTGCTCGTCCGTCGTTACGGAGGCGGGGACGCCCGACTCTAGAACGGCGAACGGTTAGCGATGTGGTAGTTTTGCGAAATACGTAGAAAGTGCAGGTGGAGGTCCCGTAGAAGAAAATCCGTGTTGTGCAAGGCATCGGACTTGTTGAGCTTTGAAGTGAGAGCGGGCGGATGTCATATATTGTAATGTACACGTATTATACACTTGATATCTACATATTAGTACATGTCACTTGAGAACTCATTTTGTTGATGTCAAGCAGATGACGACACTACTTGGCGCTCGCTAGAGAGGTCTCCTTCAACTTCCTTCACGCTTTCAGCAGTGTCAATGAGATCGTCCTCAGGGAGATCATCATTGAAACTTTCATTCTGACTTTCTTCGAGAGGGCTCTCATCATAGTCATCACCTCGCGACGACGAGGGCTCGCTTTCTGGGGACTCGTCTTTTGATAAGTCTACCTGTTCCAGAGCCTCGCCCTCGCCGTTCGGAGAAACCAAATCTGCATCGGAGATGATGCGCATCTGGTCAAGTTTCTGCTTCTGCATCGCAATCTGGCGTCTAAGGGAGGCATTTTTTCGCAACTTCTTGTTGGCCGAGAACTCGGTCAGTGCTCTGATCATCCGCTCTTCAACGAGCTCTTTCACATGAGCCGCCAGAGTCCTGTCAGTGAATATGCCTCCAAAACGGAAACTCAGCCACGAGTACAAAATGATTGATCTGTGGAGACTCTCAAGTGCATGCATGTACTCCTTGTTCCCGGAAACCCCTTGCTCGAGAATCTCAAGATCGAGGCCTGGAATTTCCAGCAGTCGCCCGCGCGTGTTCTCGGCGACACAGTCAGCAAAGGCGCCGCAAACCATTCGAGAGGTCTGCTCCTTGGTCTCCATGGGCGCAGCCATGAGGGTAAGCTGATCTTGAATCTGCAACCCCTCGACAGTGTCGATAATCTCTGCATTTTGCAATTGGCTCTCGGTCTCACACATGAAGAACAACGGATTGACTTGCGCAAGCTCCATCAGTCGCTTAATCAAATATTCGAATGAAACGCTCCTCGGGAAATACGATGAAAACTTTTGAAACGCATCATCAGGTGGCCAGATTCCTGCAGCCCGGAGAGGCGGCGGTTCCGTGTTCATGGCCTGTTGAATGTACGGCAGATCGACCTCTTCAATGCAGGTGACAAGGCCGATGTTCGGCTCGGAAGAGTTCTCGGTGCCATTATGGGCAGTAGCTGGACGATACCGTCCGGCCCGTCCGCCTATTTGCTTGATCTCAGGTACCGTTAACCGTTGCAAGCCACTTGGTGTTCGTTTGATGAGGGTCTCAAATATAACACGCTTGCAGCTCCTTTGAATTGGAACATCAAGTCAGTACGAAAACTTGGTGGAGAACAGGCAATCACGAGAATAACTCACAGGTTCAGACCCATACCAATGGCGTCGCTAGCCACAAGAAAGTCGTAGTCGTTATCTGGATCATTGAAGAGACTTGCTTGCTGCGTCCGGATTTCAGCAGGAAGACCTCCATAGACAATAGCAACGCGACGGCCAGTCAGCTTCTCGATGTCTGCCTTGAGCGCATGAATGCCGACCCTTGAGAAGGAGACAATACAGTCGCCTTTTTCAAGTTTATTCAGATTGCCTCTCAGGCTTTGTGACATCACCTGAAGAGGATTGAGCCGCTCATAGCGATGGATCTCCAGAGTATCGCCAGTAAGAGCGCATAGTTCCCTAATCAGAGGGACAGCACGGGTCTCACCGCAAAGATGCAATTCTTTCACTTGCGCGCCTAAAAGCGCCCGAGTCCACGCCCAGCCACGTTTGGGATTGGCGATCATTTGAATCTCATCAATAACTCCAACATCAAACTCCCGACCCAGGCCAACCATCTCCACCGTATTGCTGATCACGCGAGGTGTTTCTCCTTTCTCGGGAAGTTTCACATCGTCTCCCGTCACCAAGCTCACAGGGACACCCTTGTCTTTGAAGCGATGGTATACCTCCTGAGCCAGCAAACGCAATGGCCCAGCATAGAACCCCGATTTGCATCCTTCCAGACGTTTGAGAGCATGGTATGTCTTCCCTGAGTTCGTTGGACCAACATGCAGATGTATCGTTCGTTGGATTGAGCGTGCGCGTGGATACCACTCCGCCGGATAGCGACAGTCGGCTACTTCTCGCTGTCCCTCCAAGTTCGGCAAGGAGTACAAAGCCGTCAAGCTATCCGCATAGAGTATGTACTCCAGCTCCTCTCGAAGACCATGCTCGCCAGATCTCAGGTACGCCTTCTGTAGGGCCACTTTCGTCCGCCGGTATGGATTTGCAGAGTCTAGTTTGTCGGAAATTTTGCCCTCCTCCACGCGGCATGCATTTTGTATTTGACGCTCAAATTTATCCCAGGAGTCAGGTGTTTGACCCGTATTTCTCATCCGGTGTTTGATATCCCGTAAGGCTGCCTCGACCACCCGGCTGAAGTCCCGCGTTGCTGCAATATCCTGTCGCGCAGACTGTTTCGCCGCAGCGGACTTTTTTTCAAGGATTTGTCGAGTGCATCATGACTGCTGACCTCGTTCGGCTTGGACTTGGATTTCGCAGTGCGCGAAGTGCGCTTCGACCGCTGGAGCGCGAAAGAGGCAGAGAAGCATCGGATAGGTGGGTGTGCTAGGCTTTTGGAAGCGCGGAAGAGCAGCTGGCTGCCTCTACCAGTCATGGATCCAGCCCATGACTGCATTGATGCACCTCGGGAGCCTGTGCAAGAAGCGGAAGGCGGGCAAAGCAAGATCAATGTCCCCGTATTCGAATCCGTTGGCGGCGTCAACGAGGGCAGGGCAGATTGCGCATTCGCAGCAGAGAAATCGTCTTGAAGCCCGGCAGAAAGATAAGAAAGCGGAATGGAATGATATGCGTGAGGTGCCCACTCGAGAGAACTCGACGTGCGGCCATGCGCTACGCAGATCGAAATCACAAGCGCGGCTGCTTATCGGGATAAGATCCCTGGCGCGCCACCCGGAGATCCACTTCTTCCTTGTCGATTGTCGAAGCTTCTCCCCATAGTGGGGAAACCCTCTCCTACCAATTTCCGACCAGTATACCGTCATCCCTGAGCGACCCCGAGACACTGTCGCAAGCAGCTGTCCAACAGCACAACCCTTACCGTCTGGTGTTCTGGGAGCATAGACTGCTTCTCCTTGCAAATTTGAAAACCCCGAGGCGGCGTTTCTTGCGGCCCTGTTCTTGAGGGTTGTGCACCAGCATGGGGTCCTCCATCGTCGACATCCAGCGTGACAGTATGTGGCTTTCTGGAAGTGAGAGAATTGTGCGATCATCGTAACTGACCTTGCATTGTTATCTTGTAGTCATTCTAAACACAATTCGCAATGTGGTCGGCAATGACGTGAGTCGCAGTCACACCAGTCCCTCTTTGACACGCCATTGACCGCCAAATTCGTTCAGTGGAAAGTTCTCGTGGCCGATGAGGCCAGCCGAAAGCTCATCAATAGTGCTGTGAAGGACGAGGAAATTCTGAATCTGAATGTCTCGAGTGAGATTTCATCCCAAATGGTCGATGGCTCGGTCACACGGCTAAAGGATGCCAACCTGCAGATATTGAACAAATCGAGAATCGCCGACCACCCAATCCGGACATGAATGCGCTCTATATTATATCACCGCAGTCGTGGATTGTCGACTGCTTGATGGCCGACTTTGAGGTCGGACGCTATAAGAAGGCCTACTTGGTCTGGACGTCATGTAAGCACATACGTGGTTCGCATACCCAGGCGCTTCCGAAACTAACAAGAACCTAGTCCTTGATCCCCAGCAACGCCAGCGTCTTGATCGATCAGAAATGGCGCGACGCTACATAGCTGACTATCGCATCCTGAACATCGATTTTTACCCACGCGAATCACATTTGATCACGTTTCGCGACCCTTGGAGCTTCCCGGTTCTCTACCACCCCGCCTGCAACGGTCTTGTTCGTAAACATCTTGAAGACTTGGCTCAAAAGGTATGGTGATCGTTGTCAAGGTGCTGCTTGGTTTTTCCAGTGAGACTGAAATCGGGATCATTGTAGATCGTTTCTGTGTGTGCGACTCTTGGCGAGTACCCTGTGATCAGATATTACCGGCCTCGCGCCCCGACGCATGAAGCTGCGGTTCTATGCTCCCATCTAGCTCGATTCATTCAAACTGAATTGGACCAATTTGCACAATTCCAGCGTGACTTCCCCCTCAGACAAATCGCCCACGGGGTGTGTTGCTCGTCGTTGATCGGTCGATGGACGTCTTCGCACCTCTTCTGCATGAATTCACATACGGTGCAATGGTTTTTGACCTCCTGCCTGTCAATGACGGTGAGAAGCTTACCTACAAAACGCTACTAAATCAGGGGAAGCCCAACGAAGAGGTGAAGGAAATGGTGATCGGGGAGCACGATAAGGTGTGGGTGGACTATCGTCACATGCACATGAAAGACGTGCTCGAAAAACTCGGCGATGATTTTGCGAAATTTCGAGCCGCGAATCCCCAATTCGCAGAAGAGTGAGTCAGCAGCCAGCAGATTAACGATTAGAGTCAACGGATTTGCTGAATTTTCCTCTAGCAACGAAAAAATCAGCGTGAACACTCTCCGAGACATGCTGGTTGGTCTGAACGAGTTTACTGAGGGTAAAGATGCATATACACTTCATCTGAATATGGCTGAAGAGTGCATGAAGTTCTTCCAGGATCACAAGCTCATTGAGGTCAGCTCGATTGAACAGTCCTTTGCGACTGGCCTGGATGAAAATTTCAAAAAGGCGAAGAATCTGGCCGCGCAACTCGTCCAGTTACTTGATGATGAGGCTGTCATCCACTCGGATCGACTGCGACTGATTCTCCTATACATCATGTACCGCGGTGGGCTACTTGGGGGCGACATTCGCAAACTGATGGCTCATGCGCAACTGCCGGGGCAAAACGGCCAAGTAATTGCTAACCTGGATTTGCTGGGGATTCGTGTGGAAAAGCCACTGAAAGACGAAAAGCCGCCCGTTCCGCCGCTGTTCAACCGCAAGCCTCCTCCTCCAAATCCGGAGGAGCTCAGCCTTGCGCGCTATGAGTTGAATGTAAAACAATTGCTCGAGGAACAGATCAAGGGTACACTGGACCCTAATGTCTTTCCTTTCACGCGACCCCACACAGAGAATGATGGGGGGACTGCGACTCAGGAGATGCTGTCCCAGCAGGCTTCGTTACGAAGTGCCAAGCCTACATGGGCACGCACTCGAGCTGTTGATCAGCCACGCCAGCGCATAATCGTTTTCATGGCTGGGGGCGCCACTCATTCAGAGGCACGCGCGTGTTACGAGGTTTCGCAAGCTCATAATAGGGATGTGTACCTGGTGAGCAGCCACATGCTTACACCAGCGCTCTTTCTGCGCCAGCTTGGTGATCTCAGCGTCGACAAGCGTCGACTGGATCTTCCCGCTGATCGACCCAAGCCAATCGCACCAGCCCATTTGTTCGAGAAAAGTGCGCCTCCCCCCGTTGCTCCCCAGCCTCAGAAGAAGGCTGTCCCACCACCTCATCTAAACCCACCTGTGGCACCCGGGGACATGATGGCCAATCTTTCTCTCAATAACGGAGCGACCGCACCGCCGACAGGCGATTCACACAAGAAAGACAAGGACAAGAAAGGAAAGGACAAGCATGACAAAGACAAGAAAGATAAGGAAAGGAAATTTCGATTCTTCAAGTAGTTGGCAGCTTCATCTCCATCTTCTTACAAGACGTTCGATTCCATCTCTGTTTCTCTTACCTGGCTTCCAGCGATACTGTCATATGATACCACCTCTACTGTGCGTGTTTAGTCCGATTCAAACCATAGTAGTAAGCGGTTAGAGACCTTTGACGAAGTACATGCGTACTGTAACTGCGTGCAGATGAAGGCCTTGCGTTACTATTCCTTCGCGTTTCGAGTCGCACCATGTCCATACGCCCGAACAGGTGAACCTAGATGTGCAGTACTAACGTAGTTGTAAAGTCCGAAATAACAAGATACGAGTCCGGCTTCTGCTTATAGAGTGTTTCTAGAAACGAAAGACCTGGCAAGGCGGCCTTCTCGATAATCTTCATTGCCTAAGGCACATATTATGCTGATAGCGATAAGGAGACCGGGCGCCCCAGCCACAGCCAATCAGCACACGTGAAAGTTTGAATCCATCGGAAACGTTGGCGATGAGAGAGAAAAAAATCCCAGTAATAGACACTTGCAGAACGCAACATTGCCAGACAAGATGTCCCATCACGCCGAGCATCTCTCTAGGGCGAAGCGGAGAAAGTTGGATGAAGGGAGCTCCAACGACACAGTGAATTTTACATCGCCGGCTCAGCTCCGCGAGTTACTAGCTTTTCAACAGAATGCCCCAGTTGCCAAGCAAGGTGAGTATTGATTTGAAGAAGTTGCAAAAGCTTTATTGAACGTTTCTGACTGTTCTGAAAGGCCTTCAAAAGTTCAAGGAGTTTTTGATCTCCATTGGCCAGGCAGAAAAGGAGAGTGAAAAGACCCAAAGGCTCCATGTCTTGAAAGGCTATTGTGACAAGCAAATCACCCCTAGCAAAGAGGAAGAAAACTCCATTTGTTTCCCGGACATTATTCAGACATGGAGTTTTGCTGACAACAATAATAATGAACCTCTCTTGACCACTATTCCTTCAGTCCTGGCTCTTTTCCTGAAGACCATTTCTCGCCAGCTGGAGTTCCGGGATTTCGGGGTCGCCTTGTGCAAGCACCTACTGCAGAAGGATCAGCTCAGACTCTTCAACCGCGGTCTAACAGCCACAAAGACCAAGGAACACTTGATTTCGCCATGTCTGCGTCTACTCACTGAGATTGTGACATACGATGGTGGTGCTGTCGCGCGAAAGCTCTACCTGAGCCGTTACATCACCTTCAAGCGGCTTGATGTCTTCTTGACGCCAAACAAGTTGCAGCTCGAGGCCACGGAGAATGACGCGTTGAAATCTACCTTGCGACGGAACGCCGTCAAGTACCTTCTTGCCAACATCCGGGTTCAGCAGACCTTGGAGAAAAGTGACATTATAGAGCAGCCAAAGCTCTCTCGTGGCCTCCTGGAGCACCTCCGGAAGGACTCGCGGGCGGATGTTGTGGAACTTATCAAAGCCCTCGAGAGAGACATCGTTCAGGATGAATCACTATCACGCAGGTCCAAGAGCAAATTCTTCAACAAATGGAATCTTGAAAAGCTGGTGACCCTTTACGGGTACGATCAAAACTCGGATGAACCCAATCCAGACGGGATCATCATTGCCAACGAGATCCACCGAGTTTTAATGAACATTTGCAACACATCTGGTTCAGGCGTCTTGCTGCCGGAGACGGGCTGGTACCCGGTTGGAACGGATCCTGAACTTTTACCCGTTGTGGACGACGAGTGCATCGAACTTGGTCTGGACTCTCCGGCTCACGTGGAAAAGTACAGAGACTGCGTTCCTGTTCGAAATAACTCGTTATCTCACTTGATTCAGTGTCTTCGTCCCGATGCAGACAGTCTACAAATTGAGTTGCTGGTCACCATTTTCAAGGCTGCCCCAGAGTTGATAGCCGATTTCTTCTCCAAAAAGACAATGTTCACGGCGGACCCTAAAGTTACTCCCTCGTGGATGGCCGAGTCCGCATTCTTGTTTTCCACAGTGCAGCTACCAGTTCCCTCCAACTGTGGCTGGAAGGACAAACTGCCTGCTTTGCCGCCTCCTGTCTCAGTGGTCATCGAGAATGTCCTCCCACGTCCGCTTAGCCAGAAAACGATGACGCGGTCCCTGAACCAGAATGCCGAGATCATCACATTGTTTGCTGTTCGCATCCTTACTCTCGCCTTCAAGAAGTTGCGTTCGGTCTTGAAGATATTTCGAACAGACCACGGCCAGGGTCAGCTGTTTTGGAATCAAGCTTCTTCAAAATTGCTAGCTGAGTTCTCCCGCCGAGTTCCAGCTGTCAAGGATGCAGTGACACTCTTTCGCCGTACTTCCAAGGAAGATCTGCAACAGCAGGAGGCTGTTGCAGAATTGTTGGCATGCTATTATGAGGTCATGCCAGACATCGCTTTGGAAGAGAACTTCGATGTTTCCTTAGTACTTGTCGATGTGTTGAAGCGTCTCGAGGAGCCGGACTTGAAAGATGATGACTCTGAGATGCTTCTCAGTCAACTGCAAAGCGTTATACAAATTGCCCAACAGTCAGCATCTATGCGTTGGTGGCAGAAGCCAGGTAGGTGCTCTTCCTAACATTGACGTAGTTGACATCGATCTGACTTTTTTTTTAGCATCTATGCAATATTCCCCATTCACTTCCATTCTCAGAGTTCTCACAACGACATCTGATAAGGCTTTCGCCCGTCGCATCTCGACTTTGCTCCGGTCAATTCTTGCCGAAAATTCTGTTCTTCAGAACTCACCACAGTCATTCAATGCCTTGCTTTCCAGTCTGGAAGACTCAGAAGCAGAGGCTCTTGACCATCAATTGACCTTCATCGACAACTGTGTCACCCGAGTTGCAAAGAAGCCTGTCCACTATCTTGATCTGATTGGAACTGGCTCGTCAAATGAGCTCATGACCAGTCCACTAGTCGCTGCTGTCGTTGAGCAATGGCCTTTCGTAGTGAAAGCCAAGGATGAGGCCGCCGAGGAAGCTCTTGCTGCATGGATCGCGAAGATTCTCGCCCATCTAAATCAAGCTGGAGAAAACGCAGCAGCACTGAAAGCTGCTCGCGATGCGCTTGTGGATGCTACCGAGGCGAAGAAGAGCCGCTCTGTGATCAAAAAGAGCTTGAGGGGCTTGGATGAAAGCAACAGCGGTGATTCCATGGATATCGACTCTGGTCTATCGGCCATTCCTGCTGCAGCTGAAGAAGCCTTGGACGTTGACTTGGAGGAAATTTTCGGCCCCCTGCCTAGCGAGGGAACCACGCATAATGCCTTGCATCGTTGGGAAAGAGAGGATATTGAGCAGGCGGTCGAGCAGGGCCGTATTGCAGAACTCGTATTGTGTCTCTGTTCGAAACATGAGGAGGTTCGGAGGCAGGCGTTCGCCAAAATCGCTCGTTTCATGGCGCAGCTCAAAGTAAGTTAGATGCGGCCCAGCTCGGCTCTGACAGTTGCTGATGAATTTTCACAGGAATCAACTTACGTGGAGTGGCGCACCGTGTACACATTGGCGGGTGAGCTTCTGGAAACCGTCAATCAGATTGGGTTGGAGGAGCCTGTCCCTTGGATTGTCGGTGAATGTGCTGCCAATTGCTTGCGTATCCTGATCAGCCCATTGCACAAAGTCTACGGCAAGGTCAACAAATTCCTGCAAAAGGCTCCCGTTTGGGAAGTGGAAAAACTCCCATCATATTGGATTGACAAAATTCTCCTGAATGAGCCTGAGTTGGACGATGGCCACCTTGATGAGATTGACTGGCTACTCGGAATGTTTGTGAAGGGTCTGCGGAGCCAAGCTGTAAGTCTATCACGTGAAACACTCTTTTTCCAAGTAGCTAATAGGCTTTGCAGGACATGGAGATCTATCGCCGAGCCAATGTTTTCGAACGTATCCTCTCGCTCTACCAATTGCCAACTTTGAACGATACTGCGCGGCGCAAGATTCTACACATTATTTACCGCGCGGCTCAAGTAGGTGGAAGTACTACGCTCATCACTCGTGCCGGAGTCCTCAGTTGGATTCAAATTCAAGTGGCAGAAGCCGAAGTAAAGGAAGCTGCTCTTTTGGGGGCTTTGGCACGAACTCTTCATGAGACCTGCAACCGCGAGCGGGTCGACACATGGAGTGGAGGAACTGTCGAGCACGCTCTTGAAGAAATCGCCCATGCCAGAGCCTGAGGCCTAAGTGTACAATTCCCATGTTCCTTCTTCCGTCATTCTTGTGTGTTACGTCCGCGATCTTTAGTGTCTTCTACATGGGCAGCCGAGATGGAGGCTCTTGCCTATTCGGGTCATTACCCAAACGGCTTCTTACTTTCCCTTTCCGGGTAAAATTCTCATCAATGACGGTTCATATCGCTCAATGATGACGAGCATACCCTCGAGTCCATATAATCCCACTGATTCTCTTATCTCTCTTCATCTTCTTCTACCTCTTACAACGTCTCTCATCCATCCTCTTCTTGGTATCATCCTTTTTCATCACTACAATTTCGTGGAGTTAAACATGTCTCATCCTGTTAAGATTTCCAGCGTTAACGCTGCTCCAGGTGGCGAAAGCTACATCAGCGAGGAAATCCTTGCCCGCCTTGGACGAGCTGATTTCCTGAAACTGCTGCCGAATGGGGACATCAAGATTGCGTTCCAAGTCACCAGACGCATGTTGTGCCATTATGGCGGCGTCTTGCCATTGTTCAATCGTGGCTTCTCGAACGGTGTTTTCAGCGATGGATCGGCCGAGGAGATCCCTCTGGCACGAGTCAGTGCCAAAGCGCTCGAGTTCGTCGGTTTCACCCCCGAAACGGCAGCAACCATCTGGGCCGAGTACAGTAAGCAGCAGTCCGTTCGAGATTCCGCCAGCTCTCCGCATCCTTACTCACCCATGTCGCTGCTGCATCACATTGTTGGACATCTCCATCTTCTTCAGGGCATGTTCGACGCCGGCATCTCGCAGGAATTAGCCCTCCAAAGCGTTGGTCTACCACCAGCCTTCCTAAACGACCTGCGCACCTACTATGGAGATGGTGCTGGATTTCGCTCGAATGTTGTGTACGAGCTGGTGATGAAGTCCATCACCGGCAAGTATACTCAGCTTATCAGATGGCACTGTACCGTTCGTCGGATTGGCCAAGAGCGAATTTCAAAGGTCAAGAAGCAGCTGCCCGTGTCTGTATCCTGTCCTCTTCACTCCTATGTCCCACTCAATCTTGGTGGTGGTGCTCCTGCTAATGTTCCTGTCCCTGTTGATGTTCCAGTCAAGGTTCCGGATCCTATCCCTGTCAAGGTTCCCCCAAAAGTGTCCATTTCACGTTCCACTACTAGTGGTGTCTCTTCTACTGTCAAGTCTTCGTCTGTCTTTAAGCCGCTGTTGGTCAACTGATGTCACTTCAAGAGGCATTTGCTAGATTGAATCGAACGTGCTCATTATGCTTTCTACTTCACTCTTAATCACTGCCCTCCAAGTGCACAATGGTCAGGAATGGCCCTGCATAGATCGTTCCAGGCGCTCTTTCCTTTAGAGGACCTTATATTCATCTTAGCAATAGAAGTTACTTTCCGGGTCTTCGATCAGCCACAGAAAAATCCCGGTGGGAGAGGGGATCCAAAAAGTAAATACAAGTCGTGCTACCAGCACTGTGTTTGGGATGCTATACCTTAATACCTTAATACACGCATATTGGCTACGGCTTGTAGGAGTGACGGTAATACTCCAATCTACTTCTAGTCCATCTGTGATGATACACTCGGAGTCACGGGTGACACTGCAGCAGCACACGCTTATACTCACCAGCGGGCCTTTCCGTGACTGCTAACATACGTAGCCTGCTCAGGACTCTTTGCTCTCGTTCTCCAGCTGACCCATGCACCGTCAAAACCTCCATGACTCCTGCCTTTTAAAATAGGATTCAATCACTTGTGTTCGGGCCTTGTCGTCTATTGAGCTCCTCTCCTGGGCCCGGGCTACTGTTCAGTCACTTCGGTGTCCACAATCCATACTCCATCCACCCCCTCCATCCTCACCGACCCCGACTCCGCCTTGAGCCTCGCCACAAAGTGGCTTACTGCCTGCGCGCTTCACTCAACCTCAATTTCAGAATCACTTCTCAAACTTTCTTCATTTCACATTGCCTAAGCTTTTCATTGTCCTCATTCTCCATAACAGAATCTCACCTCCTTGCCAACTGCCTTGACCTCCTCGTCTCACCCTTTTGCTCGTTGCGCCATCATCACTATTCAATGAGAGCACACTGACCTACTGTGGACCTCGACCGCACAAAGCTCACAGCTACTGCTTACCCACCCTCAGCTCACCTCCAGATCTGGCCGTAATGGCGCGACGGTACGAGGTCGAAGAGCTCCTCTGGCTACGGTCATCGCCGCTCGTCGCCAAACCTCCTGGTCTGCCGCCAATTGAGGAATGGATGTGAGTTAATCTGCCCTCGCGGCTTTGGTTACTCCGCATCCCCAGGGCACAAGACTGACCCCTCTGCCTACCCCCTATTCTCTACAGGCCACAACCAGATACCACTACTCAGACTAAGCAGCGGACGCCTCGTGAGACAAACAGCTCAGGCGAGGCGACTACAAATCGCAGGCCCAGCTTCTTCGAAGCTCGACACATGGCTCGCGGGTCCAACTCGGGTAGGCCACTCTGCAGGTTCATCTGCAACATATTGATTGATTTTCACCATGACTGTACTCTTGCTAAAATAACTATGACGTACTGCAGAAGATATCATCCTTGGCCCTCCGAAAACTGCGTTTGCGTCATCACGAATTGGCGGCATCGGCAAAGGATCATTCGACTTGGCTGACCGTCCAGCACGCACCGGCGACACAGATGACAAGAGCGAGCGATTCAATTTTCGCGATAAGTTTGTGAAAGACAAGGACGGGTCTGAGCGAGACCAGGACCGCCGCGATGGCAAGTCTGCTGCCCTTGGAGGACGACGCGGGGAAAGAGAGGACTGGAATGCTAGCCGCCCTCGTCGTGGTCTCGTGCCTGAGGAGCAAGATCGCAAGCCCCGCCGCAACGGGGAATTTGACCGTTGGGAGAACAGGGAGAATGTCCGCGATCTCCCCAACGAACGAGGAGTCCGAGACCGAGACGGCCGTCCTGTGGTCAAGAAAGATGGGCAACCCACCAAGGCCAAGCTAGAGGGGAGCTGGTTCCGGGACGAAGCCGCTCACGATGCTGGTGATGTCGAAGAAGATAAACAGCAGCATCGCGCTCGAGAGTGGCGCCGTGACCGACACGGCGCTGATCGCGACTGGACCCGTGGGGCGAAGCTGGAGCAGGAGCCTGAGTGGCTCGATAGCAATGAACGTGACGAGCCACGACGTGCTCACACCCAGGAAGACTTCGAGCGCTGGAAGGAACGAATGAAGGCTGGATCTGGTGCTGGTCAGCAGGTCCCATCCCAGGAAGAGAAAAAGGAGCTCTCGGCGGAGTCGCCTGTTGCCGCTCATCGGCCAGAGTCTCGCCCAACTGATGGAGAGATCTTCAGCCAGCCCAGTGCCCATCTTCCAACAGATGCGTCTATGGAGCGATTCTTCGGCATGCTTGGGGAACCGAAGCCCCACGTACCAGACGTTGCATCGCCAGCCCCGCTGGAACAAACTCCCAAGAAAGAACCTCTCCCCGCAAATGCCACTATGAAGTCTGGAAAATCATCTCGTTTCGCTGGCCTCTTTAGTCCTCCTCCAGAGAGTCCCTCAAAGGAGTCTGTTCCACAAGGGCCCTCTTTAGCAAATTTGTTTGAAGCCGGCAGTCCAGCAAATGCCCAAGACGCAGATCAGGAGGGATTCCAACGGATCCTGAAGATGCTGGGAGGGGGAAACAATCGATCCAGCAACGGCACTCCTCACGAGGATGAATTGCGCCAGCCGTCTCGTCAGCCTTCAATGACACATCCCGAGCCGCAATTCCGGCCACCCACGAATGTCTCCTCCCCACGAGATCCTCTTCCGCAGCCTGAATACATGAGCCCTCTTGAAATGCCTCAAAGCCAGGCTCTTGGGAAAGAACCTCAGGCTCGCGAGCGAGAGCATTTGCTGCGCCTCATGCAGCAAGTCCGTGTCGGACCTCCCTCGGGTCACCCATCCCAACACTCATCACCAAGCTCTAGCGTGGCTCCTCCTCCGGGATTGATTCCTGAAATGATGTCCCGACCTCCTCCTGGGCTGGGTGCTCAAAAGGGACCTCATTTCCTTGACGACCCCCCCATTGCCAACATGCATCGACCTGACAATGAGCAACTGCGTCGGCGGGTGCCCAATGGACCAACCCCAATGGGCTACTTTGATGAGGCGCCTTTTGTTCACCAGGCTGGTCAGGGATCAATCACACCTGGTGGCACACGACTTCCCCAAGGCTTGAGTCAGCCTCTATTGCCGCTCCAGCGGCCACCGGGCCTGGAACACATGCCGCCCCCTGGCTGGACTGGTCGCCATGTCCCTCAAGGTAACGGACCGAGTCCAATGGGTGCTCCCCCGGGCATCCCTGCGCCTAACCGCGGTTTCCCACCGGGCATGGTACCGATGCCTCCTCTTCGTGGGCCACCACCGGGCATGATGCCACCCCCCGGATACATGGGCGGCCCTCCGCCTCCGGGGTTCCCAAACTTGCCTCCTAATCCCGATGTGATGATGGGTGCCGCCCCTGGAGGACAGGGCCCCTTTGGTCCAGGACCGCAAGGCCCGCCTCCCTCATCTCGGCACCTGCTGGAAATGTTTGGTCAGCCTAATGGAGGTGATGGGCGGGGAGGAATGATGGGCCCTGAGCCTTTCAGATAAGGTGGACAAGGCAAAAGATTTATGCCATTCATGCAATTTTTCTTTTCTCTTTATCCAGCCAATATCACGAATTGTGCCGAATGCAGCAGTGGGCTGCTTCGGGAATCAGAAAGCCTTTCTGTCGAATGATGCCGGTGTGCTCTCGTCTAGTGAACACGCCCCCTGGATTTCATTGAGACAATCATACCATGATCCTCCTTTGTTGTTTCTGAACTCCGTATGCTGATACCATGTGTCGCCATTCTGTTGCCTACTTTGTTGACCCTGTTCTTGTGATGCGCCATCGCCTTCCAAGCTGGCAAATGTGGAGCCATCTTGCTGCATTTGGCTCTTATGTATGAAATTACCCTTTCCCTTGCATTGGTGTCGATATTGTCGTAAAGAAAAAACGTCTGTCCTGGCCCATGTTTTAGCTAAGACAACAAGCACCTCATGGGGTTGATGATGGCCAACTTGTGCACTGTGACAAAATTGATACCTTCTACAGCGTTCCCGTAAAAGTTGGTAAGATAATCAGCTCTGTAAGCGAAGATAATTTGAAGTCTATGCGTAGGCCAGCCCGGTCCTGTTTCGACAGCGATCTCATCCATCCCGTCTCCACCGGTCCAGACAGCTACAATCGAGGCAACAAGGTGTCAAAACAGGTAGGAGGTGCTAGCGACTTGTTGAAGTCACCACGACAATTCTGGATATTTATTTCCATATGGTTTCATCAGACCCTCAGACACGCACGTCGACGTTAAGGTTTTCACAACTGTATATATCCGTCGAATCTTGGTTTACCGGACCCCCTTGTTCCTGACTATGTCCCCATGCGACAGTAGATATCCATTCCATGTGAAAATACTCACTGAGTAGGTAGTATTGTGTGGTGATGGTCAAATTCGAACACTGGGCCTTGTGTTTGTCTTCCAACGGAACCTGCATGCTGTAGCTTTTGCTTTGCCCAATTTGACAATCTTTCTATCCACGCCATGATGCTCTCATGCTCTAAAAAACCATCTAAATTGTGCGAGTCGAGTACGACGAAGTACTATCAGACCCTAGGTAGTGAGGAGATTCTAAGACTCTGTTATTGATTATCACCTTAGTTGAGCGGTGAAACCTTCTGATATTTGAATAATTTAAAGCTCCTACCTGATGAACTTGAAAGCTGTCCCTCAACTACACCGATTCCCTCAACCTTGACCTCAAGTCAATCTTCAAGGTTTCTACTGAGCTGAATGAAACTCTCTTCCAAACCCCTCTAAAGATTCAGTTCCTCGCAGACCTCACTTTGTCTTTGCGCCTGGATACCACCTCACGACCTAAGAGTGTGCAGTGAAACGAAGGACAAGGCCGCTCACTGCTTTTCTGTGCTCTGGTTCAGACCTGATACGTTTGTATAAACTGATATTCTCAAGTCCAACATTAGGAGGTAAGCTGCAAGTTGTAAGCGTATCTCTGTCAGTGAACTACGTATTGTCAATGCTTGTCAGTACTCCTGTTACGAAGAATAAGTCTCAGCAGAAAGATGAAACTACAAATTGAAGTCACGTTGTGCATCACGATAGAGAGATCGTCTCCTATCTTGTAAACACATCACAAGATATCAGACCGCCCATTGAATGGTGTTTGGTGTCTAGTTTACCTTACTTATCGCATTTGCTATCGTGACTCTGGGACGCGTTTCGTCTGAACACAAGGATTCGATGCTATCCTTTCACTCTATCATCTCCTTCATATCCATCTGTTCCTTACCGTTGCAGGCTCATAATACTCAACCGGCAACTTCATCATGGATTCATATCAATCTGCACACGCTTCTGGACCAACCGGGAATGGTCACCCATCCCGTTCTGAGTTCCTGGCTCGTATCGCTTCAGCATCTCGTCAGGATCACCAGCCTAGTACGCCCCGTATCCCACGCATGGCTCGTATCAATTGGAGAGCCCATAGGGCCCATTTGGCCCGCGAGACCCGCGAGACCCGCGTGGTGCATTCATCTACGACCTCACTTGGACCTTGCTCCTCGTCACGCACACAACTCCACCAGCGAAGAGCGTTGCTTGCCCATCTGTCACGTCTCCGACGAAGAGGCATACTTTGCTGCCGGTGTTCGAGAACGACGCGACGCCTCTTCAGACGAGAAATCATGTCTTCGTCTACCCGTGCTCCTGCTTCCACCTCGGACTCGGAGTCTAGTCTTACCTCTGTTCCAGATTCTGTTCTTTCTTCCGGTCCCAACTCTGTCTCTGGCACTCCTTCTGCCTCGATCTCTGCGTCTGGCTCTGATGCCCCGGTCTCGCAAATTGTTTCACCAGAGATTGCCCCACGGGAGACTTCTGAAGATTCTATGAGCATCTCATCAGGTAAGTTGATCGTGTTGCTCACTCACATATCAATCCTGCCAAGCTTCCCTCAGCTAACCGGTAGAATTCAACAGAGCAATCACCCCAAGCTCGCTGCCGAGACAGCCCAAGTGAGAGACAAGAACCAGCGCAGTCGTCTCCCAGACAGATGACAAGTGAAATCGATCCGGACATGCTTCCAGTCCGCGCCCCCCAATCCCCTCAACACCAGCGGACCCGCCCTGGCTGGAACTTCGAGATCTACAGCGACCCCGAGGAATTTACCTTCCCCGCTGGGTGGCCCAGCAGTGAAGAGATGAACTCGGAGTATCGCTCGGCAGAGGACAATAAAGAGAACCGGCTCTTCTTGGCTGCTGCTACGGAAGCAAGACAGCCACGCCGTCCTCCACGACAACTTGACCAGTCTGCTGTGGCACTAGGACCCCGAGATGCGTTCGGCTCGCCCTTCTTGACTCGTCATAGTCATCATGATGATGAGGCCGGCAACTAAAAGCGCCCACCCTTAGAAGCTAACTCCCAAGGGCTCCACAAGCTCGTGCACCTCCCTCGAGCTGGGTTTCGACCCAACCCCCAGGAAACCTCGAGTAGTGGAAGGGTTTGTCAGAGTACAAGGACAGCTGAAGAGATTGAAATCAACCCGAGCTTCGTGGAATTTGGGGCAGATCTGGATGGTGACATCGTCTGCAATCGGCGGACACGAACGATGAATTGAACGCATTTGCAGCATTTAACTATTAGCGGAGCATACTTGTGACCAATCCTCAATCCTCTTAAAGAGTGAGCCCTAGCTCTCAAGTAATGTCTCACAAAGATCGTGTGGTTTTTTGCTCCTCTTCCCTGCTTTTCACTCTCTCAGAAAGTGTCCTAGCATTGCTGCAGTGGCCCACAATGCGGTATGCATGCATGATCCTAACGTTAGCGGGTGTCGGCTGCTGTGCCGGAGAGGATTAACCTCCCGCTGCTGAGCGGGAAGCGGATCCACCTCCACGTGACTGCCTGAAGATGAGGCTCACATGAGTAAGCATGGGTATTGTCCATCCAACTCTACTACTACCTTCTTACCCAGCAAGTTGGAACCTCACGTATCATTACTGGGCACTGCGCAGTCACTGAGGTCCAGGACTAGTCCATTTATTGCTCTTTCAGAGGACGCAACGACCAATCCCCACACAGGGATCTACAGGTTAAAATCCAGTCTAAACACTCCTGATGACCTACTTGCGCTAAGAATTGTCTCTTTGATCCTGCTGTATTGAGGGCCTCAGAATCCGGGCATATATCATGGGTAATGAGGGTCTGTCTGGAGAGGGACTTTGGGTAAACTCTCAGGTCGAAATGATTGGGCAACCTTAAATCGTGCCGGAAGCCGGCTTTCGCGCTCAATGTGAGTCATATCAGGTCAATCTATAGATATTGCAGTACTTATGTTTGACTGAGTAGCCGAATAAACTTAATTTTGACATTGTGCCAATATAAATGTTCAGGCGCAAGGCTTTCTATAATTGCTGACTCTCTACTCAAAGCTTTCTGGACTGAACAACTTCTATCGCCTTGGGTGGCTGCAAGGACTTCCCAGCTGGGAGTGGGCGATACTACGGGTTACATTGAGGCAGAACTATTTCAAATCCTTCACAGACGGAGCCGAATAGGTACCCTCCGCGAGTCATGACTGTATGACTGCAGACTTGATAAGTATCGTAGCCAACTGGAAGTAGCATTGTATAACAAAACCATACTGTAATATTCAAACCATGCACGTAAGAAAATTTGCATGCGGTAAACCCCAGAGAAGAGTAGGATATACACAGCTGATATTGCTTTTAGGCACAGACTATGCATTGATGCAAATGGGTAGTGGAGTTGATGAATATTGACATTGCTTCTTTCCAGTTCAGAACAAACGCCCCTAATGAAGAAAACGGGTCCGGGTATCATGGTGTTGTGGGACAATTACAAACTGGGCGGTCGCGAGATAATATCGAAACAAGAGGGGACTCCAGATTGGCGTTCTCAGCCAGAGATAACGGATGGTTTGTTGTTTTGAAGACTCGGCAAAGGACCCTGATCGAGCTTAATTTCATTCACAGTTACAGCAGTCTGGTCAGTGCTCGACACACTGGTTGCCCGGGACGTGGTCGATGCTGCGTCTGTGATTGTAGACGCCGATGAATGGCTCTCAGAAAACGTAGAATTGGACACGGACTCTGGTGCCTCACAAAGCTCTGGCTCGGACACTGGCTCCGTTGCTTGAGTCGAGACCTCCATGGCCTGCACGTCGACATGTTCGTAAAAAAGCATAAAGGCGCCTCCTTGTGACATGACATGAGCCTCGCTCACCATCTGAACGTCGTCGTCGCTTAGTCGATACCAGCGCTCAGGCTTTTCCTTGTCGCCCTCGGCTTGGAGAACCTCATCCGGAACCGGCACCGGGAAGACAGAGGTGGGATATTTACGATAGCAGATATAATGGCCATTTTCGTGGCGCCCATAGTGTGTGACGATGGCCCGTAGCTCATAGTGGCGAGTCTGAATGCGAATCGCTTCGTCATGGCGTGGAAGCATTGATTTCGAAGGATCTGTGATCCATTGCTCAATGACCTCGCTAGAACCAGGAGTCCTGTTACCGAGACACCAGTCATTCAAATCCAGACTCTTGGGAAACGCGACGGACGCATAGTTCTTTCTCAGCATTCCAGTCATCTCATCAAACAAGCTTCGATTGATGTGGAGCACGAGGCACTGTGGGGCCCGAGCAATTACTGCTTGTCGAGACTTGGTGGTGGTCATTCGATTCTTGGGCCGGATGTGGCATTTATCCGAGAGCATTTCGTCGCTGAAGTCATCCTCCTCGAGGGCGCACTGAACTGCAGCAAGGCGTGTTTGAGCAGATTCCCTCACTGCATCGGAAAGTCCTGGGGAGTCTAGTTTCTCGTTGTCGTGTTCCTCAGCCATGCTTCCTAGGAGATTTTGCAGCTGATCTTGAGCTCGCAGCAGAGTGCACTTGGCGCACTCGACCCCTTCAATGGGCTCTAGGGCCATGTACTGGTCCAAGCATTCACGAATGTCGTATTCATGTTTTGCTCCGAGAGGAACGGTAAGACAGTTGAACGGTATCATCGACAATCCTTCCGACCATCCGCATCTCATGCAGCCCACTCGCTGAGCAAGCAAGCCTTCAAGGGGATTCCGCAATGATTCTTCGTTACTCGACTGGGTGATATCGCCATCAGCAGATATTGAATCCGAACGCGCTTCTCTCATGATGTTCTCTTCTGGACCTGCTGCCTTGAGCCCCAAATTTTTTGTTTGACGCCGCACGGCTTGCTGGACCTCTATGTCGATCTGATCCACAAGCTTGGAGAAATACTCCTGCGCGTCCTGTTGCTGCCAGCTACTCATGGACTTCAGCTCCGCGGGTATCCAGAGCTTGTAGCCGCCATTGGTTGAGCTATTCAGGAGATTGATAATCTCCTTGAGGGCTTTGTGAGTTGTCAGTGAGCTTCTCTCACTGAGTGTGCGGACATTTTCCCCCAAGAAGGTCGAGAGTGTGTCAAGCGAGGCAAGGCCTTGGATGATGCTATTTTGATAGCAAGAGTTATCCCAGTTTCCCAGTCCTGATGGAATAGCATCCTTACTATGTCCTAACAGAGCACCGCCAAGACCGGAGAGGGACCTCGGCCGCGAGAAGAATGGAAAGGTATAGTTGTCGAGCCCCAGTATCCGTTGCATGGAATCGCTCTTCGCTTGGTACGACAACGTCCTGGGAGTTGAGGATGGGCTATCGGAAGGCGACATGTGGCTGTCCAACGCGATGAGGATCGAAGAAGGTGTCAAATAGACTAGTATGCTCCAAATCGCCCTGATGAGCGAAACTGGGGCGAGACGGAAGTAATCGAGTGCAAAGTAGAAAATGCATGCAAGGACAAAAAGCGTAGGGCCTAAAGATTGAGTATTCTGTAGCTGCGCCAAAAGTGTCTCATGGTGGTTGTTCCTGCCTCCGTTACGAAAGGTAGGCCCACCAGGAACGATGTCGGCTCCTTGTCTGCGAGCATTCATGGCGAGATGAACGGCCAGGGAGTGGCGGACACCAGAATCTGGATCTGTGTAACATATGCCGGAGGTTTTCTCGTCTTCGTTCGCTTACGCGAGGGAGGCGGGAGATTCGGTAGTCTTAATAAAATCAGACATGGAAAGTTAGTTAATTAGGAAATGGTGGATTAGTAAAACATCGTGCACGATAAATCCGTTTCGAGAGTGCAAGACGATTGATCGTCACGCTTCGGAACTCGTGCGCGGCCACTTTCGGGGCTGCATTCAAGGTTTATATCGGCCGCCGTAGTTAATTTTTTTTATCGATAAAGCAAAAATGTTCCCCACCCACAACCAACGATGAGTACAGCGTGCTCAATTCAACCCATATCTTCATTATTATTTAACAACTTCACATAAAGTCCCAGGATGGCGAAAAGCAGACGTGAGATGTTCTTCCTTGTTAAGATCGCGATCTATTTCTAACATGATGTAATGGTTTTTTTCCAGAAAAGATCAACAACACACGAGCAGCCCGGCGAGGCGCTTCGCCGAGTGTGGACATCGATCGGTCCTTGACGAATTTACCTCGAGTCGAAACCTCGTCGTCTGCACAATCGCCTTCGCTGTCAATTGATCGGTTGAATGCGGGAATCTCAAAGAAAAAGAAGGATAACAAGCGCTTAACGAAAGCACAACGTCTGCGACAGCAGAAGGGCATGGAAAGGGCAGAAGCAGTGATGGATCAGCTTGAAACGAAAAAGGCGAAGAGCATCAACCGGGCGAGGACGATCCACGAAAGAAGGGTAAGATTGTCACAACACAGATCATCCGTATCACCCTCGCCATCAGGCGCGCGCTCGATTGCGTACTAAGTCTTTCTCTCCAGGCGGACTGGGCGGATATGAACAAGAAGTCTGCGGCACTCTTAGCTCTTCAACAGGATCAGGACGTCGGACCAAATGAGGAGGAAGATGACGATGATGTCAGCGACAACAATGGCGATGCAATGGCAACAGAGCCAATCGAGCCAAGCCAGTCCATGATGAAAAGTATATTTGCGCCTCCGCCCGGGACCGCCGTGGCTGCTGCTGCCGCCGTCGCCGCTCCTGCCGTTTCTACAAGCGCGGCCAAGCCCGCACCCACCGACGAATTCGACGAGATCACTTGAGCTTCCAAGCCCTCTGTTCCAGCACCGAACCAATCTCACATGTCTACTTCCTCGGTCTGAGCTGGTTGATCATGCGCTCAATTTCTGTACTCGCAGAACCGGATGCCTTCGTGCGGAGGGTTTCCAGTGTATGGATATCCTTCATCTTATGTGCTTCCTCTCCCGCCTTGACGATCATCCCACACTTGACCCACATTTCGATTCGATCGGGCACGGGAAGGTGAGTGCATTTGGACACGAAGAGCGAGGCGAGTTTAGTGTTTCCGGCGCCAAGGATTTCGTTGTAAAAAGGCTGTTGTTGCTCTTGGATTAGCGCGCGTCCGACTAGCATAGAACCCAATCGCAACTTACCACCCATCCTATGGGGGACTTCTTGGTCTTCGCCATTTCTTCCAATTCGCCCCAGTCACGCTTAGCTACCAGTGCTCGCAGTCGCAGCCACCAAAACGTCTTTTCGGGAATCTTGAATTCGGACTGCAGTTTGTGTGCCCGTTTTCCGTAGCCAGCACGGATCAGCCTGTAGATCGTTTCGTTGAGGCTCAAACCAGAATACTCATCGTGGTCTGCGAGGTCTTTGTCCAATGACTCTTGAACTTTGAGAAGTTGTGATGCCTCAGCAACAAGTTTATGTTGAAACACCACGCCCGGATCTTTAGAATCCGATAATAGCCGCGAGGCCAGATGGAGCTTCTCGAGTCTGCGATGCGGGTCTGATTCTCGTAAGGCCTCCGTCATTAGCACATTGGACCCTTCCATTGGACGATCGTCTTGATAATAAAGATCCTTAAGCAGTTCAGTGTCGTCGATACGTGCTGCCGTCTCCACCAGGGCCGAAGCCACGGACCGAGTATTGACCATCCTGAAGAAGCTTGCCAGCGGCAACTTGCTTTTCAAGTGAAGCAAGACATAGTTCACCAGATCGTCGTCACCACTTTCGATGGCTTTGTCAAGGGCGAGCTCGTCTTCCTCCATGTTCAAGAGAAGAGGGACTTGCTTTCCTGCTCGAGGTTCATGGTTCAGCAGTTGTGTAGCAAGATGTGAGCGACCTTCGTCATAAGCAGCCTGAGCAATAATCTCGAATGAGATCCCGGGCTTTCCTTCTAGCCTCTGAACAATCATTCGACAGACAGTATCGTCATCTCCCGTTGACACCCGTACTTTTTGACTGGCCCAATGAACGTAAATGCGGTCCGCGGGTATTTGCAAAAATTCAGACACGCGAATGGCAAGGAGATATTCATGGCGATTGATCAGCCTGTCGATGAGGCCCTCTGGAGTCAGACGGAGATATTGTTCATAGGACAATGGAAGGCCGATATGATAGTCTCGAATTGCACTAAGAACCCGGAGTTTCTCAGTCATTTCAACAAATTCGTCGCTGTTGTAGAGCTGTAGGACTGATTTTCCAAACGAAGCAGCTTTTAGAAGTCGCTTTTGCCAATAGGAATCGAACTCGTGTCCGGCGGCTCTGATGCATGCATCCACCGCAGAGGGTAGACTAGGACGGATACGCTGGATGTTCTCGTCTGCTTTGGGGGATTTCTTTTCCAGTTGCTCGACTGAGTCGAGTAGAATTGAAGCGGGCGAAGCAGACCCCAGTCTGAATATTTCTTGTGTGACATCTACGCCCAAGTCAGAGTAGCTCCTGTTACAATCCAGAGTATTTCATACCCGCAACTTTGTGGAGAAACTCGCAAGTTTCATTGGTCAAAAGACGCACACCGTCAAATTCAGGTATGATGTGCACCCGACCATCGTAATAGTACCTAGCAATAATCAGAGCCGATCGCAGCAAGCCATACTGACAAGAAAAGACTCACTTGGATGCTGCGCCATTAGGCCCGACCAGATGGACCTCATCCTCCCATGCAAGAACAACGGCATCATCACCACACCAACTCACGCTGCTGGGCGCTACTCGAGACTTGGAGTCGTACTCGCTAAGCTTATTTGAGAAGTCACTGTTGACAACCCATAGCTTGCCCTCAGCAGTAAAAAGCGCGACGAATCGACCACTAGGGGACACGGCAAGATTCTTGAAGGGTCCGTCCTGCAGGATGCGGTCCTCGGCTTCGGTTGAGTCGACAGAGTAGACGGTCTTGTCTACAGCGAGCAGCACCTCAACAGATCTCGAGAGCGTGTGGGCCGGAGGTATCAAGGACCAGGAGAAGACCTCCCCCTCAGGACACGGTGCTAAAGCTCTCGGTCGTGGTTCATCGTATTTGGAAACGGCAACCAGTTGGTTGTTTGATAAAAGGGCGACGAGACCCGTTGACCAAAACCGACACTCTCTCACGCCATATTCCTCCGCACCCTGGACACAGTGAGTAGTCAGTATCAGAATGGAAGACAGCCTCTGACCGGGCTTCTTACATTTCCCAAGGAGAAGGACGTGAATTCGCCATCTAAGCCGAAGTAACGGCGAACTGTGCCGTCCTCGGCCACCACCAGAAGCTCTTCTTTGTCGGACCAGCCGAGCCCTCTTATCGTTGCTTGCTCCCACTTTCTGCAGTCAGCTTGAGAGTTCAAACATTCGGGTGTCAATAGCCACGGACATTAATGCGGTTGATCCGCTTTCCGGAACAGGAATAGATGTCGATACAAGATCGGGAAGCTTGGCTATCTCTTAATTGAAATGGCTTGCCATCATCCCTGTATAACGCTGTGCAAATGTTAAAGCAAGTGTCTTCTCATTAATTTTGTTGCATGTGCATACCTATAGCACCGCCGTAGGGGGCGCCCACAACAATGTAGTTCTCTAATTCAGTATCCTCGTCGAAGACAGCGTCGTAAATGGGAACCTTGCGGTAAAAGCTATCATCAACCTTTTCCCAATTGGCTAGAGGATTAGAAGGAGCCATATCCAAGCGTAATGACAAATTGAAAAGCACCCTAGACTTCGACAAGACCGGCAGGCCATCAAGAATGCTTTGTGGTCAGCCAAGTTCCGGTAAGGTCGCTGGGTTGGCGTAGCTCCGCAGCTCCCCCCCCTCCCCATCAAAACACGCTAGTCTGAATCCAGCACTACTGGCTGCCAGTAAACTCAGGCCTCAAGTGTGCACATCTTGCCCAGTTCCCAAGTCGCAGGGTGACGCCGTTGAAGCCCACCAACAAGGTTCACAGAGGTTTTGAGACCAATGGATCTCAAAAATGGAGTTTTCGAGCTTCGAAAATTTGGCACGACAGTTATCCGATCTTGAAGTTGCAGTCTTCTTGTCTCTGGTGGCGCGTGAACATTGCCTTATCGAGACCTCGGATGACCTGATTGACGACCTCGCTCAAGAATTGGCCTTGGTATTGAGGACCTTCTTCTCAGTGATAAGTCTGCGGGAATAGAGCTGACTGTATTGAAGGTTTGCACTCACTCTCTGGGTCTCGCATATTCTATTCTTGACTGTTCTGCCGAAACGTCTACGAATGACTTGTGCAATGGTAGTCTTACGCCGAGTGCTCGCAAAGAACTGGAGGAGCCAGCAATCTCCAGGCTGAAATCCGAGTCTGTCAGTGGAAACACCTTTCATTCTATCAACGCAGAACGAGGTTGATGAGCTGATTTCTCAAGTCGGGCAATCTTTCAACATTTGGAACTGCCCAGAGCCGAGACCAGGGCAGATATGCGGCTCCTAGAAGTCCCGAAAAGGAGATCAACGTTGTGAACGTGGTTATTGCCAAGAATTTCAACCTCGTTGATCATGATGTTCAGCTACAAGCTCTTCAGGTTAGTCGAACTCGGCGCATGGCGAAATGTTTTCTCACAAGTGAATGTACCTAGTTGATGCGAAGCCGACACCTCTTTATGGAATCATATACATTGAACGCGCCGGCAAATTTCATCTTTATACCCCTCGTTGTACGAGAATCAGAACAATTACAGCCGCCTTTGAACTTCCATTTGGTAAGCCATACGACTGACTTTGGTATGACGAATGCGTTTTGTTGACACCTCGCCAACAGAACGAGCATCTTCTCGTGTCCCATTACCACGCCGCGGTGGATGGCTTCATTTATCTTGAGCATGATGACTGGCTATCCGATGATCGAGACTCAGCATCGTCGGTCATATACAAGCCAATACATCATCAGCGAAAGTCTGCCAAAATTAGCGAGACCGTAAGTGGCTATTCCTGAGTCTCAACCCCGGAGTAAGCTCTGACAATGGTTCATTGGTCATCAGACGATTGAAAAGCTGAGAGAGGCTAGTGATTGTGTGACAATAAGCGCAGAGATCATGCGCTACATGCAGGATATTATCGTGTTCCTGCGCCTAAGTCGCGGAATGGGCGGTGGGATCTCTGCAAAGGCAAACCTTCATTTGTCGCGTTTCTCAAGGTAAGGGGTCGATCTCTTTGCTGGAATCTGCCCCGATTTTTCTTACATCATATCCCCAGATTACTTGCTGCCCTTCAAGGCTTCGACTTCATTACGCCGACTATAGTAGCCCTTGCCGCAGAGAAGGTGCTCCGGCATAGAATCATCGTTGCTACTCCTGATCGGGATAGAAGCATGCAGTATGGAAGCGATGTTCAAACAGTCTCTAGGATACTAGCAGACATTACGCCGGATTCAATTCTTGATGGTGTGTTCCAGGAGGTTGAGCCGCCAGTCTGAGATACAATTCTCCTTTTCGGACAGACTTCACAGCCTCTTTATGGACTTCTCGCGGTCCGTTCTTGTTGTCCGTGGGTTGTGCCCAAACAGGTGCAATCTTCGGGACTCCTGCTCTAGTCGTTTGTTCATGTCATCAATGCCCAGTGCGGCTGCGATCGAGTCTTCGATTACATGGATGCGCCTTGGCGAGTCACTGGCGAGCTGGATAGGCTTAATCGTAACCATGCTTCTTTGTTCGTGAAATTAGATACTCATCGTTCATACCTCTGTCACTGTACATCCTCGACCGTCACTTGCGGTCTCCGCCTTATAAACAGATCGGGTGGATGGTACTTCTCCCGAGTATTCTGGCCCTGATTCGCAGCGTTCGTAGCTTTCGGGGCGCCGTCCAAACACCGCTCACCATGGCCGTTAACATTGTCTGCTGCGCGCCAGGCGCCCTCCATGGCCTTTGAGTAAGTACGCCATTCGTTCACCACGACGTCCAGTTCGATCTTTGTGTCTCCCACCAGCGCATCCATCTTGATATCGTTCCTGTCATAGCCAAAGGGGTCTTCCAGCTGAGAACCTATTCCTTCAATGCCATACAAGGTGAAGATCACAAGGCAGACGATAGGGATCGCCCACCAACCCATCTGGTCGACCATGGCAAACGGTAGCACGCACCCGAACAGAGCGAGTACTTGTTTTTGGTGGATCCTTGAACAAAGGTCTTAGTTCCCCCGTCTTAAAATATGAGATCCATTCACGGGGCGGAAACTTACAAGTGAGCCACAGGCATGGGCGTCAGTTTAATCGTCTCCATTCTCCCGTAGGCGTCCAAGAACGTGTTCAGTTGTGCCTGCATCTGACTTGCGCCGGGGGCATTGAACCAGCCGCGGTCTTCACCACGCTTGATAAACCCGTCCACGAAATAGGTCAGTTGATAGGGGAGACCCAGACCTTCATACTCATGGCCCTCGAGACCAGCGGGCAGTAGCCCCGCATAGTCGGGATTGTAGGCCGCGGTGCCTCGCTCATCAAAGGGGCCGCCGTGAGTACTGTCCGTGGCCCAGGCTGCTCCCCACTCGGCGCGCAGGTGATTTTTCACCGCGAAGGGGATGGCGATCAACACGCGAAGGGTGCGCTCAATGTCTTCGCGCTCCATGAGATTGGGCGGACCGCGAGTCGAGCTGTAACTGTTGGTGACGATGGTTCGCGTCAGGTTTCGCAGACAGGTGTTCATCGTACTCATTGCATTGCGCCCATCCCAGAATCGGTTGTACGAAGTCTGGTTTCGGAAAACGAGCATCAGACCAACCACGATCGATAGTGATGGGATCTTACAAATTGATTAGCTTGGTACCTAGTCAATTCACAGGGATCGAAGACCAACTCGAGGAACGTACAATACTCGGTGGAAGCACCACGGTCTCGAAGACATGGTTATCGAGGTAGACAACAAAGGCAGTAAAGAGAGCATGAAGCAAGACCGACATAAGGATCTGCGCATGAATGGCTCCCTTGACGAAGCGAAAGACCAGCGGCCATCTACAAGAGTGTTAGACCGAGAGACCTGGTGGCTCACTCAGGGTCAATGAGTCTCTTAGACGCGGGGGGAGGGTTTTCACCTTCTCGGCTTTCGTCGAGACGATAACAGATGCGGGTGTGTCAGCCGGCGTTGGTGGTGTCGCCCCTGTGTGAAGGTGCTTTGACGGCTCAGGGTTGGAGTACCTGGCGCGCTGAAATTCAAGCGCATGGTCTCGGTACTTGATCAGGATATGACCTGACACAGCTGGCTGATGTTGCAGTCTACGAGGGAGAATTGACAGAGGAATCCTGGTTAGAGAGAACTTTTGTTTCTTGGCATCGAAGGGGCCTGTGGCTGAGATCACGAGGTCTCGAATCAAATGGGAAAATAAAACAGCAAAACAGAAAAAAAGGGTGATCAGCTGGATCAATGCAGACCTCTCTGCGTTAGCGGCGGGGAAAGAAAAGGACGCTTTGATCAGGACGGGCGGCCATGAACTCAAGAGTCCAGAGTCTTCCCTCGCCGGGCAGCACCGATTCACCGATTTAATTGACCGATCGACGCCAATTCTAACCTCTGGATCAGCTATAGATCGGTGTCAAGTGCGAGGATTTAGGTTCGGAGTCGTTGTCGACAATACAAGAGACACGAAACAAAGAGTGCACCAAGCATGAGTCGACAGGCCGAGACCGAAACATATTGTACATATTTCCTGCAGGCACGTAGGTATTCATCGCTCCAATGCCGAGCGGATAGAAACGAATTAACAATCGCTTCCGGGTCTATTGCATACGGCAACACTAGCGGTGTAGATTTGCAAAGATCCTTCACGTTGGCAAAACATTGTTAAAGCTTCGGGCCGATCGATGGAAACACATTATTTGCAGCCCGAGGGTCCCGCGTGGATGCGCGTAAGATTGGACACCCCACACCATCGGCCATTTTACAAGCACGGCATTCGCTGAAGCAAGACCATCTTCCAATCAAGTCGATAGAACTCGAACGAAGCCGCTGCCGTATTTGAATCGAGCTTAGCAAGTCTTGTACGTGGGGTATGTCGGATCACCAGCTTCCTTCAACAAGTTCGATCGCAAACGACTAACTACCGAAGATACCGATGGCCTGGTGCTTGTTTGCTTCAAGTTCGGGAATGCTCCAGCGTCGTACCGTCGATTACCCTATTTGACAGCTTTACCTTGACAGCTTTACTTCATCAAAGTACCAAAATGAGTGTTTTTTGGAGGAAACCGTCATGATGAGAGAGATGAGACAAGTGCGAGGTTCGCGGGGCCACGACAATGGTCATGCAGAAGCCGCACGGTGCTAACTTATACTCCAGAGGACAGACCATCTTCCAAAAAAGGCCCAGATGGTGAAGATGGGTATATCGAAAATGACAGAGAACAAAATGCGGCTCAAGACATGAGATGACACAACGGACTAAAAGCATTCAGATAGGAGGATGGGAAATGCAAATAGAAAAGGTTGTCGCAATGAGGATAGAATTGGTCGAAACTAGATGCCTCATGTGTAATATGTGAAGGTAAAATCAATAGAGAGATAAGGTGGAATTCAGGTGGATAAGGAATTTGGGAGGGATGGGAGATAAGAGCTCGGAATTATTATTAGAGGCAACTCTCAACTCTCCTTATTTTGGTTCAGACTCAGACTGGGGGGGCACATGAGCACGAGAGGGGACACTTGTAGTTGGCAAGCTCGGGGGTCTAGGATTTGGTGATGGATGGTAGCATCGCAGATCATTCAGAACGCATCCCAGCTCGACCGTCAAAGGCAAGGGGCCCCATGTCATTTCGAGGGGTCAACGGATTGTCGTCAGAAGTCTCCGCGGGGGTGTCTGCGCGCAAACGTGGTGACCGTGACAGGGGAACGTTGACCGGCTGCGTGGGCTGGAATCCGGTAACACTCACAGTGGCGCTGCGCGCCAGATCGTCGTTGCTGGTGCTGGGACCGGCAGAATCCACATTCCGATCATCCTCGGCCTCATTTCCAGATCCAGATGCAGAATTACGGTCGTCCTCGTCTTGCAAATGAAGGTTCTCCACGTCGGTTGCAATATCCGGTTCTTCGGTGTGTGGCTCCAGCGAGGTGCGGCCCTGCTGCTGTTCGCCAGTCGCGGGTACCGATGGTGAAGCGGCAGCAGGTTGCGTCTCTGCATGGGACGCGGTCGACTCGCCCGCTGGGAGAGCTCCCTCGGTCGTGTCTTCAGTCTTGGCCTCCAGAACGTCGGGCGTGTCGTCGACTTCGGCGCTTAGATCGGTGAAAGCACGACAATTGGGGCACTGGAACATAGGATACTCCGGCGAGTGCAGCAGGCGGCTGATACATTTGTAATGCCAGACGTGGGCACATGCCGCCATGAACAGACACTGGTATGGACGCTAGAGCGCAGTCAACGAAGTCAGCCTCGGATGAAAAATCCGCACAGTGTTGGGAATACCACATACCAGCACAGAGCCGAGACATATCGAACACTCGCGGCACCCGGAGTAATTAGCCCCGTCGCCCTTGCCAAGGTTCTTGATCAGACTCTCCGTGTTTTTGCTATCATTGATGTTAATCGCCATCTGTTGACATTTCACATGAGGAACCCGATACTGACTTGAATTCGTTAGGCTGCTGCTGCCACGATCGATTACATTCGATCCGAATGCGAACACAACGGAAGATCATCTCCTCGCCGCCGCGGAAATCAATGCCCAGTTGGACGATATCGCCGTCCTTGATTGGATACGACCGAGAGACCATGTTGGGTTGACTCAGGCGCATGTGATTCAGGAAGGTTCCCGACGAACTGCCCACGTCCTTGATGTGCCACTGCCCACCCTTGTAGCTGAACTCGCAGTGTTTCCGACTGACGACTTTCGACTTGAACCCCACGGGCGCGTCGGAGGGTTCAGACGGGTTTGGAACGGGGACACCATCTCTCTCCGAGTATCGCCCTACCCGAATGACGGAACCGTCCGAGGGTAGGGTGCGCGCAATGGGCGTAAAGGGGAGAGAAGGTCTCGAAGATTGCAGACTGTCTTGGTGGGGGAAGAAACGAATGGTCGCTTTCTGATTTGCCGGCGTCGGGCTGGTAGTCGTTGTGGCAGATGTACTGATGGCAGTGGCCGCGGAGGTGGTCTCCGAAGCAGAGGTGGGAGCATCGGGAGTAGTAGTGCTCGCTAGCGCGGTGGTACGCGGTGGGCGACCCTGAACGGCGGAAGCACTTCTCAGGCGAGCCATGACATTTGATGACCGTGAGGCAGGCTCGTTGGGAGGCGTTGATCTTGATGACTCGGCTGATGACGTTTGTGTATCAATACTGAGGCCGTGGAAAGCGCCCGCAGTGGGTGCAGAAGTGTAGCGAGAGAGGGCCGGTTCGTCACTTTCGAGGACTTCGGCGGCGGTGGAGTTCCCCGCCGGCCGGGTTGATGATTCGGGGCCGGATGATGATGGGGACAGCCACGGGACTCGGCTACTCAGACTGTTGCGAGAACGATGACCGCTGGAGGTGGAGGAAGATAAGGTCTGTGTGTACGCTCGGAGCTGACTGAAGCGACGAAGTCGTCCTGGGCGCGGTGCTTCTGACAGCGAGGTGGGAGCGGTGGTTGTTGAGGTCGACATGAAGAGGGGAAGAGAGGGATTTTAAACTCCTAGTCCGGACGGGAGTCGCTGAGTCGTCGAAGTGCAGTGCCCGAGTGGGGGGTTCAACCTCGAAGTAGGCACGGGCAGCAGACTACAGTACGAGAGAGAGAGAGAGAGAGTGTGTGTGTGTGTGTCTGGGTTTTCACCGATTGACGGTTGGCTGATAGGGAAGAGTACGCGCAGGCGGGCTGGGCGAACTTCTTCTTATGCGATGGTTGCCCTGGCCGGGAACCCTGTTGCCTGTCCTGTCTGAAGGATGACCAGAGTGGACAAAGCAGGTTGACACCTTGCACTTGAAAAGACAGCAGAGGGGGCGATTCAATGTCTAAAAGCGACCAGCACAGAGAGGGGGAAAAGAGATGCGTGATATCGTGGTCCCGAGAGACTGGGATCTGCAACTGGGCTGAAGCGGCTCACAGAATCGGTTGTGAGTACGATGATGCAGGCTGCCAAGCATAGCCCGAGAAGGGAACAAAGAAAGGCGGTCGGCAAGACACAAGTTTTGAGGCAAAGGAGGTCCACTAGAACGAGGATTCTTGGGCTAGGAATGTGGATCAAGAAGCATGGGGTGCACCTCAGCAATTGAAGTGTTGAAACAGGAGGCGGGAGAGAAGCAGGAAGAACTAACTAACTAGCAGGGCCAAGTGCGGAGGAGGAGGAAGAGGTGGAGGAGGAGTTAAACAAGAACAGCCGAGAGGAGGACGTTGGTAAGTTCTTCGGTCCAAAAGTGGATGCTTTGCGGAACCAGGCCCCGGTGATCCACGTTTAATCGCTAACGTTCTCTAGACGGCGAAAGAGGGCGAGGGGGGAGGAGATACTTGTATTCAGCGAAGCGCAGAAGTTGGGACCGAATGAGATGTTCCAAGCCACCGCCAACACCGCTGAGTACTCAGTACTCACCAGCTCCAATGCAGGATGACCTCTCTGTGAGTGGCGCATCACGACCAACGCTGTTACCCGAACTATGTCAGACCGGAGTACTAAAAGATCCATGATATGGTAAGTTTAGCCATACGCGGAGTTGGGTCAAGAAGCCGATCGCAAGCTTTTGTGGGTAGTGGCAGTGGGCACTGGGCACTGGGCACTGGGCACTCGAGAGTCGAGACGTGAGCGCACAGCCGGGTTGCCTACTTCAATATGAGGCGTAGGGCTGCTCAGAAGGAGAAGGTCTGTCGCATCATTGCTCACACCCGTACGATCGTCCCATACCTAAGCTCCATCCGGAATTTGAGATCGAGCAGTGGATGAATTAAGGCGGTACATATATACAAAGAATTGTCTTATTGTCAAAAAGATGACTCCATATACGCATGTTACGTGAAGTTCTTGTATCTACCTACTGGCGGTAAGGACTACACTAATAAGTACCTCATAAGTACATAATCAGTTCTACAGTCTATGAAGTAAATAAGTAGTCGGTTCCTACTATTGACTTATCGCAGGGAGGAGACAGTACTGAGTAAGAAACTTGCATCCGGATAGACGAGCCACCATCCTCCAATGCTCTTCGATTCGGCGCGGTTTACCCCACAAAACGTTGGGTCAGACTCCGGTCCTCCACACTGTGGCCCGAGGAGGAGTCAGGCCCGCTCTGACTGGCTCGGACCAGTCGCCTCTTTGAGACTAAGTCGGTCTCGGTTTCTCGCTCTCGTTTGGGAGAGGTCGATGTCATGGGAATTGGGGGCAGATATCGGACGATGACAATCTAATTGATGTTTACTGCTAAGCCTGATGGTTGTTGACGATGAAGTAGTTCGAGTGCCCATTTGTCCAAACTTCTGTGACAGATGATTCCAGCGTTGGGAACCTGGGAGTCAGGACACCATGGAATTCAATACGTCGTAGGCGCACTCACTACCTAGTTCTATGGCTGTATGGCCTGAAATAGTGCTGCGACACCAGCTTCAAGCTCCGACCTTGATGTATTGGAGACTTTCAGATGACTGAGTACATGGGTCCAGCACAGGTACCGTACTACCTACGCACATAGTGGTTCTGTTGCATGTTAAGGATGAAACATCTTCTAATTGACCATGCAAGTGTATACCATGGTGTATACCTGAGGCCTACATCAGCCGGAGATACAGCCGCAGCACTCAGGTACTATCAACTTAGGGTTGTGTCACAATTCCTGGAACGTCATCTCCTGCTATGGTCGCCCAAGACGTACACTCCACTCAAAGCTGTTGAGTACCTTAGAGCTTACCGTACCTCTCGCATCAACCTTACCGTGACCAACCAATTCATCTGGGCTTCCAATCCAATTGCCCCAATTGCCATCATCGAGGTAGATTCACGAATGGAACATGCGTGAGACCTTGAAGCACATGGCCCACTGCAAAAACAAAACTGCCCAAATATTCAACCAGACAGTCTGCAAATCTCAGAAAGCAATTAAACTACACAGCGGCCATGGCTCAGGTCCTCGCATCAACATATCTTGCGAGGCTGGTGGAATTCCATGATATTAAATCTCATCTAGCTCTGGAAGCAGGTGAGAACGGATAAGATTCGACTCAGAATCATTGATATTTTCCTTAGGTCACACATAGTCATGTATGATGAACTGCTGCATTAGAATGACCATGGGCGCAGGACAGAATGAAACGAACAGCGAGGGAGTTCTACTCAGCATTATATTTCTTCCAATTTGGAAAGCTATTGTAGGTGTCAAGTTACTTGCTCTGAAAACTTCGGCGCTCTTTGGTTTTTCATGTCTCCGGAGACTCTATCTCCATCGTGTTTGTTATTGCCTACAGTATATACTTCAAATAGGTATAGGTAGGTATTAGGACCTCATAACCGGCAACATGTTGGTGTCGAAACAGTGAATGTGGTGCACTGACTCCGAACAATGTATCTAAGCTGATCGCCTATTGCCTAAAAAATGGATCTGCACATGAGCAGATCATCCGTCTGGTGATCCCCATCGATGGTGTGCGCCACTCGAGAGGACATCACAAGGACGCGGAGTGGGCAAGGGATCTCGAGTGTAATTGGATCAGTGACCCGGCCCAAGACGCTCGGGGCGCGGGGGAGTGCGGGCGCCAAAAAAAAAGAAAATACTAGGTCGCGGGCAACGGCATGTCTGTATTTTGTAGAGATCTGTGAGACTCATCGGCTGAAGATTAGCCAGAGATGGTCCTCTGTTGCGGTGAGGCGGTCAGTGTATGCGGCGGAGGATAGATCCGATTGCATATATGGCACACTCGAGCTCCCGCAACCTGGAGAACTGGAACATAGGTCGGCCCCGAATCACTGATTGTTGGATCATTGGCACGCCTTCGTCTCCATTTGTCAGGTCATTCCTGACGACCTTGCTATTTTCAACAGCTAGTAGTGAAATTGAGAGGACTCGAAATATCACGATAGAGCCAAAGCGATCGAAGTGTGACTCTGATGGAAATGCTTCTACTGTACGACTACGTACCTATCCATGGACATTAGCTCGCTCCACGATTCTGCCCGTCCGGTTCTTGGTGGATACCTAGTACGCTCCAAGTCCCCGAGTCTCACAAACATGTGATTTCACCCAGTGACTAGGTTGGATAGGAACTTTTGAACATGTAGTAAAGTCTGCAAAGTATCCTTCAACTAGAGTCTTCAGTCTTGGGCCACTAGGAAGTTACATTACGGGGCATCGTGCTGGTGGCTGGTGCCTCATAGTATCATGACATCCTGCAGCGCAAGGACCGCTGGGGCAAAGTCAGGCAAACTCGTGGAAGTGGGCGCGCGGTGCGCCCAGATTTGCCATGGTCGAGCGAGAACAACGGTTGCTTGGTCAATCAGGACATGTCCATCTCCCAAGGTGTGGCCATGACCAAGGCAGGACTTTGTCATGGCAAGCGTAGGTAGGTCCGTGGAGGTGGATATATACTGCAAAAGTTCAGGCCTCATGAATTGACAGTAGGAGTATAGTCCCCGTCTCGCCTTATCTCACCTGTGACCTCCTCCCAGGCCGAAGTATGATATGCAGCAGGTCGCTCCATGACATACTGATGCTCGCATACATTAGTGGTCCATGCCAGTGGACGGCTCGGGAACAAGAGCGAGATGATTAATCTAGAGAGCGTATGCGGATTGGCTATAGCTCCTGCCCGTGATGTAGGATGGGATGCACGGGAACGGCATGGCTTGGAGTCATTGGGATGGCTTGTCTTGCGACAGCCAGGGCTGTTGACAAGCACTAATGAAGCCGAGTAGTTACCATTTTATGACGTCAAGAGACTCTTTCCCTCTGGCTGTTCGAATGACTTGTAAGTTGTGACAGTGTTTGGCCGACCGAGTGAGACTTTCTCGGATAAGGATGATAGAGAGAGATAAGGCAAGACACATGATCATGCGGAGTGCCAGATCGTGGCGAAGCTGTTTCACTTATACAGTAGTGATTCTAGCGAGAGAGAGAGAGAGAGTAGAGCACTCACGGCTATACTGGGATATTCACCTGCTCACTGAAGTGATAAGTGCTCAGATCCGTTGCCGGCGGTGTATTAAGCGTGGGCCCCTGCTTTGGGGAGGGAAAGTCCCGTCGTCTCTGCTGAACTGTGGCGCAGAGCTGTACTCTGGTACGACAGTACTACTACTGCTTTAGCTATTAACTTACCTTAGCTCCGCTGACGACTCGTCCGTTAGAGCGGAGAGGTGCGCCTGCATTCTGCAACCTCGTTCCACCTGCCACTTCTTTGCTCCTCCCCTCCCTTTCCTAAATCTTCTTTCCTGTGCTACATCTGAACCTCTGAAAACTTGCCTGGCGAGGAAGACTCTTGGCGACTGGAACTCTTTGATCGTTGAAGGAGCTCTCGTGCTGGTCCACGCGCCCACTCCCTTGTGTTCTCCTTTCCCGAAAGCTTGACCTCAAGAGAGCCCCATGCAACTGCCTCCAACCTCGCTACCCGCCCAGCCTTCTCCAATCCACCCACCTGAGACTGTGCACTCACCTAACGTTCCTCTTCCATATTCAACGTCGTTATTTTCACCTTTCTCCTCTGCCTCGTCTCAATCCAATCGTGTGCGCGGGCCTGATGCAGGTCTGAAGACGGCATGAGCGGACTCGTCACCACCTGTCTGTCATGCCTGTCGGCAGTGGACCGATGGTGTCATATCACCGCCTGTCTCGGCGGAGGTCGCTCACGGGACGGCATCTACGAGACCACGCTCGCCGACAATGAAAGAGAAGCTGTATCGGACCTGCTGGGCTATCTAGAAAACGTATGTCACCATCTCCTCTGTTTCAAGCGTCCCTGTACCGCTATTCCCGCGGTCGGTGCTTGGAGACTCCAGCGCGCCCTCTCCCGCACAACTCACCATCAAGGTCGCTAATACCACCCTCTCTGGACCTTTCCATAGCGTGCCGAGACAGATTTTTTTGCGGGTGAACCCCTACGAGCCTTGAGCACATTGGTCTACTCCGACAATGTTGATCTGCAACGGAGCGCGAGCTTGACATTTGCCGAGATCACCGAGCGAGGTATGTCGAAATGAGCGATCGCCGCTACCACTCAGTCCCCAAGCTGATGCCCAGTCTCGCTACTAGATGTGCGCGAGGTTGATCGGTACACTTTGGAGCCGATTCTTTTCTTACTGCAGAGCTCGGATACTGAAGTACAACGAGCGGCCAGCGCGGCGCTAGGCAATCTTGCCGTCAACGGTTCGTGCATGCCTGTAGGGGTCGTTTTTGGGGGGAGCCAACCACATACTAACTAAATCTCCAGCTGAGAATAAGGTCCTCATTGTAACCCTGGGAGGGTTGGCTCCGTTGATTCGCCAGATGATGTCGCCCAACGTCGAGGTACAATGCAACGCCGTCGGTTGCATCACCAACCTGGCGACACATGAAGAGAACAAGACAAAGATCGCTCGGTCAGGGGCCCTCGGTCCCTTGATTCGCCTCGCCAAATCCAAGGACATGCGTGTCCAGCGCAATGCGACCGGCGCTCTGCTCAACATGACTCACTCCGGTAAGCTCGACACACGCGTCTTCTGTTAACAGGGGAACCTGTCCTTTGAACGGTGGTATGGCTGACTCTAGCTCCAGATGACAATCGCCAGCAACTTGTGAACGCCGGTGCCATTCCCCTCCTGGTTCAACTTCTTTCGTCCTCGGATGTGGATGTCCAATACTACTGCACAACAGCGCTCAGCAATATCGCAGTGGACTCCACCAATCGCAAGCGTTTGGCGCAGACCGAATCCCGCCTCGTCCAGTCGCTGGTTCATCTCATGGACTCGTCGACCCCTAAAGTCCAGTGTCAAGCCGCGCTGGCTCTTCGTAATCTCGCCTCAGACGAAAAATATCAGCTCGAAATTGTACGAGCCAAGGGCCTCTCACCCCTCCTGCGACTCCTACAGTCTGAATATCTTCCCCTCATCCTCTCGGCGGTGGCCTGCATTCGCAACATATCCATCCATCCCCTCAATGAGTCACCGATCATTGAAGCCGGATTCTTGAAACCGCTCGTAGATTTACTGGGCTCAACGGATAATGAAGAAATACAATGCCACGCTATTTCGACCCTTCGCAATCTCGCGGCCAGCTCCGACCGAAACAAGGAGCTTGTTCTCCAGGCCGGAGCAGTCCAAAAGTGCAAGGATTTGGTACTTCGCGTACCCCTCAGCGTGCAGTCCGAAATGACGGCCGCGATCGCCGTGCTGGCTCTCAGTGACGAGCTTAAACCTCACCTGTTGACACTTGGAGTGTTTGATGTTCTAATTCCGCTGACAAGCTCGGAAAGTATCGAGGTACAAGGCAATAGTGCCGCTGCTCTCGGCAATCTGTCTTCCAAAGGTACGTCCTCGTGGCCTCGTCGGTCCCAGACTTCGAACGTTGATGCTAATTCCAGATGCAGTGGGAGATTACTCAATCTTCGTTCGGGACTGGGCAGACCCCAATGGCGGAATCCACGGCTATCTCCAGCGATTCCTTGCTAGCGGCGACCCGACTTTCCAACACATCGCCATCTGGACTCTGTTGCAGCTCCTTGAGTCTGAAGATCAAAAGCTCATTGCTTATATCTCCAAATCGGACGATGTTGTGCAGATGGTCAAATCCATCTCAGATCAGAATATCGAGTCTGATGAAGAGGACGCGGATGACGGCGAAGGGGAAGTCATTGCCCTCGCGCGTCGCTGCCTCGAGCTGTTGGGCACAGGTCCCAAGCAGACCCTCGTCGAGGCGTAAGCCATTTTACGATTTGTTACTCTCAAGCATGCTGTAATACCCTTTTTGGACCTCTTCACCTGCGTCACTGTCTTCTCTCCCGCTTTGCAGATTTTACGCGGGTAGTTCATTCTCAATAATCCTTTTTCCATTCGGGCATTTGGCGTGGACAAGAGGTTGGGTTTCCGTTCTTGTCCTCTCTACCTTTCTTCTTTTCTTCGTTTCTCATGTCTTTCGAACAGTAAGGATTTCCAGGATCGGCTCGGCCGTCAAATCCTTGTCTTTACGCATGCAATCATGTATATCTGCTAGAGAGGGGATGTCCTTTTATATGAATCAGAGCGCATTTTGACACGATCACTACATTTCTGGACCATTATAGCGGACATTCACTATTGATCTGTAAATTGATCCAGGGTCTGGTCGATAATTTTGTCATCAAGCCTGGGTCCTGGGCTTACGCACCTCCGGACTCAGAGCGGGTGTCCCATAAGATACCGTCACTAGTCCCGGAGGATAGTATATCCGCTCCAGAGGGCACCGAAGAGAGCTCTCCCGAACAAGAAAACTCACGATCTCAGGATTCTCATTTCCACCACTTTGAGACTTGAAAATCTTCAGTCACCCAAGACGTACGATGACTACGTCTGTGCCAAAGTTAGCGATTCCGGGGCAACGCCTTGGATCAATTAGTGCATACTCAGCCGGTCCGGGAACACACGTTCAGCAATCCAACATCTACGCCTCTATCGCTGGTCCTGTCGTTGTTGACCCTGCGATCTCACAGACAAATAAGAAATCAATTCTCAGAGTCTCACGGATCGTTGCTGGCATCGACCCAAGCAAGTCCAATCAAGCCTCCTCGGCTGCCTCTAAGAAAAAGCCCAGATACAATACCCTCCCAGCCGTCGATTCCATTGTTCTCGCACGTGTCACTCGTGTGCAAAAACGGCAGGTCACGGTGTCCATTCTCGTTGTGCTCGATGACACAACCCCAGCGAATCCAGAAGCCAACCAAGCCGCATCAGATAATGACAATATCGCGTCTATTTTGACCACCGCTGCGAACCCGGAGAATCACAGCAGCACCGACGAACTGCGTTTCCAAGCCCTCATTCGGAAAGAGGATGTGCGCGCCGTGGAGAAGGATCGTGTAGTCATGGATGAAATGTTCCGTGTTGGTGACATCATCCGTGGCTCGGTCCTTTCGCTCGGTGATCAGAGTTTTTACTATCTGACCACTGCACGAAACGATCTTGGTGTCGTGATGGCGCGCAGCGAGGCTGGAAATATGATGTTCCCTGTCAGCTGGAAGGAGATGCGCGATCCAGTCACTGGCGCAGGGGAACAGAGGAAGGTTGCTCGACCTTATTGAGCAGCTCTTTGCAACCGTCAACTCGCTTTGCAAACCCACCTTCAACCATGGACTCCGGCCACTAAATGCTTGTTCCGAGCTATTGTGACCATGCTGTTCTACGGCTTGAGTACCACGTGAAGTCAGCCATCAACCGCAGCGATCGCCGACTTGCACTATCAACGGAGCGCTCTGTCAGGTCTTTCCACGGACCGATATCATGCCCATGTCGGATACCTCTCAAGCTTCCATTGGGAAACCACATGCAGATGACCAGTTTCACTCCCAAATTCACGGCGCTGCTTTTTCGCAGACGCCTCGACATGCGGTAGCACGACCGCCACGGGCAACATTGTCCTTCGCTGCAACAACGGCGACGCGCGGACTGTTCAATTCTATTTGCTTCAACAGTCTAGCGAACCATATGAGATACCCAATTTAACGAATTCGAAGACGAAGCTCGACTTTCCCAGGCAGGTAAAGTCAATGAGTTGCCAAAGGAGTGCCTTCGCCATAGTGCCTTCGCCATTCTTCGTAGAAACTGTTTATTGTTCACACTTTGGAACCCTCCTTAGTATACACGATTGGGACCTTTTTCCATGTCGAATTGTGTTTGTCAAGTGAGGGAGATTGATGGATTCCTTTGGAATCACGCAGAGAACTCTCATTTTCTGCGGAGCGTTCGGACTTGTTCTTTGTCGAATTTTCTTTCTTTCCTATGAGGCATATACCAAGTCCGAGGTTTACATTTTTTTTTTGGTTTGAGCTAGGGCTCTTCCAGGTCATGCTTCATGATTAGGTAGTGACCGGGTAGTTACTGGTTATCCGACAAGTCCCAAGAACCTATGTGAAGTGATCAGATATGATATACACTACTATTCGGCGTAGAAATAGGGAGACTGAATTTATCGCTCAAAACTGGGCATTTGAACACAGTTACCAATATTAGTATTCTTATCACTCGTTAGCATCATGCTGGCTGTGGAGCACTTTCAATCATTCTCATCTCATCCACGCAGCGTAACCTTCAGATGTGAGACGTAGCCAAGCTCGTGATTCTTTTCTTTTGAAAGGTACATCGTCTCGGGTCAATAACGACCAATTCTTCGGTATAGGCGCATTCATGCGAGTGCTCGGAGATGCTCCAGGGGAAAGAAAAGCAGAGTCATATTTGCGTCCATCTCTTCGAGTCTATACGTGATCTGCCCAGCCAAAGAATTGCCGTCCAATTAACTAGCCGCTTACTTCTTCAATGTCTTCTGCTTCTCGGCATCAATCAACTTCCGGCCCTGCACGACAAGACCCTTTCGAGACCTCACGGCGTCCATATACCGCTTAGCGACGTTCTCCCGATCCGCCAGTTCGCCCAGGTCTTCCAGCTCCTCCTCGGTGGCAGGAACCCAGAACGGATCCTCATCTAGAGCTTCGAATCCTGCAAAGATGAGTTGAGGTTGTGCAGCGCCCGAGGTACGCTTGCGGATTTCTTCGGCGAAACCAAAGGACTCGGCGACTGGGAGCAGAGCGAGGATTGTGAAGAAGGGGGTCCCTTCTTTCATCACCTCAGACAAAATACGGCCTCTTCGGCGGGTGATGACACCATACACTCGACCAAGGACCTCAGCTGTAGAACAAGTAGGTATGTTAGTCTTGCGCTGCGTGTGCGATCTTATAGAAGTGTGAACAGTGGGCACGTACTCGTCGCTTGAATCTCGCAACTGTACATTGCGAGCATGATGCGGGGACTCCAATCTAAGAATCCTTGCGTAATACCTTCGCGGACAAGCTTGATCGAGTCGCCTGTCAGACGGCCCATGTCAAGCTCGTCGCTGGAGCTAGCATCGACAGCAAGTTCCTCTAAAAACACGGCAACTCCTTGCATCGGTTCCTGACAAAGTGGTCCTTGCCCAGTAGCCAGCTGGAACGCATATGCAATCTTGTCGCATAGATCGCGTACTAGAAGGGCCTTCATATCGTCGGAAGACACATTCTTCTGTTTGAAGTCCTCAAGCAAGCTGTGGAGAGCTCACGTCAGTTGCACTCTTGGTCAAAATCGCGACAGGGTGGCCGAACTTCTGGACTTACAATTTCTCGCATGTATTGACTGCCGTAGCATCCACCAGAATATTTGGCCCAACCCTACGTGGACCAAACGCGATAACTCGCTCCACGACATTGTTCCACAGCTCCTTTTCCTCTTTGACTTCCTCTTCGAAGACCTTTTTCAATTCGTCTCGGAACTCCTTCATAGTCATGAGATTACCCTCGCCAATTTCACCGGCAGCAGCAGCCCCAGTTGCCTCTTCCTGCTGCGTAGACTCCGAGACTGCGGGGGTCGACCCTGCTTTCGACTCCGCAGCGTTGCGTTTCTCCGCTTGTAATTGCTTGATGGTTCCGACATGCTTCGACAAGAAGTCTGTGACAACCGACGGCATGGGCATGACACGCAGCCGGATGGTCATCTGCTTTGATGCGGAAACTGAGAGAACGCAACCACGGCCGAGCTCTGAGTTCCGGGGAGCGGCCATTTCGGCAGCATCGACAATTGTCTCCCGATAGGGAACAATCGCTTCACCGGTTTGAATATCACATCGGGCAAAACGCTCGCGGAGATCTTTAATGCAGCGTTCCAAATGCAATTCTCCCGCTGTCAGGATGACATGCTCGCCGCTGGGAAGAACCTCGTATTCAGCACAAGGATCGCTCTGCTCCAAGAGACGCAGCCCAGTGATCATTTTATTAAGATCCGCCGGGTTAGTAGGCTCCAGTGCGACACGGACGATGGGAGGCGTGCTCATCGAGACACCCGCCAGGTTGATGCTTCCCTCAAGTTGACTGCAAAGGGTGCCCGTCTTGAGGACATGTCCGGCAAGACCTCCAATACCAAAAACCACTCCAGCAGGTACGGACTTCAAGGGCTCCAGGCTTCGACCCATGAGTAGATACAGGTCTGTGACTGTGACCTTCTTCGGCTCGGGGCTTGCGTGTGGATCCGCTGGCGAGAATTTGGGCGGCAACACGTAAATTGAGTCTCCGACCGACAGTGTTCCGGAATAGAGTCGAGCGAAACCAATGAGGTGCTCGGGATCCTCCTTCTCTGTAGACTCTTCTGGCCCCTCGGTTTCCGTGATCAAGTTCGTACTCTCAAATGCCGATGTCATTCTCTCGAAAGCATCATTTGACGCCGGCGCGGCTTCAGCTTGCATCTTTGCAATTTCCTCTCTCTTGCGACGAGCTATCTCTCGAGCCTCATCTGCACTCATAGTGCCACCCGCACGCTTTTTACTTGATCCCAGCTCGCTTTCCGGAACCGCCATCATTTTGCTGACATAGGCAACGACCGGTTCTTCGGGGCTAGTCTTGAACGAAACCATCGCCTTTTTGATTTCTTCAGACACTTTGTCCGAGCCAGGCGAAGTTTTAATCATCTCAGGAAGACGCGCAGCTTGTGCGGCCGGAGGGCTTGGTAGATATTCAATCACGGAGACGAGCACCGCTGTGGAAAGTGGCAGCCATTGCGAAAACAAGGTGGTCATGATGTTTCTCGGATCACGCGAGCGCATGACATATGGCGGGATTGAGAGATTCAATGATTTCGTGATTTTCTCTAGCAAAACAGAATCACTGCCAGAACGGAATTTTAGTATGGAGTTAATAACATAGTCATTGCCGCACGATATTTCTTACCCTTTTCCCTTCCCACCACCAGTGGTCGCCTCATATGCGGCCCAGATACTGTCCAGGACAAGTTGCACGAACATAGGCTTCAGAGCCCTGCCTTTGAGATGCTTCTGTCCCAGAACACGTTTCGTCTTGGGGTCAAGGTAGAAGTCACCCCAGAGCACTTTTTCCAATATTTTGCGCTTGATTCCCAGTTTCTTTTCGTAGATAGCAGCGAATTGCCTGATGGTGAAGGCCCAACAGTCTACAGCACTGCAGAAGATAACGTTATTCTTCTCTGGAGCGAAATAGAGATCTTCGTCATCACGCTCCTCAAACTCAACAAAGTCATCGAAGTTCTCTGGAGCGTTATCCTCCGCAGTTTTGTTCTTTGACTTTTCCTTGTCCCGCGAGGCAAGAGCATTGACACGATCCTCCATACGCTCGCGCCACTGCAAGTCCTCTTCCATGCGCTCACCTTGGTAGAAGCTGCCAATCACTGCGTTGACTTGTTCAAGAAGTCTGCTGAGATGTGAATAAGCTTCGCTTGGGCTCATCATAAGCTCGGTCACCAGTCGATCCATTTTGTTGATAATGAGAATCGGCTTCAGCTGCTCAACCCAGGTCTGTCGAAGCACTGTGACGGTCTGACTGCAGACGCCTTCAACTGCATCGATAAGCACCACAGCTCCATCACAGAGACGAGAGGCCGTAGAAACTTCACTGCTGAAGTCGATATGACCCGGAGAGTCGATGAGGTTAATCAAGTACTCCTTTTTGATAGGATCTGTATCCGGACTTGAACGGCGAAACATAGAGAAGAACAGTGAAATCGCAGATGATTCCATTGTAATACCTCGTAGTTGTTCATCCGGCCTTGAATCCAAGTAGCGGATTTTACCGGCCAACTTGGGCGAGATAATGCCATTGGTGGCAATAAGACTGTCTGTGAGGGATGTTTTGCCATGATCCTAAATGGTAGAAAAACAAGGCGAATATGCATAAGAATCATCTCGGAGCACCACAGCGCTGAAGTCAATGCGAGGTATGTCGTCAAGCACTTACAACGTGGGCGAGGATACAGATCTAGCGCCGATATTAGTATATCACGGGATCTGACATCACCTGGCGTGATGGAGGGGCAGAGACTCACATTCCGAATATCCTCAGGTTGCCGTTGCAGACGAACTAAATCATCTATATTGACCACGGGCATGTTTAATCGTTGGGGAGCTGCTCCCTTTTTGCCTCTTTAGGTTTTCAAAAGGTGGAAGGTGGTGGGGAGAGTGATAGAAAAGGTGGTTAGCCGTCCGCGAAAAAAAAGTATCACTGGTGTCGGGTATCCAGAAACAGAAGGCGCTATGTATGTAACGCTTTCGAAAACAGCGGCCCATTCTCATTATATGTAAAACTCATAGTTCAATCCTAAGTTTCCTGTGATTGCTATCTCAAGCGACTAGTGTGTGAGTACGACTTCCTCGGAAAATCTCGCTAGCGTGACTGTGTAAAGTCGTGAGGTGAGTCTGACTGGAGAGAGACTCGGTCGCTTCGTCATCGAGAGTTGACTCATGATGAATCAACCCCAAGGCTACCTCAATCATCAATGTACTTTCCTTTCCTACGCCGATTCGACATTAAAGACCATTTTTTTATGCGCTCTCCAATCTAAATTTAGACTTTTGCGTGTACTCAAGGATTCATTTCCGCTACTGCGACTTCATTCTGCATCAGCGAAGGACAGTTTGATCTTTTTGATATTTTTGGCCTTTTTGTGTCCTTGCGGCTTGGATGGCAAAGCTTGGAGCTTCGCTTGTTGGGCAGCTGACTCGCTTTGTTCATCGTCGCCCACAAGCTTAGCTTGTTTGCGCTTCTTGGGACCTCCAATTTCCAGCAGATTTTTCTGTTGCCTCGACAGTTGATTCTCAGCCTGTGACTGTACGTCTCTCTCGTCTTGTTCGCCGGCCTCGCTGGTACCGCAGGAGTCGTCGGGCTTTTCGTTTGAGACCCCACGCACGAGAGCTTCATATTCTGTTTTAGAGATCACCTCATTGCTAGTCTCATCGACGTAGACGGGAGCGTCGTCGTCGTCCTCATTTTTGTCCTTGAGTTTCCGAGGCCGGGCGGCAGGCCGCTCGAGTCGACCCGAATTGTCGCCGTAGTGACCCCGAAGCTTCTGCAAAAAGGCTGGCTCCTTTGCCTCTGGAATTCATGTGAGCAAAGTCTTTGTTGATCGTATAATTCGCATACCGTAGGCTAGTTTCGCATTTTTGGGCATAGTGGTGCGACGCGAAGTGGACTCCAGACAGTTCAAGGCAGAGTCATGCCGCACAAGCCCTTCTCAATTGCGAAAAATTGAGATAGTCCTCAGACCTTCTCAAGCCATCCAAGTCTCATGCAATCAGACAGCTCAGCAAGACCAGATGTCGCGTACAGAAATCATTCAAACAATGTAAACCCGGACAAGTGCCCGCGGCAGTCAGAGGCTCGGAGGCATTTTATCGCATGCGTGCTCTGCTCGGCGCTAAACCGGAACGGGTCACATCGAAAAGTCCAATGAAGCTCCCGGGTCGCGTCTAGTCCTCTCCATCAATCGAATCTTCAGCATCATTAAAACAATCATGCTTTGCGCAAGTAAGTGACATCAATCAATTCTTCTGTAAAGGAAATCATTGAATCATACATTAACCCTTGCCTCTGAACAGTCTCTGGAGAGGCCCCTCAAGTTCCGGTCGTCTCTACCAAGAGCGGTAGGTCTTTCCAGCCTCCAGCAGGCGGGTTGCGCGTGTCGCTAATGCGATTACAGGCAGCGTTTTCGAGAAACGTCTCATTGAGGCGTACATCAGTGAGCACGGAAAGGATCCTGTGAACGGGGAGGATCTGACAGTCGAGGATCTCATTGATGTCAAATCGCAGCGCGTTGTCCGACCCCGTCCTCCTACTCTCACTTCGATTCCATCTTTACTCAGCGTTTTCCAAGAGGAATGGGACGCGCTAGCTTTAGAAACATACACACTACAACAGACGTTGGCGCAGACTCGACGTGAGCTTAGTGCCGCTCTCTACCAGCACGACGCTGCTGTGCGAGTGATTGCACGTCTCACGAAGGAGAGGGACGAAGCCCGTGATGCGCTGTCACAGGTGACCGTCGGAGCCAGCAAACCCAGCGCTGGTGGGGAAGCTATGCAGGTGGACTCGGCCGCTCTGCCTCAAGCTGTGCTAGATGTCATCGAAAACACACAAGCGGCGTATGTCAGCCCTTGTCGCAACCTCGGCGACCATGCTCTTCGAGTCGTGCTAACTCGACGTTTGTCAAATCTTCTAGTTTGTCTAAAACTCGTCGCAAGCGCCCGGTCCCCGACAATTGGGCTACTGTCGAATCGATCTCCTCGTACAAACCCGCGGAAAGCTCTGGGCCTCTCTGCTCAGGAGGTCGCGCGCTCGCTGTTCACTCCGCGGGAGAGCTGGCCCTGATCGGTGGCGCGGATGGAGCTGTCAGTGTGTACTCTCTGTCTCAAAAAGCTGTTCTGCATAGCTTGAAGACGGATGGTCCAGTGACCGATGCTACATGGGCTGGGGATAAGGCAGTGGTTGGATCTACAACCGGCTCGGTCAAGGTGTTCGAGAATGGCAATGAAGCAGCTAGCTTCGCTGCCCATAGTGGTGAGGTTACCGGTGTTGCTGTACATGCCAGCGGTCACATTGTTGCCTCTGTGGGAGTGGACAAGAGCTACGTGCTCTACGACATGCTTTCCAATTCTACAATCACACAGGTTTGGAGCGACGCTGGTAAGACCCATTCTAATGCTGTAAATCTCAGATGACAGAACTAACATCTCCACCCTAGCCCTTCTGTCTGTCCAATTCCACCCTGATGGCCACTTGTTGGCTACCGGTACCGCCAGTGGCCAGGTTAAGATCTTTGATGTGCGAACTGGCATCGCGGCCGCCGATTTCACGATGTCGGGTCCGGTGAAGTGCATTTTCTTCTCCGAGAATGGAACCTCTCTCGCCGCAGTATCTGCACAATCAACCACAGTCTCGATCTGGGATCTCCGGAGCTTCAAGGAGATCAAGGTGTTGGATACTGGCAACCAGGTAAAATCGCTGCACTGGGACTACACCGGCCAGTTCCTCGCCACTGGTGGTCCAAGTGGAGTAACTGTTCAGCAATGCAACAAGTCCGCAAAAGAGTGGTCTGAGCCGCTGCGCAGTGCTGTCCCCGCCGTCTCAGTGGCATGGGGATCTGCCGCTCAGAGCATTGTGGCCCTCAATCCAGAGGGTGCAGTCACTGTTCTTTCAGCTTGAGCGCGAACATGCTACTTGGCAATGGAAGATCAAAAGATAGAAATCACAATACCAGATAATGAAACATCGGGACAGTCCCTCATGTAACCCTCAATCCACATCCTTTCTGGGCAGACATTATTGACCCTTGAAGTCTACCTATCAATCTCCACGCTTGCATTGATCAATATGATAATATTTTTGTCCTTTCCGAGGTTGTCAATGTTACTAGCTTTTGTTTTCCCCCTTCACCTACGGTTATTTTGGTCTAGCACGGGCAGGTGAACTTCTATATAGCTAAAAGCCCATGATTGTTCAAAACAGGCCTAAACTCTCCTCCCGCTAGACGACCGATAGAAGCACTTGGGAACGAATGTAATTTTAAAAAGATATACAATATGGAAGCCTCAGAAATTGGAGTTTACAATGGGTGTCAGCAAGATCATCTGCCAGGAAGATTAATCGGACAACAGTTGAAGGAAGAGCGTTGAAACAGACCATCAAAAAGAGTGCTCTTATCGGCCGCTGCCATCCTGGGTCGACGTATGACGCAATTATCTGACACTATGGTTCACCGCCCTGGAACGTAGAATGTAGCGCGTACCGCCCGGCATCAAAAGAGGCAGATTGTCACCGCCTTCACATAATTAGGCCTGCTCGTTGTGTCAAACCACTGCATTCATCTTCTATAGACTGACAACTGCCTTCCTTCTCACACATTTTCGCTTCAATTCCATCATATACTACAGTCAACTGCGCCCATATGATGAGTGAAGATCCCGGCGTCCAATTTATGGGCGCCAGGTCTAAGGTATGCGACAACCTCCAGATCTTTGGCTCGCGGGGCAAATGTGAACGAAACAACAGAGTGGGACACCGTTGCTGATTCACGGGTACCCCTGGTCTCCAGACATCACATCGTTCTATGTTGCAGCAACCTGGCGAAGACGACCAGTCGCCCTGGTATCGCCACTTCCATCCCCGGCGCCCTGAAATGTCCTCCTCACGTTCGTCTCAACTGCCATCGCTTTTCACCTTCCGAGAGCATTCTGAGATTCGCCAGTCAGCTGATTCCGGGCGCGGTGGTGGGACGGTGATTGACCTGACGAATGAACCAGAGTCGTTTCCACAGCGGCGATATTCCGTCTTAGACGGACCGGCTGCTTCTAACACCCCACGACCTCCCCGATTTGGACGAAACATCCTGGCTGATGTGGACGTCGTTGATCTCGAGGATGAATCAGAGTATGCAGTGGATGGTCGCGCTGGGGAGGATGCTGATGAGGAGGATCGTGCTGCTGAGATCCCGTCCAGTAGTCCAGAAGTTCAATTTGTCAGGACTCAGCCTCGTGCAGATGCTAGGCCACAGAGATACAACCCGTATCGTCTATTGGGAATGAACCGCGGAGGTGGTTATCGTCCACCACCACGCTTGGGTAGCAGTCAACGTGAACTCAGACCTGCGCCCCCGCGCATTATTCCTTATCATCGCTTCGCGTTTGAACCCCCATCGATCTTGAACTCAAGCATCTCACTCGATTACGAGCTCCCGTCTTTTACCATTGGCCAAAACATGACACGTCCGGCACCAAGCGGCCACCAAGCGCTGAACACTGTTGCGTACAAACAACCCAGTCCCCTTCCTGAGGGCTTTGCCAGAACCATAGACGAGGACCAGGTCGCGGTCTGCCCAAACTGCGAATGGGAACTAGGGACTGGTGAGGGCAAGAAGCAGAATATCTTGGTCGCCAAAGCATGTGGCCATGTAAGGACCTTCACCTCTCCTCAGATTACACCGCTTGCTAACCGAAAATCTTCGTCATGATACAGGTCTACTGCGGCGAATGCGTGGAGCATCGGTCTAAGTCCAAAGCAAAGAAAGCTCAAGGTGATCGCCGGACTAAGCCTTTTTCGAAGTGCGTTGTGGAAGACTGTGACAAGCAACTAAGTGCTCCTTCGGCCTTCCTCCGCATGTATCTTTGATACTTGTGCTTTCTTCTACCTCGATATCCGTCGATGCTTGCAGGGCATCCAGACGTGCCAGTCTGCATAACGTGGGCTCTCCAATCGGTTTCTTCTCAATTAGCTTCTCGGCCATCTGGTCTTCTTACGGTGATACCCAACTTGCATGGTGGCGCATGGCGTTTATTTTTTTTCTCATTTGAGCGTCGGACCAATGCTAAATCACTTCTTTCTTTTCTAGCAATTGAGCGGTTAACTTTGATAGTAAACTACTGAGGCCGTGAGCTCATTGCACGGCGTTTAACAAAGCACTAAGCCAGCAAGTTATTAAGTCAAGGAGCATGCCAGTAGTCTAAGTCAAAGTCTTCACGGAAGGCAAGCAGACAAGCTGGTACACAATTGTAGCACAGGAATGATATTGAGGTATGAATTGATTTGAGCAGAATGCATGAAGAAGAGATAAGGCAAGGCGCATGTCGAAGAAACGCTCTAGTATAGTGATACATATGATACAATAGCAGGATTCATTCAATGTGAATCACAATGTCATTGCAGAAACAGATTGAGGAAGGGGGTTGACGGTCCAAGACGAATCGTTTTGTTCAAACGCCACGAAGATCACCGTGGTATGGTGACCAAATGCCACGCACACTTTCGTTCAAACTCGTCACGGGTTTCTTCTGGGCCTTCAGTTTCTCACCACTGGCATCCTTGAGGATCATGGCTTTCGTCAAAATATCTTTGGGCTCGAGGTTACGCACACATATGGCCTTCTCTCGACCATTGATGTAGTGTCCACGGATGACCGGGTGCTTTGAATGTCGCGGAGATACACGGATCTCGATTTGGGGATTCTCTCGCGCAAAGTTGGGAAGGGTTTGTGTGAGGAAAGCCCTGGAAAGACGAAGGTAAATCAGACCATGAAGGCTTCAACGTCAATTCAAGAACGGAAAACATACAGCATGCCCCGGGAGCTGCCTCCGTAGTTGCAGTAATGAAAATCAAGGCGTTTGCATTGTAGGATGAAGGCGCCAACACCATTCTGTTGTTCAAGTCAGTTACGCCTCCGATACTCGATCAACACTCCATTTTGTAATTTCAACCAGCAAAGAGCACATACCCTAGCGGCAGATACCGTCTTGATTCCCTTGACTGGCATGATTCTGGTTTTTGTGGCTTAATATCTGTCTTGCTGTCATTGCATGCAATGCTTCCCCGGCATATTTTCTCGACGCCAGCTGAAGGCGGTGAGGCGCCGCCAAGGCCATCGAGCGCTTTAAGCGCGGGAACCGCGCCTCACTCAACGACCTTCCCGTACCTACATATCCAGTGAGCTAAGGTTCATCATCAATATCATCGAGGACCCTCCACTATTCTCTTGAGAGGCCAAGTCCAAGATGACGGACAAGCTGCCTCCGCCGCTTCTGGCGCTTTTTCAACCCCGGCCACCTTTGCGCTACATACCTCCCTCAGATCGCGCCCCGGAAGACTGCGGCAAAAGCTCAATCTCTGGCGTTGCCCAATTCCTCCCTGCTGCCAAGCAGTTCCAAGAGGAAGTCCCATACAATGCGACTGAATGCTGGCTCCAGCGCAAGTGGCGAGAGAAGGTCGAAAAGAAGGAAGAAGTTGCGAAGAAGCTGACAGAGAGCTTGGAGCATTGTATGCCGTTGCCGGAAATCCCTTCGCGGTGTCACTAAAATAACTAACGATCACCAAACCCACAGATGACCCTAAGGAGGACCCTCAAGCTCGAGGCGATCCTTTTAGGACTCTTTTTGTTGCGCGTCTCAGCTACGATGTAAAGGAGGCTGATTTGGAGCGCGAATTCGGTCGTTTCGGTCCTATCGAGCGCGTAAGGCAGTCCTGCCAAATGCCAACAGTTCCTCTTGTGCTTTCTGACTCATTTCTCTTTATCACAGATCCGAATCGTCAAGGATACGATTTCCCCAAATGCATCCAAGAAGCCCCATCGCGGATACGCTTTCATTGTCTACGAAAGAGAGAAGGATATGAAAGGTACAATGATTAATGGCTTGCGAGGAACCATTCGATATCTCACCTACCTTTATCCAGATCGAGCATCGCTAACTTCCAATTGGTCTTTCCAGCTGCGTACAAGGAAACTGACGGCATCCGGATCAAGGATCGACGCGTACTCGTTGACGTCGAGCGTGGTCGCACAACAAAGGGCTGGAAGCCTCGCCGTTTGGGCGGTGGACTCGGGGGTCGCGGCTACACAAAAGCAATGCCGTCCCGGCCCATGGGGCCAGGCTTCAACGCGCCCTCAGGTCCAGGTGGGTTTGGAGGAGGTTTCCGTGGTGGCTTTGGTGGCAGAGGCTTCCGTGGCGGCGGTGGCTTCCGCGGCGGCGGTGATCGTTTCGGTGGTCGTGGAGGAGTTGGCTTCCAAGGTGGCCGTGGTGGGTTTGGAGGTCAAGCTCCACCAAATGCTCCTTCTGGTCCTGGCGGTGCCCGCAGTGGTGGATTCGGAAGTAATTATGGCGGCGGCGGGGGTGCTGGTGGCAGGTTTGATCGCGGAGTGACAGGTAGCAACCGCGAGCCCGTTCGCCCTCGAGACGCATATGCAGACCGTGATCGCCGCGACGATCGTGATCGTGGCGATCGCGCAGACAGGGGCGATCGGGATAGTGGCGACCGGTACAGAGACCGTGATCGCATGTCGGACCGCAACGGGGACCGTTATCGCGACCGTGACCGTGAACGCGACAGATATGGTGGTGGTGCTGGTGGTGGTGGTAGCCGGGAGGACTATGGGCGCAAGCGCCCTCGTGAGGATGACGGCTATGATGACAGTCGCTCTAGGAGACGATACTAAGCGCGGCAAATCCTTCCTTTCACCCTCGGCATGGCCCTCGACGTCCCCTGTTGAAATCCGAGTTGCTGGTGGGTACACTTGCCCTCGTCTATTGCTCGTCCTCTTATCTTCAGGGTAAGGAACGATAATGCGGCGCTTATGTGAAGATCAGAGCGAAGCCTCTCGTTCTCAACATGCAGTGACACCATACTTTGTTGACCACAGGGCGCCCCGATCACCACGCCATTCCAGTCTCTGCACCAGCATGCATCTAACCTTGCATGGTTCTCGTGGAGTGTTTTGATATTCGCCTTCCTTTTTGAGGTTACCTTTGAAGGTCGTTTTCTTTTGTTGCGTCCATTTTTTGAAGGGTCCCTCAAGCGACCCTTCCTTGAGGGTAAGTATGTACTTTAGTTCAAGCAATTCTTTACGTTCATGCAACACAAGCACGGAACAGCGCTCAGGTAAGGCCAGGTAAGAACCATTGCATCGACTCATGCGCAGGCGTCGGCCGAGGTGATATGTATGCAGATGAAACAATACCCTTGAGTGCAAGTTAAATAATCTTAATCGTCAAGTGGCATGAATTTTGTAAATCTTTTTATGTCCAATCTGGTATCTATCATCGCAAGTATATCAACTGGAAGGACCCCCACCTAGGACAGATACTAGGCAGATCAAGGGGTCTTGACTGTAATCGAAGGAAACGAAAAGCGCCCACCCCATAACTCCGTAAGATGCCTTTGAAGAATCTTTCTCTGTGTTTTTGCAGTGGTCACAGAACGACCTCAGAAAAGCCGGCAAATGAGACTGTAACGTGACCATGCGCCTAAGCATCGGTTTCCATGTCGCCCTCCTCCAGAATTTTGATTTCTCCAGTCTCACGTGTCCACATGGCCTTGAGGTCTACCTTGAACTCGGAGGAAGTAATTCCGAACATCTTCAGGATAGTCGTCTGGCGGGAGTCGAGTGTCTCGCCCTTGCGGCAGATGGGGTAACCCTCTTGGCCCTCGGTCAGCTCGAGCATGACCTTGCCCTTGACCAAGCGAGTAGGAATGCCCAGTTTCCGAAGAGCGGGCTCGATAGTGTGGCTGACAGGCTCATCTTGATCGGCTGGGATCTCACCACCACGGGCAGTGACAAGGCCATTAGGAAGAGTGAAAGAGCGAGTAGCCACGGTGCCAGCACGGGCAAAGTCTGAGGGGTGGAAGTTGTCGAAATATTGAATGACGGAATCGACAGGACGGGAGGTGAAGAGCAGGCCAACCGCACCGGTCAGGTAGGGGCAGAGCTTGTGAAGATTGTCGGCGGCTTCATTCTCGGGGGCGGTACCAAGAGCAACAGCCATGACCTTGGTCTTACCGAAGAAGAGACTGTACGTAAAAGATCAGTCGCTGCGTATGAGTTTTGAGCCAGTCCGACAGCGTGTTTTGCTGGAGATAATTGGCTTATGACTCAATTGATACTGAGCCTTCAGCGGGTCCAAATCACATACCGACTATCACCAAATTCGGCGCGCACGTCCTTCAGGTAGGTGTTTCGCATGTTGTCTACCGAGAAGACGAAGAGGTGATCATATTCCTCTACACATTCCCGAATGTTGGCGTACAGACGGCGAGTCTGCTCCTTGTGGTCCTTCTTGACGGTCTTGGACTCGTGGACGACACGCGCGCTTGGAACGAGGCATCTTTGTTGTTTGGTTGGGATTATTTTCGTAAACGTTTGAGAAATTGAAACTGCGACAACGTCTAATCGTATCCCGCAGTGGCCGTGGGCACTTGTGGCATTCGTTTTTTTCGCTGATAACCGGATCAATAGTTCTGCCGAGCTTATCCGATCCCCACTAGCCTCGATCAGGCAACCAGCTGCGATAGCCCGTCACCTTGCAAGGACGTTTCTTATCGCTTACAACATCGTGAGGGTTGTCTGGGGTCGAGAACATGCTGGATTTCATGGATTATGTCCAGCTTGCATTCGCGGAGGCGACGAATTGGAACACGGATAATTCTTACTCCGCTCTCACGACCACTGCACAGTGTAAGTCGCTCCAGTCGCATGGTTGACGCGCTCTAGACCTCATGCAGTTGGTGCAGCGATTCTAGAATTCGAGACGCCCGAGCGATTCCGTATTCGACTATCTTCGCTCTCAACCCCCCATTTTGCGACCAGCTATTCATTAGGGACAGTGGGGCTGCTTGATGGCTCTATATCATACCTCTTCAGCACAGCACCTTTGTATAATACTCCGAGTCGAAGTGCCCTGATACCCCTCCGAAAGATCTCGCCAGGATACCGACAAGTGCAGGTCCCCGAAGCGCCAAATTTGACATGGGGCTGGAATTCACTCCTTGGAGATGTCGACGATTCCCGATTCAATAGGGGCACACGCTCGGGAAGCGCAGCACACCATGATGACCCCAAGTCATTAGAAGGCGCAGCCCAGCGAAAGGCAACCCTTCTCCACGCATCGCTTCATCTTCCCTCACCGACCACGCTTTATGCGCTGTTTTTGCGCAGATTGTCCCCTACAACCCAGTTGTCCCTCGCGGTCTGCTCCACACGAGGGCCTCCAATGTCCAAGTCCGCGCCGCAGGCGTCCATGCTCGCCCAATTGTCCCACGATACTGGAAAATACTGCAACGAATATCTCTTCAGTACAGACAATGCGCTCTTTGGCTGGCGAGGGCTTTGGAACTTTGGCGCGGATCCTCGATATACCCCCGACAATGCGCCTTCTCGCCCTTCTTTGCTCTCTGCGGGTGCTGAAGCGTATTACTCTCCGGTCTCCTCAATAATTGGCATGTCCACAGGCCTGAGATTCAGCACCCTGCCTGCTGCGACTGAAACACCGTTCTCACCCTCGTCATCAGCCTCCATCACGCCCACGCCAATCTCGACTTTCCCATACACATTGACCTTGACGCTCACTCCCATCACCGGGTCCTTATCTACGACATACTCGCTGCGCGCTTCTCCGAATCTGTCCTTCAGCTCTAAGTTCGGGTTCAATGTTTACAGTTGGGAAAGCGAGATGGTTGCTGGATGTGAGCTATGGCAGCGATCACGGAAATCGACATCACCGTCCGACGATGGGGTAGAATGGGCCCGTCGCAAGATGCGTATGTATGACTCTTCTACGCCTCTTGACGGCACCCTGCCGTCTTCTCCGTATGTGTCCGACCCCATTCAACCTGATTCCGTGACTGGGTCGGAGGCCGACGTCGAGGGCGAGGCCAGCGATTCGGTGATTAAACTCCGGGTAGATCAATCGTGGAATGTGCGACTCCTTTGGGAAGGCCGCGTCAAGGAGTTGCTGGTGAGTGCAGGGGTAGGCCTGGGTCCGGGCTCCTTCTCGACGGCTCCTCACGTCTCCTCCGTCGCGGGGAGTGGGTCGACGCAAAGTGGAGGCGGCGGCCCTGCCACGTCGTACTGGCGCGGAGTTGGGGTCTCGGTCATGTACTCATCATGATTCATGACGATGTTGTGTGGATGCTGATATCAATACGGACGAGCCGTAGACATACCCTGGCGAGTCGCGACTACATGTGTTGATGCGACGGTGGCTATGTAATTTAGGAGGCCCAAGCGGATAACCTTGAATTCGTCGCAAGCTAGACAAGCCTTTGTGGCTGCTTCAATGTACATAGATTTTCTTTTCATAACAACGTATTTCACATTTCGAAATTGGGGGCCTCTTGATGAAGCACGACATGTCAGCCCCGTTGGTCCCGCGTATTAGATGTACCATGGATGGAGTCCAGATGTGTTGCAAGACCAATTTAGATGCGGGCGTTGACAATATCGACGACTGAAGAAAATGGTCAGTTGAGATCATGGGCGTATCGACATGTCGGCCATCCAATGGAGTTGACTTACAGGCAGGCTTCAAGCTAGCACCGCCGACGAGGAAACCGTCAACATCGGGCTGGGTAGCGAGCTCGCGGCAGTTCTTCTCGCTAACGGAGCCACCGTAGATGACACGGACAGTCTCCTGGGCGTGGGAGTCGATGGTCTTGCCGAGCCACTCACGGATGGCAGCGTGGACCTCCTGAGCCTGCTCAGTGGTAGCGACCTTGCCAGTGCCGATGGCCCAGACAGGCTCGTAGGCAATGACAACCTTGGCCCATTGCTCCTTGCTCAGCTCCTTGGCAGCGGCATTGAGCTGACGGGTGACGACCTCAATGGTCTTGTTGGCCTCACGCTCCTGTACGAAAATGAACATCGGGTGTTAGCGGCGGTTCTTCATCTTGAATGTGATTCCGGTGCCCCACTTCGGGGGTTCGGGATACAGAACGAATAGCCGAAAATAGTATGACATACCTCGAGGGTCTCACCGATGCAGAAGATGACAGAGAGACCGCCGTCAATGGCAGCCTTGGTCTTGCGAGCAATGAACTAAACAAGAAGGAGGGGTCAGTGTCATGGCATGGGTGAAGCTGTACGCTTGAGGCTGCGTTCCATGTGCCGCATCCGCAGCGGAAGAAGTTTGAATTGCGGACATACCTCATCGGTCTCCTTGAGAATGACACGGCGCTCGCTGTGACCGATGACGACCCAGTCGATCTTGGCATCCTTCAGCTGCTCAACGCTGATCTCGCCGGTGAAGGCACCGTTGGGCTTGTCAAAGACGTTCTGGGCAGCAACGCCAATTTTGGGGTCGGCCAAGCTGCGGGTGAGGGTGAGGTAGAGAGCAGGAGGAGAGATGACGACCTCGGTGTTGGGGTCAAGCTTGGAGGAGTTGAGGTTGTTGACGATGCCGGTGATGCTCTCAGCAACACCGTTCCTAGAGAAAGAGTCAGATCTCTCGCGTCTATTGCATCATCGCCGTCGTCTGATGGAGGGGTAGTTCAGTGAATCGATGCATTGGGCAATCACATACATCTTGAAGTTACCACCGACGAAGAATTGGCGAGGCATGTTGACAGAGTGTATGGATTTTGGTTATAGGAGGAGAGGAAATAATGTGATGAAAAGTAACGCGGAATGACAGCAACGCGAGTATAAGAGGGGAGCTTGTACGGTTAAAAAACATGGAGGGGCATCTCCCGAGGATTTGGCGCCTGAGCAACCAGGCCAGCCCCGCCATGACATAACCGGTACACCGAGTGACCGAGTGACCGAAGGGCCTGCATCCACAATTCCGAGTGCTTCGAGAGCGCACAACACTACTACAGCACCATAGAATTGGCCATAGATGTGCATCATGTGAGGTTACCTGAAGCTCATGTAGTGTTGCGAGAAATTTCAATTCATTGAGTAATCGTCAGCTGTATTGAAAAAAAGAGGACGTCGAGTATAGATGTAGGAGATGATGATAGACCTTAGTCGAGCCAACACATCAATGCCGAGACCTGGAAGCACCGCTGATAACATAATGATGCGAAATCACTGAGTGGAGAGCCACATCATGAATAGCATTGTCTCTCTCCATGCCACACAATGCATCTTCACGTGACACAAGGCATTCAAACGATCTTGGAGCGCCTATGTCTTGAGTTTCTTTCAACAAAGGAAGAGCACACGCATTGGCGGCGGAGAATGTCTTTGCGTACCTAGGTAGGCTATGTCTTGGACCTTGTACTCATTATTCGTCGGGTGTATATATATTTAGGTCTATCGATGTGAGACAATGGCCCGGCACAACCTTGAATGGAAGTTCATTGTGATTTCGATCAAAGTCCACCCGGGCTACCATCTGGATCGAGTGACACTCCAAAGATACCAATCACCGCGAACTATATAATGTACTTGAGCCGGCTGTCTCCCTAAGGTCTATTAGAGCCAATTTGAGCAATCATTTTTTGTGCTAGCACATCAATCTTCTCTTTTATTTCAATCTCATCTGGAAGACCAGCTACACACAGTGTCCGGCGATTTTTCACCCCAACGCAATAATGGACAAGTATCGATACGAGACCCCCGACGCATGGAAAAGGGGATTCTGTTTGTCTGTACGCGATCTAGTAGATCCTGAAAGCAAGCTGGCCCAGAAGTATCCTCATCTCTGTCAGATCTTTCGGCATCGCCTGGAAACTGCCTATTCAGAGAGGCAGTTTAAGCCAGTCTCGCTTTGCGCACATACTGATTACGAAAACGGGTATCAAGGTAGTCGAAGTGATTCTGACCACTTTCAACGAACTGAATGGTTCAGACAATTGCAGAAAGCCGACTGGATGAAAGACGACACTCGGAATCGAATGGAGCACATTTGCCCTGATGTCTCAAAGCGAATGGACTTTTACGGCATTGCGGGCGAAGGCAGTAAGTACATCTCTCCTCTGACTCCCACTCCACTCGTCGATGTTGCTAACGTGATTTCTAGCTTTTGGCTCAGTGTTTCTGGCTCGCGAGCACAATGAGGAGGCAGCGGACCCCAATCATCTCGAGCATTACGCTGTCAAGGTGACAAAGCATGAAACTCTGATCGGTGGCTTGCACGACGGTCTCTGGGAAGCTCCGAATGGAGTTGTTCCTGATACTCGAGCTCCCCCGACCTACATTCCCAGTGAAGCTCTGGTGATGTTTTTTCTCACTGACAGTGACAGGTTCCCAAAATTGGATTCCGTCTACACCCATGATCGCTTTCAAGCCATCGTCATGTCTCCATGTGTTGACTATAGTTCGGAGCGACAACCCGTGCCCTCGGGCGATTATGACCGTCAGTTTCCCGGCTTCACGGCTCGGTATCTGCTCACAAAGGACCGTAAACCCCTTCTCAGCGTGAACCAGGCATGCAAGGTATCGGCTCAGCTTTTGGAAGCCATGAGACATCTGGCAGATATGAATATCTGGCACAACGATATCTCTGTCAACAACATATTGGTGGACAAGAATTTGAATGTAAGTTGGGTCTCCCTATCCCCCAATGTTTCATCCCTTATGACCTGTTCGCTCGGATTCCAGGACCGAGAATAATACTGACTATCATTCAAACATATAGGCTCAAATGATTGACCTCGGTGAATTCGCTTTCGGATTGGAAGAACAAGACTTTCTTCAGGCAGGCTTTCGGTCTGTCCCATTCCAGGAATATCAGATGTTCCCAGAGCTCGCGTTGAGCGAGGAGAAAGACAACGGCATCTGTAGGAGCGACCTACACGACTTACGCGAAGAATGTATGTGGAAATTCGGTACGATCATATATGGTATTTTACACGGCCATTGGCCCTGGGACGAAGCCCCGAAGAACGGCGAGCCACATCGGGATTTGTTGGATCCAGATGTCTACTATGACAAGTCGCATATCTATCATCGGAGAAATCGCATTCTGAACGAGCCATTGCCGATTGATGAGAATCTACCACAGGATTGCAAGGTCGTTTTGCAGTCCATGTTCAGTAAAGACCCCGCGGAACGGCCTAGTCTTGCAGAATTGGAGGGTTATCCTTGGTTTGCGCAATGGGCTCGGGAGACTCAGGTTTTCGAGCGCCCATTTTCCAAAGAGTTTCGCAGCACTTACACGCAGCGGCGTCGTTGACTTCGTTACAACCAGAAGAAGCAGGCTCATCCTTCTTCGTGATTGGACTTCGTCGACTTGCCCGGCCCCAGGTGTCACCAAACCTGTCAGGTCTATTAACTTCCAACCTGGACTGCTCATACAGCATGTTCTGTTTTGAAACTAAGGGAGGCTACTGTCTAATGTCTCGAGTGCTCAATGCTCAGCTTTTGACATTATACATCTAGTTATCATTTTGGTCGTGAAGAGTACGCTTCGTAATGACTCATGGAAAGCACTTAGGTATACAAAATTTTTAGTTGAGTAGATATCTGGGTTATACTGTCAGCTTCCATATTTTAGCACTGTAAGGTAGACATCTCTGCAACGAAGCCCAAGCTGACTCCACAACCGTAGAGCCGACCTGTCAAAAACTGGGATGGCGGCCTCGGTCGCTTCAGGTTTGCAGCTGATAACGACCATTCATGGGACGAAAATGTGAGATTCGGCAACGCGTCATCGAATATACTCCTTACCACGATTTAAGGAGAATCTTTCGAATTTCCGATCGAATGGTTGTACGCTACGGGAAGGGAATGTTTAGCAATAGTATCTCTGTTCATGGCGGCTAGCCGATGTAGGATGTCGTGAAATGAACGTCTTTTGAAATATGAAACCATACTTCAGGCGCTGGATTGATTAATCAATAATATCGAGTAGCATAGCAGGCAACCGTCATGCCACTCAGTTCGCATTAACACGCTAAAGTCGAATAATTGAGCGTGAAGTCGTATAAAGCTGCTGGTAGAGGCAACGTTCCATCAACACCAGGGGAGAAGAAAACACAAGATAGGAGCTGGATGCGCAAGACAACGAGAAAAATGAAGAGCTTCAGCGTCTGAGGCTATCCAAACGCGCTTGAAGATCATCATCGCCGGCATCAGGCGCACCACCACCACCACCGCCTCCACCGATCGCCTGAGCGACGCGAACGTTGCTTGCAGACTCTCTTTGAATCTCGCCAGAAGGCGTCTCACCCAGCTGGGAAGGAACGGTCAGTATATCTAATAATAAAGTCGGAACGCTAGGTTTACGAACCGCCTGAGTCAAATCAACACCAATCTCATCAAGAACCTCCTTTACAATGTCTTCGCCCTCTGCCTCATCATCTTCCATTCCTGTTGCCTCGTCAATGGCATCATCCATCATTTCCTGTCGTTCGTCCATGATTTCGTTCTCTCGTTCGAATTCCATCGTTATGCGCTGGAGCGCAGGCAGATTCATCTGGCGATTCATACTACCCAGAAGCATTGTTGCCCCTTTCATTGATTGCATCATTTGTTCATTGCTGCGAACGGTCTGGCGCGTGTCCATTGTGAGCTTCTTGACATACGCTTCTGGCAGGTTGAGGACATGAGACGTACCTGAATTCTTAGCGAGATGGCTTGTAATTGCGTCCGCATTTGGTAGAATTTCTGAATATAGCTGCCGATGCGCGAGATAGATTAGTTGGGTTGACTCGCGATATCTGAGAGCATTGATCGATCGAAGCTTACCGTCTGGTCCGGACCAGGTCTTTGGCTTGAATTTTGCAGGCTCCAATTTGTCCATTTTTGGCACTCTTTTTGATATCTTGAATGAGCTTCTTCTCTTGATTCTCAAGTTTGGTGCGTTCGCGGTCCAGTTCACGCTGCGTTCGATCGAGTGCTCGCTGATGCTTGCGCAGACGCTCTGCAGGTGTCATGCGCTTGCCGAAAGCCCATTCGACGATCTATCCCAACAATTAGCCGTGTCTTGGGGGACAAGAATAGATGAGAGAAAGCTTACGTTCATTGTGGCAGTATCGTGGCAGAACCAAGCTCTTGAGCTCCTCGAACAATACTCAATCAGGCGCCAATGCTTATTTACTGGACGGGCACTTGGGGCAGTGACATCAAGTGGGACGGCGGCATAATCAGGTAAGATAAAGGTTACTTACTGCCGCTTTACCGGCTTACCGCTCAGTCACATGCTAAGCTAATCCTGTTTAGACTAGTCTTCTTCGGTCCTAAACCGTGGCACGTCACTCCACCTAAAACTACGCTCTTCCATAAACGTTCCGTTCATGGACTTGCCACCATCAAGTGAATCGCTATGAGCCAGGATAACTCACCAGGGGAAGGCTCTTCGAAGGCCGGATCATCTCGTTTTGCCGGCGAGGATGAAGAGCGAAGTCCATTCACACCTCCTCCGGCGTACATGACCGTTGGCAGCGGTTCGACCTCGGCGAGTGCCACGGCGCTGATGACATCGTTGAACAACGACTCTGGTTACGGTGGTAGTGTCGCTGGTGACAGCTCTGCTGACCTTGACGGCAGTGCCGCCTGGCGCGCTGGCCTGCTGGAGGATCGGCCAACGCCGCTTCACACTCCCACACGCACTGGGGAATGGAATCCTGCAGGTGAGTAAACCCATAGCCACTCGAACCGCTATACATAAGTTTTCCGAGCTGACAGGATTCTTTTTTCCGATAAGCTGAGCATGAAAGGCAGGTCGTTGCCAATCATGTCCACCAACTTCTTTAGTACGTGACCATTCACTATTCCTTCCTGAAGTCAAACTGCTTCTGGGCAATTCTCTGACAATCACGCGCATTTCAGTAACTCGAACCGCACAAAACTCGGTCGCGCTATTTCACGAACTATCGAGACGTTGAAGGAGTTGCAGGAAATGAATCGTCAGTGGCCAGCACACTATCCCTCCGTACAAAGCGCCCCACAATCACCCTCGGATCGACCGCGGATTTCGCACACTTTCTCGCAGATTGGCCACGATGGAGATGAAGACGCTATGACAAGACCTGAGTTGAGGCGTGCAGCGACTACTTTTGGTGGCGATGATTTATCTGAATCAAGTGTTGCGGCTGAACGCCGCATACCTGCGGGGCCTCGCTTGATGACCCCCCAGATCGCGCAGGAGTTCTCCATCTTGAAACTTGACTTGAAGTTGGGTGCGCTCTCACAAGCAGAGCTCGTGCATTCATTGGAGAAAGCGTCTATTGCCTCGCTGCTGGATGGAAAGATCAGTCAGAGCATCAAACACCTTCTTTCTTTGCGAGACCGAATCGAGGACACTTCCAGTAAGGTGCTGGTGACTGGCGATCTGAATGCGGGCAAATCGACATTCTGCAATGCCCTTCTACGACGCAAAGTCTTGCCGGAGGACCAGCAACCCTGCACAAGTATCTTCTGCGAAGTACTTGATGCACGAGAGAATGGCGGGATCGAAGAAGTGCATGCTGTACACAAGGATGCCCAGTACAACCGGAACGATGAGAGCACATACGACGTTTATCCTCTTTCTGAGCTCGAGAACATTGTGATCGACAACGACAAATACATGCAGTGCAAGGTGTACGTCAAGGACGTCAGGTCCATCGACGAGTCCTTGCTCAATAATGGAGTAGTTGATATTGCTCTCATTGATGCACCTGGCTTGAACTCAGATTCTTTGAAGACGACAGCTGTCTTTGCGCGACAAGAGGAAATCGATGTTGTCGTGTTTGTGGTATCGGCTGCAAACCACTTCACTCTTTCAGCGAAAGAGTTCATCCTTAATGCTGCACACGAAAAGGCCTACATCTTCATGGTTGTGAACGGATTCGATCAAATCCGCGATAAGAAGCGATGTGAGCGCATGATCCTTGATCAAGTTGGTAAATTGAGCCCTCGCACATACAAGGAGGCTGCGGAATTGGTTCACTTTGTCTCGAGCAATGCTATTCCGGTTGCCCCTGCTGGAGCCCTCTCCCAGACGGGCTCAGGCAGCGGCGGCGGCGGCGGCGGCGGCGGAGGAGATGGTGATCCATACGATGATGACGATGATGATCTCTCAAGCAAAGGAAAAGGCAAGGAGAAAGAGAAGATTCGAGACTTTGAGAACCTCGAAGGGGCACTTCGCCGATTCGTGCTTGAGAAGCGATCACGGTCAAAGCTTGCTCCCGCGCGCACGTACCTGCTCAATTTATTGGCTGATATCAATGGGTTGGCTACAGTCAACCGTGATATAGCTCAAGCAGAGCTCCAGCGAGTGACGGATGAGTTGGCTGAACTTGAGCCTGCATACGAGAATGGAAAGAAACAAAAGGCGGAGCTGACCGAGAGTGTGAACAATGCGATTGATGAATCGTGCGATGATGTGTATAATCACACACGATCAACGCTGGCGGAGACCATTGCACAAGTGTCTGAGGCAGACCTGGGTGTTGAATATCCGGGCGTCTTTTCCGCCTTCCAATACGCAGAGGATTTGAAACAAGCAATGCTTGACCAAATTTCGACGGCGGTCAACGGGTGTGAAGACTATGCACGTGAAAAGACCTCCCAGGGCGTAGGGTTCATCCAGAATATTGGCTTGTTGCATGTCGGTGAAGATAAATTTACGCCTCTCAATTTTCGGGCTGACCTGATGTTCCGTCGCGGACGCCGTCATGGCCTGGCCCGGCAGGTCGATACAGAGGTAGACCTTTGGGATTTCTTCGACGTCGCAGCTCTCTGGGATCACCAGGAGAAGATGGCCGGGACTGGTGTTGCAATGACCGCAGTCACCGTTCTTGGTAGCAGAGCTCTCGGTGGATTCAGTTGGGTGGATAGTGCTTTAAGTGCCGCTAGAGTTATCGGTCCCAACAACATGCGCCGATTGTTCTTCCCGGGCGTGTTGGCTGCTGGTAAGATTTGAGAAGATGGCTTTTTGCACCTACAGATGACATATATGCTAATATTTACCCCACAGCCGTTATCGCTACTGCCTACATATTGTCCAGCATCCCCAAAACTTTACCACCACGGCTCTCAAAGAAAATCGAAGCCACTCTCAATGAGATGGACTATGTTCATTCCAACGCCAACCGCATTTCCACGGAAGTCCGTAAGATCTTGCGCCTACCCGCCAACAACTTACAATCAAGTTTAGCCCAGGATATCGAGGACCTTGCGCGACGCAAGCAACAGGTTGCCAAGGTCAGGCAAGAGAGTGAAGTTGCGTCAAAATACTTTGCGAACTTGTTCCGCGAGAGTGGTGAGAACCGTCGTTCGATTGAGGACCTTGATCTCGACGGGCCATTGCCGGGCGCAATGGGAGCATTTGACCCATAGGAGGGATCGCCTTCTGCGTCAAAATTGGCATTTCATCTCTTTACCTGTCCTCCCCGCTCCCCCTGTTGTCCTCTGTACAGTTTCTACTCCTTTGTTTGTCTTTTAATTGTACCTTCCCCTCTCATTACTGAGTGTGCTTCATCCGTCGACATGGCGCCAGGGGCCCCAAAAGGTCAACATTAGACCATCTTCATATGTCCCACGGCGTGCTGAGGCGTGTTTTTTTATGGCTGTTATTCCCATTGTCAGCCCATGATTCCCAACTGAAATTTCTGCAATTCAAAAAGGTCCTGGATAATTCACAATATTTCTTCAGCCTGACCTGGGCTTTTATGGGTTGTCCACAGATTCTCTAGCTCCTTTTTTTACCGCGACAACTCAATATTCAAGGCCTTGGTCTTGGGCTGTTCTCAAAGATTGGGAACCAGTGACATTGCAGATGGAAAAATGTCTAAGAGAACCGTTTTGACGGCTCTGTCTCGCAGGTAATAGTTCGCCTTGACGGTAGCTGTTATTCAGCGTTTGATCATTGTGGACTTGCATGATTCGCTGGAATTAGTTCCTTCACCGCGAGACCGCGAGACCACCAGCGTACGACTCTTGCATCTGCCGGATGGGTCCATCTCCATGCTTTTATCGGTTCCATACATAATCACCATAACCGATTTCCTGCGCCTCGGGAGTATACCGCCATCTACTGATGTATCCTTCCATGCTATGGTTTCCACCATTTGTTGTTGCATAAGCTCCGAGCAGAGCGCCAGTAAACAGAAGTTGACCACCAACCAAAGACGCAGGTAGAAGCGCCAAATGCTCGCGCTCGTGAGATTTGGAGGCAGAAGCAGCTGACAGTTCATAATGTGTCGTATTGATTCCATTGATGAAGAGACGAATGGGCGACTTCGACCACGCAGCCGGAACGGGCGTGACCACCGGCGAAGGAAGCTGAGAGAGGCCAATAGAGGAATCGGTCGCCCGGCACCGGAAGACCATGTTCCGCGAAGAATTAGCAACATCTTCCTGCACGAGGATTCCGAGGTCAATATGGTGGTCTTGATGCACGAACACGCTGACCCCGACTTCATCGCCCCCGACTTTGCCGAATCCGGGGTGCACGTCCACTGAAAATTCAAAGAAAGTATTAGTCTGGATGCGGGTGATTAGGGTCAACCCGTCCAGAGCTTTGAATGATGCGTCCCCGGTGATATTGGCTTTTGATGCCGTCAGACGGAGAGTGTTAGGGTGAGACAGTGGAGAAATCGTGAACGACTCCGGTTTGGCAGGTGCGCGCCAGAACAGCCAATGCTTGGGTATCGAAGATCCGGGCTGGAAGTCCACGACGTCCTTCTCTCCCATGAATGTGGGCGGAGAGCGCTTTTCCCCGGACGGGGTGACGGGCAACGGACCGCGCATTGTTCCCTCGACGGGGTCTGCTACAGGCCAGCCACCCTTCGGCCAGCTCACCGGATATAAAACGGTCTCTCGGTCCATGGGGTGGATGGTTTCGTTGTACAGCTTTGGACCACCTCGAGTGGCCAGCGCAACTCCCCACCAATTCCCGTTGGCATCCGAGAAAAGATCCGAATGCCCCACGGTCTGGAAATATCGATCTGTATATCGGGCCGTGACCAATGGATTGTGTGGGGAGCTCTCCCATGGGCCCTTCAGGCTCCGTGAACGGGCAATGGTCGTGGAGTGCTCCAATGCGGTGCCGCCTTCGGCGATGAGCAAATAGTAATAGTCATCTTTCTTATACAGATGCGGACCTTCCTGGTTGTTGAAGCCGGTGCCGTTCCACATATCGAATGGCTCACCAGCCTTGCCCGTGGTCAAGTCAATATAGGCTGCTTCGATTGGGGCACCTGAGAAGGCCATGACCACACTCCCGTCATCGTCCCAAAAGAGATCGGGATCGATTCTGCCCTTGGGGTTCTCAACATGAAGGGCATCCGTCCACGAACTGTCGTCGTAGGGATTTTTGGTCGTGAAGAGCACGAATTGGGTCCCGTTGTTTGGTTTGTACAACCACGCGGTGAGGAGATAGAAGGTTCCGTCATGGTACCGCAGTGTCGATGCAAACATTCCCAGAGTTTGGGAGGTTGTGGCTGTCTGAATCTGAGGAAGCTGAGCAGGCCGATTGAGGGCACTGCTGGCGAGATCCCAGTGGGTCAAATCGGTACTAGCATAGACGGGGCAACCTGGGAAGGCCGAGAACGAGGAAGTCGTGCAGAAGAAGGTATTGTTCCATTCCGAGACAAAGATGCAGCTGGGATCAGAATGCCATCCGGGCAGAATGGGGTTGTGGAAAGTTGAATTACAAGGCTGGGGTAGAGCAGTCGCAGCTTGAAGCCCAAAGCTTGCAATCAGGGTAATCGGCACCTTCATTCTGCTGTTTGGCCTTGGCCGTGATCAATGCCACAATGAATCTGCTTTTCCACTGCGGGATTATCAGCTGTAGGCCGTGAGTGGGCCTCATATCATGGAATTGACCGGTTGATTTAAATACCCCAGCCTCGAGGCGGGGGAGGGGGCGCAAGCATTCGGAGTCTCTTGAGGCTGCATTGTTTTGGAGATCTGCGTCATTACATCAGTCCCTAACCTACAATATTAGCCTAAATTTGACCCCAGCGTTTGTCCCCCAGTTGCAGATCCTTACTGGTTCCGCGAAATGGAAGCATGCATAGTATGCACGCTAGGCGGGGAACCCTGCGAATCTTGGATTAACCCGTAATCCAAGCTCACTACCTCTGCGGGCTTGGAAGTGAACTGAAAGGGCTAGAAGTCGATTGCTCTACATCTCTGTCCTTGCTCTTCATCTCTGTGGTGGAAGATCTAGGTAGCAACTTAACTAAGTCCGGAATCCACTTTGCAGCTTTCCGGCCCTCCATCTTGATGTAAGCCATCAACTACAGATACCGACTACGGGTTTAACGACGCGATAGTTCCGTCTTCTACGAAAACAACAGAAAAGCAACGAAAAAAGAAAACAAAAGGAAAAAGAAAGGCGTGTCTAGGTTGACAACTTGACGAGCACCAACATTTGTGGCCGAGCCGAAGTACAGCCGATATAGTCACGCTTCGCTATTCACCGCAGCGCAGCTTCCAATCAAAGTGTTGTGCGATCAATTACCAGTGAGCATCCTTTTCATCCACTTGAGCTGGGAAGCCGGTCGCTGCCTCCATATGGGCAAGGCAAGTTTACCTCTGGGTTGGCATACTGTACATCAGGTGTGCATTGAATCATTAGAAACTCCTATCGAGTATCCATGTATTGCTTATTATGTGCCATAACGCATGGAGCATGTAAGGGAAACAACGTGTTTGTAAAAACGAGCAGAGTATTGAACTGATGGTGGGTCAAGTCGAACTTCCGGATACATGCAGTGAACTCTGCTCCATTATCCTACTGCTTACATCGATATATTTGTGAAGGCATTATATGGACATGGGTTCGGCGCTCTTAGCGTATGCGAAATAGAAGTATTTGTCACTTGATGTATAAGATTAAGGAACCGTCGCATCCGTGACCGAATACATGACCAAAGTACTAGTGCGAGCGAATGATTTGAGAGGTGCTTAAGGGTATTCATGCATGCCTTCTTTCCAGAATACCCAGAGGCTGGAAGAAGCCCTAGAATGGAAGCATTATTCGTCATGAAATCGTAATCTAGTAATTTTGCAGAAGGCTTTTAGCCTCTTACCTCGGCGTGTATAGTACGTGGTTGTGATCTTGTCGTAGAGAAGCCGAAAACAAATACAGTAATCAAAACTTCGAAGGTCAATTGTGTCCTGTACATAAGCCGGACAATGTGAGAAGTTCCAGTTGTACTATCGACGTGTATGTAATCTCCTGCTTAAAGGTCCCCGCATCTGCTTCAATTACACCAACTCCGGATTCCGCCGTGGACAGACATACGTAGTCCTCATGCAGACTAACCTTCTAGGGCTAAAACGGCTTCAGTGGCCGACCGGACAGGTCACTTGCGAGTACAGATGCTACCCAACTGTGTTCATTCCACTGACTGTCCGGTTAATTGCGATGCCTCAATCATGGCTCTGCCAACCATTCCCGGGAGTAAGTTGTCCATGTGGTGGTTGATTGGTAGGTACCCTACAGTGGTCAAGAGACGACTCAAGACTCATGCATCTCGAGGGGAAAGGCATATGATGTTTCGCATTGAGACCTCAGGATGAACAATAAAACATGACCGGCTAATCTGATTCTACCATCCAATGCACCCTTAGTTCGACAGTCTATATTCAAGAGGCTCAAATCTGAATACATAAGTATGGATCGAAAACTCATCGTGTTGGGTCATAGTCATTTGTAAGATGACCTATGCGCCAGTCGCGAGCAATGCAAGGCTTCTATTGAAATTGTAATTTCAAGAGGGCAAAAAAATCCAAACCGACACAGAACACTACCACCTGAGTAAACGCCCTCATTGTTCATAATTATCCTTGGGCGCCTGCTTTCGAGTCCTCCGCCCATGGCTCCATCCAACATCCTCCAATTCCCGAACTTGACCTAAAAGCATCTCCGAATCTGCTTCAGTCGACTTGTCCGCCACTTTCCCCGCATTGCGAAGGAATTTAGCCCTCATCGCCTTGGCGTCCGGGTCCTCGTAGTCCAATTGGGTCATCTGAGGCTGCTGGTTTTCTTCATCTTCGTGGTCGACCGCCTCGCCCGACGGATTCACCAGGAAGTCGAATTTGGCGCCGCTGAACATTGATGAGAGACTTTGCTCACGGCGACTATTGGTGCGAGATATAGAGTTCTCACGCGTGTTCTCCACACTTTCCAGGGCTGATCCGAGGCCATCATCATTGAGGGTATCAATTGAACTGGCGCGTGATGGTGAATGGGTGAGCTCACTGGCTCGGTTCGACGAGTGAGATGGCGCGCGGCCGAGCAGAGGTTTGCGTTTTCGACGAAGAGCATGACTGCCTTCATCTGTGTTGGTTGTCGTCTCCGACTGACGTCGAGTCTTGGCTGCCTGGGCTCGCTCCAGAAGACCCTTCAGGGCAGAGTCTAACGCGGAAGGACCTGTCGTTTTCGGAGGTTCTGCAGGGACTTTGCTGAGCGCTGTTTCCTTGCTCCTGTCAGGCGAAGGAGATCGTGATTCTGCCACACTCGCCTGAGGGTGGTCAGCAGTGTCCTCGTCCGCAAATCCGTCACCAGGTATCGTCAGTCGTGAAGCACTGCTACCTTCGTGCAGTGCCTTTTCAACTGGTTGCTTAATCGGGGCATTCCTGTCAGCCGTCGATGATTTCGAGTGAACCTTATCAGATAGTCGGTGAGCCTGCTTCCCATTCAAGGGATCTCCATTCGACCTGCTACCACTTCCTTGTTGTTGAGAGATGGCTCTCCGAACAATGTACGGGTCAAAAGGTTTCTTCTGACCCGCTTGTACGGATATCCAGAACCAATCAGCCGACACGGCTGGAACTCCCCATTCACTGGTATGGCGAAGCTTGTCAGAGCTGGCCGTTTGGGGATCATTACAAATGAGGACGGACGCTTTCGGAGTGAGATATTCGTCATATGACGCCCCCATTAACTCGACTATCTTAGAGAGGTGGAGTAGATCAATGCGAGTAAACCCCGTGGAACACATCCGCATCCCTGTGAATCCTGGGATAGGGAATCTTGCAAATGGAGTGCTTGCGACATGAGACTCAGGTGGTACCAGGGTACGAGCATCCAAACACCTTTCCAGCCACATGTCTGTGACAACTTCGCATTCAAATGCCAGATCATCTGTAGACGGTATGTCCGACTGTGGGGTCTTGTACGGGACCATGAGATAAAGCCCTTGCCCAGACTTGGGTATACTAGGACTCGCAAATTCAGACAAAGAGTTGACGCATTGGGCTGCGTTGAATTCGAGATGGTGTCGAAGGACGCTTTTCTATCGATCGATGAGTCTCTCCCGTTACTGGTATAAACAAGGACCATCGGAGCTCACCTGTTTGGGCGTGAACCCATGAACACAAAAGAAGCATCCCTCGAGGAAACCTTCTGGGACCCGAGCCGGTATCTTAGGTGGTGCTTGTTGTGGCTCTCTATTTTCTGTGAATGTCGACTCACTTGCAAATGACTTTGCTGCTTGTATTGGTAGTTTGATCTTGCCATCCGCCGTCGCGTCTGACAATTGGCCTGTTGACTCGGCCGCTTCATTTGCAATCCCAGCACCGATGATGTCACCCCATATATTTTCGTTCTGACCGATCAATTTGGTGCTCGCTGTTCGGCGAATTCTCTTCTTCGGCCTTGGGTTCAAAGTAGAGTCATCGGCAGCTCGCGCTTTGCCGAGCTGCATCTTTGCACTCAGGGGTATCGTCCGATCCCAGGCTCCGAGGCCTTGTTGCTCCAACGGTAGAGAGGGGTGGTATTTATCCTCGTCTAGGATCATTCCGCGGTCGAGACAATCGTGGAACCATTTCACAGTGACGACCTTAATGTTCCATTGTGTAGCGAATTTGTACTTCTCCCCCTCAGTGCTACGAGAGACTAGGTGAGTCACGCTTTTGGTCAGGTCTTTGCGAAACTCAGCCCCGTTGTCCACCGCGAGATCGTGCATCTGATTTCGAAAGGCCACTGGTCATTGGAAAAAATCAATATCGAGTCCATCACTTCGAAAACCTCATCAACGCTGACTCACTGTCGGAAAATCCCGTAATACATATCGTGAGGCCGAAGAAGGTCGGGAGCTCGTGTTGTTTAACCAATGCCTGAATGTCGGTATCCCCTCCCTGCATCCACGACTGTCGGACAGCCTCGATCCACTCTGGTCTCAGAACCGTGACATCGTTTCTTTCGCGGGCGACGAATTTGTACTTGGGCGAGTCTGTCGCGCCAACTAGTAGGTGTGTCACGTCTGCTGTGAGGTCCGGCCGCTCAATTGCGCCCATTTCCTTTGCGACATTGCTGAGTTGAGTCTAGGTATGCCATATCACCGAGTCAGCCAAATCCGGCAGTCCACAACATTTCGTCAAAGGACCGTACTCTCTGCTCTAATGGTACTGATGTGAAGCAAATGACCGCGCCCAAGAGCGGGCGCTCTTTGTCTGTGTTTCGCAGCGTTAGCGCATCGTAGATGCGGAAGATGGCAAAACGCAAGGTACCAAAGCCTACCTGGGGCCTCAGTCTCCGACATCCTTCATGGCTCACGAATTTTGCTCAGATCCAGTAGAGTAGTTCAGACGGGACAAAGATTCGGTTCTGAACACCAAGGGCGAAGAAATGTATTCAAGTCATTTTCGCTCTGATTCCAGCGCGTCGCGATAATCTTAGGATCACGTGCTTAGACGACTGCGGGTGGAGATCGGCAGATAAGGTGTGGGGCCGCTGCGGAGACGAGAATGCACTGGCGCCGGCAATATCGAATGCAGAGTTGTGGGATTGTATGTTCTTTGGTACAGTGCTCTACTACTTCAAGTTTAGTAGTCATTCTAGAGGGATTCATAATATCATTCTCCTGACTATTGCGAGCATTAATATCAACAGAAATAGACGCCAGCCAGACATTACTCAGTTGCAGAAAATTAAGAGGGACGATATGTAGCCCCTACTCCTCCATAGTACCCATCCGAGTACGTTGTGTACTAAGTTAGTTAGTACTAGTGACTTGGTAATTTACTCCTCCTCTGGGTGGTAGGAGCTCATATGTCGAATTGCAGGTAGCTCAAGATCCCTGATTGATGACCGGCATCAGAAATCGAAACTGATCCATTCTCCATCCTTCTCTAAACGCACAAGTACAGCCACCTTTCGATTACCGTTAGCCATTAGGCTGCACACAGGGCTTTGGTGAAATCGACAAAATCTCCCACAGTTTCAGTAAGAGTCCGATCATCAGATGGCAATCTGTTCCGTCGCAACCTGATAGCGAGTTAGCGAGTAGTTCAAATCTCACGTACTCGACCGAGAACTCAAGTATACTGTGGAGCGACTGATTGCCACACTGCAAAGTGTATGACAGTGGCATTCCAAGTCAGGTGTAACTGTACTGTACAAGGGTACAAAGTACTGTACGACTCGCAGTCCGACTGGAATGGTTCATCGGCCATCCAACTTGTCAAATGGAATGGTACCTGACTGACTCCACTCGTGGCGGCTGGGCGGTGGACATGTCAGAGATTGAATGCCTTAGGCTATTGAGAGCAAAGTGTTCCAGGCGCGTCCCGTCACTTGTGCACGCGCGTGACAAAGAATTGAAATCTACCAACGCCGCAATTTGGCCGCGAGCCACATCCTCCACTATTATCCCATTCACGAACATTGTGGTGGCCCTCGTTTATGAGCGCTGTCAAGGCTAGTCCTCGAGGCACCCGTATCACTCGTCTCCTCTCAGCATCTTTCTCTCTGAGGTCGCCGAATTCTTCCACATTCTCATCGGCACCGCCACGGCCAAGTTTCGAGAATATCAACATGTTCAAGAAGGCCGTTAAAGATCATCCCGGGGATCCTCGAAGCCCCTTCAATCCAACTTCCTACGCGCAAACACATTTCTTCCTTCCAAACCCGCTCAGCCACAGTCGGTCGGCGTCAAACGGAAAATAGACCTGACGAATAGTGGGGAATCCACACTCGGAACCCTCCACAATGCGGTTTACTTTGACGAGAATGACTTTGACGATGATCTTGATCTTGACCTTGACGAACCGATCGCGCTGAATGTGCCCCCTGCTGCAAGTTCGACATACACTTCGAGACCCGATCCAGTGAACTATCCGACCATCGATTTGACCTCCCCAGACCACCCCCATGCCGCCGCCCCGCGCTCTCGAGACTCGCCATCGGACGTCAAATACCCAGAGTTACCGCCCCCCTCCCAAGAGCAGGCGGCTCCCCCGAGCAGTATTCAGTTTCCTTGGTCATCATCGCCGCCCTCTCACTTTCAGCCGCCACCCAAACCGCGGACATTGCCGTGGTTGAAGGAGGCCCACGAGGAGCCTCTGGATTCGAAAAAGTCAAGCTTTGTCACGCCGAAGAGGACCAAGCCAGCCGAACCTTGGAACAAGACCGCTAGCGCCATCAAGGAAGAACAGAAGGAACTCCGACGAGAATACAAGGAAAGCCAAAAGGCCGACGGCGCTCCGAAGCAAAGAGACAACGCCAAGTTGGCCAAAGTCTTCCTGAGTGACGAACAATTACATGTGGTCGAGGCCGTTGTCACTCATGGCAAAAGCATCTTCTTCACTGGCTCGGCTGGTACCGGTAAGTCAGTCTTGATGAGAGAGATCATCAAAAAGCTGCGGGATAAGTATAAACGTGAGCCAGATCGAGTTGCGGTGACCGCATCAACTGGACTCGCAGCCTGTAACATTGAAGGTGTCACACTTCACAGTTTTGCGGGCATCGGGCTAGGCAAAGAGCCTGTCCCCGAATTAGTGAAGAAGGTAATATCCCTTCTTTCCGGAAAGAAAACCAATCTCAAAGTCTGACACAGACCAGATCAAGAAAAACCAGAAAGCCCGTAATCGATGGCTGCGAACCAAAGTGTTGATTATCGACGAGGTGTCGATGGTTGACGGTGACTTGTTCGACAAGCTCGAGGAAATTGCCCGACGAATCCGCAATAATGGTCGCGCTTTCGGAGGCATTCAGCTTGTGGTGACTGGCGACTTTTTCCAATTACCACCTGTGCCAGAGGGCCATGGCCGCGAAGCGCGGTTCGCCTTTGCGGCGGCAACTTGGAACACTACAATCCAGCATACTATTCTTCTGACCCATGTGTTCCGTCAGAAGGACCCAGAGTTTGCTTCGATGCTCAATGAAATGCGGTTGGGCAAGATTAGTCCCACAACAATCGACGCATTTCGAAAGCTGTCTCGGCCTCTTGATTTCCATGACGCTTTGGAAGCAACCGAGCTGTATGTATTTTCTTCTCAAAAGTATTCAAGCACTGACTAACTTGTGATAGTTTTCCAACTCGCGCTGAGGTCGAGAACGCAAACTCACAGCGGATGAGTCGGCTGTCTGGAGAAGTGATGACCTTCCAAGCGGTGGACTCTGGAACAATCCAAGACCCCCAACATCGGGAGAAGCTTTTATCAAACTGCATGGCCCCGATGACAATACATCTTAAGAAGGGTGCTCAAGTGATGCTCATTAAAAACATGGAAGACACACTCGTCAATGGCTCCATTGGACGAGTAGTAGCATTCATGGACGAGACGACGTTCGATTGTTACAAAGACAATGAAGGGGACTTTGTGGCAGGAGGTGACGAGAATGCAGAGGATGCGGCTCTCCGCGCCCGGAAGAAACTGAAGCCTATGGCGCACAAAGAAGGAGGAGTCACCGTGACACGAAAATGGCCCCTGGTCAGTTTTGTTCAGCCTGATGGGACAGAGCGTCATCTTCTCTGTCAACCTGAAGCCTGGAAGATCGAGCTTCCCAATGGTGAAGTTCAAGCCCAACGTCAGCAGGTACCCCTCATTTTAGCATGGGCACTGTCTATCCATAAAGCCCAGGGTCAGACCTTGCAGCGAGTCAAGGTTGATTTAGGAAGGGTGTTTGAAAAAGGACAGGCCTACGTGGCACTGAGTCGTGCGACTTCTCAAGCTGGTCTACAAGTTTTGCGATTCGATCCTCGCAAGGTCATGGTACATCCAAGGGTCACGGAGTTCTATTCGAACCTCATCTCCATCACCCAAGTCATCCAGGGAAGACAGAGCAAATCGAGTGGTGAAGACGGCTATGATGAGATATGAGATACGAGTGATGTGGTGGCCTTGTGTCTGGATACCTCGCAGAGTTATAACCTACAGGTGCAATTGCAAGCATTGTAATTGACAGTCTTTGAATGCAGGACCGTCAGTATACTTCATTTAGTTCTTCAACATAATGATACCCCCAGATAACGTTTCACCTCTCACTAGACAAGAGCGCTCAAATCTCATGATTGAATCGCTGTATTAGGATTCATCTCACATCATATCCTCTCTATCATGTGAAGGACTTATTCACTTATACACTATTCTTCACCGCCTTAACCGTCGTGAAACACATCGTTGACGATCGCGGCTAGCCAGCGAAGGCAATTATGCGTTCCAGCTATGGACTTCCGCTTATCGCACGTGATGTTATCGGCATCGGAATTAAGATGGAGCTGCCCGAGCTTTCGACCAGAATCTCATGTTACCCTTCCCTCCACAAATCCTCCGCCGTCCGCCTACGTCTCACCACGATATCAGGCAGATAGCTCTCACGGTGATCAATTTACACAAGTCGCTATGGCGTCCGAATTCATCGGCTGTGACGTGCTGGTGACCCTACGGGTCCCACCTGGGGGACAGCTCCAAGGGCAAGTTGCTGATGTGATCGGCCAAACGCTGCTCCTCAGAAATGGTAAGAATCCGATCATTTTCTTCCTAGCTCGGACGCCTGTTCTGACATATGATCTGAAGTGACCCTTCTGTGGAATGGCCAGTATCACGCGCAATTCTCCATCGATGCGTCAGCGATCATTACCTTGTCCCTGGAATCAAGCAAATCAGTTCCTCCACAGCGCCAGCCAGCACCACGTATGGATCAAACACACGCGCCAGCTCCGACTGCCCCTCCTTCCCTTCAGCAATTTGCGGATCCTGCAATCTTGAGTTTCACGAAGCCCCCTGCACTGCGACCAGCACAGCCGACAGCAAATCGCCTTCCTCAACATGGAGTCGCACCGGCGATGCTTCCTGTCAGCGCCTCCCTTACCGAGCCTTTTAGCAACCTTGAGCTTGATGTGAGTGCCACTCAGCGCATCACTCATGCACTCCCACAGGAGAAAGATTCCCACGCCGTACCCAGCGCGACCACGCCTACCAAGCAAAATCAGAAGCGGAATCGCCGAGGGAGTCACGAGGGGCTCATCAAGCATGGTGTAGCTGCAAGCACAAACCCCAAGAGCAAAGGTTGGCGCCAGACGGCCTTTGTGGAACCAGCGACCTCTATCAGTGCCAGATCGCCAGAGCATGGTCCGCAATCAACCGCAAAGCTTCGTAAGAAGAAGTCACGCCGCCAATACGCTGAGGATGTCAATGGTTGGGCTACAGAGGATGCGACAGACATTCAGGAGCTTGGCGAGTTTGATTTTCAGACCAATCTTTCCAAGTTTGACAAGCGACGCGTGTTCGAGCAAATTCGGAACGATGACACGACTGCCGATGAGGCCCGCCTGGTGAGCTTCAACCGGCGACCAAAGCCAGGCACCAACGGCGGGAAAAATCTCCACTGGACAGAGAACGTGCTTGACAGCCCCCAAAACAGTGACACTGCAGACGACGTTGCAGGTGTGAGCGATGCCAGACACAGCAGCGAGAATGTCGCTGGACGTGAGCGTTCACGGGCTTCAACACACGTTCAGATGGCTCGTAAGGGTAGCGCTATTGTAGCTCAGCCGATGGCACTTCAATTGAGTGCACTGAGTCGTAGTCAACTCGGCACATCTCGCGCCGCAAGCCCTCGTCCCAGTCGTGCTTCTGGGTCGCCTATGGTTGGTATCAATCCGACTGGAGCGACCCTCCGGCTCACAACTACCAACCGCAGCTGTCCCACTGTAAGCCCACTGCAAACACTCGAAGTCGAGCAGATTGCAGTAGCGGAGTTTGGATTGTCTGAGGACATTCTGACCGAGAACGCGGGAAGAGGAATTGCGGAAGCTGCGGTCTCCCTACTTTCAAATGATGCAGCTGCTCCGACCATACTCATCATCACTGGCAATCACCGCACTGGCGCCCGCGCAATCGCCGCTGCTCGACATCTCCGCAATCGTGGTCACCGAGTGTCTGTATGCTTGCTTGGCCTCGAGCATGATGAAGAACTACTCGAGAATTGCCGCAAGCAGATGGACATCTTCAGAAAGATTGGTGGTCGAGTGCTCAAGTGGGAAGACCTGTCGGCACGTCTTGCCACTGCTGACTTGACTCCCGACTTGGTGATTGATGCCTTGTTTGGGATGCATCTTGCATTCGACGACCTCCGCACCGACGACCAGGGCATCGCGTTCGAGATGATTGCCTGGGTGAATCGCAGCGATGCAGGGGTCCTGTCTGTTGATGTGCCATCCGGAATGTCGGCATCAAGTGGTAAGTTCCTCTTCTCACGAACCCATTTTAATATAGTCGCGACAATACTAACGGTGAATTCTAGGCGAGGTCACCATGGCAGATGGAGGGCGACTTTGCGTTAATGCCTCATCGGTCGTCTGTCTTGGGGCCCCCAAGGCTGGAATTCTCCATGCATTACTCTCTGGTGAGGGTGATGCTTGGAATCTTTCAGTGGCTGATATCGGCATCCCACAGCTCGTCTGGCGTAAGTACGGCACGCGCCGCCGCCATGGCATTGACTTCGGAAACCGCTGGGTGGTACCACTCCGGCTGCAGACTCTAGCGGGATAGAGCATTCAGAGCTGCGATGATCACACAGCTCTCACCAAAATATGATTTTTCATACAAGCGGGCGTTCATTTTACACGGTTTGATATCCTTACGCATCGGAGAAGGGTTTTTGATTCGGATGAGCGGATTTCTTGGTCTTTTTATTGCATGTTGTATCAACATCCCTAGATGTATCTTTAGCGGCCTGGCATTTTGATCAGCAGGGATCTCTCTAGCACTGAGAAATCTTCTTTTCCTCTTGAACACCGATTCGGTTGGCGTAACGCTCAGACTTGCATACCTTGTAATTCTTTGTCCGCCAACCGGCGACCTTCTGATTCATTGAAAGGCCCATGGCGTTTACATTGCATCTTGATTCTATCGACCTTTTGCTCTCTGGCGGTCGGTGACTCGAGATGTTGTTCCTTGAAAGTCTGTGCATTGAGCTGCTCGTACACACTATTAGATGATTATACAGCCTTGAATGAGCACTAATTTCACACACAATATGAATGAGGTGGTTCGAGTTGATGCTGTGGAATTAAAAATGATATAAGAGCAATTTCATGTGCGTGTACATACTGCACGGGTTCACATGGATTTCATAGCGTCAACTGCTCGGCAGCTTTAATCATCTCTTCGATCGACTGCGGAGTGAGTCGTTTTCCTGTACCATCAGGAGAGGCAGGAGAGTTGGAAGCGATGGAGTAAACGACATAATCTGCAGCTAAAGAGGCTGTGTCGGTCGCGGTCCAGTAGGTGCCGTCAAGCTGATCCATGATCGCGGACGTGTTTTTCGTGATCTGCTCTTTGCGGATACTCTGGCTCTTGAGCATAAAGGCAATGAGTCTGAGGAAGGCCTTGCCTAATCGGCCCCAACTGACAGCCATATTCCATAGGCCCACAACGCTGCTTTCCAAGACTCTGGTCCATTTCAGGTCGTCACAGCCCGGACTGCCTATCCTTGTTATTGCATGAATGCCTGCAACGCATGAGAAATGCAGCATGACAATCGGCACCGACTTCCAGCCGTGGAAGTGTTTGTATAGGAGGAGGATAGAACAATGTGCCTCGATGGCTGCATTCCTGCTGAGTGCGGGGTCGAAGTCAGAGTATCCATGTGACTGCTCAATTGAATAACCCTCGAAGATATCACACAGAGATATCATGGTACATTGATAGGTCATTCTGGGGAACCATTAGTGACCAAAGCTATAATACTTGGTTGTATGGGTGGGGAAATCAACCTGAGACACAAGGCATGGGGAGTGCTATTTCGCGCCAGCAAAAATTCAGCCGGAAGATCGCGCTCCCACTGTCGAAGGTTTCGATGGATTTCACAAGCTTGAATCCACGTGGCTTTAGTCGGTTGAGAGTCTTCCAGACTAAGCGCAAGGATCGAGACTTGGTTGACCAATGTCGCCAGCCCGCAGCGGAGACGAGTGATCATGTACGTTTGTGCGGCAAAGATCGGACTTTGGAAAGGATAGGGACTCCATGTGAGCTGCTCATCCAATGCCATCGCTTCGTCTGGTGAGAACCCCATTGAAGGCGGCTTTGGCCATGCGCTGGGCTTTCTGTATACTTGAGTGCATAGTCTAAAAACTATGAGCGGCCATTTTGGGATGTACCCTGTCATCAAAGACAGACTAGAGGCTGGCAGTTGATCACTTACGCTTGCACGTCGAAGATCCCCCACGAAACCAATTTCTGGGCTCTTGCCATGCTGACTTTGAGATCAAGGTTGATGCAGTCGTAGTAAGGGGCCCCTTCCTCATGCAGACCCAAGCGGTAATAGAGGGATGCGCCTCGCATGACGAGTTCCATACCCACCCGATCGGTTCCGAACGTACAGCATAGAAGGCCTAGCAAAATCCCCGACTGAAGCGTTGGCACATCGAGTCTTTCCTTCTCGAGTTCCCAAAGTCGCAATATTTCTTCATAGAGCTTCTGACTTAGAACCTTCTCCTGTCGTCGATCCGTGAATGAATGCATGGAATATGAAAGGCTCTATCGCTCATTAGCAGGCGCCACAAAGAGCCCCAAGAATCAAGGTCGGACGCACACAGCCATAGAGCATCATAATATGTGCCAGTAAAGGGGAGCAAAATCGCGTTGATCGAGTCTCCAAATCATGCAAAAATAGCTCTTGGTCGACTATATGCCAAGTGGGGTTCTCCCACGCGAAGTATAAAGAAAGCAAATGGCTGGCGACATCGTCCTCGACAACTGAGCTCCAGTATTGCATGGACGTTGTTTGTATCAAGGGCTCACGCCGCAGAATGAGGCCCGCTGCGGTATTACCTCGAGAACCCAGGTGCATGCGCTCGAGATTCAGGGTATATTTCAGACTAGGGTAGCTTCGAGGTAAGCTTTTGGATGTTCTGAAGGCGGCAAGAAGTTCGGGACGGCGTTGCTGCTCGCAATTAGCTATTGTCGCATCGTAAACAAAAACAATGGCACGCGCAGATTTACCGATAACAACTTTAACATTGGCTTGAGGTCTGTGGGTGGACAATTCAAGAGAATGTCACTCAATGTGGATTCATAGTCCTGCACTTTGTCTTCCAAACGGTGAAGGTCGATTTGTAGCGCTTCCCGTTTTGATGCCGAATAGAGGCATGGCTCGCCGACCGTGATACAATATCCACATGATGGACGTTTCCCGTTGCATTTCAGCTTGATCACTCGACAGGCATCACAGGCTCGAGTCACTCGTTGACGTTTCGCAATGGCTGGCCGGCCCGCTACTCGAGGGATGGCGACTTTGTAGCGGGCGTTGCCTCCTGGATCGTTGGGCCAGACGCTCATAGCACCGCCGTTTTTGTTTGGTGACAGCCTGACCCGCTTCTTTGTCCAGTGAGATTAGATTTGATAAAGTTTGTATGAATGGGCCTGCAATTCCAGTCAGGGCTGTGTTGATGGAGAGCACACATCAGACATCTGGTCCGATCTTCAATGAAGGTGCTGGGTTGACAGGGTCGATCGAGAGATCGGAAAGCCGCGTGACGCACAGAGCGGAGGCGGAACAGACTCGACTCCAGGCCCACCAGGATCGCGCGAGATCTTGGGTTCGCCGAGTGTGCACTGTGCACTGTGCAGGATCAACGTCCGGTCTGAGGGATGGGAAAGGGTGAAAGATGGATGGGGAATCCCTGGCACAAATAATATTCGTGGCTGTGGATGGGGTGACGGAAGTGGTAATGCAAGGATCTCGCGACCGCAAGCCCTGCCATATCGTGGACCAGGACTCGGAAAGATTACTGCGAGACGAATTTCAAAGAGTGAAAGGGACCGGCCGGATAGAGTCGAACCATCCGAGGGTGAGGCAGAAATCAAGAGAGCAATGGAGGGATTGGAGGCAGTGGAGGCAGTGGGGGCAGTGGAGGCAGTGGAGAGGAGGGGCACTAAAGAAAGCACTAGTGGTTGGCTACACCACCTTGACCACACCCTTGGGTGCACTCGAATCGCACGATCGTGAACTTGAAACTTTGTGCGCACCCGCTAGTTACCACCGCGGCACCGTCGCTGGTAGCGGGCCTGGCCCCCCTCCGCTTCACAGGCTCCAACCCACACACGGCTCCGCATCGGTGCGATTGAACTGGAAACTCGGTGACGGTGAACGGTTGAACACTGGTGCGTTCGATGCGAAAAGACCACGGAGGATGGATGCGCTACCGGTCACAGAGAAGCGACAACTTGCGGTCCATTAGAATTCGATTTGGTTCCAGTAACCGGATGGTATTGTGACGTCCTCAGGCAGCAGTTCCATGGGCATTTCATCCGAGGTCAACCGATTGGACATGTATCAATGAGATATCGGGATATGAGATATCATGAGTTATCGACTTGGGATCAGATGCTAGAAGACAAGAAGCTCTTGTCTTTGATTGGTATCTGAGCTGACTCGTCCAATTAGCCATCATGACGAAGACGTGAGCAGGTGCTCATGGAGTCACCGTCAATTGGTACCTTACTGTCGTGACTTGCGTCCCTCGCTCAATAGAGCATGTCCTCGTGCTAACATATCTAGTGTGATCCTGCCTGTTACCAGCTAAGGTAGTAGATAGGGGACACGATGAAGATTACTCACGGAAGAACGAGCATAGGCACAAAAAATAGTTTGACCTTGAGGTATAAACTCGTCCCGGTCGAGTCCGAGTCATGTTGAAGAAGAACATGACCTCAGGTCGGAAGTGGTTTAACTTTTGAGTATGCCCATAAACCGGCCTCTCCCGAACTAGGCTCGTTCTTCTCGAATTTCCAAACCTTTGGGTGTTTGAGAAGAAATCGAACAGTATAGTTAGTCTTCATTTCACATTGTGCTCCTCCTTGGGGGGAAAGTTGTTCAACTGGAAGTATTTGTACGTTCTTGGATAGATATCAGTACACTCGCGAAGTCGTAATCGCTCAGAAGCCTGTCACCGCTTCTGATGAATTTCCAATCCGACGGAAGGAAAAATTAACTCTGTTAAGCACTTGACGGTAACTTCACGACACCAGCGACTGGATGTGGTTCTTTTCTACACCACAACCTGTAGTGTGACGTTATCAAGGGGACAATCACGTCTTCAGGAGATGCTGTTGTGAATTTGTCAAGTTATACACACATTGACTGGAATGGAACGTGCCCTTATATATCTTGAGGTAATGACCAAAGTACAAAGAGCGACGGCCAATTCCAGCTTAAACGCCACTGAAAACCGAAGAGAATGCTAATATGTATGAAATCGAATGAGATGATGCTTTTTCAAAAAGCCTTCTTGGAGAGGCCTCGCAGGCGGATGACAGCATTGCCGCCTTCAAGTTAGCGCCGCATAATAGTCACTAGCCCCAAACAGGTTAGCCTCTCCGCCATCCGCGGCGTCGTTCAAAACCGCAGTTGACTGAGGCAGATCGACAACTCAAGCTTCGCGCAAGATGGGCAAAGGTACGTCCAACATAATTGAGCCTCTTTGAGACTCATCGAGAACTGACATTCTTTGTTTCTTAACCAAGGCACGGACAAACTTTACGTACGTAGACGGCTCCTCCCAAGAATCATAGTTGTCGCCGTTTGCCTCTCTTACAGCTACTAACAATACCTTGGATCTAGATCACCCACTCCGAGTGGGCATCGGAAGATGCATTCTCTGCCAGCGCAGGCGCCGGTGTCGCTAGAGCCCGACAAGGCGGCTCTTACGCGTCGTTCAAACGGTTACCATTCAACTTCTGTTCCCTGTCTTTACAACCCTTTACGCATCCTGTGTGTACACAGTCGGGAACAATCTTCGACCTGACCAACATCCTGCCGTGGATCAAGAAGCATGGAACCAACCCAGTCGACGGATCGCCCCTCAAAAGTTCCGACCTGATTAAGCTCAGTATCGCAAAGAACGAGGACGGCGAATATGTTGACCCTGTGACCTACAAAGTTCTGACGGACAATACTCATATTGTCGCGTTACGAAATACCGGAAATGTGTTTGCTTGGGATACTGTGGAACGGTTAAACATCAAGGGGAAGATGTGGCGCGATCTCGTCACAGATCAAGAGTTCACCCGCAAAGACATCATCACACTTCAGGATCCACAGAATCTTCAATCGCGAGATCTGAGCTCGTTCAAGTACCTGGAGGAAGGTCATACCGACATCCCTGGGCAGACTCAATCTTCGGGCACGGTGAATGCCGACGCATTGGGAAGCTCGGCCAAGATTCTCAAGGCGAAAGAGGCGGTAGCCAAGGCGCGCGTTGAACGTGCGCAGCAGCAGGCTGGTTCCATTGCTTCGAAGACCGGCTCAAAGTCCGGAGCTTTGGGATCAACCATGCAAAAGTCAGCAGGTGTGCAGTCAGAAAAGCCGACGCCATACAACGCAGCCCGGTTCACGACCGGCAAAGCTGCTGCATCCTTCACTAGTACCGGATTGACGCCTCACACCTCAGCCGAACTGGCGCTGCTCTCGGAGGAAGAATACATGCTGAAGCGAGGTCGGGTTAAAGCCAAAGGCTACGCTCGAATTGATACAACTGCAGGGCATCTCAATGTGGAATTGTACCCAGAGTACGCTCCGAAGGCTGTGTGGAACTTCATCCAGCTCGCCAAAAAGGGCTACTACAAAGATGTGTGTTTTCACCGAAACATAAAAGGCTTCATGATCCAGGGTGGTGATCCGACTGGTACTGGTCGTGGCGGCGAAAGTATTTGGGGGAAGTACTTTGCCGACGAATTTGAAGGTCCGCTCAAGCACGACGGACGAGGTACACTCAGCATGGCCAACAAAGGCAAGAATACGAACAGCAGTCAATTGTAAGTCCTCCACAAGGTTAACGCTCAGCCCCTTTATCTTGATCGGAAGACCCCTCTGCTGGAAAGTTGGTATTTGTTCTAACCGCCTCGTCCAGCTTCTTTGCCTATCGCGCTCTCCCTCATTTGGATCGTAAGCACACAGTTTTCGGCCGACTGATCGATGACCCTTCCCCCTCATCGACAACTTTCAACTCCCTCGAAACGCATCCGGTCGAGGAAAATACCAATCGCCCTGTCCCTGATGTCCGAATCAAAAACGTCACCGTCTTTGTGGATCCATTTGAAGCATTCCTCGCCAAGAAGCGAGCCGAGGGGGCTTCTGAGACTGGCACTGGAGATGCCACTCAGAATGAGGATGGACGCCAAGGAGATGATGATCGTCTGACGTGGACTGGTAAACGCGTTCGCAACGCAGGAACAGGTCCCTCGACAGAAGGCTCCGGTGGTATTGGCAAGTATCTGAAAGCTGCGCTAGCTGAACGGGAGCAGGTGGAGGATGAGATTGTGGAATATGTGGACGATGAACCGGAGCCTGAACCTGTTCGCAAGAAAGCCAAGGGTACGGGTGGCTTCGGTGACTTCAGTAGCTGGTAGTTAGTCGAACCAGAAAGATCAGATATATCATCCTACAAAGTACGAATGCGATGCCACGAGAACGAGGAATAACTGCATCTTCTGGGAGATTCTTCAAAAAACGGAGTACGAGAAGACTCGCTCACTATGCACAAGGTAAGATTCTCCTTGTATATTAGAGCAGAGCTAGCATTTATCTAGAATGGCATTCTCTGACTGGGAGCACAGTGAGGAAAAGCAACGCCACATACAAAGACTGACTGGCCGGAAATCCAGACATTAAAGAGAGACCCTTCCATCGGCTCATTGAGAATCTGGGATTTTTCGCAAGATTTACGCTGCTATGCCCGGATTCATCGTCAATGAACCGCCTTTGAGCCGCATTCCATGCGGTCTGACATGATCTACCGGCGATCTGCAATGATTGGATTGCGAAGTCCCTTATTCATTATTGATTACTCCATGAAATGGCTTTCATTCGTCGATACACAAAGTCAATGTCAGGTACCAAATTAGGAACCTACGCGGCTTCTTTGGTGTTTAAAATCTCGGCCAGCACGAAGCCATAAGAGGAGTTTCCACATCTATAAGCATTGATGGACACTTCCGAGCACGGCGTCTCTACCTACAATATTTTCTCATTGCGTAGTTTCATCGGTGCTAGCACGACCTAGCATAACAAGCTTAGCATCACTTAATAAGGTTGTTATCACTCTCCTTCTGCATTACGGACCACCGATCGAGTCTTCTCTCACCAGCTCCACTCCTCTCCTCCCCGTTCTTGGCTCTTCTCCTCCGCCCAGCCGTCACGGGGCGGAGTTAAGCAGCACTTCCACCCGTTCCACGTTTCCGTCTCAAGTACGTCTGCCCGATCCGGGACGCATCATTTCCCCTCCCCCTAACCTTTTCCCCGCTTGCCCAGATCACCCTGGCACTGGTTCCTCTGACCACAACAAATCATCAACCCGAGCGTGCAACTCTGCACTGAACAGTATCCGATCACATTAGAGCTCCTTGAAATCACCCGGTAAGCCTACCTTAATCAGCCTGCTTTTCTCCAACTCCCCCGGAGCTTCCGTGCAGCGGGGGTCTCGGGTGTCGGGGAGAGCAACGGCTGTCATGCAGGTCAGTCGCTACGCGGGACTCTTGGTCCTGCTATAGAAAAGCGAGAAGACATGAAGGTCTGAGCTGCTTTGACAGTTCAATGTGACACTAGCACAATTTGCCACAATGGCCGCTCTTGCCTTCCTCGCATGTTGCGCCCAATGCGAACCCGGCCAAAGAGCGTAATCCAAACTGGCAACCTCTGGTTCTCGAGGCATTTCTCTTCTGCATTGCGGACCCCTTTTACTGGAAGCTATTCATGGGCTTTGAGGTTCAGCTGTTAACTACTTGCACTCAGATTCACCAGCGATTATCCACGAAGCACCTTCAAGGACTCGCCACCAGTCCACAGACCTGGCAGCCACCACTCGTGACTCCACCTTTCTTTGCACTGAAACCCCAATTTCTGAATCCTTGTCGACAAGGTACTCTATCAAGCTGGCAGGAAACAAGCGCCGTAGCTTTTCCTCTCAGGGTGGGTTGCTGAGCAGAATGTTCAGTGGCTCTTCGAGCCCACCTAAGGAAAGAACAGACACTGTCCCGACACCGGTTACTGGAATCGATATCAGCGACACAAATATCCACCCGGACAACGCCAGCCCTCGTGATAAGCGATTCTCTCCTCCAAGCAGTGGCTTTTTCAACCGTCGTCAGAGCGACCAAGAGACTGTCACAGGAGAAAAGAAGCGCCGCAGTAGCACTGTCACCAAAGCCGCCAGCTTTTTCAACAGCGCCAGAAATTCATTCAGTTTGAACGGGGCCCGCGATCCATCGTCATCCGCTCTGAGCTCGAGTCCCTCGGCCAGTGAAGGTACCTTTTCGAAGCTTGGTAGAATGGACCCAGCTCTTGTTGTCCCTCAGGGGTCTCTTAACAATTCCGCTGGCGAATCTGCACCAACTCCTCGTTCTACTTTCCGGGTCGGTGTCACTGAGGATCGAAACCGAAAATGTCGCCGCACCATGGAGGATACCCATGCTTATCTGTACAACTTCTACGGTACCCCGGCTCCTACCTCACCTGAACCCAATGCCACCAGTTCGGCCGAGCAGTCTATCGACTCACACGCAAGCGTGGTAGAAACAGACAATGGCTACTTCTCCATATTTGACGGTCACGCTGGCACTTTCGCAGCTGAATGGTGTGGCAAAAAGTTGCATTTGATCCTCGAAGATATTATGCGCAAGAACCCCAACACGCCTGTGCCTGAACTACTGGATCAAACGTTCACCAGCGTTGATCAGCAACTGGAGAAGCTACCCGTCAAGAACAGTGGGTGTACCGCTGTGATTGCTTTGCTGCGCTGGGAAGATCGTGTGCCTAGTTCCCAGTCCGCGACCGGGTCCGCCAATATTGCTTCTGCAGTAGCTGCCAGTAGGAGCGACGCGAATGCCAATGCCAATGACGTTTCAGATCCTGAGAGCCTGTCCGCGTCAAACTCGAAACTGCAACAAAAAGCCCAACGTCAACGTGTCCTGTACACGGCCAATGTGGGCGATGCTCGTATCGTACTATGTCGCAATGGTAAAGCTCTTCGTTTGTCTTACGACCATAAGGGTAGCGATGAGAATGAAGGGAAAAGAATTGCGAATGCCGGTGGCTTGATTCTCAACAATCGGGTCAATGGTGTTCTCGCGGTTACTCGTGCTCTCGGAGATGCATATCTGAAGGACCTGGTCACCGGGCATCCTTACACCACAGAAACCGTCATTCAGCCCGATGCCGATGAATTTATCATTCTTGCGTGCGACGGGGTAAGTTACAAGGAAGCTATCTTCTCACCTTACACATCAACTGACAACCTTCTTTTAGTTATGGGACGTGTGCTCGGACCAAGAGGCCGTGGATCTTATCCGCAACGTCCAAGATCCCCAACAAGCATCCAAAATCCTCGTCGACCACGCCCTTGCCAGATTCAGCACCGACAATCTTTCTTGTATGGTCATCAGACTTGACCCGTCTCGTGTGAAAGATGTCGTGAACAGCAAGTCAAGTGCCATTACAGTCGAAGGTGATTCGATGGCCAAGGCTCCTCATGGAATGAGTGAAGCGGACAAGATCGTGGAGACGGCTAGAAACAGTATGCTGAATACTGGAACCAGTGACCAGATCGCAACAAGTGAAATCAAGGAGGAGAATGTCTCAACCATGACCACCGACGAACAAAATCCGAAGATTGGGATACCTTCCAGTGAATCTGGAGATTCCTCATCGGCGGGCGCAACATCTTCAGTGCATACCACTCATAACAAGTGATGATTGTCAGAAAAATGCAATGCCTGTTCCGGTGAGATCGTTGAGCACGCACGCTACATGATATTACTACACTTGCACAGCTTATTCCATGAGCCTTTTGCCAATTGAAGATTTATCAATCATCCTTACCCAGTCCTCTGCATACTATCTCTCGCCGCGGCGACGTCTATTGGCCTTTTGTCACCATGTTTAACCACTGTAAGACTCTCGATCAATCAAGTCCCTTCCATGTGGAAATGACGAATGGCCCAGTTACCCTGTCGTGTCTTCCTTTACACTTCTCGTTGGCCCTCTCAATCGAGTCAATGTAACATGAGTCCTAGAGGTTCCACTTACGGCAGCGTTTCACACGCTTCCAGTGTATTTCGGGACAGCTTCTTAGATTGTAACAGATTGACCGTGCCTGTTCCTCGCACAGCGTCTCAAGACAACCTTCCAAGGTCCTGTTCGCTATTAGTTAAGATATTTATATGACCCATAGATTAGCCCGAGAACTGCCAATGAAAAAGAGAACCACAACTTTGTCGCTTGCGCTGTGAGCTTTAGATCAGTACCATTCAAACAATTGATGCCAGGTTCCAAGAGCGTGTAGCAAACGACTGAGACGGGACTAGTTGGCGCAGACCTGGGCTTTCCATTCTCATAGGTGCAATCAGCAAATTAATAGCTCTCACACAGATCTCCCATTCAAACGTATGTGTATATCCAAGATGTAATACGAGGCACCAGAGGGAACAACAACAGGCAAAAGGCAGCGTAAAAGTACAGTTTATGCAGTATGAAGGAAGCTCAGAAAAGAGGCCCTTTGAGAAGGAGGGTGGGCCAGTAAAGTACACAAATAATGAGAACGTCCTTATAGTCCGGACGATGAGCTGCAGACAACCGGATGAGATCAGGTCTCAGAAGCTACACGCCTAATAAAAAACACGGGCCAGTACCGCAGCTGGATGAAAGTCTGAAAGAGTGACCAGAGGCCAAGACATGCCAGCTTAGACTCCCACGGTAGGAAGGATGTCAACTCGCTCGCCGCCAATAATGTTGTCGCGCTTAAGCTCCAGCTCTCCATGCTGAACCTTGGCGGGCCATGAGGCGGCATAGTTGGCATCATGGACATCACGCCAGAGAATCTTCACATCGCCCGCAGTCTCAGGGTAGTCGCCAATCTCGCCAATCTTAACTTCAACGCCCTCACGCTCACTCAGCTGCCTCTCCAAGGCCTCGATGCGGGCATTGTACTCTTCCGCTCGTTCGGCTTCCTGTGCGATCGCCTCACGTTGGCGCCTTCGCTGGCTGGGGAATTGCTTGTGTCGCCACTGCTCTTTGTCGAGAATACCGTCCGCAATTTCTTTTTCCTGGATCTCCAGTACTGCTGCGACATCAGCAACCGAGGTTGCCTTCTGATCCATCAGAACTCGTGCGCGCTCTTTCTTTTCCATCGGGTGACCGATCCGCTTCTTGTTCAGTCGATCAAACTCCTCCGCCTCGGTGGGATCCTTTGGCCGTCTGGATGCAAGGAATTCCTCGGACACTGTGACCATCTCGGGGGGTGGGGAGAGCTGGCGTCGCAAGGAGAATTCCCGCAGCAATTGATACGCGCGAAGACCAAGGCGAGCGTCGCCGAAGTGAACAGAGTAGTAAGGAATCCACATATCACGTCGTAGCTTGGCGGGAACCGTCTTCTTGCCGTGGTAGACCATTTGCCGCAAGACGTTGTTTTCCTATTGTGCAGAGTGTGGGCCGTTAGATCTGTTCTGAGGAAGATTCGGGGAACAATTCTGGCAAGCTTGTCCCCAGCAGCTTCAAAAATAGCCGCTGGAGGCAGAAGATGCTTCGGAAGGATGGACGTACCTCCAAGTAACGAGTTAGTGAATATACCACCTGCTTCGTCTGGGCATTGTGGTAGACAAAGATATGCTTTCCATGCGTGATTGAATTGAGCGCCTTTTGCAATCGTACGCTTTCGCGCTTCAGGTGCTCTTTGAACGCATTGGACGAGGTCTCTCGAATCTTTCCCTGGATGGGCGTCTTTGGATCGATAGGCGGGTGTCGTACAAACTTCTTCAAGGATGCGACCCGGGTCGAGTCCAGGATCTTCTGGATCGGCTTCGACGCCGCACTGGCTGAGGCCATGGCGGCCAAGTTATATACCTCGTCTCTGGAACCTCCTCCGAATGATCAAGGAAGCCAGAGTTGCTTTCTGGAAGGGGAGCGAGAGGCTGTGGGGTCTCTGAGTGGTCGATGTTAATGGGATAGACGGAGGGAGTTCGGAGGTGGATTTTTTGACGGGGAGACCTGCGGGTCTTGGCACTGCCTGCTCTCCGCATCAACCGTGTCGTCCCTCACAACTCCGCTAACAACGAGTTCAACTCGCGCGGCAGTTGCTTCTTTTTTATGGAAGATGTGCTCAGACATTGATTTACTCTGCGATTCCTGTGGGAGTTTCAATTAGCGCACAACTAGGCCGGAGTAGAGCCCACGATGGACACCTCAAATGGCGACTTTGAAGCCACAGATCATGACGCCGTGGTGCGTAGGGTGCGACCATGGCTTTATGCGTCGGTAGGCTTTCTTGCGTTTGCAAATTACCTTACGCTCTTTCCTCAAGCTAACATATTTCAGAACAGAAAGCTTCGGCATCTGCACGGAATCTCTGTCCGCAATCTGACCGTCACCCCACCATCAAGTCGCGCTCGCGGAAAAACGATCAACGACGATGACATTCCCAATACTCTTACGTCACCGTCGAAACTTCAGGCTCAGAATGAGAGCCGCCCCCTACAACCGTCGCGATCTTTTACAGATCTTGCGTCTCGTGGGGCTTCAGATAGCCGCACTGGCAAACGCCCTGAGCTGCGTGGTTCAAGACGCCGGAGTCTGCTTCCTTGGAACGATCCGAATCCAGTACGACGGCAATTGCGCCTTGAAGACATTACGCTCAGTCGCATGGCAGACATATTCTTCTCATTGCACTTTGATGGGATGAAAGAACCGATCTTTATCAGTGAAGTGGTTGAAAAGGCGACGAATCCGAACTTTCAGGCCTTTGACCTGAACGCCTGTGGTCCGACAGTTTCTCGTTCAGACTCGGTGACCTTGAAGCTTTGGGTCAAGACTGAATCGATGCCGGAATATATACAACTAGTAGAGTTGCGGCAAAATACGCGCTCGTTGCAATTCCTTGGCAGAACACTAGATGATTTCCACCAGCCTCTTCCGGCCAACTGTGTTTTGTTCCATTTTCCAGATGGCGTGTATACAAGTCTCACTGATATATCCCCAGTTGAACCGCCATTTTCTGGGGTTGGTCAGAAAGGTACCGCGGAGAACAATACCTTGCCGACATCATCCTACGATGCGCTGATGCGGCTGGCAAATTTGGATGAGTGTATACAGGATGCGCTGGCAACGCGCGAAAGGCTAGAGGCCCAAATTGGCGATATTCTGCAGAGCAATGAGTCCGCATTGAAGACAGAAAGTGAGTCAGCGCAAGCGCAGGATCGTCTCGCTTTGGTCCGGCAGGCCGTGGCCAACGAGCGCAAACAAATACGAGCGGCAAACAAGCGCAAGGAGGAGCTAGTCGCCAGCATCAAGGCTCGCCAAAGCTTCATGAGCCAAGGCCGCATCCACCAAGAGCGAGCTCAAAGCCATCTCCCGGATGCCAGAAACAAACTTGCAGGGAGTGAAAAGTTACTGGCGCAAAATGCAGAGGAAAGTAAGGGTCAGATCCGTCGCATTGCTGAGGACTTAATGGCAATATACCCTATTGAACCAGTCCCGGACAAAGTCCTTGCATTCACCATCGCTGGTCTCTCTCTTCCAAACTCGAAATTTGATGACATCGACCGTGAAGAAGTTGCAGCGGCGCTGGGCTACACTGCTCATGTCGTATACTTGCTCTCCTTTTACCTTTCTGTATGGATCCCTTACCCCATCAGTCCCAACCTGTCAACATCCCTGATTCAGGATCCTGTCTCTCAAGACCTTCCTCAGCGTACCTTTCCGCTTTATCCGGTCAGCGTGCAGTATCGATTCGAGTATGCTGTCTTCCTTCTCAACAAGGATATTGAGTTCTTGCTGAACAGACAAGGCATCCGGGGGCTGGACATTCGGCACACACTTCCCAATCTCAAGTATCTGTTCTATATTCTTACTGCCCAAACGCGCGACATTCCTGCTCGGAAAGCAGGTGGCATTCGTGGCCTCCTCACCGGCAGACTTACGCCTAGCATGTCTCGTCGAGGAAGTCTCGACAGCACTGTCTCAGGGGAGGTGGCTCAGCCACGAAAGGCTCATGATATGATTCTCCGCATGAACGGTCTCGCGCTGAGCGCGGATGGAAATACAGCAAATGGAGGTTCTGTTGTACACTAGTATTCTTCAGCACATATTCATGCTTCCGGTACCTTGTTTCTTGTCTATAATAGCAGCCTGAAAAGTCACACTGTACTGGCCATGTAGTTTGATTTAAGTAGCGTGCTCATTTCGTGTTGTCTCTATTGGAGGATCAATTACTGCGTCTTCTCATTCTGTTGCCAACGACCACCTTGCGTTACTGTCAGTTGTCGACTAAATGACTCTTGGACGACCTATGATCATCATACAGGCTGTACTTCGCTTGTATAGCAGTCCTCAGGTCAAGACCCCAAACGATATACCTACTTGCGTGGACGAAGCCCGCACGAAGACCTGACCGGAGAATCAATGATGGAAAATACAGGAATACCGAGCTCCATGCCAGAAGTACACAGGACTATGAGTGTAATATCGTACCTAGGTTGTAAGCCCGGCCGAGATGGCAAACCTCGGCTTCCGAATCAATTGGCACGGCGGCTGCCTCATGGTTTCGGTCTTCCAATTCTTTCGTAAATAAATCAGCTCTCAAAATAAGTTGTAGATCCCGAGCGTCCTAGTAGTCCAACTCTCGGTTGACCCGAAAATATAGCTCTTTCAATCAATTGATTTCTTATCTCTGATAGCAAAGGCTCGGCTCCCAACTTCCCAAGTGCTGCAAGTGCGGGAAAATGGCCACCACCTCATTCAGGCCGCAACCCCACCGCCCCCCTCAGCTTATCTTCGCTTTGCATCGGCTTTCCCCAGCATTTGCTATCCACCTTGCTGCTTCTCCAACGACTTTCCGACCAGCATGGGACAGGATACCAAGAGCGCGACCAATGACTCCGGCAAGTCACCGTCGCCGTCGCCTTCTGCCCCGCAGCATAGACGCGGCTATCAGGCCTGCGATCCGTGTCGCAAGCGCAAGGTGAAGTGTGATCTAGGCAGTACGCGCATTCAGCACTCTATTCCCCTTCCCCCCACACTGAAGCTGCAGAATTTGACGAACAAAGGGTCGTACTAATGGCAATTCTTTTTTTCACTCCTGGTGAACAGGCGTCGATAATCCTCGTCCCCCACCATGTGTCCGGTGTCGACGTGAGAGCAAAAGATGCGAATTCTCAGCGACTCGTCGCAAACGCAAAGCCTCCGAGGCGGCCGAGGAGGAGGCGGACGCGGCCGAAGTACTTCGTCGCGACAAACGTATGATGATCGGAGAACCCGCAGCCGATATCCCAGCAAAAATTGAGTCAACCCATTTCCCTCAGCCGCCATTGTCGGTGGACACAGATGCCTTTCGGACCCGGCAGAGATGGTCCGACGCTACCCCCGCAACAGCTGCAGGCGCTCAGAGATTCACGCCCAATGCCCACGCGCCCATTACTTCTCCTGCGAGACCATTCCTCGAAGCTCGGACTTCCCGTCTTCCCTCGTTCCAGGCTAGCGAGCGAAATGTAGCACCTGTATTCGCAGGGCCGCCCATGATGAACCGAACGGCGGTGGAGTTACTGTCGCCAGCCATTACAAATACGCATGATGCTCTCCATCTGCTCTCCGAAGCTGCTGGACGAACAGAGGACTTGAATCGGCAAAGTCTGGAGAATCGCCATGCTGCCAGACGTTCCATCTCATCCTTCAATTCCGGTCCCTCTCCCTTGGCGCACGCCAGTTCTCCCGGTCCAGCGAGCGGATCTTTCTCGAGGACACCACGGTCTGCCACAGCAGCCGGTGTGAACGGGTATCTTCCCCCTGGCACGAATCAGTCTGCTGCTGCTGAGCCTCCAGTAGCAGACGAAGTTGACCATCGAGAGGGCTCTCCAAACCCCCAGGACCCTGGCTTTGATGATGCTGTGCGTGCATGGTCACGACTACGATTTGTACGCGCAGGTTGGATGACGGTTGAAGAAGGCATGGACTACGTGGCATATTACTATGAAAATCTCGCGCCCATGAGTCCGGTTGTCACCCCCGATTATTCCAGTCCATCCACACATCGCACGTTACTTACGGACGAACCCGTCCTGGCAGTGACAATTCTCACCATTGCGTCCCGACACCTGAAGCCAAAGGGTGATGGGGCAAGTACTCGAGCGTTCTACATCCATGATCGTTTATGGTCCTATCTGCGCGGTATGATTGAGCGACTGTTCTGGGGCCAAGAGAAATTCGACGCACAGGCCGGGCGGCCAGGTTCGCTGGGCCTGGCCGCCGGGCCGAGCGGTGCAACCTCCAAAGGCAACCTCCGAGCGTTGGGTACTGTGGAAGCGCTCTTGATTTTGACCGACTGGCACCCTCGCAACCTTCACTTCCCACCTGGTGACGATGAGAACACGCTTCTTGATAGAGAAGCACAGTCCCAGACTCGCCTTGACAGGGACTTCGACTCTGACATCGAACAGGCGGGCAATAAAGGTCCCACCGCCGAGGGGCGAGTCGCTTTTCAGAAATGGCTCGAGCCTGCCTGGAGGTCGGATCGAATGTCGTGGATGCTCTTAAGCACTGCACAAGCTTTGGCCTTTGAGCTGGGTGTATTTGACCAAAAGAACGAGTCAAAAGGGTCCCCAGAATCCCCATCTGAGCAGGCACGAAAACGGCGGCTGCGTAGATTGATCCTTGTCTTTACTACGCATAGCAGTGGTAGACTTGGGATTCCGTCAATGTTGCCGCTCACAGAATGGGCGAGGGACATACCCGAGGCCCCCAGCGAGCTCGAGGAAGTTGATCGAGACCTCAATCAGATGCAAGATTGCTGGATGGGAATCTCCAAGATAGTTTACCAAGCGAACAATCAATTATTTGCATCCAGCGAGCAAACCTCGGAACTGATCAGGAGTGGGAGATACCGAGAACAAATTGATTGGTTTCAACCCCAACTACGAGATTTCCGACTCAATTTGGATCGAGTCAACTGTGCGTCTGATATCAAAGTCTCTTCGATTCCAACCAGAAGCTAATTACTCGACAGTGTCTGCGCCGATGCGATGCATCCTGATCATTGAATACGAATACACCCGTGAGTTGAAATCATTGACTTGCTTACAGAGCTGAACGACTGACATTGGGGACAAGGATTATACGTCAACTCACTTGCCCTCCAGGCGGTGGTCGATCGATGGACAACTATGTCTAATGAGTCCACCGCGCAAGCACAGACTAGTGGCCCCGGGCCGTCTGCTGGGAGCAATGGATGGTTTCGCACTTTGATGGAGCTTTATCGGGTGAATGAACCCTACATTCAAGAAGTGGTCGACGCTTCCCGAAAGATTCTCCAGACAGTCCTGGACGGTCTAGTACCCGGCGGACGTCTGAAGCACGCCCCAATCCGCACTTTCTTCCGCATTCTTTCCGGTATGATCTTTATTCTGAAGGCAAGTCATCCAGCTTCTTGGCTCACACCGATCGAGAAACCCCAACAAAAGTTCCAGGCTGACTCGGCTTATTTCCGTTTCAGACATTTACGCTTGGTGCTCGCGAAGATGACGTGCGAGTCTCTCTTGACCTCCAGGACCGTACGGTGGAAGCCTTGCGAACCTTTGTTGTCGATGATGTCCACATTAGTAACACCGTCGCTCGTCTTCTGGAGCTCCTCACCAGCAGCATCCGTACTCGATTCCTACGATTTGCACCGCACGATCGCGGCATCGATGGTGAAGGCCATGCCTCGGCTCCTGTTTCTCGAGCCCAATCACCACCCCGTGACACCCTTCTGGCTCGCCGTGATGGCCTGCAGACCCCCTGGTCATCGGCCAGTGATGCGCCGTCCGGCTCTGGCGTGGGAGCTTTCACCGACAGCAACGGCGGCGGCGGGAGTTCCTCTGCGCCGCTAGGGTCAGCACACGACCCGTTGGCCAGTATCCCGGCGCAGCCGATCAATTCATCAAATTTAAATGTTTCTTTTATGCCGCCACCGCCATCAGTTTATTACAACTATTATGACTCTAACTCCGGCTTGTCGACCAGTGACCTCGGACGACCGTCGCCCAACCATGTCGTCTCCTCGCAGTCCGTCGGAGAAGGCAATGGAGCGAGTACCTCCTCCGGCGCGTTTCCGGATTGGTTTGCACTACCGCTTGATCAGTTTTTCAACAGCTCTAGCGGGGTGGTGGACCAAGGTCTTGGAGGTACGGGTCCGATGTTGGGTGAATTCGATATGTTGGAGGTGCTTTTGAATGAAGGTTATGATGGACATGGACACGGTGATCATGACTCTGGCGGTACCCAACCGCATTTTATGGGATGAAAGCCCTTCGGGAGATTGAGCTTAATTTTGAACGAGACCCTTGAATTGTTTGTTTTATCGTCATATCGGTCGGTTTAGTTGTCCACCTTGCTAGTTTACTTTACTTTACAGCATATCATATACCCCAACCAGATCTATCCTTGAAATGGATTTTTTTTTATCTTACCATGGTTTCAAGCTGTTTTTCTCTAAACAATATCTTCCCTCGACATAGTATTGAAGCATTTACCCCTTTTTCCAGAAAACAAAAGTTCCAACAGACGAGGTTACCTATAATTTCTTACATGACTGGGAATGCGGAGAGATGTATGTGCGCTCACTGTATTGAAAGCACACGGAAAAGCTTCGCTAAGCCCCTATGGGTGCTTGAAGTAAGAGGAAAGACCGTTCGGGCCAGTCAAGCCACGTCGACTTCCAATGGACGCCTAGGTATGTCCTTCATTGAGCTGAATTGTCAATGATAACAATACGCACGGCATTTAGTGGCCCTTTACCTGTGCCTTCGTAGCTGACCTAGAGAAGGAAATCAAGTCTTGTATAAGATATGAGATCATGAAACCTGCTACTGGCAGATAACGTAGTAGTACCTAGGGAGATGCAGAAGAGGTGTTGAGACCTCGGCTTTTTCGGATCTTTCATGCCGGGCTGGGTTACCGGATACGTCGAAGCATACTTTCCAAGTTTCCCCGTTATAATATTGATGGAGATAAGGCTGTGACAGAACAACAGAAGATATGTAGGGTAATGAGGTTGGATCTTCAATGGTGTGACTTGTCCGCGCTAGTTGTAGGCAGCAACATCATCATATCGACAGCCTCATCCGTGGCGCTTCCGGACATAGCGGTTCTTCAAGGCGGAGAAACGAACCGCACGGACGGGATAGAGTCCAATAACAAAGGCATAGATACCATTGCTTGCAGTAGCTTGACCCTGCACATCGGAGCATGACCCTGACACTGCATTCTCATGCACGGCCCAGTCGGTCTCCGTCGGCCCTGCAGACGTGTGGAGTCAGGATGCCGAGTACATCTCTAGGCCAAGGATGACGTTCATCGGGAAAAGTTCTCTTTCAAGGCCTAGTCCCTGGCACGACGGTTGAAGAATGTAGATGACTGCATGAATCTTGGCCTGAAGCTAATAATGCCTTGTGTGTCCATGGAAAGCACGTTCTAGGGCTCGGTGGAGATTGTATTGTCGAGGGATTGATCGTGTCAGAGACTTGAAGAGATGGAGAGTACGGCATACCTTAGTTTCGGAGACGCATATATTGTAAATGTCAGCGCAAGACTCATATGGTCCACCGCGGAGCCTTGAGGGGTTTGTCAGATGTTCCAGATGAATCAAGCAGTTGTCCACGCATGTCACGCATATTCATATAAGCCGAGCATGACAGTTGACCGAGTACCGACAGCAGTAAATATGGACAGACATGAATAGTAAAATGGATTCCATCGCGGCGTAGAGAGGATACCTCTCTAGGTACCAGACCAGACGGCCGCTAGAACTTGATCATGAAGAAAGGTTGAATTGGTAGAGCACCTGACTTCTCGCAAACTTCTCTCTCACTTGAGTCGGAGTCAGGGCTCTCAAAGTCGCAACTTCGACTACGCATGACTCGATCCATACTCAGTGCTACTACCTCCCCGTCATGAGAGCATCATTGGTCGCCCTGTCTCATGAGTTGGAGGACATCCAATGTCACGTCCTGCTAATGATCGTGCCAGAGACAAGGATTGTCTTTGCCATGGTCACCGTGAATCATGACTATCTTCCTTCGACATTTATCTCATCAACCCAGGTACTGTTAATTCTATTGTGTAATTTCCACCGTGGCTCACTTGCAGACCGAATCTGGTCAGCTGGTCAGCTGGTCAGTCGATGGGCGAGAGTCGATACTGTCGCTACACGCGCTATCTTCCTCCTGTACCTCGGGCGTCATACCCCCCGGCCAAGGCTTAAAGAGTCAACGCCAATCGGCCGGTCAATGTCCCTACGATTCTTCACAGATGGCAGGCGCCCCTGACCAGAAGCCAACACCTGCGCCTTCCCTGAGGACGCCATGCGAGCGCTCGGTCCTCAGGGTGTCATTCAGCCGACGGTCAACCGGGAAGAAAGGGTACTGCAGAGCAGCATTGGCTGCACCGAGAGATAACCGGGTCCTGATCGACAGCTTTGTGCCTTCAGTTGATTGACTCGGGCTGGCACTCTACTGTGACTGGTTCTGACCTGGGATTGTGCACACCTTAACTTCATCGATCAGCGAGTGGCCCATGGACCAATTCCACGTTTCAGGGTCTTTGTCCCGTTCGAGAGGGTCCTCTTCCCGAGTAGTCTTGCGATTGGCGACACTTCCCCGGCCGCTAAGTGCTGATTCCAGCCTTTCAGTCTCCTGCGTATCCGCAGTCGACTTTAACCTTCATGCACCGCCGAAACCCATCTCTGAACCATAGCCAGTCATATTCCTCTGTCCCCCTTATCTCTGAGCGATCCAGTGTCGCCATTGCTCGCTAACCAGATTTCCGGTTGGCTGTGGGAAAATCTCAACGAGAAGCGAAGAAAAGGAGCAAGTGAGCGATGAAGAAGAAACCAGCCGGAACTCACCGGCGATGGTCACGCCTCTGGGAGGCGGCTGATTGGCAATGGTCGATGGCGAGAAAGACGCCTTCGCGCTCAGACTCGGACCTTGCCTGATCAAGGAAAAGAATGATATCTCTTGGCCTCACAGGAGGGGGAGACTGGAGGTTTCATGAATTGTGATGGGCTTGCTGAGGGGGTCGGTACTGAAGCCGGGTGAAGCCAAACTGGCGTTGCTGTTCGCCAGGCGGCCAAGATTGCTTGTCTTGTTCAAGCGTTCTAGTGCCGTGGATCCACTTGGCGCTCAGAGTGCGGTGTCTTCCCCCGCTTCCTGTGGATTGCTGAGACATCTTCACGAAAGAGGACCCTCTCAATTTCTGATATCTCAAGACGAATCATCGTCTGTTGACTCCGATTCAACGCTCACACTGGCTACAGCCCACGGCAATATGCAACCTCGCAGACGCTCACCAAGTCACATCGATGGACGGACTCCGGCTTGGCCGTTGGACGTCCGTGATGCATCCGAGTAGTGGAGGGCACAGAATGGCCCTGGCGGATCCTAAAGTTCGCTGCAGAAGGTTGGATCGACAGACACATCTTCCCAGAAGAGGAACATCTCCTTTTCCAGCCCTGAAGAGAAGAGTTGCATGGTTATTGGGAGAAATTCAACCTGGATTGGCGGCTGCGTATCTCAACATCGTGAGCTTCCCAGGAGTTGATGCTCGAGGCCTCTGACAATGTCTATAAAAGCGACGCCCTCGTCGCCGGACAGAGATTCTCTTTCGGTTTCTCAGACTCATTCCAATTCATTGAGCCTCAAGTTGCGCCTTGTGAATCTTCAATTCGATCGATCAGCGAGTTTCTACTCTCATTGCTCCCTTACAACATGGTTGTCTTCAGCAAATTCACGGCCGTCTTGGCCAGCCTGGCAGCTGTCTCATCGGCCATGCCCACAGGTGGCTCACCCAAAGCCGAGTCTCCCAAGACCCGGTTCTCCATCAAGCAGACGGCTCGTCCGGCCTCCAAGCCCAAGACCGTCAACTTGCCGGCCATGTATGCCGCTACCATCGCCAAGTATGGTGGTAAGGTCCCCGACAGTGTCAAGGCAGCCGCCTCCCGGGGCTCTGCCATCACCACTCCTACCAACAACGACGAGGAGTACCTGACTCCCGTCACTGTCGGTGGCTCAACTCTCAACCTGGACTTTGACACCGGCTCCGCGGATCTGTAAGTGAAGATGCCTACACTAGAGAAACGGCGGTTGGCCGCAGATGCTAACAAGCCTCATCCAGGTGGGTGTTCTCATCAGAATTACCCTCATCTGAGTCCCAGGGCCACGATCTCTACAGCCCCAGCCCCAATGCCCAAAAGCTCTCCGGCTACAGCTGGTCAATCTCTTATGGTGACGGAAGTAACGCTAGCGGTGATGTCTACGAGGATACCGTCAGCGTTGGTGGCGTGACCGCTTCCCGACAGGCCGTCGAGGCAGCCCAGTCTGTCAGCCAGCAGTTCGTCAGCAACGTAGGCAACGACGGTCTCTTGGGATTGGCCTTCAGCTCCATCAACACGGTCCAGCCGCAGGCACAGACTACTTTCTTCGACACCGTGCAGTCTCAGCTGGACTCTCCCCTGTTCGCCGTGACTCTGAAGCACAATGCTCCCGGCACTTACGACTTTGGTTTCATCGACAGCTCCAAGTATACCGGCCAGTTGGCCTTTACTCCCGTCGACAACTCCCAGGGCTTCTGGTCCTTCAATGCGGACGGTTACTCTGTCGGCTATGTTCAGGGCGCTGGCATCACCGGTATTGCTGGTAAGTGCAAAGAATCCTCCAGGTTCCCCCCCCCCCCTCCTTAGATTGATATTCGTTATCTGCCCGGATTGAGACTCATTTTTGTTTTCTTGAAGACACCGGTACCACTCTCCTGCTCCTCGATGACAGCGTGGTCTACGACTACTACAGCCAGGTCTCGGGTGCTCAGTCCGACTCCTCCGCCGGCGGTATCACCATTCCTTGCGATGCGCAGCTGCCCGACTTTGTTGTCACCATCAATGGCTACGATGCTGTTGTTCCGGGCTCCTTGATCAACTACGCCCCTCTGTCCGGCAACACCTGCTTCGGAGGTATCCAGAGCAACTCTGGAATTGGCTTCTCCATCTTCGGTGATATCTTCCTTAAGAGTCAGTACGTCGTGTTTGACGCCAGCGGCCCTCAGCTCGGCTTTGCTGCTCAGGCATAGATGCTCTTTGCTGTGGGACGACCACAGACTTTTGAAGGCGCCTAAGACTGCTCTTACACCCCAAGAGTATCTAAGTGGTCGTGGTTGGAAGATGAATCCACCATAACGATTTGATTTGATTTGCTCTACGATTGACTCTTCGATGGTTTCACATTTGATGGATTTGTAGCGGGAAGCCTTCACGCGGCTTGGCTTGTAAATAGTGTCTTCAAATGATCATGTTCTGTTGTACATAGTTCAACATGGGAAACCCTCATTCACTCCTGTTTTCGTCCCCACTAGGCATTGCCATGTTCTCATCAAGATTGTAAGTCTCTTGTTGACCTCTTATGCAGTCCCATCGCCAGGTACCGGGTTGCTATCCAATTAGGGCGAGCGACGTTGGGAGGGGCAAATAGCCTTCGCACGTATGCGCTTCGGTTGGAGGTCTTGTCGAGTCTGTGATAAAGAGCTGTGCGGAAGGATAGAATCGGCGACCCATCAACGACACCTTCAAATGTAAAATACATTAAGGTGCCGTTCCCAAAAAGCGGTGATGGGTGCTGAGTTGTTCCCCAATGGAACGCACACGAGTCGTGACTCTGGAAGTTGAAAAACAGTGCCAAAGGGATGTCTTCCTTCAACTATTCTCTCATGGGACAGACTTTGCTCGCTGCTCCAAAGAAATGAGGCTCTTCAAACTCGCAGCTTCTACCCGTTGTCTAATTGCCTGGTCTCGTCATCCAGGGCTAGTTTCTACATCAAAAGTCCATTCCCACGAATTGATCCTCCACTTGACGGAATGTCTGAGCCTGCTCAAAAGGACTCGCCATCTCTGCATGACTCAGTCCTCCCACCAGACAAATGGAGCGTGAACACAGCTGAGAGAGGATATAGATAGTACATACAAGTTGAAGATTCTGTGACCTAGCTCCAGGTCGCACGTTCAACACTAAAACGGCAGCTCCAAAGAAAAGAGTTAACAGCATCGTATATAGTTGTCGACCAAGTCGCGCTGTTCAAAAGAGGTCGGGACCTTGAGGAAGACGGAAGGAAGACTGAAGCACAGGACTAAATGGACTCGAACATGCGCGGGCGGATTGGGTACTCGTCCAGCGCGTGCAGTAATACTCCGTGTGGAGCGTGGGGATCGTGGATAGCAGTGAATCTATAGGAAGGTTGTCATTGACGTCAAATTTCCGCGCTGGTGGATCGACTTAATTTCAACGAGCCTCATCCTAAGATTCACCTTTCTTTTCCTTTTTCTTTCTTTTTGGAAGGATCTTCTTCTTTTCCCTCTAAAGACATCCAGGGCACATCTACACGAGGTGGACAGTCCTTATGTGATGGACGTCAGGCATTGACCGTCGTGACTAACAAACATTCGGGGCCCTCTTCAACCTGCGGGGGATCACGTTCTGGTGGAAAAGTGGAGACGCTCCATTTGCAAGTGGCGGATCAACTCTCGTATCAATCCACGACCCGCCGGGACTCGGTTCTCGACCCTCGACTGATCTTCATCAATTGATCGACCTGAACCCCCCAAGTCCGCTCTGTCCCATCGTCGAATCCTCTCCTTGCCGACACATCATACTTGCGCTCCGCTCTGTTCTGTTCTCAATAAGTATCAGCATTCGCCAAGACTACGCGACATCCAGTCTCTGTTCATCTTGTTGTCCAGATCTTCAAAACTGCCATCCCCATCGCCCACAACTGTACTGCCGACCGCACTCCGATCGCCCGCCTCCCTCAGGCTCCAAAGGCTCCAAAGGCTCCAGAGCTGTTGTTCCTACCTGAGTTCACAGAACGGCTGTGTCCGCTCACGGCTTCACTTTATGATGGACGTCTGACATCTCTCCTGGAATCGTCATTCTACGCGGAGTCTCTGCAGTGGCCTTTCGTCATCAGGAGGAAGCCTACAATTACGACTGGGGCGAGCCGGCCTGCCGTTCGAAGCAGCCAAACTGACGATGGGAGATGCGCCTCATTTGACGCCCCGCCAGATCTGGGCCAATCCGACAACAAAGACAGCGCAAAGCTATCCAAGTGGATGCACGCCTTTTGTACTGCCGAGCGAAGGTAGGTCGCTTTGTATTCGTCTCAATTCCTCAGCTGCTCGGCTGTCTGGCCAAGCCCGCGATCCCGAGAATTCACTTTCGTCCTTTGTGGCTTGGCATCGATCTCCGGTCGAGCTTCAGACTTCAAGGTATTTCACCGTGACTTCAGCTGATCATCATCTCTGCCAGGCATCATTCGGGTCAATAACTCGTACGCGCTGACCTTAACCGGTAACGCCGTATACCAACCCGTCTGCACTGGTGACACGACCGACCACGTCCATATCTCTGCCGTCCTCGATACCCTTGATCCATTCTATTCTTCCGTCACACCTCAACTCTATGCTATTGGATGTGCGACTGTCGTCAGCTATGTTCTGGTGATTATACTCCTTATTACGCCTCGAACCTTTTTCATTGGCGGTCCCGGTGGAGGTGCCAATTTCCTCGGACGTCATGGCATGATTAGCGGTTCCTATAGCGGCAACTCTTCTGTCGTCGGCGTTGGGGGACGTCCCTGGTTGCAAAAGGTTGCTGCGACGTTAGTCGCAATCTCTTTGACCATCGCGACGGTGGATTCATTTAAGGTCGCCCAGCGGCAGTACGATTCGGGATTCTCCGACGCCGAGGCGCTTTCGCAGGAGGTCATCGACGGAACCGAAATTCGCATCTTTCGAGTCATATCCAGTACCTTCTTATGGCTGGCGCAGGTCCAGACTCTCATTCGACTATTTCCGCGTCACAAAGAAAAAGTTATGATCAAGTGGGCTGGGTTCGCTCTCATCGTACTAGATACGACTTTCAGCTGCCTGGAGAACTTCATGGTCCGAAATACATCGACCCATCCGCGACTATATGATGACGCAGTCCCCGCGCTCAGCTATCTCTTCGAACTGGCCCTCAACCTCCTATATGCGGCGTGGGTTATTTTCTATTCGATATCGAAGCATCGGTACGCATTCTTTCACCCGAAAATGCGCAACATCTGCTTCGTGGCTCTCCTTTCACTTTGTGCAATCTTGATTCCTGTCATATTCTTCGTCCTGGATATTGCAAAACCTGAGATCGCGGGATGGGGTACCTATATCAGATGGGTGGGCTCCGCTGCAGCCAGTGTGGTGGTGTGGGAGTGGGTGGAACGAATAGAAGCCCTGGAGCGAGACGAAACAAAGGACGGAATTCTGGGAAGAGAGGTCTTTGATGGCGACGAGATGCTCGAAGTGACGCCATCGGAAGAGGTAGACTGGCCACGGTACTCATCTCAAGACTCCGACAAAGGCGGTGGCGACGGCACCTCCTCGGGTTGGGGAGGCATGATTAGCTTGCCGGGACGTCCATTGCGGACAAGAGTTGGCTTCGCCCGTGGCCATCAGAACCGCGGCAACACTCGACACGGGCAGGGCAAAGCTACCATGCCTCCACGTCGAAATCCTCGTCCGACTCCCCCACCCGCTGCCATAACACCCGTCAGTCGAACGGACACCACCAGTGCTGCCAGCACGGTCTACAACGTTCGATATCATCCAGTCACAACACCGACACCTCCCGTGGGAATGCCGGATATGTCGGAGGAGACCGAGCAGGATGAGGATCCCAAAGAATTGGAGGTTGAGGGCGCTCATCCCGACGCTGTTGCAGCTGAGCACGATCCTGCAGATTCAAACAACAGAGAGGAATCACCTCAAGTCGTTGCCAGCGATCCACGGTGGAGGAACTTGCTCAATCCTTTCAAGAGGAGGCGTGGATCACTTCCCAAGGAAGTGGCTTCGGCGCAAGCCGACGATGCGCAAATCAATGAGTATTACAACTCCGGCTTGTCTGACGAGGAGACCCGTGGAAAAAATGAGCAATCGCTTCAAAACAAGAGCGCTTTCTTCTCCCTACACCGGGGCCGTTTCCCAGGAGGCGGATCGCAAAATGCAGATGCACCTCTGCCCGTTACTGTCATTCCAGCTCGTCGTCGCGGCCAACCGCATACTTGGTCACCCGAGAATCGAATATGGGAAGAGCGCACAGGCTCCGAATCTCGACCCAATCGAGCCGATCTACCTGTCCGTATCATCCCTTCGCAGCCTCAGGCTTCTGCCCCGTGGGAAAGTGCAGATCTTGAGAACGGCGATGGCGATTACACCTTACGTTATGATCCGGACGCCGCTGCATTGATTGATGAGGACGTTCACGGTGGGCAAGATGATCGGCATCATACGCCTGAAGTGGCAGCAATTGCCTGGGCCGAGCCAACTGACTCGCCTCGACGGGATCACTCTTGCACACACCATGCAAGCTCTTCATTCGACAATACACCTAGGCCCGACACGTCTTGATGCATCACATGATTTCCGTGTCCTTGTTCAAATACAGCGACTGAGACCATCAAAGTCCAAAAGAGACTGGAAGTAGGGAGGAGTTTGGACATCTGCAGCATTCTTATGCTGACGGCTTGCGATTTGACTTTGCATTTGGCCTCTCAAGGAGTGGAGTTTTGGCGCTTCTAATTATCGATTTGAAGATGTTTATTCATGTGTGTGTGACACCTTTTATTATAATTTTGATATACCCTTCAACAGTCAACACACCTATGCTTGCCTATTTTATACAAGCTCAATTCTCAAAAAGGACTTTGGTACATACAGATTCATCATTGACCTTCAATCGCGTAGATCAATGTTGATTCCCAGCTTCCACCTCTGGTCGACTCTGTTCACTGGTCATAGTTTTTGAACCAAGAAACGTGCCAGCCAGCACAGCCGTAAGTACACAGAGAACGCCTATCCAAAGGAAGTCAGCATGTACCTATGTTGGAGGCGGTTCATAAATAGAAAGTCTTACTTAAAGTCCAGCACATGACATAATAGTCAAATCGCTCCGTCAAGGCGCCGGATATCACGGGACCGAGGGTCAAGCCAAGTGCGACGGCGACTTCAATCAAGGAGAAGGCTCTGGAAAAGCCTCCTTGGGGACCAAAGACGCCTGGATGTTTCGCTTCTTCGACTTCCACGGCCACTGTCAGGAGTATAGAGTCAGTGACTGCAAACATGGGCACAATTGCCCTGGAAATGAAGACACTGCTGGAGCATAGAACTCACGAGTCAATTCCATTGGAGCAACTCCTGAAGTCAAGGGACGAAGGAAACCAAAGACGACGCAGCAAAAGACGTACAGTGCCTTGCCACGCTCGCCGGCGCTCGACCACTGATACGCTGGATTTCCAGCAAACCCCAACAAAGCCAGGACCACGCTCTGGGATACCAGGCCGAAAGCAGCAGGCAGACGGGTGCCAACTCGGTCTCGAAGATGTCCAGCAAGAGGACTGATGGGTAGACTCGGCAGGGACAAGAGCATGAACATCAAACCCACACGCGAAGGGCTCCAGCCAAAAATGTCGGATACATGAAGAGGCAAAGTCGCGTTGAAGCTGGTGGCCAAGGCTGGAGCCCAGACGGTGATGAGCAATGCCGTCAACACGCGGCTCTTGCCCAGCATGATGCGCCACACATTTGCGGACGGAGAAATCGCGCCATCTTTTGATTGCTCTGCATCCGCTGCAGGAGTCGAGGAGTTCTGCAGCAATGGTTCGGTCTCGTGTGCACTTGAACTCGGTGTGGTGGAATCGGATTTCGTTGGCACGGGCATCTTCTGCTCCTTTTTGTTCTCGACCATCAACATCCGCGCCACTATATCCACCACCAGAATCACCACAGGTACACTCCAAGTAAACCAATAACCAGCTAACTCCAATATAAACCCCGAGACCATCGGTCCGGTAATCGTCCCAGAATTAGCAACCGCCGTCATCACGCCCAGGGTGACCCCGATTCTCTCTGTCCCGACACAATCCGTCACCGTCGCCAGTCCAATGAGCCATGTCCCGGACCCCGAAATGCCCTGCAGCACTCGACCTGCGAAGAATACGCCCAGGCTGGTCGCAAAAGCGACCATCAACGTGCCGATGATGCATCCGAGCAGGGTGATGAGGAATGGAATCTTACGACTGGGCGTTTGATCGGCCAAGTGGCCGAGGATCGGACCGCTGAATGCGGATACTATTCCGTGCAGAGCCAGCGAGATGGAAGTGAGTCGTTGGGTCTGCTGGGGAGGCTGGTGCATGCGCTCTTCGAGCATGTAGGGGAGCATTGGCACGAGGAATCCGTAGAGGAACATTTCTGGAATCATCACATGCTTTCGTCAGATGTTGCGGCGCAAGTAAAAAGAATTTTTGTTTTTACTAGACGTGGTCGAGAGGTTCGAGTTTGCAAAGCCCGAGGCCAATCTCGACAAGACCGATATAGATCCTATAGACTGGGCTGTTGGAGGATAACTACACGGACTGACCTATGAATAATGCCAAGGCAATAGTAGACAGGACGAAGGGCTTTGAAGATCGCCATGCTGCTGGATGGCGGTACCCGAATTGTTTATAAACCTGCATAATCGCAGATTGAGCAGCCATGAATCACTTCAAATGACACGCGTAGGTACTCGAGCCAGTGCCAACAATTGCTGTGGACGAGAGTGAGGCCAAATTCTGCCAGGTCTCATCCGAATGAAATGTCACCCTCAAAGACAGACAGACAGAGAGAGAAAAGATACGGTTGGAACTTGTTCTAGCTAGAGATTTTCCGGAAAAAACACCCCGTGATCATTAACCGGTCTACTCAGTCATCACCTCAAGCTAAGACTTTTGACTGTTTGAAGGAGCTGATGTTGGCGAGACGATGTAAGGGATGTGGGATGTGTCTGTGGTTTGTATGACAGTCGGATAAAAAGAATTGGAGATTGACGAGAAGTCCAGCATCGGCTGCGTAATTCCAAGCACGAACTGGAAAGCTGGATTTGGGATAGCTCGGTTTAGAGGAGAGAGAGAGAGAGAGAGAGTGGGGGCGCAGAAAATGAGGATCCATTGTAGATCATGGAGGGGATATAGATGCCGAGTCGAGTCTACTGTCCAGTGTCTACTGTCCAGTGTCACTATCTATTGCTCTGCTGCCCTACTGTACCGACCTCCAGCAAAGGGAATGCTTCATCTGCATCATGACCGAGTTTTGCAGCAGCTCCTTGCATAGCTAGAGGGTTTGGGTTATTTGAATGGGAGAATCACAAGTGAGAGTGGTTGCAGTGGACATTGCCTATTGCTCGACGAGAAGAAGGGAGGTCCGGAAAGCGTTCTTAAACTAGTTAGTTGCTACTTAACTCTTAGTACTAAGTAAGTACTACTTGACTGTGGAACTAATAATCCATTAGCTACCTATTCTTCTGAAACAATATCACTTCCCTAGTACTGAGTCTACTGACTACAGTCACTACACTATTTGACTCGTATGTACGTCCCGTACTGGAGTTGAGGGGTGGTTATTTCCTAATCTGTACATTGTGGTTTTCCTGTGTGCCGTCCAGGCTTAGTGTTTACTTTTGTACATATTCCGAGTTCCGCGCGGTCACGGTTGGTGGATTCATCTCCTTTTTCCTCTCCTTGGCTTCCGCATCGGCTTGCTTCCAGGAACCCTCGTAGTGATGGCTCACCAGAGCGTCTCCTTGATCCTTGGGGTTTCCATTCTGGAGAGCAGCAAAGGAGACTCCGGGCATGATGAGCAGATCACCCACCAATTTCGGATGTTTGATGTGCGCGAAATCGCGATCGTCCACTTCCCTGCCCAGCAGGTGGGTCAGACTGTCCATCAACGCAACGGTCATGATCTTGGGGCCCGTCACGTTCACCACGTCGGAGAGCATCTCCAGGATGATCCCGGAGATGCCGACATGGTTGGTGCGGGCGATATCCTTCAACACGCGGATGACCGTGTCCACGACCACTTGTAGATTGCGCGACGACGGCCGGGCCGCAAATGCCCAGTTACAGAACTGGGATGCCACCTCCGTTCCGGGGCCTCGCCAGTCCAGGTCAAACTCCAAGCCCACGATCATGTCAATCTTCTGATCTTTATACTCGGGCGGAACCCAGTCGGCGACCGCCTTGTCACAGCTGACATCCAGATCACTCCAGATTCCTCCCTCGGCGAGCACCGCCAGATAGCGAAGGAGATCGGCCTTGAGGATGGGGATGCGCAGCTCCTTGTACACCTCGACAATGTCCGGTCGCGTGTGCTGGTAGTGGGCCTCGACAAAGGCCTCGCCTGACGCGTCGGTCAACAACTCCTCGCGGTGGGCGGGGTTGACGTCGGTCCAGCTATTGATCCAGGCGAGCTGGTTCTCGGAGACATGGTGGGTTTTGGCCGAGTGCCACACCTTGTCGGGAATCTGGGCGATGGCAGTCTTGACGTTGTGTGGTAGCGGTGGGAGCTCCGGCCGGTGGGATGGGTGTGGTTGGGACTTTGGCTCGGCGGCCTCGGTGGACTTGGGCGGGATGGGAGACGTGGCAACGGCGTCGTGGGCAATGATTTGAACGGGGGCAGAGGGAGGGGGTCTTGTGGTGCTCGTCTTGGAGGACCGCCAATTCAGGGAGTTCTGGACATATACAAAGTGGAAGAGGACCAAGGTCAAGACCGCAGCGACGACTATGCGAACCCCGCGCGCAGCCATCAACTTGGAGACCGACACCATCGGAGAACCGTCTCCAGAGGGAACAGGACTCGCGGTTTGGATTACACTGGACAAGAGGAAGAACGACCCCGGCAGTGTAGCTGTACAGAGGACATTGGGAGAAAAGAGGTGCAAAAACGAGGCTCAGGAGACGAGCGACCGGGCGAACCCAAATATGGTGGACGCCTGGCCCAGTCCTCCTCCTACAGTAGCCTTCAGTGCCGACAGGCCCGAGACTCTTGCCTCCCTCCCAATAACTCACCAACTCTATTCCTGATTACGCGGACTAGGCCTGTCTCAGTGTCTAGTCGTCTACTATCTCCTGGCAACTTACTCGAGACCAGTCTCCCGTCCAGTGTCTAGTGGCCGCTGTCCAGGCCCAGGCGATGAGACCGATCAATGAGGAACCGAGCCGCAAGCACAAGGTGGACGATCGGTGAGTCCATTGGCTGCTCGTTCTGTTTTCCCGATATCTTTAGCGCCGATGTCCATCTGGGATGCGCTGCTTTGGGGCAGTGTCGCCCGACCATTCCAGAGTAGAAAGGCATTAGTTAGTTAGGCAGACCTACTGTACGTTGAGAGCACAGACAGGTGCTGATCTTTCCTATTCGGGGAGCTACCCAAGGAGCGACATGTTTGTTATTCCTGTCTCCGACCTCATCTGGTAAAGTAGGGAGAAAAAGTAGGGAGAATATGTAGGGAGAGCAAGGAGATCAGATCATCAGACAATTGGTGTCATATGTGGACAGACAAGAAGTGTATTCGTGGGATCGTTGAGAGTGCCACTGGACAGGTCAGATAAGCAGCGGCATGGAGGTTTGTGAAGAAGAAGAAGAAGAAGAAGAAGAAGTAGGATGATCCCTAATCTGCACCTAATTCCAGGTTGGATCTTCGCGCCGGCGACCAAGTGGCTTCCGACCGACCAAACTGCATACAGCAAATATCCTCAACACGGGTACGTCCCGTCGGCTACCTTGTACCTTATCGAGGATTCGCTGCAACCTTTCAAAGTCTGCCAAAGTTGGTGAAATGGAGCGATATCCATTCCACTTGACTTCACCCTGTTCTGTGGTCCATTTCCCCGGAACAGCTCATACCGTACTGAGGCAGGTAGGTCTAGGCGGATCCATCATTGGGTGAGCCTGGGTTAGCCTGAATAGGCAATTTGTCTTGCGTATACACACATCAAAATCAACTCTTGCCTCTTCGCGGGCAGTCCAGCCAAGAGCAATGTTCCGACCGTGGACAGTCTCGGGCTCTGATCATCGCTATCCGTGGTCGATGTTTTTGGACCTGGAGAATCGGAATGGAGGTGTCTGTGTAGTGGGTACTTGTCAACACGGTGGTATATGTAGACCAGATCAAACGGTAGCAACTCGTGAAGTCGTTGTGCATGAGGAAAGCCACTTGTAAGTTTGCCCAATTGAGTTTACTCAGACTCGGAGATAAGGTAGTAGGTACCTCAGGTACTACCAGGTTAGTATGTACTAATGTAGTAGTAGGATATATTGAGGAACTGACTACTCTGTACCTGGCCAAGGACTTCCGGTCCTCCTGCAGACTACAGGCAGGGGTCCCCTTCCCACTCGTGAGAGAGGCACTCTTGAATTTAGTAGTAGTAGAACTAGGGGGAAGTAAGAACGATCCACCGCCTACAGGTAAGCTGACCTGTGCTGCTGGGCGTTGTCTACGGAGGTGTTGTGGTGCTCTCTAGTCTCTACTTCTAGCCCCTCTGATGCCCGTTGCTCGCAGAATCAGGCATGATGACATGTGTTTCCAGCCAGGTCAAGGTCGAGGAGTCTCTTTCACCACTCGCGGCGAATGCTCTCATAACGTGTAGGAACGGTGCCAACCCCAACAGAACGATGAACAGCAATGGAGGTAATCACACCTCCACCGCTCGGGCGCTAGCCGTCCTTGTTCGCCGAGAGCCGCAATGCGCACAGAAAAGTGTGCTCCGGAGACTGCTCCAGTGCTCCAGTGCTCCAGTGCTCAACTGCTCAGTGCTTACTCCATCCGCCAAGCTCCACCTGACAAACGAAACGAGGCTGCAAAGTTTCAACGCTACTGGACCAAAAGAGTAATCTCGAATTGTCAGCACGTCAACCCCAAGCGTCTTACAACTCGCTCGACCGCTTCGTGATCCACCACTTCTTCTTTATTCAGTCGCCCGAGTCGATGCTGCGCTACGTGCCAGCGGTCGCATCATGGCGACTGTCAACCAGAACATGTTCGCCGCCAATGTCGCCTCGGATCGACCGGGCGGAGTATCGCTGCTGCTACTCCCGCTCAACCTGATCGCGCAGATTGTGTCCAATGTGAGTGCTTTCAGCCGCAACCCTCATGTCCAGATGCGACCGTCGGGCCAATGGAGCGAACAGGAGGGTTCAAGTCCACTGACGGCGATTACCAGGTTGCCGACACCGCAGATCTCGCTCGTCTATGCCGAACATGTCGGGTCTTCAACTACATGGCCCTGCCTCAGCTCTACCGCAGTCTCACGCTTACTTCATACGACAAAATTCGATATCGCGGCGAGCTACCGGAAGGCAGCGGAAGCGCAAGCCCGTTCACCATGGGACTGAACGCCGTCATCACCCGACCGTACGCGACACTCGTGCAATCCATCTGTCTGCGGGGCGAGTGGAAGGAGTCTGATATCGAAGAATATGCACAAGTCGGACGGGTCCCGGACTCTTCCATGCTGCTGAATGTGGCCGTGCGCGCCGCGGTGGATCGTATGCAATCCCTCGAAAGCTTCAGCTGGGAGCTTAACACGAAAATGCTCGAGACCGTGTATGCCGGTCTCACGGGGCTGCCGCACTTGACCTCCCTGACGATTCGTTTCCCCTCCACGCGACATCCACAACCGGCCTTTGCGTTGCCGGGCATGCCCAATCTGCGCCGTTTGAAGATCACCGACATTGACCCGCTCTGCTATCCCGATGACATTTCCACCATTCTCCTCAAAAGTCGACAGTTGCGAGATTTACGGTTGCATTGGTCCCCTCGCATGCGACGCGCGCAAGAGCCCAGTGTCTCCCTGCACGACTACTTCAGGAAATGTATCGCGGCGAAGCAGCCGTTGGCTGTCACCAAGCTCTCGTTCCAGAATCTGTATGCATTTCACAGCGAGGAATTCAATCTTAGCTTCAACCCGACCACCATGGAAGATGTCACATTCCTGAGCGGGTCGGATACGGTCGGCCTCATGAACACGTTCATGGACAACAGCTGGCCGAACGTCATACCGCATCGAGAACTCAAGATCAAGTCCATGCGACTGGATACGATAGCCAAGCGCAATGCCGATTTCCTAGGCAGCTTTAAGGGTCTCGAAAAGCTATACATGGTCAATACGTACGACAATTCGTGCGACAGTCTGAACTCTCCCCGTCCAGGCGGCTCCGCCGATTTCACGCCGACAATCCCTCAGTCGCCCGTTGGAAATGGAACCACGGCCAGTTCCCCCGTGGCCGCAGTGTCTCCTGCCCACCCGTCTGGCATCGCTCTCAGTGTGCGTGACACTTATCTGGCCAACATCACCTTGAATCATGGCGCGACGCTGCGACACCTGCTTCTTTGCGCCAAATGGCCTCTTTCCACTTCCATCATTGCGCGTCTGGTCCACAGTTGTCCGAACCTTGAGCAACTGGCTCTCGCGACAGATGTATCCTCTTTAGACTCTCTCAGTATGCTGGTGCCATTCCTGCGGAAGCTGGTTGCCCTTCGCCTTTTGATACCCCCGGGGTCTCCGCACCCCTCTTCGAGTACCGCACTCGCTGTCAACCCTGCAACAGTCGCGGCAGGTTTGCCTGGAGGAGGAGACGGATGGAGTCCCAAGTCTCCCTCACATATCACCGCTAGCCCGCAATTTCTGGAGAACTTGCGTCTATATCAGCTACCAAAAGCAGTTGAAAACGTCATCGCCACTGCAAGAAGCCTCGCAGACATTGTCAATCTGGACGACGAGTACCTGATGAATATCATGAGCCGTGACATGGCCGATCAACAAAACTTTGGCAATCTCAGGATCGTCGGCATGGGATGGAAAGCCTTCGAACTGCGCGGACATTACAAAGTCTATGTGCCCACACCCGAGCCATCTGGAGACAACACGCCGGCTGCCCCTGCAGATACCGCCGCTCCGGAGGTCGGAGTTCAGAAGCGACCCGTTTCTTCGCAACCGATCACTGGAGTCAATGGCCAGAATGATACGGCCTCGACGCCTCTCCATCGGTCTGCTTCCATGCCATCCAGCCGTGCAAACGGGGCCCCCCCAAGACCCTCCACCACCGTGCCCCCCTCACTACTCGGCAAGCGATCCCGCGAAGACAGCCAACCCAGCCAACATAGCCAACATCTACCGCCTCCAGCGGCCACGCTTTCCCATGAACCACGCACGAACCCTGACTCCCCGGATCCGCCGGGGTACGGCCATTTCCCCCCATCTTCAAGCCTGACGGATTTGTGTACCGTCGGCACGTCAAACGAGTGGGTTGGGATGTTTTGCAGAAGTGGGAGATTTGGAAGCTCGATGCTCAAGAGATTTGAGTTTTGACCTTCTCTGCCCTAGTCCCGGCCCTGTGTTTGCTTTGCAAATCAAACATTCCATTACCATTGTATATTACAATTACACTGTGTGCCCATTACCTGTGTACTGGGTGCTGTTCTCCTCGGTTGGCGCTTGATACAGGTTGGAGTTCCATCGATCTCAAACAATTGCATTCTCATATCACCGAGCGACAATACCTCTTTTTCATTATTCCAAGCTAGAGGAGTTCGCCTTCGGCGAGCGTCACGTGCATCGTTACCTGAGCCTTGAGTGGAGTGAAAGCTGGGGATTCGACGCTAACGACTTGGTTGGTCTGGGATCCATCCGAGGGCACATAATGTGCATTGTACAATCACTTTAGACATTTTCAGATTTCCAGGCTGCCATGCCCATGGATGCTAGCAGAGGCTTACATCATAACCATCAATTGAAAGACCAAGGCAGTCAGTCACTGCTATGATCTCCCTCCTCTGTCCGTGAGAACAGAAGTCCAGGCATCAAGGGTTCATCAATCGGTGTTGCCGATGGGAAGTCCTCTGTTCGGCGCCAAATGCGCAGCTTCACATACACATTGTGCGCTGTATCCAGTCCGCAATTGAGTCAAAGCAGGATGAGACTATGAGTAGCAGAGAGGTTGGTACTGTGTAGCTAGCCATCTTCCGAGAAACGAGTCACTACATCGTCTCTGCAAATTGCAACCTTGAGCCTCGTACTAGTCCTGACTAAGTAGTAGATACAAGCTGTCCTCCGGGATGACACCAGTCATACCGTGTAGGCGTGTACACTCCTGCTCCACCTCTCTATCGGTTGACCATTGACTCAAAAAGGACTTCGTGGAGACTCCCCGGTCTCTCCCAGCCAAGACGAGGTGCCTCAACTCGCATTGGACCAGCTCATTTGATGGGCCCACTCCAATTTGCTTTACTCGCCTCTTGCTGATCTCGGTTCCTTCACTCCAACTCTCTCATAGTCGTCCAAACTCTCAAGTATGTGAGGAGTACTATTGTCCTGGGAAACTTTCGACCGTTTGAAACACCCACTTCCCCATGGCCCCGAGGTTTATCCGACTGCCACCCCCAACCCTCTGCGTGTGGGGGTTTGCATGTCGTGAATGGCTCCGTGTTGGGTAACGGTCGAGATATCGAGTCCGTGATCCATTCAGTCATCCCGCCACTGGATAGAATGTGGCATTAGGTATTGGTCTAAAGCATTACGGTCTTTTTGCTTCTCCAATACTATGCTTTCATTTCAAAGGTGGTTCGGAAGGGCAGGCTCAGTGCGCCGACCGCTGATGACACAAAGTACTCTCGGTGTAGTCAGCATTGTGTTCACCGTCTTCATCGAACCGTATACACCTGCACAGGTCAGGTCAGTGCATGATTGAAAATGGATTGTGGTCAATCATTGGTCGTTAGAGCTGTCTTCGCTTACGACTGATCGGTTGACCTTGGAGTCTGGTATTTAAATCCGCCTCGCTTCCGATGTCTGATTACTTTTCCTCTATTGTTCCTGAAGGTTCCGACCACGCACATCGTGACCTCGTTGGTGTAGTACGACATCTGCTGGGTATACACTGAGCTCTGTGGAAGGATACATCACCCCAACATGACTACCATACCAGTGACGACCGAAAACCTGGTCCCGGGGCTGAATCAGTCCAGGTTCAGGTGAGCTATGAAAAAATCTTCCGTGCCAAATATACCAAAATCATGGGGTCATATACTTAGTACCTGCCCATCTATTCAGACTCACGGGTCCCTACGGAGATTGGCGCGACGAGCTCCAGTCCCAAGGCTACGTGGTGATCAAAAATGCCATCGCGCCGGCAAGAGCCAAGCACTATCAACAAAAGGCACTGGATTGGCTGACATCCTTTGACACCGAGCTCGATCTGAACAACCCATCCACATGGACGGTGGACAATCTCCCATTTCAAAGCAAAGTCAACACGTTCAACAAGTACGGCGTGGCACACGAGAAATTCATGTGGGACGCTCGCATGGAACCCGCGGTTCTCGAGGCATTCTCCACCATCTGGGACACGGATGAGCTTCTCGTCTCATTCGATGCCCTCAACGTGACACTGCCCAATCGGGCCGATAAGCCTGCGCAAAGACCCTGGCCGCATGTTGATCAATCGCCTCTGCGACGAGGTCTACATTGCGTCCAGGGAATTATCAACCTGAGTCATGCGGGCCCCGAAGACGGATCCCTCATTGTCCTGCCACGATCAAATACCGCGACGGAACACTTTTTCGACACGGAGACTGATCCCTCAACATGGGAATCGAAAGATATTCGCTTCATCAGCGAGAGTGAGATGAAATGGTTCGAGGCCCGTGGAATGAACCCGCTCAAAGTCATGGCCGAGCCGGGTGATCTGCTTCTTTGGGATTCGCGGACTGTTCACTGGGGAGGGGAGCCCACAGCCAAGAGTGACACCATCCGAACAGTCATATATGTCTCGTATTCCCCGGCGAAATGGGCGAGATCCGAAGAGCTGGAGCGGAAACGGGAAGCATTTGAATCGTTCCATGCAACGACCCATTGGGCTCATGATAATATTGTGCCTCGTGAGAAGGAAGCCTATCTCCCGGACGGCAGCTGGGATCCTCGGAACCGGTCAGAACCATTGGAGAAGCCCGAGCGTTCTAAGAAGTTACTTCAACTTGCTGGTGTAGAGTCATATACTTAGTGTTGTTGAAGAGAACTGCGGGTAATAATGAGCAGCCATCGAGACTGGACCTGGGTTGAGCGGGTCTTCTACGAAATGCAAAGTGACCTTTTAAGGATACTTGTCCGCTTCCATCTTAGACTGGGATTTGAAAAACGGAGTGAATCGTCTACATTTCGCATCAATCACGTTCAGTCTCTAAGCGGCGCCAATAGACACTACTTGATCATGCCAGATTCCCTGTTGGTATGTTATACATCAGGACTCTATGTGGTAAACTTAGGTACTCGCTAGCTACATCACCCGGCGCGACAAGGCTTAAAGGGCTAGATATGGCTGGCTACCCCAAACGACGACTTCGATCTTAGTGCAACCTGAACCTTAGCCTTCATACCCAAGATAAGCTTTCGACAATTTCTCGCGAACCCACTATACAGCCACTGTTAGTTCCGGATTCGCGACCCGCATTCGAGCCTCTTGGCGAACGCCACTGCCAGGACTCACCTCGCCCGCCTTGAAGGGAGTTCTACACGGTGGATTGTCGCTAGTCGTGTACCTCTCCAGCACGGCAATCGTGGCGTCATAGTCAACTCCAAAGAAGAATGGGATCGAGTATCTTTCCTCTCCGGAGAGATTGTTCACTCGGTGGATCGTCGATTTGAACTTCTTGTTTGTCCTGAGAAAGGTCAGCCAGCGTTCCACCATTGTACTCAACAGTCTGTTGAGATCATGACGACTCACCAAGTGGACAGACAATCTGCAATGTTGACCACCAAGGTTCCTTCGATTGGAGGCGCAAGAACCCACTCCCCGTGGTGGTTGAGGATTTCCAATCCAGGGACATGGCTTTGGGAGAGAATTGTAAAGCATTCCCAGTCCTGAAATAGTCCTTTTAGTTGATCTGATCTTGGCTGCCTGCATCCCACTGTAACATTGAGAGCAGGACACAAGGTATCGACGCATCGTACGCCATGAATCTAAACCTACCGTGTGTGCCCCCAACCCTTCCTGTACTTGCCCAGGCACCGGCTGCGCCGGATAATGCATCATCCGCGAGGTCACGCCCGGTGTCCGCATACTTGAATCGAAATGATTCTCCTGCAATCCCAAAGCGAGTGCAAAAACTCCCATCATCTGACGACACAGATCCAGCGCCGCGACGCAATACTCTACATACTTTTGTGTAAAGCCGGGCAGAGTCTGTTCATCTGGCCATTGGTTGTCGCCATAGAGACCATATGTATCTGGCGGGAGACTGGCACCGGGCCCTTTGGTAGAGTCCATGGCGATTTCGTAGCCAATGTCGAATGCCTCGGAGAGCATGATACCGGCTTCTTCTCGGGAGATGGGGTCGTCTTCGGTGCCGGTGGATGTTTCGCCTCCGATGGGGCTGTAGCCACGGAATTTCTGGACGGTAAAATGGACGTTGTTGGTGCCACTTCCAGTTTCTTGGTGGTTTCCAGCGGCAGGAATATAAGGTAGGTAGCAATGGGACATGACATACTTGTGAGTTTCCAATGTAGTATTTCATTTTTACTTCCTCAGGGAGACTGAAAAACTGGGCGGCTGCATTGTGCAATTCATGGATCAGTGCATCGGGGATTCCGTGGTTCTGATATTATACGCAAGTCAGCTGAAGGGCGTTTATCAGTATCTTGACCTTCGGAAGAGACGCAGATAGGTAGGTTTCTTAAGATAACGTCCAGCTGATCACACTTCCCCTGGCTTGATGGTTTCTTCTGCTTTGGTACTGAAAGGCACAATCATATGGCCTGTCACCTGAAGGGCGGAATATCGGCAAGTACCTTAATATAAAAGAACCCAACCTGAGTGCACGCATCGTATATTCTCTGGGCAAGCTCTTGACGCTCGTCCAGACGCGAGCTTCGCAATGAGGAAAGATCGATGACCGGGATTGCGGCGGAGTCTGCCAGCTGGGAATGATCGTTTGAAGGAGGCATTGAATCTTCTGTCTTGTGAATGTTGAATACTCAATACAATGCCCGTGGTGAGATGTCGAGTAAGTCAGATCCAGTAGTATGTAGTGCCGATTCAAAGGTCTGACTCAGGTAGATCTGAGCTCGAGTCAGATATGAGGGGTAGCTGCATTTGAACAGGCATTGTGGTACGCACGCGGTACACATGTACCACGCGTGGGTGGCCCATTTTCCTGGAGTACTGCAAGTACCTTCTGGAACTTTACCCCTCACTTCCGTAGAAGCTTGTGTTTGCTGTCTCCGCGCAGTGTCTCCGCACTCGATGAGATGCGTCGACAGACTCGACACTAGTAGAGTACATGACACGGAAACCAGACATTAGGATCATAGGATATGCTTCCGTTGGTGCTTATTTCTCAAGAAACTCTGCGCAATGAATGGGGTCCGACGGTTCATTAGACAGCTGTCTCGGTTTCAAACGTGAAAGAGTATTCCTTCAGCCGGAATTCCTGAGAGTATAGCGTCTCGCTTTTTGCGCTTTTCGTCCACTGTGCCATGTACCACGACCGAATCCCGATGAATTGTTCGACATCACACGGCAACCTCCACACTTTAAGCAATGACAATCAAAATGTCAAGATATTGAAAATCATGTGATAGGATGGGATTAGGCAAGTGATAGGCAGGAATGAGGATGATGAACTTGAAAGTCCTAATGACGTTCCCTATTTGAATGTGATCTTGGTACTGTAGATTACTAGATAGTCTATATCGAGGAGAACAAGCATAATCGATTATCAAAGGTGATAAGTTACTACTGAGTACTGTATGTCTGAATGTCGTCTGCACGTGAATTACGCCAATTTCTCCAAACGATCTCGAGTAATGGGCCTACACCTCACCAGCGACCCACTCCAGCCGGGCAAGTTCCATCGTCCCTCCGTCGCTTTTCGTGTTTCAGGGGCTTCGCCTTCTAAGAATCTTAATCGGTCGCTTACTTTTTCCAGTAACTTTCTGGCATATCTCCTACTGTGGTTAGTCGGTGGAACATAAGCCAGTCTCTCGACCAGTCACCTGGCTTTTTCTCACTATGGCTTCTCGGTAGTGCGGACGCCACCGCGACCGAGTCCTTGGTCGTCTTGCCCCGTGCGCCAGTTTTAGCATTGACCGGGGCCCGTCGTGGGCCTTGTTCCATTGGCGCGTGCCTGGGTTTCCTCTATCTTGCTGGGTTGCCAACTCGTAGCGCCAGTTCCTCCCTGTCCACACTCCACGGTCATTCGTGGGCCTCGATGCGAGTGGGCACGAGGACCTCTTGAAACGAATCGTTCATACTGGATGGGTCCAGGTGTTGTGGGCGTGTGCGTGGTGGTGTGGCGAGGAGCCCCAGAACGTGGTCGGCTCTTCTGGTAGGCAATTGGTTAATCCGACAGTCACTGCAGGAACCCTTTACCGTTGCTTCTGGCCATTGTTGGATCCTCACTCACAGATTGAGGTGATCACAGTGACTAGTGTCAGTGAGAAAGCGGCACCTTCAGCCGTTCGAGGGTTAATATTCGCCGCGCATTCGGACAGGTGGAGGATGTGCGAGAGCAGAGAGTCTCAAGCCCGGCATGTCGCGAACTGCTGATCCTCTGGATGATCACAATTCCGACGATCCATTGACTGTCTGTTGAGCAATCAGACGCACGGGACTGAAACTTGCTTAGACTGAGCATGAAATTCGTAGATATTCTTGTCTTCGTGTCGGTCAAGCTTCCTCTCAATGTTCAATACTGATGATCGGCCTACTGGTTACTTACGGTATGAGAGAGCACCTTATCGTCGTCCTGTCACCGGGAGTCCTGTTTGTCCTCCACACTCCAGCGATGGAGTACTGTTGAAATGCACTATATCCGAACCTGTTACTCAAATCGCACTACAGTGCTGCGTCAACGCTTCCAGGTCAAACACTCCAAGAGCCGACTGAAGGTCCACTCCTTGTGAGTCCACTGTCCGAGTCCGGACCTGGATAGCCGGACCAGACTTGCTCAGACCTCATAGAGCACCACTTATGGTGACTTAACCCTTCTCATGCAGCACAGAGTGGACAAGGAGGTGATCCGATGGAGTCGAGGCATGCAAGATGGACCCTTTCTCATCCAATGCTTCGGCTTATCCACTCACCGCCCGCGCGGCCCGCCGATCTTTTGCCGTTCACCCAACCCCCTAAACTCCCCGGCCAAAACGGAACAACAGCAACCAAAAGAAGGAAGGCGATCGGGGGAAAAAAAATTTAAAAGAAGGGAATAACGAGAGAGGAAAGGGGAAAAAAAAGGAAAGAAATCCGTAGTCGAAAAAGGCCAGCTTAAACAGACTACAGGCGGTGATTATCTTTACGTCTTCTTCCCCCCCACCCTCCACCACCCCAAACCTTCTCCCTTTTGGAGCACCCAATTTCCCTCTTCCTCTCCTTCTCTTCTCCTTCACACCTCTTCACTTCCCCCGAGGAATCGTCAAGTTCACTCACCCATAGTCACTCTTTTGAACGGGTTCTTCTATCTTCTCTCCGTCGCCATGGCCAACGAACGCTCCGCCCAGGATGACCGCAACCTCGAGAAAGGTGCGGCCCCGACGCCAGCCCCAAGCAGCGGCCTGCACCCGGCTTTCTATATCGCGTACGTGACCGTTGGATTTCAGACCGATTTTTTTCATCACGCAGTTCTGTCACGTCAAGTGGTACTGATCGTTTCTCTCTCAGTCTGTGGATCGCCCTGAGTTCCAGCGTCATCCTCTTCAACAAGTGGGTGCTGTCCAGCGCCAAATTCAGTGAGTCTCCTAGCATGCCTTTCCCGTACTTCCTCTGGAAAACGGTGCTCTTGGTTTTCCTCTGAACATCGATGTACTAATTCGCTTTGTCTTTAGACTTCCGTAAGTCTCTCCGACGAGCCTAACGCGAGGGCGATGATTCAGTCTCGCAAGGATAGCATCGACTGGCATCGAAGAAACAAATCACTAATCTCTTGAAATGGCAGCCCTGTTCCTCACCACATGGCACATGGTGTTTGCTACCGCCATGACCCAGGGCCTGGCCAAGTTCACCACCATTCTCGACTCTCGCCACAAGGTTCCCATGACCCCGAGCACTTACGTGTGAGTCGATATCCCAGCCTTGCACCCTGTGCGATTCAAACTGCAGTCGCTAATCCTGAGTCTCCTCCAGTCGTGCTATTGTCCCCATCGGCATCATGTTCAGTCTGTCTCTCATCTGCGGTAATCTGGCCTATCTCTACCTCAGTGTGTCATTTATTCAGATGTTGAAGGTACGTCTCTTGTCTTTGAATACCGGGGTCCAGATTTGTGCGGAACTCATATCTGATCAACACTTTCTTGTATCATAGGCCACCAATGCTGTCGTGACTCTCTTCGCTACCTGGGCCTTTGGAATTGCCCCCTACAACTTCAAGACCCTCGGCAACGTCGGAATCATTGTCGTTGGTGTGATCATTGCCTCCTTCGGCGAGATCAAATTCGACATGCTGGGCTTCCTGATCCAGTGCGGTGGTATCATCTTCGAGGCTCTGCGCCTGGTCATGGTTCAGCGCCTGCTCAGCTCTGCCGAATTCAAGATGGATCCTCTGGTCTCCCTGTACTACTATGCTCCCGCATGTGCTGTCACCAACGGTGTCGTCACCCTCTTCACTGATGTGCCCCGCATGAGCATGAACGACATCTACTCCCTGGGTATCATGACTCTGGTTGCCAACGCACTGGTTGCGTTCCTCCTCAATGCCTCTGTTGTCCTGTTGGTACGTTCGAAAGAATCCCTCGCGCTTGATCCTCGGTCCTGTTTTTGTCACTTACTCACGAATTTCCACAGATCGGCAAGACCTCGGCTGTTGTCCTCACCATGGCTGGTATCCTCAAGGACATCCTCTTGGTTTGCGCTTCCATGATGATTTTCCGCGATCCCGTCACTCCCCAGCAGTTCTTCGGTTACTCCATCGCGCTGGCCGGTCTGGTTTACTACAAGCTCGGTGCCGAGAAGATTCAGACCCTCAGCACCGATATTCGTCTGCAAGTCGGCGAGTATCGCCGCGCTAACCCTGCCAAGGCTAAGGGTATCGCTATCGGTGTTGTCGCCGTCATCATTCTGCTGGTGCTGTACACCGGTGCTCCCTCCGGCGTTCACCCCACCAACTAGATTGACTGCGCTGTGCGTCCCTCTTTTCTCGATCTGCCGTGCGCAAGAAGGTGAACTTGCACCCTATGCCCGACTATATAATTTTTTTCTCTCTCTCACTTGGCAGCCATTCGGCGTGGCCGCTTTGGAAGATTTTCATGTGACACCATTCACCCGACATTTCACGATAGAATTTGATGGCGTTGGCTTCGTTGTGGTCGGAGTCAACCCGTGTATATTTGGCCGGGAGTTGTTCCTCGTTTTTTTCTGATTCAGTTATTGCTCACGACTGCGTTGGGGACATGTCTTGTGTTGCCCTTGTCCCACTTTTTTCTTGCTCCAGCCCTTTGACGCTCATTGACTCAAACGGACAAAACAAACACCTTGGAGCGTATCCGATTTTGATTTAATTTTACCCAAGGACATGTGCAGTATGTGCATTATTCAAATGAAAGACATGAAAATGATAGACAAGCCCGAGCCTCCGTCGACAGGAATCCAAGGTTCCTCTATGATAGGTCGATGTTTGCATCGCCGCAGCTTCTTTATAAAGATTCTCGTCTCGGTTACATGCATGTCGAGTCCACTTGACCCCCCCCCCCCCCAATTACCTTATGCGCTGGCAAAGACGCCCGGAGTATAGTCAATCACCTGACCCTTTTCCAGCACGCCATCGAGACTCTTAACAAACTCCCGATGCGCCGGATCTTCCTTCACATAATAATCTCGATCCTCGGCGCTGGCGAATTCGACGACGAAAGCATGTGTTATGCCGGCCTTGTCGAGTTGTTCGAGAAACGTAAGTGGTAAGCCATTGAGCATTCACACCACATACACACATACATAGGAAAATGTACACGAGCAGCGGAGGAATCACTGGATGGCACTTGCCTCCAAGGAAAAGAAACGTGGGTTGGGAAGGGTCTCACCTGTAGACCTTCGATGGAGTTGTCGCTTCCTCCCGAGGAAGACTTGATGTAAGATTGATTGGTAGTGGGATGTACACACTTGTCTTTGAGAGCGAGCATCCGATCGCATGTCTGAAAGGAGGGGAAAGGTGTCACGGGCAAGTGTTAGCTTATGGAATCTACGAGACCTGCTGCTCTGGAAGGACTTCGTCTGTCTAGTGCAATGTTGGGAGAGACAAGGGCAAGAGCATGAAAGTGAGGGTTGTTGTCGAGGGATGTTCTCACGTCTTTGATAACGTGGGCGTCGGTGCCAGCTTTGAACGTGAAGAGTACGATGTGAGTGATGGACATTGTGGAGGACGGATTTTTCGGCAGTGTGTTAGTGGAGACGGAGAGACTTGAGGTGTTTACTCCTGGGTTGAGTACCGACGGCAGAATTGATCGTTGATCGAGAGCGTCGTGGTCAGAATTGAATCCTACCTACTTTACAGTGTCTGGGATGGGATGCCGAGGTACTTGTACTTGGCGTGGGGCGGTTTAGCCTTACTCCATACGTGGTACAGGTACAGGTACAGGTACAGGTACTGTTTTGGGAGAGCAAGGACCGTTGCATCAGCATGAACCCCCTCAGCTCCTCAGCTCCCGTTTATCGACTCGACTGGCGAATTGATTGCTGCGGGGCAAGTGTCCAGATCCACGTGATCATTTCTCGAGCGAGTGGGCGAGTCAGCGCGTGAAGAGGAAGAGAGTAACTGCCTGAGTGAATCGTGTCCAATATCTTCCATTCGCACCCTATCGCGAAGCTGATCTGGTCCTGGACGTCTGCCCGACGTGAGATCATGAGATGAAGGTCTCTCCGGGTACGAGTAAAACCTAATCGAATGCCGAGACTCGTTCACAACAAAGACAATTTCCAAATATCAACAAGTCAGAAAGAAGCCGACAGGGACAGCAAGCCTCGACCTCACATTCAACTGCAGAACGACATGTACAGCCATTCTCGTCGTCAATGTAGATTCTCCCGGTCTGGTATCACATGAGTCTTGGTGGATATTCGAGGAGAACTTCGGTATCACCGACTCTGCCAACCTCGTCGGTTGTTGCCCATGGTCGCGTCGTCACTGCTGTGGATGCTGTCACTGTCGCTATTGTGAACAGTCTCCCCGGGCAAGTCTTCTCTGCCATCCTGCCAAGTCGAGCAATTCACGCACCGTTTGGCCTGGATCAAAAAGGGTGAATAAATATCGTCGATCAATTTTCACTGCACGCACCGAAATGAGGAGCTCGAGGGGGTTGAAGATGGTGATTTGGATTTCCCATCCCTACTCCACCTACCTGAACGCTAATGAACTTGCGGCAGTATCGACACCGAACTGTGGGCTTGATGATCTTGTCGTGCGAGACAAACATGTATAAGTGGGCGACGGCGAACAAGGTCAAGCTCACACCTGCGAAATTGAGTAGTGTCTCGACAAACATGCTATATGTACAAGATGCAGGGTTAGTCGGATTCTTGGGAGTCCGTTCTGAACTGATCGGGTCCTCCTTTCAAGAGAATGCGCCCCGTGACGAATCGATGGGTCAGGAGAAATTACGAACCCCCATGCAAGGACCAGTGCTCCGTCATCTCGAGCCTGCTTCAAGGTATTGTAACCGTGCTCCTCGACATAGTTTGGACCAGGTGAGAGCACGGCAAACTTCTGGTCCATGTTTCGATTCAACAGAGGGAGTAAGGATACCACAGGGAGGACCACGTCGGATACGAACGAGGACACTACTTTGGTGAAGGCGTTCGCAATGCTAGAGAAGGCATGGAGGAGGGTTCAGTCAGGAATCTGTGGAGGTCACTGGTCCTCCATTGAAGGCATAAGTGTACAGTTTACACTGTACCGTATACACCAGAGGAGAGAAGGACATACATTAGACCGAGTGCCACCTCGAGGACATTGTCTCGAGCCGCAAAGTTGACAAACGCCAGCCATACGTTCTTCACCTGCGCGCCTGCAGTGTGTCCGACTCGATGCAGGACATTGCTGTTCTCGTCGAGGCCGCGCATTTTTTTTCCCTATCCAGAGGCAGGATTGAATCAATATCAATAGGGGCAGGGGCCAAAGACAGGTTCCAGTGGAGCTGGCTTGGATATTTCGAGTGCGGAAAGGCTTGTTTGAGGGGAGTCCTGAGGATTCAAGATTGACGGGGGATCGACGGGACAGATTCAAGTGGGTAGCGCACAGATCAGGGAAGCCCATGTGCCTAGTGGGGGCTAATGACTCCCTCAGGAAGCAGCCTCCTCGCAGCAGGTATGTTAGTAGCTTCCCAGATACAGTCATTAGTTCTCATGCGATCTACATCAGCGCTCGAGATTCCGCCGGCAATTCTCACATCACATGAAACAGTTGACCTGACGGGCGATCGTGGAGAACGAGCTGAAACACAATGGAAGCAGGCACCTCCCGTCTAGAAACCGACACTGCAAGGCTATATATACTCAGAGACCCCTTGCCACCATGCTCATGATGAAAAAAAACATGGTCACTACCCACTCCATTAGAAGAACAATGGCAATTTTCAATAGGATGGTGAAGGGACGAATTCGTATGTGTGGATATCACGCAGATGCTACTCGTTTATGCGACGAGTAGGACTAAGAACCTCGGATCCCAACTTGACAGTAGACAAGAAGAAGCGACAAAGTATTAACAAAAACAAGAACAAGAGCAATCATTGAATGTAGTACAGTGAAGATCAAGAAAACGGTAGTCAAATGAGCGAGAGAATTGTCGAAAGGGGAGAAGAAGACAGAAAACAAACAAATGGAGTTTGCTGCAAGTAATGGGAGTGCAACGATAAACCTCGGGAAGCAGCCCCGCCCAATTCTTAGGTGAACCACTTTGAAAACGAGCCCTCTGCACGCATTCGAGCACTTGCCACTTCTCATCTGGTCATCACGCGGGACTATCGAATCGAGGGCTCTGCGACTGGCAGGTCGAACTGGTGTGATTGCTCATGTCGCGAGTCCAACGCTTCTCCCCATTCTCGCCAACGATTTCCTGTTGGCTCGAGTTTGCGGCAGATCCGGCGTGGCGCATCCATACCTTTTCACGGGCAAGTTTAAACAATGGTCGCATGTTGGTAAGACAGGCAGCAACGATACCCACGGCGGGTTCGATGCATGTCCACACGCTGGAATTGACCTGGGTGTCTGGGACAGAGTTAGCTTGATGGGCTGACGTGACCTGGTAACAGTCGAGGACTCCGAGAGCCATAATCAACTTACAGGTAATGTCATTGCCAGCTTTGGAGAGGTCGACGAGAGCGACCAATCGAATGATGTCAAAAATGAGTGTCCTGAGTTCCGGGAGCATTAGCAGACGTGACATTCCCATTTCATCTCAATCTCTTGCGAGGATCGAAGGGAGCAAAATCTTACAACAGTCCAAGAATGAAGATGATTGAAAGACCGGTCTTTTGCGCCTTTGAAATGGGCAGACTCCAGACAATATGCATCGGCATGACCAAGATAATGGCGTCCGTCACGATATTGGGGATTTGCAAGCCGTAGTAGAACTTGGCGAGGTCCATACAGCCACCTGGGATCATTGGGTTCCACAGCTTGTCCGTGGGGATGCAGAGGAAGCAACCTGCGAGAATACCACAGGCCGCCCAGAGAATGATAATCAATGACACAACTTGCACGGCGGTTCTCATGGACTTGACGGGGAACAGTCGCTTGTACAGCATCAAGGTGGAGAGCTTGATGGACGCGACACATAGGGTGTACAGAATGGATCCGGTGAAGAGCGTCTGTATGATCACATAGTCAGTCACTGATCACCACAGGTTGGGGATCAGCTCGCTGTCTTTGAGACCTTGAGATAAACCACGAGCTGCTCGGGTTTCACGTATTCGATGTGGGTTCCGAGTCCGTTGTAAAGAACTTTTGAAAGGTTAGATGTAACCCAGAAGGAGCCTGAAACCCCTTGGATGAACAGATTGCCATCCAAAACGATTGACTTACGGACAATACCCGCGATTGAGATGCCCCATTCCCAGATCTAGATTCCGTCAGTACTCGATTGTACACAGTCCCGTTCTCAACGAACTAGGGCTAATCAGACGAAGATACCCACAAGCGCCGAGATCATCAACCAGTCATCTATGAACAGCCCACTTCTGTTGACTTTTCGAGCCAGTATTCGACACACCACTGCAGTGGTAGAGAGAATAAATGCGAAACATGTCGAGGTAATGACTACATGACGTAGGTTGTCATGATTGACCCCAGTGCTTGCCTTTGTGGATGTGGACATTTGGAGGGCATGCACCGGTGGAAACAAGCGCTGAGATCTGACAGAACCCTAGGCAAACGGGTGATAATGAAGGACAAACACAATAGTCGGCATGTTCGTCTATGGACGCACATACTAGATCAATATAAAGGCTAAAGTTAGGTAAGTTGCTCTCGCGCCACCGTGATCAGCCAAACCTTGACAAAATGTCCGAGCTTAACCTTGCGACGACCGGGTCTTCAAGTTCAATGCTCAGCAATGACCTGCTCTTTCCTGCAAAGGTGTTGTGTGGGTAATCTCCTCTTTTCGAACACTTTTGCTCCTGCGAGACAACGGGGCAGCCGAATAGTATGGAGTATGGACACTTCATTGCTTCAACTGAGCCATTGGCGCCTAAGCGACCCTTGCATGCAGGTGGCTGGTGGGTTGCCCTATGAAAGTGGGCATGGTTTCTCCGTCTAGACGGATCCATTTACTTGTTCGGAAGAGGCAAGGAAGACCCGTGAGGATCAATTCTCACTTTCTGAGATGCTTTTGGCGTCTTGTTGACCACACACCGAAGAACAACCCGCGAGGCTTCAACCAGAAATGGATATGTCACTCGCGGAAGGTCCTTGAAGAATATCGTTTTTGCCATTCCTTTTTCAAGGGCAATGTATAACTGCATACCTACTGGTCAGTAGCTCGGAATACTGAGTATTGAGTCAGCGTGCACTTCGACATTTCTATTTTGTGTCTTCAATCGATAGCAAGGTTGCCTTGTTCCGCTACGGATGTACCAGGCCAAGTGTGTCTTTTGCCGTGAATCGCTTTGCACTGAATCTGAGAGGTCCACGGTAAACGATGCATAGTTTTTCTCACAATGTGGCGGCTGTTGAAAACTTGTATCATGGAGATCGAGTATGAATCCAATTTCTGATTAACTTTGTTGCTAATAGCCTTGGATCGGTATTGTGGCTTGTGTAAGTAGCAAATGGCTCTGACGTATCAACTCTGGAAATGCTGTAGAAAGAAGCCATACGAGGCGATCATCAGAAGTGGATTTATTGGGCAATCGGGTAAATGAAGTCGATTATTATAGGTCCCGTGACATCGATCGCTGTTATGCCTTGTTGGAAGTCTAATTCAATGAGAACTCCCTCTTATTGTTGCAAGATGCTAGGGTGGGTAATCAATAATTCAAGTTACGCGACGTGCCTATTGACGGGGCCGAAGAGAACTTGAGATTCACGTATCCGTGTGGGCAGAAAAGTGACAGGTCAGTTGGGAAAGTATACTCCGATTCGTGGAAGGGAGAGTCTTCCATATCTGCGACTCGTCTATCCGCCAAAGATGGAACTGCAGGTATGGTTTTTATCATGTTCAAGGCACCATCTCATTGTACGTGTGCTAACCTTGCAACAGTCACTGTCACTGGATTGCTTCCCGGACGAAAAGAACAATTGACATTCTCTTCCAGAAAAAGATCGAGCAAATATGCAGACGAATATCGGATCCACCTTTGATCGAGTCTGGCTCTGCATGCTGTCACTCCAATGGCACTCTAATGGCACTGTCGAATCACTCATATCTGCACAATCGGTGGCGGTTGCAATCGAGTCGCTCTTCAAAGTCCCTCTCGATCGGGCGGATATCGTCAGGCATGATATTGACTCTCACACAGATCACCATGATACGATGGAAAGTCCGGATGACACAACCCCGTATCTACATGTTTGCGCGTGTCCAGCTCGCAAATGCAACCTCGCTGCTTATGCGACCACCATCTCACTTGGGGTTGCCTTGTTCTTCCCATCCCAATGAGATTCATCGCTGGGAATTGGTTCAAGCGATCACCAAGCGCTCTGAGCTCCCGCATCCATTCACTTCGCGGGCGGCCCTGGATATATCATGGAGGTAGGAGCCGAATACGGGGATGATAGAGTTGCGCCTCGCTCTCGGGCCGCCCTCTCCCTACGCTCCTCCCGGGTTTGGATCTCCTTTTCGTCTTGAATCAATGTGCAACAGGTACAGCAGGTGGCCCGGACACAGTCGGTGCAAATGTCTCCCTCAATACCATACGCCTTGCGCGTCCGAGCATGCTGAACGGTAGCGAGTAACCCTTGATGGTGTCACGCCAATCAGAGGCAGAACAAGATAGCGCACTCGGCTCGAATTTTGACTTACATTGGCAGCCACACAGCAAAGCCATGCCTGTACATGAACCGTTCAATAGATTATATCCCAGCATATTGGTGGGGTCTTGCTTTCGAGACTTCATGGCTAGACGATGCTGAGTTCTCCCATAGAGGATACACGGACAGGTGATACCCAAACAGCACGTGCCAACATTGGAACATTCGCATAGTTCATGGTTCCAGCTTCCACCATGCGCTTCTTGGATTGGATGCATGGATTGACCGGGGTGATGAAAGGCGCCCAGGTCGTTCATCGGGGGTTCCTGCGACGAAGGCACCGCAGGTGTTGCCGGAGGTGGGAAATAAATGGCTTGCGGCGATTGTAATGGATTGGCGTCCGGTTCGACTGGAAATGTTGCCCTTCTTTGAATCCCATGGGATGGAGCCTCATCGTGTGGGTATTTTGGCGGTAGAGGCGAGAGTTGCGACTGGCGATCAGGAGAATTAGGAGGTATGTGAAACGCTGGATGTTGCTCCACCGGCGGACATTGTACGTATGGGCGCAGGTGTGCCTTTTCATCGCTATATCCAGTACTTGTTTCGGGAGACTTATATTGTACGGGAGATCCGTGTTGTGTCGATTGTGGGGTTTCTTTGCAATCTCGATACTGGTTATGCTGGGCATGCTGTAAAGGGAAAGTGGTTGAAGGCTGATGGTGTTGCATACGGAGTGCAGGCTCAACGATCGCGGAATCGTGGACAGCTTGTGCGTGAGGTGCAGTGAACATGGAAGGGTGCAGATCATCGGAGCCTTGCATGTCTCTCGGCGTATTGATAAACGAGTATCGTGGACCGTTTCCTTGCTCTTGACCTTGGCCGAATTGGGTATCCAAGTAAAGCGGTCGATCCATTCTCACGGTTGGTCTCCTCAGAAGGGTTGCAGTTTTTGCCACGGGAGATAGTCCTGGATATCACAACTGACGAGCATAGCAATTTTGGCCAAAAAGCTCGATCAATCGCAGGTGTGAGATGCAATAAGCCAGGCTACCTCAAAGGGTAATCTTATCGTGTCCGGTGCGAGATGACAGCTTTCATACCATGAAAAGTGGCCAGGAAGAGAGAAAGGTCAAAGGCAGAGGGGAACTGCTAGGATATAGTACCTTCGAAAAGGATGTCGTGGTGATGTGCCCGAGTCGACGACGGCCCCGGGCAGACCTCCACTTGGGATGCATGAGGTATGGGGCTAGCTTGAAATCATTCTCAAAGCTCCGTGGTTCGTAGGAAAGCCGTACATTAGAGTGGCGCCCCCGCCGCCCTAATGCATCGTCTTCACATCGCGGGAGCCGCTGGTTGGATTAGAGCCCGCTCGTGTACGACCCTCGGGCGTTAGCCCCATCCTCGTCACACGCAGGCCATCACATCCGCGGCTTGAACGTGGTGCCCATGTGCACGACTCTGGAGCAGGGGATGTGACCACCAAGTGTGGGATGAATTCACAGTGATGCCTGGTCATACTAGCAGGCGGTCGAGCGCTTAGGGTGCAGACCACTGATTTGAGTTCTCACTGCGTCGGTTGACGGGGCTTCTGGTCGCGTGTCTGAGCCTTTCCATCGTGATGAACAGACGACGATGCGACCGAGCTCAGGCCGTCGAAGGTTGGGGGTTTTCATGAAACACGCGCAAGAGATATGCCCTGGTGAGTCATGTATTTGAATGTCAGCTGGAGGTGGTACTCTCTCACTGTCATGTGGAATCAGGTGATCAGAACTCCTGTTGGGACCTCAAATATCATGAACTTGACTTGGAGCTGCTTGGCAGCCGGCCGAGCCAGTCTCAGGTGAACGTCCAAAAACCTCACTCGCTCAAGGCATCCACATAATCTGGCTGTCGTAACTTGGACGACTACGGCTGAGTCCTGACCACTGACAGCACCATCGCCTGCCCACCATTTGATTAACGTGGACACGGTCGATGATGAGAAGTGAAGGATTCTCAGGTGCCTAGAGAACGGAATCCTTCTCATCTCATTGCATCAACAAATACCTCACCTCTTCACAAGTTCACAGTACTACCTTCGTTTACTGTCGAACTATGAGCCTTTTTTTCACCTCCGCTCTCCGGAGGGGGGGGGTTAGTCCCATCGAAATACTGACTCCGTGTGGACGTATTTTTTTTCGCCTCCGGATTTTGACGTCCCTGCGAGAAATCTCACTTTTTAGAGATGGTGACTGCCTGAACAACATCTGTGATACTCTCCATCCCAGGATCGTCTCGGTGGGTCTGGCAGACCTGGAATGCTCGCAAGAATTAAAGCTAACGCCACCATCTCCGCCGGCAGCCCCGGAATAAGGCTGATTGTGCCACAGTGCTCGGCGGTAATTGAATCATGAATGGCAGCATCACCGCTAGAGCATCAACGTACGATGGTGTTGTCTACATGCACAAGGATGTCGTGTACTGAACAACCTTCAGCTGGTCACAGAGGAATTGTCGCTGTGGAAAATCCGACGATAATTGTGCGACAACCGGGCTTTCTTTTCCGTTGTTTGATTCTCGTTCGATCGTGTTTGTCTATCACATCTCTGCAAAATTGGTCCACGCAGCGGTCGATGCTTGATTAAGACGGTCGGCTTCTGAGTCAGAAGCTCTGCTCGGCCTCTCTGAGAGCTTAGAGAGCTCATATTATAGAACAGTACGTAAAAAAAAAAACATCTGTCGACCAAGAGGTAGGATCGATGATCTTCCGGCCTGGTTCTGATGATAGACTTCGCTCGATGAATGGGAAGTGTACGCCAATTCCAGGACCATATCGATCTCCTTGACAATGGTGGCCCGGATCGGAATGGAAATGGGCTTCATTGGGTATAGTGACCAGAATAGGGAGGCTTTTTCTCGCGATGGTCACCAATCTCGACCTTGACTCCGAGGTAGACGTTATCCCGTTGGGCTGCGCCCAGCACAACAGAAAAAAGTCCATCATAGTCCAACCGTAAGAGGCTGCTGTGATCAACAGCAAACCCTAGAGAGCCTATGATCGAGGTGTCCTACCAAGCGGCTCTTCTCGGAACTCACGGGATGAGTAAGTCAGCATGATACAATGATTCGCGTCTCATATACATCCAGCTCAGATCTCGCTCGCTTGTGCTCTTACACACACAGCCATGAATATCTCCCGCGTGGCTCGATGATTTGCCAACAATCGAGTTTCCGGTGCGCCGTCGAATCCTTTCAAGGATGTGCGAGATCATCGAGGTATGCGCCTCCCACAAGGGTCACAGATTGCTGGCTATCTCAATTCGGAAGCAATAGCTGGCAGAAGCCTCAATTTTGGATCTCGTAGTCACCAACCTTGTCTCGTAAAGGCTGCACGCCTTTATGAGGAACCGCGGATTGGTCAGAAGGCACCGCCGAGTGAGTTTCCACCGCCAAGAAAATGATCGGCCCGAAAAACTTTCTTATCCCTTGGGTTCCTGACCCCACATTGTGAGCTTGAGCATCGCGGAAATTACCATGAGCTTCAAGGTCGTAGCATGCTTCACTGAGCCGAAGGGAAGAGTGATCTCACACCCAAAGATTGGAGCTTGAGAAAGTTGTGCGACAGATGGTGGTCAGTCGTCAAAGAGCCCAAAGGAGGGCCAGAGGAGACCTCATGGGCATTCATTGTTTGAGGACGAATTCTCAATGTCTTATTGTTATCGGTCTCATGGATATCCTGCCCGGACCTTGTGTGGTATGATTCTTGACCCTTGCAGATCTTGGGGCCCATTGTACCCCTGTGCGCCCTGCCCAAGAACACGAGATGGAGAGTGTTCGTGTGGTGTTTCCTCAGACAGCTTTGTTCTTCGCAGAGCCTCGCACCTCGCACTCGCCGTGGAAGGGTGCACCTATGTTGCCGCGGACAGTGTGATTGATACAATGCGGTGAAAGGAATATGGCATTCAGTTGGAGTGGTCGCCCATCATTCCGATCCAATGGCTCCTCGATCGATCGTCGCGCTGTGATTGAGCGTCTTCTGTGGTTGAATATCCCAAGCAGTCCTGTATGTATTCGTCATTTCGCTGTCGGCTGCGTATCATTCTGCGATGCAGTCTTTGATCGACCTCGTGACAAGAAATGAAAAATATCTTAGGCGTGCCTGTTTTGCCAGGACGTCGCGGTCTGGGCAAAACTGGTCTGCTAGTACTCCACAGATGAATCAGTTCCTCATCATATCCATTCTTACCCGAGTGCTGACGGGCTATCCGCGTCATGATGTGCCAAGCTTGATATCGAGTAATCTGCCGAAGAAGAACAACCGACCCTCTGACACGGTGAGTAGGAGGCCGGACTGCAGCGTTTATAAAGTACATCTACTACTATGTGTACTGTATAATATGTAAATTACTATGTAGAATGTGTTCAGGTATGTTTAATATGCAATATGTACAAGCGTCCGTCACATCTGGTGACGTGCTGGATTCAGGACTGACTCGAGTCCATACATTATCATCAACTCGTACGCATGGCTCAGATCTCCATTCATCAGTCCTTGTGCAAGCTTATCTCGAGGGTCCGAGAACTCTCCTGCATGCCCGGCTACCACGACTGCGACCACGCAGACCTGACTCTGTCTCTCTCTCTCTCCCCCATTGCTGCCAGACCACCTACCGTTTGGGTCCGGCTTGCGCACCCGATGTCATGAGCAACTGAGTTCCGCGAGTCGTCTTCAAGGTTCCGCCCTCCTGGATTCCTCGCTCGCATTAGTGTTGACTTGGAGGGCTCGGTCGATTGTTCTTTGCTTTCCCACCGATCCTCCCTTTCTTCCCACCGTTTCCAACCTTTCCACCGTCGCCTTCTCCCTTGTGTTTTGCGACACGTTCGGTCCGGGAGTCGACTTGAGTCTCGACTCTTATCTTGGCTGTCGCATAAAGTGCGGTCAACTGTCCAGCCTGTAAGATCCCGTGCTGGTACAACGTGACCCATAGATTTCCAACCGCTTGAACGACCCACTCTTATAGAAAAAGAAGCGATGCCAGAAACAGGAAAAAGGAGCCCGGAGTGAAGAAGACCAGAAAAAGGAAGCAGGCTACGACATTTAAAGATCGGAAGTGGAATAAAACAAAATATGCCTATGTGAAGAGAAAGCTAAACGGAACCCCCTAGTACTATATTTATTATTATCATTGCGATTATTCTTAATTTACTACCACTTTTTTGTTTCCTGGGCTCCATTCACTACTACTCTTAACAAGATTAACAATTAAAAAAAAAAAAGGATCAGACCGCCTTGCTAGGGCGGCTTCGAAACACCCAGTCAAACTTCCTCCTCCCCCAGTTCTCCGCTCCACTCATCTGCTTCGATTGCCTTCGTGACGCCAACTTCTCTTCTGAATCGCTCGAAATCATCGCTCCCCGACCGAACCGTCCGACCCTCCCCCGCCTCTTGACGGATCGCAAGCTCGCGCGTCTCCTGCAGTTCGACTCTTTTCGTCTCTGAGGAGTTGCTGAATCCAGATCTGACCTGGAAGCTCACCCTCCATCGAACCAACCATCGCCGGCTCCGCTTTCCTTTCTTCCGACCGTCGCGGCCTAACCAATGTCCTATCCATGTCAAGCCCGCCGCCCGCTGCCGAAAACACTCGATTTGACCCCCTGGTGACACCTGCCACGCCTGTCCATCATGATTGCTCGAGGACGGAGCGAAATGCGCCAAACTCACGTCACCACTCGCAGAGTCAACGCCCATTCCAGGGGGCTCAACAAACGCAATCCCCGTCTCGCGCAGAATCCCCCACTATCACCCGGCAATGGTCTCAACCCACTCCTGCCACGGCTCTCAAAAGGGCTTCGTCGATCCCTTTGGAGACCTTCCCCCGGTCGGCCAGCACAACTCAATCCCCCCAACTGACCGAACGGGACAGTATCTTCGCGACACACTATCTTCCATCGGACAGCGCCGCAACTACCCCACAAATTTCCCCCGAGACCCCGACGGACAATGGCCAGGTCAACGCAATCCCTGGTCTAGATGATACACCGGGGTCGCCCAATCTCTCCATCAAAACCTCCCTCCGCCGCTCCCCCGTTGACTCTACCCCCATGGAAGTGGACGTCCGCAGGCATTTCCCTTTGCGCTCCGCTTCCGTGTACTCCACTGCGCAAGCTGGTGGACTTTCTCGTTTACGCTCCTCCATCTCCTCTGGCGTGAAGCTACACAGTACGGAACCACAGACCGCTCGTCGTTCGCAGCCGTATGGGACCGCGCTTGGCGCAAGCAAGGAGCTGCAAGGTCTGAAAAGTGGCCCCGCGGATCGCAACCTTCTTCCTTCAGCGTTGGATCATGGCTCGCAGCCACCGCAGTTATTGACGTCCTCTGCATCCGGGCAGGCCTGGTCGGAGGTCAAACAGGAATCGAACCCTGACTCCTCACGAATAGAATCTGCCCGGGGCATACCGCTGGAACGGGGCTCGAGCAGAGGTCGTCCAGGTCGGGTGGACAAGTCGATCGAGGCAGATATCAGCAACGTGGAACCGGCCTCACACGTACGAAGCCGCAAGTCCAGTCATTTCCTCGGCCTGTTCAAGGAGAATACCACCTCGCCGGATCGGAAGCGAAGAGAAGATCGCACTCCCCAGCACGATGAAATATCTGGCCAACCGGAGGTCAACATGGGGATTGAGCATCCAAATCTGCGGTTAGTCGCGGCGGAGGACGAGGGCTTGTTGCGAAAAAGCATTTCGTTGCCGTCCCTCTCGGACGGCCATGCGTTCGATTCCAAAGATCAGACCGATAGGTCGCAGCAGCGTGACGAACGACACAACGCAGAGCCTCAGAAACGCCCTGCATTTGCTTTGCCACATAGTCTCCTCGAGGAGATCCGGAATTTTCATTTAACTCCAGGTGGAGGACGCGGGTCCTCCTTTTCAAAGAGCATTCCTACCCAGTATGCCGAAAGAGGGCGTGACTACTTCCAGCAAGAGCCCCACGTGGACCGGTACTCCGAATCTCTTAGTTCCGTCGAGGAAGCAGAGCGCCGCCCATCGGAACGATTTGGGGATGATGATGACGAAGAAAAAGAGCAGATCTCCTCTGCCGTATACTTCCCTCATGAGCGTGTCGCTGTCTCAGAAGAGGCTGATGTCGGACACTCAATAGTCGCAGATTCTGAAACAATCCAGCCGCTCCAGATATCGGCGGCGGAACAAGGTCACGAGCTCACGTTGGTCCCCAAGGAAACAAACCCTTTATCTGAACAGGGGGTCAGCAAAGTGGACATTTCTTTCCGATCTAAAACCGAGAGCAAGACTTTCTATGGTGAACTTGGAGCAGGGCGACAACCATTCGAAAATGTCCCAGAGAAGCCTCTTACGGCGATCTCGGAGCGTAGTTATGATTCTACTTGCGAATCAGAGATGCCATCGGCTGACGAAAGTGGCCTCTCCGTGCATGACGAATCCAGTCTTACAGACGACCCTGATATCACCCCGACGGCGACACCGACTCAACGCTCGCGATTCCCAGCTAAAGCAAAGCGCAAGGCCACTGCCCCACTTGGAGCCGTCGAACTGAAGCCCTATCGACATCAAGTTGGCGGTCATACCACTGTGTTTCGGTTCTCCAGACGCGCAGTTTGCAAACAACTTAATAATAGAGAAAACGAATTCTATGAGCGCATCGAAAGGAGGCATCCTGATATGCTTGTGTTCCTACCTAGGTATGCCCCTCACTTCATATTTGCCTCGCGAGGCGTATTTCTTGCACCTCACACATTCTTCTGTGGGCGTTAGCACTTCATTTCCTCCGAACGAGGCTAATCAATTTCAGGTACATTGGAGTTCTCAATGTCACGTTTTCAAAGACTTCGAAACGCTCAAAGCAATCTTCTGATCATGCGGCCCAAGAAGTAGCCGAGGGTAATCGCGTCAATGGGGCATCGATCCCGCAAACCCCATCAATCCAAAGTCCAGAGCCTCAGCGCATTGTGAGCCAGAGCCAGGTGACAGGCGTGATCCCGAAAGTAATTCTTGAAAACAACCGGCACATCATCCCTGCCGATCTGTTTTCTCGTAGTCATCGTTCTCGACTTTTGGATGATACGATGATGGGACGACCCCGCTCAGCAGATGGGCTCAGCAAGCTCTCCACCGAGTCCGATCCGTCTCTGAGAAAGCGCAACAAAATTTGGGGCGCCACGACAGTGAACCGAAAACTCCAAGAACAAGTTCTGCGAGAGGTCTTCAGCCCCCCGGCGATTCACCATCACCGTCGTCATCCTCGCGGGCACTTACAGCTACCGCGGGCATCATCTGACATCCCACGTCGGCGAGGTAATCTATCTGAGGACCACACTGCTAGTAGTCGCACCACTCCATTGGCACCGAAAGATGTCTCGCCGGTTGCAGCTGCGAAGAAAATCTCTCAACCAGCCGAGGGCCAAACCCTATCATCTTCAGCCTCCACTGCTCTAGATGAGAATCGTAACCGCCTTGAGAAGGTCAAGACGCAGGACGAGCCATCACGATCGACCTCTCTGAACCGTGGTCAGCAAAAGCGCCGACGTCACTCTGGCGGTGGCCTCCAGCGGCGTGGCAGCATTGACTCGCCGAATCCCGAGCTTGTGTTCTTTGATGATGAGGGATACGGTGGTGACAAAGAGGATGAAATTTTCTCTATGGACAGCGATGGCCCTAGTGCCTCGACTGACTCTCTGTCTTTCAAGCCGCCTTCGTCTTCTCCCTCGGCAAACACCTCTGTGTGTGAACATGGTTCAGCCAGTGTTCAAGCGGAACCATCGACAGCGACACCCAAAGAGATGTCGACAAAAGAAGATGCCGAAGATGTGAGCGCTCCTTTGCCGAGTAACCCGAAAGAAGCGCAGCTCAGCAAGGATGAACGTGTTCAGTTCTTCCTCCTGCTGGAAGATTTGACCGCCGGTATGAACCGACCTTGCGTACTCGATCTGAAGATGGGTACTCGACAGTATGGCATCGAGGCCACTGAGAAAAAGAAGAAGTCCCAGCGGCGAAAATGTCAGTCGACCACTTCTCAGCAGCTTGGCGTCCGTCTATGCGGAATGCAAGCCTGGAATGTGAAGAAGCAAGAGTACATTTTCGAGGACAAATACTTTGGTCGAGACTTGAAGTCTGGCAAAGAATTCCAGGACGCGTTGACACGATTTCTCTTCGACGGGGTCAGCTATGCGAGCGTTGCTAAAAAGATTCCTGTGATCTTGGAGAAGCTTTCTCTGTTGGAACATATGATTCGCAAGCTGGACCGATACCGCCTCTACGCGAGCAGTCTGCTGATTTTGTATGATGGCGAGCAAAGTCCACCTCCGCCGCCCACACCTGGGCAACCCGGCGAGCCTCCATCTCTCCAGCGTCGGATCTCCGACGATGGACATAATAATATCGATGTACAGCTGAAGATCGTGGATTTTGCCAATTGTGTGACGGGTGAGGATGAGTTACCACCGGACACGCCCTGCCCACCTCATCATCCCAATGACATCGACCGAGGATATCTGCGAGGTCTGCGTACTCTCAAAATGTACTTCCAAAGAATTTTGAGAGAAGTGACCCAAGATGAGTTCGTGGAACGGGGTGAAGGGGAAGCCGTTGCCCTTGGATCACGGCCTGTCGTTCGTGATGTCGCCTCCGATCAATTTTGGGATGAAGGTGTCGTGGAGACTGACGTTGGGGAAGTCAGTTTTTGACCTTGTCATTTCTCTCCGCAACATTCATACCTTGGATTGTTCATCGCAACATAGATCCTGAGTTTCAAATTCCCCCCCTCCGCTTGCCTTTTTTTGCGCTCTCTTCGTCGTCTTCTTTTATTGGTCTATTATTTTATTCCCCTATTTCATTGTCTTGTCACTACTTGCCGGGGTTAGGTGGAGTTTGGTCAATACCCGGACCCTGTTTTGCTTTCGGTTGAGCCCCTTTTCTTTTCATTCCGGACTTCAGACACTTATTGTGCTTTCGTGGCTGGGTATTTTTTTGCCTTTGATTTCTCGTTGGATGTGTATCCTGTCTCGAAGGGACCAGGGGCTATGAGTAACGAACTCCAACGGATGCTTCATGACACTCGCGATTGCGTGGTTGCACTTAGAAATTTTGTTGGCTTCTGCGTTTGCGGCCCTTGTCACTCTGTCTTCACTATACCTCTGCTTGGTTCTCGCAATACCTCATTATACCAAGCGTTTCACTTCTCATATTTGTTTTATTGCAAATGATTAGGTCTTTTGATCGTTGATTGATATTCATGCAAGCAAAAAAAGGGCTGGTGACACACTCTACGGTTCTGAAAATGGTCATTCGTTCGAATTAGACTAATTATTTGGTAGTAATTCAATCTTTATCCAGGGCATCAGTTTCCATGACGAGCCGATCCATGTTGGTAGAGCCTGTCGATTTGACGGCGAGGTCTCGTTTTCAACGGCTGTGAGGCTTCCCATATGGATATTTTGTAGAGTACTGCGGGCTTTCCGAAGGATGCGCATGTCTTCAAGCAAAGCTCAAAATTGTCGTTAGAGTGACACAATAGCGGGACGACACTTTACCAGAATGGATATGCACCAAAGGGGAGATTTTCCTGCGTCTGCCTCTGTCTGAGCGAGATTGTCAGCGAATCGGCCGTACGCATCCTGTCATTGTACTCCTACTGAGTACTCAGTACTGAGTAGTGAGTAAATACTGACTACAGTCGCCTGTGAGTCCCCTTAGTGATGTAGTGTTGTGTCGGATGATCAGGCATTTTGGGCTCTTATCTTATCTTCTATCTGCAGCCAAGCAATGACGTACGCCGACTCTCCAATACCTAAGTCGGGGATAATCACGTGGCCGACCGAGAAGCGTACCCCCAGCGTAATGTCAGATGCGCCCGCATTCGTCACCGTCTCTTCTCCGCACGACTGAGTCAGCCTCTGGAGCTCCAGTTTCCCACCACAACAGCTCATTCTGGTCGGGCAATCGTTTGAATTTCGTATACCCATCTTGGGAGTCGCAAGAAATCTCGCTCGACGAACTTTGCGCTTTCCCAAACAGCCTTATAGATGGGACATCATTCGAGCTATTCCATCCGTCTATCCATGTCAAGGCCCACCTGATCGACCAGGGCGGCCCACCAGTTAACCCAACATACCAGCTGACCGGGGACCGACTTATCTCTAACGCTCAGCCTGCAGTCACTCAGCAAGCCACGGAGCAGCGCTCTTAGGCTAGACTTACCCCGCAGGCTCGGGCTCATTGATAGCAAGAATTCCAGCAAGCACAAGTGATTTGCTTCGTCCATTTCCGCCGACTTGCGCCTAGCCACACGCCGACTAACGATCACTGCACAATTAGCCTCAATATGCCGGGGCTTCATGGCCAGGGTGAACAGTCTATCGACAAGCGTGACTTTGACGCAAATCGGCCTCTTTTGCTAGGCACAGACGCGGACGGCGCGACTGAGGAATGGATACCCAAGCCAGGCCGGTCACGACCTGTATCGAGTGATTCGCGTCGTTCGGGCGAGAGCAGACGCATGGCTGGAAGTGAGGATGGACTTCTCAGTGATGTTGTCGAGGGTATTGTCGAGCGCGATCGGCAGCACATGCAGAAGGAGGTCATTCGCGCCTTGAGCTTCATCTGGGGTGTTGTCACTTGGTATGTTTACCCCGACTGTTCGGAAAATAGCACAAAGCCTTCCAGAATAATCTGCTCGACCGCTGCTAACTCACTTTTTGTGTCATTGGTATTGCAGCCTGGGAGCCGGTAGTATCACAGCATTCTCATTATACGGACATCTCCTGCTCACTCGACTAAGATACACACAACTTCAAGTCAACACTGTCTCCATCGCGGCCGAGGTCGCACTCTACCTACTCGCGCCTCTGTTCGGATATCTCTGTGATCGATACAGTCCATCTCCTCTGGCGCTGTTCTCCGGTGCTCTGTTTGGAATAGGATACTTTGTCGCCGCCCTGGCATATCGTAGCGGGCCTCCTGTCGAAGCCGGTGGTACTGGCTGGCCGTTCTGGGTCATGGTCCTGGCGTTCATCGCCATCGGCATGGGTACAAGCTGTATGTACCTCGCTGCCGTCGCTACCTGCGCCAAGAACTACGGTCGCGGCAAACATAAGGGGATTATGCTCGCAATTCCGATCGCCGCATTTGGTCTCAGTGGGATGTGGCAAAGCCAGCTTGCGACGTACGTGCTGTGTGAGCGAACCCCCGACGGGACTCGTGGGGATGTTGACGTGTTCCGGTACTTTATGTTTCTGTCCATTCTATTGCTGGTGACAGGGGTCATTGGCATGTTTGCTCTGCGCATCGTCGATGGAGATGAAGAAAAATACATTGACGAGACGGTTGAAGAATTGGAGCGAAGTGGACTGCTTGAAGAGAGCGAGTTCTTTCGACCTCGAAACGCGATCCAGTCTGTTCTAGAGTTCGGAACGTTTGGAGAAAACGGCGACAATCAATCCATGACCCTGTCCGAGGAAGAGCGCGAGCAGCAGCGACTCGAGAAGGAACGGGAGGAAGATGAACGTCGCAAGAAAAACTGGTTACTTAATTATGAAACGCGCGTCTTCCTTCGTGATCCTACTATGTGGTGGCTTGCGATGGGTTTCTTCCTAGTCACCGGACCTGGCGAATCTTACATCAACAACGTAGGTTTTTCCATCCTCTACCATTTCTGACGTATCTCGTCTGTTTGACTAACGTCTCTTACAGCTGGGCACAATTATTCCAACTTTGACCCCAATCTCTTACAGTCCAGATGACGCGCCGCCAGCTGGTCTGCCCTCAACGCACGTCACAACTGTAGCCCTGACATCAACAATCGCCCGAATTCTCACTGGAACTCTCACGGACTTCTTCGCGCCTCCAGCAACACACCCCTTCCCTCCCATGCCCGAAGATTCCCGTCTCCGTCCCACCACACCGAGTCCGAAACGCCTCACCATCTCCAGAATGACATTCCTTCTTCCTTCCGCTTTCCTCCTAGCAATCGGCTACTTGCTGCTCTCGACCCCGCTGCCCTTACAACAGCCTTCCGTCTTCCACCTCACTACTGGCCTGGTCGGTTTTGGCTACGGAAGCGCCTTTTCACTCACGCCGATTATCATCTCGGTGGTTTGGGGCGTTGAGAATTTCGCCACTAATTGGGGTATCGTGGCTATGATGCCGGCTCCCGGTGCAGCGCTGTGGGGCGTCGTCTACTCTGCTGCTTATCAGCGGGCGGTCGATGGCGGTTCTGGGCCTGAATCTCCTAGCGGAGAATGTCATGGCTGGCGATGTTATGGACCCTGGTCCGTTGGCTGCACAATCAGCGTGTTTGTTGCCATGATGGCCTGGACAGCGGCATGGAGGGGATGGAGGCGGAAGGGAGTTGTTGTCTGATCTTGATACATGTTCTGTTCATCTACACATATTTACTTATCGGCGTTAAAGCCTTGCTCTGCTTCCATTTATCTTTATATTTCATGTTGCGAAGCATGCTACATAAATAGACGGGAGGGAACCATCGTGGGCATTGCTGGTATCTGATTATCCTGTCACACTCATCTACCTTGTTCAATGTGCATGATAAATGTAGGCCAGGGATTGTTCATTGCGCAAACAAATAGCCTCTCCCTGAGTGGGCTGGGTTTTTGCGGCTATCCTCGATCATGTGCTTTACTAATGTGTAAATTCTAGATGTCCGTTGAGGAAGCGTCAAGGCCCGTAAAAACCTTGTACAAGCGTCGGCTCGCAGCTGGTCCTATACGGGCATCGGACAGAGCGCCGTTCTTATTTGCGGATTTCTACACGGCCACACTCGGTCAGCAATGCTACAAGACAACACGAAGAAATGAAATGACCTCTGAAGGCCTGCACAATTCACATACCTTAACATCTTCCAGCATCCCGGGGCCATGCCTTTGCATTCCCTGGACCAAGTCCGTGACAGAAGAATATTGTGCCGCAATGCCATATGCCATGGAAGCAGTGACTCGATTGACCTCTTGCAGCATTTTCACAAAGGTGTCTTGTTTGCTATCACCGGTCTTGACCTGTCCGGTTTCCATACAAAATGATGCATCATGGGCATTTGAACGTTCCCATCGATACAGATTGGTGGATATATGCTCAGTGAACAATTTGATCCATTCTGCAGACTCGGCTGGTGCCGCGGTATGATGAATTAGACATGAATGTGCGACTTGTAACTCGAGAAGGCCATCTTCAACCTCGTCGGGATCGACAGGCGGCCCATCCACGGGTTTACGCGTTGCTTTTCTTCCTCGTCGAGAGGCAGGACCTTCTTCTGTGGGCATTGGCTCTGGCGCAGCTTGGCGTAACACCTCGGCCACATAAGCCCTGTTTCGGGCGTTTCCGTGCTTTTTCATCAAAGATGTGAGTCCCTCAATCAAGTAGATGATGGTGTATCCTGGATAGGCGCTTTTGAGCTTCATCACATGCTCTTCCAGCGATTCCGTCTCTTCTCCCCCTTCAGACTGAACAACCATGTCAACAAAAAGCTGTGCAGGTACCAGACAAAGCACCTGCTTTTCTGCGGCAATGTGAAATGGCGCTGGCTCCCAATGACCAAGGTTGTCATTGTACTTTGCATTCATCTTCCGACGCCATTTCACCACATTAGGAATCGGACCGGTGAAGAAATGATGTTCAACATTTAGTCGTTTCATGTATTCCTCGGACTGATTCCCGACGCTTGTATTCTTCAGGGAGTCCGACATATCAATTATCATTTCTGCAGTAGAATTCTTCTTGTCCGTCTTTAACTTATTCACATCGGCAAGGTCCGCTGCCAGCTGCTTTTCTCTTGCCTTTTCCTCTTTCAGTCTTTGCTTCCGTTCCCTCTCGAGCTGTTTCTCAACGTCTTTCAGGGCTTTTGCTTCGGCTCGTGCTTTTGCTCTGGCTTCTTTCTCTTCCGTGCTGAGCTTGGCAGATTTCTTCGCCAGGGGCCGGGGCGCTTCCGGCTCATCGATATCGTCACATACATCAGCCATGCCTTGATTGGCCCTGATAGTGATGTGAGAGTTTCGAGCACTCGGCCTGGGCTTTGCTTCAGATCGGGTGACGCTTGCAATGGGTACAGTCTCAATGGCAGACAGCAGCGCGGCAGTCTTGCTGGAGAACTTTGATTTCGGGGCGTCCTCAATATCAGAAGAGGCGCCAAATGGATCATTGGCGCCTGCAAACAGAAATGGGTCGCTAAACTCATCTATTTCATCCCGCCTGGCATGGGAATTTCCGCCCTTTGTTGCCGGCCATGAGTTGTTCTCGTCGTCGTCGTCAAGGATGATCAGGTTGAGATCTTTGTTGGAATCATATGTTTGCGTTGTATTTTTTCGAGAAAGTTCAGGTGCAGACGAAGTGAAGACAATCGAGTCGAAGTCGTCCACCTCGTGCTGTGGTGGAAGTCCCAAGGGAGTTGATTTTGATTTTGAGGGCGGAGGAATTATGTCGTCGTCGGAGAAAGAAAATATATGCGCATCTTTCCCAGATACTGCTCTGCTCTCGATGGCATTGTGTACAGAGGAGCTCTTCTCACGGCTCACACGGCGTTTCTTCGCTGGCTTGTCGGGGACGATGTCCGATAAGCCCGGTATGTCGAATACTGAATCGGACGAGAAAAGGGCCACATTGGCCGCGAGACCAGCCGCCGTCGATCGTGGCTTCGGGAGTATTTGGGCTGCTGGTCTCGGGTCTTCAGGAAGAGGCGAATCTGAAGAGATGAGGTCAATAACCTCTGGCATGGCGGATGGATGACAAGGACACGAGGGATACGCGCTTCGGGTCCAACGCGGCGTCACGAAGTCATGTGACCTTGCCACAGTATTGCACAACAGTGATAGTAGATCTGAGATCAAGGAGTCAAGGTAGAACGAGCAGGGTATTATTTGTTTGGGTGAAAGGATGCTACAAACACTACCGCCTATATAGTAGGATCGCCAACAAAACTGCAAGAATCGATCCAAGAACAACAAGTACGACCAATACTTGCTGCCAGCCACGGAAGGTACGCCTGTCCGCGGATAACATCTTTGAGATCTCCTCCTCAAGCCGACCACCCATGGCAGCGAGTGAAAAGTGCTGCTGGACCCTTGCTTTTCCTGCTTGCGACATGATCTCCCTCTCATTTTCGGACATTTGATACAGAACCTTCTCAATGACCGCCGTCCACTCGTCAACAGCCTGGGCGTCTCGAAGCCAGCCCGTTTCGCCCTCGACAATTGTCTCAAGCGGACCGCCTGTGTTGGATGCCAGCACGGGCAAGCCAGCAAACATCGCCTCGACTGGGACGATTCCAAAATGTTCATTCACTGGCGTATACAGTAAAAGCTTCGACTGAGCTAGTAATGTGTTTTTGAAAGCTGTCGGGACGGAGAGCAAGAAAAGAACATCAATCTCATCGGGGATTGAGAGGGCTGAGACTACTGTCTTAGCCGTAGCCGTCTTCAACCCAAGACCCTTTGCTAGATCATCAAGTTCTTGATGGTATTGCACGTTCTCTTGAACACGATTATCGTAGCCACCTGCGCGGGAGGTCGATTAGTCCATGAATCCACTAGTGTAAGCCATGTCCGAGACTCGTCGAAAAGCAGTACTCACCAGCAATGATTAGCCGTGTTCCAGCTCTTTTCTCAGGCCGCAGACCATTGTATGCGCGAATGGCTAGGCCCATGTCCTTCTTTCGCTCAAAGCGATTGATACTCAGCAGCAATTTCCTTCCACCCCAAAGCACATCATCTTCCTCTTTGACAGGAATGTCAGTCTTGGTCGTCGTATCAACACATGGGTAGAGAACTTGAACGTCGCCAAGTTTGTCTGTCCCAAAAACATCGTGGACCACCCCGCGAGAGAAATTAGAATTCGCAACAACCCGGTCAGACGCACTCATCGCCCATCCCTCAAACCAGTCAAATGGATATCGATACAAGAGCTTGGCCAGGCGAAGAAGAGACCCGCCTTCGTTCCGTCGTGCAAGCAGCTGGTCGGGGAAATGGCAGTAGAACAGGATTCTCTGCCGCCGAGACTTGCGAGGTCTTGCGAACGATTTCAAAATCGGTACACATGCAGGTAATTGGTCAACGATGAAGATGTCATCTGAATCTCCAGATCCAGTGGACTTTGCTGAACCCATTGTCTGTTTGAGCTCTGACAAGAGCGACACGGTAAGATGAAGCTGGCGCAATGAGGCCATGAGAATATGAAACCTGCCGAAGATGTGCGCTGGGAAAATTGTGTTCCCGCGCACTTGAACGTCTAATGTGCCATCGCGCGCTTCGTCGAAACAATGTGACTTGTCGCAGTGCGAAGTGTATATCGTGACTCGGTGGCCGTGGTTTTGAAGGGCCAGCGCAACGTCAATGATCAATCGTTCGGCTCCGCCAATGCCTAGATCTGGGTGGATGATTGTAACATTGGCTGAGTCAGAGCTCGGCATTGTACCTGTGTTCTCTTTTCTCGTCGTCAATGGATGTTTAATCGACAATTAATGGTGTCCTCAGCGCGTGCCGCGATAGTTGCGATTAAGACACGTGGGGAGTACGTCATCACATGACGAGTATCACCCCAAGCTAAACGCGCTGTTCGATACCAAAAACTACGGTACGATCTTCGAAAATTAGCCTTGTCCACGGCATTTTGAATCGCAACCGATACACTTTCATTACGAATATCAATGGCGCCACTTCCAATTATTCATCGCCCGTACACAAATCGGTAGGGAGGATTAGCCGGGCAGCCGTGCATTCAACTCCTCTATATCCCTGGGAGTCAGCATCGTGGCATGCCTATGAACACTCAATAGACGAGGCACCACTGAACTGGAGGCACACACGCTTCCACCAAGAACGATATTGGATTGACAAATGTATATATCTCGCGAAACAAGCACATCACGTATTGATCGGCTCATATTTAAAAATGGTCCCGCAGTCACCTTCAATGTAAAGAGCATTAGGATTGCTTGGATGTACCGCAAATTTATATGACAAGGAATAAGGGGTAATGAAGAATAGACTTAATCTGTACATGATAGCTGCCTATCGCGTTGATACGATGGACGTTTGGAAGGAGAAGAAGAGAAGAAGAAGAAGAAGGGCAAAAAACATCAACGTCAAGGCAAAATAGGTATCGAATGATCAATGTCAGAATGAAAGTGCTTCTCATAATACAACGAACTTGTATGGAATCCATCAATGGCAAGCGGCGGCAGGCAGGTCCATATCCAAAGAAAAAAGACAGAACAACAACAGGCACAAAAATTGAAATGAAGAGGGATATCAGAAAGGGGCGATTCTCGGCATGCATATCCATCATCAGCGTTACGAGTTGTGGCGGAAAGGAAAAGCGCGCACGTCATGCTTCAACACGAGTGTCAAACCTTCTATAGAAAGAGAAATCTCTGGAATCAAGGTGCGAATGACCTTGCTTAGAAGCAGTTCAGTGTGCTCTTCTTCTTTTTCTTGTTGAGCGCATTCATACGCTCCTCAAGCTGAGCTCGGGCGGCTTCAGCTTCCTTACGCGCACTGCGCTCTTCTTCCACGGCTTGAAGAGAAAGGCGCGCAGAGTTGCGTTCTTTCTTCAGACTGGAAAGCTCGTCCTCGAGCGCCCATGCCTTCTTTTTCCAGGTTTCGCAGTCGGTCTTGACTTTGTTGCTCTGAGTTTCAAGGTCACCAAGGGCTTCCTCGAGCGTAGCAGTCAATTGCTTCTCCGCGTACAAGTGCTTTTCAATAGTACGGATGCGAGCTTCCTGGTCTTCAACAAGCTGAGCGCTGACTAGTTCCTTGCTCGCGTGACGTGAGTTAGGTGGAGACACACTGCTCGTGCCATTGGTGGCAGACGCAATGGTCGGGAGGGGAGGCAGAGGAATAGCAGGAGGAGGTGATGGCAAGGACGCAGCTGATGCGCTCTTGCGCAGGTTGGAGGTGAGAGAACTACTGCGATCATGAGAGATATCACCTGTTCCGTTCTTCAGCTGGAGCTCAAGCTGCTCAATGCGAACGCGGTAGGTGTCAATGTCCTTTTCAAGAATAACGATCTTGGCTTTCGCGTCTTCCAGTGCTTGGTCGCGCTCCTGTTGAATGATGGATAGACGGTTGTGATGCTGATCGAAGCTCTTGGTCATCTGCTCTTCAAGTTCTTCGACCAGGCGAACGCTCTTCTCCTTCTCGGCCATGATCTCTTCCACAAGAGCTTCCTTCTTTTTCACTTGCTCGTCCTTTTGACGCAGGGTGTCCTCCAAAGTTGCAACTAGCAGTGCCAGTTCATTGACCTTGGCCTCTTGAGTGGCGTGCTTCTGGGTCAACTCGTCAATTGTTTCAGCCCGTTGCCGCAAGTGCTCGTTGCTGTCCATCAGCTCAGCGTACTTCTCAGAGAAGTGTTGCTTCTGCGCCAGCACATCTTGAATCTGGGTCGTGAGAGTCGCGCTGGTCACATCGGCGTTGAGCAATGATGAGACTGATTTGAGCAAGACGACCAGCTCATCTCGAGACTCAGCAATCTCTTGGTGCAGGAATGCCATAGACTTCTCATGCTCGGCGTCTTTGATGGCCTCGTCGGAAGTCCGTTCGGTCTGGATGGTAGCCCTGATCTGCTGCTCCAACTCTCTTAGCTCACGTTGATGAGAGTCTTCTAGAGAAGCAAGCTTGTCTTGTAGATCGGCAATGGTGGAGCGATGCGCATTGATTTCCTGCCTAAGCTCAGAAACACGAGCCTCGTCACCCCGCGCTTCGTGCTCGTTCATAGAAGTTCTCGTGCGTAATTTTTCTTGCAAATCAGCGTGGGATTTCTCCAGTGAGGTGATTGTGCTCATGTGAACCGATATGGTTCCCTGATGCTCCTCAATGTTTTTCTTGAGCCCATCAACGAGCTCTTGCTGCCTTTCACGCTCCATGTCGAGAGCTCGTGTGATGGCCTCGGAATCAGGAGCGGAATCAAGGGGGACAGATCGTTCGGAGCGCAGAGCTTCCACGATTGCCAGTGATGACTCTAACTCGCGGAGGGTAGTAGCGAGCTGATACTCAGAGGCTTGCAGAGACTCGAGAGCTGATTGGTGCTTGCCCCGCCACTCAGTCAACTCTCCCTCCAAGGCGTTGATCTTTTTGTCTTGCTCTTCAGCCCCGGCGTCTAGGGCCCGAGTAGCAACCTCCTGACTCTTGAGAAGGGCTTTGAGATTCTCAATCTCCGCCATAAGCTGCCTCTCTCGGGTCTCGTGAGCTTCGCAGAGCTCCTGAATCTGGTTCTCTTGGCTGACAACTTGGTCGCGCAATTGCGTTACAAGGGCCATGTCAACGGAAGAGGCCCCTTGCAGGCTTGAACGCTCGCGAGTGAGCCCGGAGATGATAGTTGACTTCATCTCCATCTCCTTCTTGACAGCCTGATTCTCCGCTTCTAGTGACTGTAAACGTTCCATACGAGAAGACAGCTCATGCATGGTCGCATCCAAATTGGCCTCGAAGTGCTGGTGAACTTCAGGTTTGCTAGAGAGCTCCTCTTGAGCAATAGTTCGGAGAGCAGTGAGCGAGCGATGGGCGCGATCGACACCGGATAGAAGGTTCTGGCTGGTCATGCGCCGAATCATCTTGAAACCGGGCGTGGTAGGAGGAGTAGATTTTTGGCGCTGAGCTTCCGCTTCCGCCTTTAGTTTCTCCACCAGAGCGAGGATTTCTTCATGTTCAATCTGCAATTCGGCGTACTTCTGAGTGATGCGGTCAGCATCAGCTTGGTGCTCGGCCAACGCCCTGCGAACTTTCTCGGCATCTTCCTTGCCAGTAGAAGGGACGACCGTAGAGCCGATTGCAGTTGCTGGAGTGTCCACGCCATCTTCATGCAGGTCCTCAGACAGCTCGCGCAAACGCGGCGACTCCGCGGCCGAGGACAATTCCGAAGAGAGCGACTGCGAGAATGAATGTTGTGCTCCAGACTTCGAGGTCGGAGCGGCGGTCTCGTCTAAAAAAGACAGTGGACGAGACATTTCATTTTGTACAAAAGGTGCAGGGTGACGAGACTCATCCGCCCTATGGCGTTGGATTTCTGCGAGTGCCTTCAAGGCTTCCTCGTACTTGGCCTCAAGCGATTCATACTCGCTGAGGGTATTTTCGTGGCTCAGGCGCAGTTCGAAAAGCTCCTGAGTCACAGTTTCGAGTTTGTCGACGACAAACTTGGACTGCGCAGGGCTGGCGATTGCCTCTTCCCCGGCCGCTTCAGTACGGCGCGCTTCAAGTTGGCTAGTCACGCTTTCCAGAACCTTGAGGTCCGCACCGGGCACCTCATGAACCTCACTCGCCGGTTTCACATCGCTCGACTCATCTTCTTCGTCGACTTCCGGAATAGGTTCGGCGAGGTCCTCGTCGGAATCTGGGATCGCAGTCTCTGAGGCTTCGTTCAAAACATCCAGAGACGGAGTGTGCTTGTGGTGAGCAACCTTAATCTGAGGAGAACTGTGAGGGGAATCCGTGTCATCGACCTGCACTTGCTCCTCGTTGTTCTTTTTCTCGTGTCTGGTGTCCAGGTCGTAAAGCAAGTTGTCCAGTGCACCAAGACCCCGTTGGCGTTGAATTACATGTTCCAAACGAATCACTTCACGCGTCATCAGTTCCATGTCTTGGTCCGCCTCGGCAAGACGGTCTTCCAGTGTGGAGATATATTCCTCACAGCCAGCTTCATTCTCGCGGGCACGACTAAGCTCCTTGCGAAGTTCGTCGACAATAGTGGCGTGCTTTTCCTCCCCAGTAGAAGCTCCGTCGAGCTTGGACTCAAGCTCATGCAGATAAGATTCGGTGCTCGCCTCGCGGTCCAGAAGCTTCTGGAGCCGAGACTGAAGCTGCGAATTCACCGTCTCGACGTACGTGCATTTGCTTTCACGCTCGAGAAGATCGCTTTCCGTTGAGGCCAACGAAGCACGGGTTTCGGAGAGAGACGACTCCAACGATTGGATGGTCTTCTCGTACTCGACGACAACCTGTTCAACAGATTCAGCAAATGATTTCGATCTCTGAATTCTCTCGATTGAGCTTTTGCCCAGATCGTCGGGTTGATTGTCGACTTCCGTCTTCGGTGTTGATTCATCAGCCAGCTGAGAGATAAGTTTGGTGTGGCGCTGGCTCAGGGCATTGTAACTCTCCTGTGCATCCAGGAGTTGGTTCTGGAGCTGAATGACTCGTTCGTTTTTGCGATGATCACCTCTTTCGGCGGATGCTGGTTCCCGTCGATCGGTGCTTTCGGAGTTACGAATCTGCTGACGGAGGAAAGCCACCTCGGCCTTCAAGCGGTCAATCAGAGCCTGCTTGTCACCCTCGTCTGCAATCTGCTGGATCCGAGGTTTGCTTTGAATGGCTCTCGCTCGCTGGGCGTATTGAACCGTGTTCAGCGTCTCACTGAGGTGGAACTCGGCCGGGGTCACACAAGCAATCATGTAGGTCAAGGCGTTGCCACCAAGCGAATCCTGCAGGAGTCGAGTGAGTTTCGAATCTCGGTATGATACGTGAGAGCCCGACTGCCGAGACGAGAGCTGTGAGATAACTTTGCCCAGGGCCGCAAGACCGGCGTTGATCGAGATTCCCTCCTTGGCTCGCTCGCCAGATGCACCCGTATTCTTCATACGTTCGCTTCCTGCCAGATCCACGAAATGGAGCTTGCTATCCACCATGACAGAGTCGCCGCCCGAGATGGAATCCACAGGCATCGACATGCGTTTTTCTTTCGGAGTCATGGGCTGTGTTGTGGTTTTCCTTTGAATGAGGTTCAGACTAAACACCGCATGGGAGCGAGATGATTTGGCGTTGATTGCGGTCGAGTCAGTTTGACGAATGGTCGATCCGTGGGTCAAGGCCCCGATCAGATCTTCGACGGAATTAATGTTGACCTGGTGAAGACCTGTCAGGAGAATGCGGCCTTTGGCGTCCTCGCGGATGGTCACCGCACTGCGATCTGACGCAGACACTGACTCGGGGAGCAGTAAATCGCGCAGTTGTTCATTATAAATCTAGACACAGGCCATTGTCAATTGGAGGATGCTTGAGATGGAGATATGATTTATGTGGTGGTGCGGTACCTCGACGTAAGTTGCCTTCAACTGCCAGTTCTTTTCCACGGCCGGTCGTGCGAAGCCTGAAGCCGAACTCATTGAGTAACGCTGCGGAGTACGAAGACCAGTCGAGTTGGAGCTGTTGCGTGAATGTTTTGGTCCATCGAGTTTTTCGAACAAGGCTTGCGCGGCGCGGGGGATAATACCTGTGTCGAGGTAAGGGGGGTTCGGTCAGCGGTTTTACTTGGCCTACTTATCTTTCCCTTTAGACACCACGGAAGCGACTCACCCATTGCCGATGGCATGCTCTGTTCACTGGGGCCTGCAGTGCCCATGGTGTAGGATTTACCAGCTCCCGATTGGCCATATGCCAAGATGGATACATTGTAGCCCTGCACAAAAGAGCTCACACTTTCACTGAGATATTCCCAGATCCCATCCTGCTCCACGGTCTCTGGAAAGACACGGTCGAAAACAAACAACTTGCGACCTTGAGGAACGTCGACTGCGACACTTGTAGGGCTGGTGACGTGAACCATAGGCCGCTGAAATCGTTGAGGGATCAACTCGTACCCAGGATCAGTCGGCTTGAGAGGCGGTCGCACTCGGACAGCTGCACCACATTTCTTCAGTCAGCAAATGTTCGCATGGATTGTCGTCATGCTGGCTCTCCGAAGGTGAACGCGCCGCTACCATAGCTCCACGTCGGGCGGAATTAAAGGATGTTGGAAGAAGTTGCCTCGTGTAATCAGAACATACCAACTTTGACAGCCGTCTTGCCATCCTCATCAGACGCGCGACTTCCCCCATTTCGACTACTCATGCTCAAGCGACTATTGCTGCGCGGCGTGCGCATCACCGCACTGATGGGCCGCGGGGTGGCCCCGGCTGGTGACGCTGGCGGTGAGACGGTCATTCTCCCCAGGAGAAACCACGCCTGGTGGAAAAAAGGAGATGGGCGAGAGCAGACGTCAGTGTAATGTGGGATGGAATGTTCGTCGGAAAGTTTAGAAGATAGTCGTCATCAGGGAGAGCGACGATAGGGAAATGTCTAAACTTCGTTGGGGGGGAACACGAATTAGTCCAGAACCGCAGCCCCTTAAATTTTGGGCGGCAAACAAGCCCACAGGGCATGAGCGAAAAAAAAACGGGCTAACAAAGGACAGGCGCGTATGTTGCGATGGTGTCGTACAAGCGTAGTATTGCCGTCGGTCTGCGCAGAGGTACTATAAATCAGATGGAATCGTATCTACTCAACGGTGGCGCACAACACAACATCTCAAGAATCGATCGAGGACCTCAGGATGAGTGTGGGTGTGTAGTGTGAATTGATGCCGCGATCATATCAATTGAGAGAATGGTTCGATCCGAGCATCCACAGGCCGTCTGGAGAAAAAACGACCGTGCACCGACTAACTCTGGGCGGATTAGCTTTATGGAGGTTGAAAGGGGGCAACAACGTCTAGACTGGGCAAGTCTGTACTGCCATCGACGAGAATTGTGGAGTCGAGCCAGCACCCAAAAGGGCCCCAAAAGACGGGCCACCACATTTGGGGGCCCATCGCGATTGGAAGACGGGGACAGCCCGTGTCGAGTGTTTGAGTGTTGACTCTGTCGAAGCCTGGAGAGGATGCTCTGATACACTGCAGGGAAGTGGTTCAGGTTTGCGCTTCATTCCGTGTGTGTTGTGAAGGCTGCAGAATGTAGAACAAGAGAGTGGTCACGTTGCCTGGAGTCTGGGGAAGAACGGAATGGAGACCAACTGGCAGACTATTTTCCTAGCGTAGCACACACTAACAGTAGCTAGTAATAACTGCTAAGGTACCTGACCTACCCTGGTACCACTACCTGCTAGGCTTGTACTACAAGTCAGTGGTCACAAGTAAAAGTATACACGCTTTTGGAGGGTTGTTTAGTACCTAGGCAGATGGCCTGTCATCGATCAATCCACCTCCAAATGTTTGCCTTTCTGATTACCCGTGGGCGCCCGGCTTTGGTTCAGGGGCAGACATCGGGTTGTCTTAACCTTAAACTCTCCAGAGAAGAAAAAAAAAAGTCCGAGAACGGCTAAGATTCCGTTACTGGATTAGCCAAACTCATATCCTATGCGCGCTTGAAATTGAGTTTTGCCTTTTCCTCACCACATATGTCTAGTACTGAAATTTCGACTGATCAAATCAGGCCCAATTATGATCGGTCGGCGATGAACAGTATGAACAGTATAAAGGGTGGAGAAAAGTATGAGCAATTGTCGACCATGTTGATCTAAAAGGCCGCAGGCGTGGCAGTGCTTTCTTTGGAAGCTACACTGTAGCATAGCATTAGCAGTAAATAAGTCCATGCCTCCGTGGTACCCACTCCGAGTCCGTTGTAATTTCGGATAAGTTGACCAAAGTACCTCTTGATGAGATACGGCTACAGCAGGGGGGCCAGCAGTATCGATGTGTGAGAGGGATGAGGAGTGAGACTGCTATGGGGGAGAGATTCTACCTAAGTTATAGACTGTGGTGAGCGGCAGAATCACATGTCATACAAACAGATTTGTTTAAAGCGATTAGAATATTAGGCGTAGCCTAGTGGATAGTCTAAACCAGAGTAAGGGATCTAAGATGGCTCCTTATATTGATAGAGACTAATCGCTAAGAGGTTCTAAGGGAGGCTGTATTCCGTAGTAGCCAAGTCCTACGGTACGGTAGGCCCCTACTACCACCTACGCAGTATGCACACGGCTTGGCCATGTGCGTAGTGCGGTTTAAGTCGGAACAGTATCTCATTCCTACATATACTCATCATGCCTTTTCTACAGCTCGTGCTCGCGACCGTCAACTGAGAGAGGTCCCTTCTTCACCATAATGGTGAGGACCTCGTACAGCACATCGGCGGCCGCCCTGTTTACGGAAAAGGTTAGTGCTGCTGACATGATGAAAGTGAAAGAACAGGACAACTTACATCGTGGACAGCTCCGCATTGGTATCATAAGCGGGAGCAACCTCGACAATATCCGCACCGATAAAGTTGAGTCCATCTAGACCGCGGATAATGGTTCGCAGCTCACGAGTCGACCATCCTCCAGTTTCGGGGGTGCCCGTGGCGGGTGCGACTATGAGTACCAACAAGGTTAGGTATGATCATTGAAAAAGAAAATAGCAGGGCAAAATGGAACTTACAAGCGGGGTCAAGGGTGTCAATGTCAATAGACAGATACACTGGGTTCTCCGTGCCAACACGGTCCCGGATCTTCTTAATGATGCCATCAGTGCCAATGGTGTCGATTTCACGGGCTTCCACAATTTCAAAGCCGCAGTATCCGTCATTCTCATAGTCTGATGGCCCAGAGAGCGTAGTACGGATACCAGCATGGATGTTGGTGTCATTCTTGAGCAGACCCTCCATCGCGGCATGATAGAAGTAAGTGCCGTGGTTGATGGCGGCCACTTGACTCGGTGAACCGCCGAACACCTTGGGCTTCCAAGTGTCCCTGAGCGGCTTGTCAGTTTTGGAGGACGAAAAAGTCTCCCAGATTTAGAAAACTCACAAATGACTATCAAAGTGAATCACGGTAACGGGTCCATAGGCTTTGTTGATACTGCGCAGCAATGGCAGCGTGATTGTGTGGTCGCCCCCAAGAGTGATCACACGGGGCAAAGTCTTGCCAGCTCGAGAGAGACCTGGCTTATGAGCATTTGTGAAAGGCTTTCGCATGAGCACACTGTTATGCCCTTCCTCGATTTGTTTAATTGCCCAGGCATTGTCGTAGCTAAGTCACGGAAGTTATCGTGTCAGTCGCGCAATAGACAGTGTCTGTTCTGCTTAGGATTGATCACATACGAGGTCACTGGGACATCCCCACAGTCCAGGATCTTCAGGTCGCTGACGAAGGGATTTGCTTCCAGAGGAACATTGTACCCGCCGCTGTTGCACTGAGCTTAGTTCCCCGATCAAGACTTTTTCTTTGACGGCGTGACCTACTACAAGTTGAGTCGCCGCGAGCCCTGGCGGATACCACTCGGTCCGAAACGAGCACCGGGTCTGTATGAAGTACCCGTGTCGAAGGGAGCACCGAGGAACGCGATATCGTAGCTCTCATCTTCACTGGAAAGACAGGGGAAGTAGGGGAGACGACCAAAGGTGGAAATGCCCGAGAAGACGGAATCGGCCTGGATGTTCCGAGTACATTGTTAGTTGCGATATTCGATGGAAACTCGGCCGTCTGTGAAAGATTCGTTCACGACCAAGATCATATCGCGAGAGAAGACTCACCTGAGTGCCGCCATCTCCAGGAAGTGTGTTATACCACAGACTCTTATGAGGACCCGACATGGGGACCTGCCCATGATCGCCATGTGCAGCTGAAAGTGTGGAAAGCGCAAGAAGCGCAAGATAGTTGCTGATCATGGTGAGAATCAAATCAGTCAAGGGCGCTTTTTGCCGAAGATGAAGGGTTTTCAATTGAATGCAGTTCAGAACTTCTTGGGAAGAGAGCGACCACGCCTCAATTATATGTCCAGAACTGGTCAACTGGAACCAGATAGACACTCGATTCTTCCCTGTGGGTGGAGATTCACCGTTTGCACAAACGCAGGACCAGGTCTTTTGGAGTCAAGTTGTTCCTATTCTTCTCCAGTCTGCTAGACTCGATGAGCGCTTCCGTGTCTTTCAAGGCCCGGTCTCCTTCCGTTGCCCTTTTTGAGAAGTTGCTCTGTCAATCTATGTCGCTCAAAGTTGAAGACTGACGTCGTTCGAGGCTGTACAGTACGATAACCTTATCCGACCACGGATTGATCGATTAGCAGCTTATCAACATCATCATATTGCTCTCTATCTGCCTTCCGAATCGGGAGGAGCAACCACATAGCATATTGCGGGGAACGAGGGGCAATTCAAAATATCTGGAGAAGCTAAGCCAATTGAGAATCGAAGGCAACATCTCATCGACCAAAATGGAAGTCCGGAGGAGACCATCTTCAGCAGGAACCCGGGAGAGTATACAGAAGATAAGACGTTGGAAGAGGGAAAAGTCCCGGAGGTGGAAACCCGTCAGTTAGGGCTGACTGTTTGAGACGCTTATCGCCGACTCGTTATTGGCGTTCACCCCCATGCAGGCCAGCGCCGACAACGGAGTTGGCACAGATCCCGTTCTGGCCGGCAACGTCAAGCTTTTGTTGTGCTAGACAATGCCGATTATCGTCGGCATGATCGTCAATGATCATCCTTGAAGTAGAGTTGATGACTTGTGTTTGAAATGGGAGCTGGTGGACGGGAAATCCAGGGTGGCAAACCTGCGATTGAGTCGGGTTGTTTGAGGATTTTTATCGCAAAGCTACTATTCGTTTACTGGACAAGGTTCCTTACTAGCGCGGAAGGCACACCTGTGAGGTTAAGCATTTGAATCATTTACTTGCTGATAAGCCTCAGTAGATCATACTCACTCACCCTTGAAGGCGTTTACGTCGGTAGTGAACAAGTGCAACCGAAGAGATAGTATGATTGTGAATATAGAAGTTGTGTCTTCCGCTCGATGAGAGAGTTGAATGAATTTCAAAAATTTTACCCTATCGACCATAGATTTAGTGAGCGCTGGCACGGTCTATGCACTCTTGTATCAAACTTATACTTGAGTATCAAAGTCCCATTGTCGGGAACAAGATCAACCGGAGATTGGCCCAGCCAGCTAGCAACTAAAGCAACAAACCATACACACTATGGCGGACAACAAGGAGCTCGAGAAAACGGCGACAGCCCCGAATATTTGTGCACCAATCGACCAGATTGACAACGATATGGTTCATGAAGGCGTCACACACATTGCGTCTGAACCCAGAGACAGGTCTGAAGGGGCCAAAGTCCATCCCCAACCGACTACCGATCCATTAGATCCGCTCAACTGGTCAAAATTCCAGAAGCATGTCATCTTGGGGATTGTGATGTTGAAGTAAGTAGTGGTATCCCACAGCTTGGCGAGGAAACGCACAAAGGCACTGTCAGACTAAGCCTTGCAATCATTCCGCAGATATTTTCTCTTCACTTACCTCACAACGACTACCGTCCCATCATTTACCGCGATTCAAGATCAATATCAGATAAGCTATAACCAAGTCAACTGGACGGTTGCCGTGCCTGCTCTTGGGCTTTCAGTCGGTCCATTAATCTGGTCCTCGCTCAGCGACATCTATGGTCGCCGCTTGATTTTCCTGATCGGAACACTTGTTGCATTGGCCTCGACAGTCGGGGCCGCCGTGGCCGATAGCTATGCTGGATACATGGCAGCTCGTTTTTTTCAAGGCTTTGGTGTCAGCCCAGCTGCGACAGTGGGCATGGCTGTTGGTAAGCTCCATGAATAAACGAAGAAATCGCGACACACATAATAACGCTCTCCTAGTAAACGATCTCTTCTTTGACTACGAGCGAGGGCAAAAGCTGGGATTGTGGGTTTTGGCAATCGACTCTGGACTACTCCTTGGCCCTACCTGTAAGGACTTATCTGATCCCGCTGACTGGAATTCCAAGTGCTAACGTCTCATTCAATGGCTAAGTTGGTGGCTTCCTTGACCTGGTCAGCCCAGCGTGGATCAATTGGTTCAATGCAATCTTATTCGCTCTTCTCCTGGTCTTAGAATTGTTCTTCATGCCAGAGACACTGTATCCTCGACAGACCATGCTCCTTCGATGCAATAGCACAATTGTGGGACAGGATGGAGTTGAAGTTAGCGAGAAGACCGCATATGGAAACACAGACACCGCGAGGCAAAGCAACATGGTATCACTGGAAGTGAGCATGCGCAGAACCAAAAGCCTGCCTTTTATCAACCTGCGCCCTGTGCCCGGAGTCCGTCATCCAAAGCCCTGGGATTCGATTATCCGATTCTTCATCACTTTCCGATTCCCAACTGTCTCGATTGCTGTGATCGGATACTGTTTCCTTTGGTACTGGTGGGTTTTGAGTGTGATCACCATGGTTCCTGCTGCCTACCCGAACTATGAACCTTTAATTCAAGGGCTGCTATTTTTGGGACTTTTTCTGGGCACCGTTCTGTCAGAAATCTTCTGTTCTGGAAGATTGAGTGATCTCATTGTTCGGAAATTGTCCAAAAAGCAAGGCAATGTTCGTGTTGCTGAAATGCGATTGTGGCTAGCTTACCCTGCGATCATTGTCACTGCAGGTATGTTGACAGAAAATTTGGCGTTGTCGTGGTTCGAGAACCCAAACTGACTTGTAGCGCAGTTGGCTTGATTCTGTGGGGAGTCAGTATTGACAAAAATTACCACTGGATGGTGGGACAGGTCGCATTCTTCCTCTGTACGTCCCAGGCGTCTATGAAAGTCCCTATTCTACGTTGTGGGATACTTGAACTAATGAGATGACAGTTGCGGCTGGTATTCAGATCGGAAACACGGTGACGAGCAGTTACATCGTGGATAGTTACCCACTGCAATCGATGAGTGTGGTCACCTTCTATTCTGTCTTTCTCAATTTGAGCGCCTTTATCAACCCTGTGAGTCAAGTTGCGCAAACACAATGGTATGCGTATCAAGGCAATTGCTGATCCAAGATGCCAGTTCTTCATTGCGCCATGGCAAGCATCTGATGGCTGGACGTGGACATTCACCACGCAAGGCTTGATTGTTCTTGTCGGAGGCTTCCTTGTTTTTGGTGCTCTGCATAAGTTCGGGGGAATCATGAGGGGCAAGGCAGCGCAGCCCTCCTGGGTAAACCCCGAATATGACAGTATTCTACAAGTTTCGGCAGTATAGATCAGATGCTCCGAATACCCCACTAAGAAGATCATCGAATACCAATTATAATATCCTTCTTGATCAAAATGCTGCGAAGTTCTACCAGGGTCTAGAACATATCATTTTGAAAAGCTTATGAACTATTTCGTTACCTAATATGTGAATGGGTAGGCGGTTATTTGGTCAACAGAAACCAAAGCAATTCAAGCGCTACCGCATCAGCTAGAGGGATCACAATCCAACAAGAAATAGATCGGCAAAATGCTTCAGTTGATCTAGGCTCTGGGAGTAGGTGTTGCATCATTGTGCAATCTTGTCTCACACGTTCGCTGAGAGCGTGATCAACAGACCGTATATTTTTTCCATTATCTGATCAGAACCGGATTCAAAGCGACCTGATCGGCCTTCATTCCCTATCTCTACCTATTGATACCAGCAAATAAGCGACGAGAGCTCGCTCTATCAACCTTCCCAATCGAGACAATGTCTGGAGAAGTTTGAGCCCCGCCTTCCCCGTACTTTGTTAGATAACGGGATCTCCAATGCTCTGCATTGAGCGATATGGAAAGGTTTCTAATAACCAAGTCATAGATAAGAGAGTTCTGATCGACCGATATTGCTATCAGAGAGACAGCGATATCGCCAAACAAGTTGCAGATGCGCTTGTTGAACCTGAACTCCGTCCCTTCCGTGCCACTTTGCCGCCATGTTTGCGGTCTCCACTATATCGGAGGCTTCTATCGTTCATACTATATCCGATTCTCTTGCATAGAGCATTTGTACCAAAGTGAGATGAACCTGTATATGGCTAAGATATCCTTTCAATTCAGCTACTATGGCTTGCCTTTCCAGTCTTTAATCCCATCGATTCCATCATCCCAGTGTGCCCGCATCAAATTGAAAACAACTGGCGTCATTCAAGTCTGCACGACGTCTTCATTGTCTCTCAATTGCTCTCTTTAAATTATCAGAAGTTGCACGACATGCCCTATTCACCCAGAACCTCCCAACGGGCCTTGTCCGATGCTCAAACTGATGTTTATGACCCTGAAAGAACACCCCCCAACGAGTATACTTCACTCCTACCAAAGCCACTCCCAGATCCCGAGGACTTCAATCCTTCAGACGACTACACCCGTGCCGCACTCGACGATGATCACCAACCAATACGCCTAAGGCGACTGCTGACCGAATTCTGGACTCTCACCAAAAACTCGGTCCCCGTCATCTTAGCCTACACCTTACAAATGAGCCTGCAGACGGCCACCGTGGTAATCATCGGACATTCGTCACCCATGAATCTCGCCGTCAGCGCCTTCGCCATGATGTTCGCGCTCGTCACGGGATGGATGATCGCGCTTGGCGGCACAACGGCGCTGGATACACTTGCTTCGTCGAGCTATACAGGAAGTGGGAATAAGCATGATTTGGGTATTCTGCTCCAACGGGCATTCTTGGTTCTCGGTCTTTTGTACATTCCTGTTGCTGTGCTTTGGATATGCTCGAATTCAGTCTTTCAAGCGCTTGGCCAGGACCCGGAATTGTCTTATCAAACGTCTCGTTTCTTGACGGCGCTTGTTCCCGGTGGTCTGGGTTACATCTATTTTGAGACGATGAAGAAGTTTCTTCAAGCTCAAGGTACGTTTCCGCGTTTACAGTCACTCTAGTCGTTTAGCAGAGTGGAGACAGCGCTAATATCTCCATGGCTTCTCTCTAGGGATCATGAGAGCCGGGACCTATGTTCTCATGATAACATCTCCACTCAACGCCGGTCTATGCTACTGCTTATGTTATACCTTCAATCTCGGAATCATGGCCGGTCCAATTGCCGCAGGCATCTCATATTGGCTTTCCTTCTTCCTTCTAGTCTTATATGCCCGTTTCATCGCCGGGTCTGAATGCTGGGGCGGATGGTCAAAAAAGGCCTTTGAGAACCTGGGAAGTTTTGCGAAACTCGCCATTCTGGGTTTCTTCCACGTCGGCACAGAGTGGTGGGCTTTTGAGATTGTTGCGCTCGTCGCAGGCCGTCTTGGAACAATTCCACTCGCAGCGCAGAGCGTGATCATGACGGCAGATGGTATCCTCAACACCATCCCGTTTGGCTTGGGAGTCGCCACCTCGTCGCGGTTGGGCAATCAGCTCGGTCTACGCAATGCAAAGGGGGCTTCGGTGACTGCTCATTCATCGGCTGTCTTGTCCATCCTGTATGCCACCCTGGTATTGACCGTCTTGATGGGGACCCGCAATCATTTTGCGAAGATCTTCAACAATGATCCACGCGTTGTTGAGTTGGTGGCGGAGATCATGCCGTTTGTTGCACTTTTTCAGATCGCGGACGGACTGAATGGGAGTTGTGGTGGTAGTCTCCGAGGTATGGGGCGACAGCATCTCGGAGCCGCTGTGAATATTGTCAGTTACTACTGCTTTGCCTTGCCGCTTGGGATCTATCTGGCGTTCCATGGCTGGGGATTGAAAGGACTCTGGGTCGGGCAGTGTGTTGCATTATACTGTGCCGGCACTTTAGAATGGCTTCTAGTTGCGTTGACTCAGTGGGAGAAGCAGGTTGAGATTGCTTTCAGCAGGATGGATCCGGGAAACTAAGGAGAACAGACACGAATACAAAGATGCATTGGATACCAATAGACAAAACGGGTACCAGGGCTCTTGTTTAAAGCTAAAAAGCAAGGAACGAGCCCCAAGCCCTACTCAAGCTTCCAGCCCTTTTCCTCTCTCATCCTAGCATACCAATCCCTCACATATTCCTTTCCTGCATGAGGTCCGTATAACTCCCCCTCCCACTGCGGCACAGGCGGTGGCAGGCCTGTTTATGCGAGACAAGACTTTCGTAGTTCATCAATGCTTCCGCCACGCTCGTCAACAGAGATTTCGCCCAGTTGAGCCCTGTCCTGATGCATTTGCGCACGCGATTCTTCGGTCAAAGTCTGATTCGCGGTGAAATCGCTGTTCGCTACAACACCGTACCCTTCTCGGGCACCGTCAGCGGTTACAAGTTTGCGATGTACCTCCAGAGCAACCTTCCCAGCAGGGCATGTCAAGGGATCTCCCAGGCCGCCTCCATCCCATGTCACCCACTCCAGTAAATCGTCAACGTCGACACGAATGTGGTCGCGCTTGGAGGGCAAAGCTTCCAAAGGCGGATTCTTCACAGACTTGGAATACCGATACAGAACTTTGCATGACCGTTGGCCCGGCTTTCCGCCCTTTCTGTCCCACGGCTTTGTGAACCAGCAATCATCGTGAAGGCTGAAATCGCCGCGACACAGGGACCGATACAGTGTCCGCTGCGCATTTCCGCTATCGGCGGTCTACCAAAGCGTTTCATTCGTCTCGATGGAGGGTTCGGCGAAGCGAGGGATTCTTCCAGAGATCTGGTTCCATTACTCGCTGAATGATGAACCCGAGCTTATTGAATGGAGAACGACATATATAGTATACACTGCCCCCATCTGAGCTCGCAGCAGAAAAGACACACGGATCTAACAATGACCCAAACTGGCAGAGACTGCTAATGGTCTGACTGTGAAACTCTGACTGTGAAAAGGCGAAAATTCATGCTCAATGGATGTCTCTCAGAGATGTACCCGTGACTTGGGTCTAGTAGATCCTGGCCAGGAGGGGTAAATGAGAAGCCAAAGAAGGAGCACCTGCTGACAGGAACAACTTGATTAGGAGCCTGAGATATCCCCAAAGTCAAACCGAAACTCGTCTTCCTTCATGAGGTCGTCGCAGTATGCAAGAGGTATTTGTGAAACATGTATAACACCGCATAATTGTACAAAAGTCAAAATCTATGCAAATGATCACAAGGAACGAATCTGTAGAGCGTCCTGGGCTCTTGGACAATGGGTCGAGTTGTCCGCTTCTAGAACATGTTACCAGTCACGGAAGGAGTCGCGACCTGCGATACACTGGGGATATCAACGCCCTTGAGGTAATTCTCATACTCTCCAATCTGCTTGCCACCCTGGATCCATCGCTCGCGATAAGCATCACGTCGCTGTTGAGCGAGCTCATTGAGAGCAGGCCAATAGATCGAGTGATCATATTGGAATTCAAGCTCGCCGCCTACCGGTTTCATGAGCTGGCTAGGGGGAACATGCGTGCGCAAGTCTTCATTGAACTTCAGTTTTTCCCGGGTGTTGGGATCAATGAACGGTGTGATCAACTTGAAGAAACCCCAGATGAGGAAGGGCACTGGGAAAGATCGGCCGAGTCAGTTGGACAGAACAAACCACGCAAAGAATGAATATTTCAACTCACCATTGATCACCAGAGCACGACCCAGTCGCTCGGGGTAGTGATTTTGCAAAATGTCCAGGGTCTGCTTGGCCTGGCCCACAGAGGCGTTTTCGCCAGACTTGGTCTCCTTGAAATTGACGAGGAGGGCCAATGTCTCTTGATCGGGACCCATGAGATCAATCACACGTTCCAACATAAAGACCAAATGCTGAATCTGACGATCACTCCTCTCGGTGTTCTGGTTGGAAGGCAAAAGATACAAGCATGGACGTGCATGGACGTCGTATCCCATAATCACTTGCTTGCCAGTCTCGTTTTCAATCGAGATATAATCAGGTGTCAGCTTGTCCAGGCCATACTCGCGGCGCCAAGTCAAGGTCTTTTGTAGTCGAGTTTCCGCCTCGAAAGAATTCCATTTGGTAGCACGAAGATATCGAAGAATGCATTCACGCGTCAACCACATTCGCTCGTCATCGGTGATGGGCTCTGTGGGAGCATTCTTCTCAGCCTTGATGGGCACAGTGGTCCATGAAGAGACCGTTTTTAAAACGGTCTCGTACTTGGCCTGCTGATCTGGAGTCAAGGCTGGAGGTGGCTGAGGTTTGGCATCGTCGGCCGGATGAATGAGAGGTTTTTGTACAACGCCAGGGGCGGTGGCCACAGGCGAAGCGGCAGTCTTTTCACCTGCTAAAGAGTCTTTGGCAGCCATTGCTCAGTGAAAGCTCTTAATGATCTTCCAAGGATTCACCACGAAGCTTTCCGCAAATTTCAGACTATGTGAGTGGGTTTGCAGAGTCCAACACCGCCCGACTACAATGATGAGACCTTGGGGTGTACCCGACTGTCTAAACACAAAAAGATGGTTGAGTCGGGTTAGTCCCCTGGCAGCCTCCTCAGTGGAGCTCCACCAAGTGGAAAAAGTGACTAATGCGTGGCCAAGGCTTCCAGGTACGGTACCTTCCAAGTTAATGGCAGGCTTCCGCGACTTGAACACGTCTAGATTTGAGGTACCGAGGTCAGAGTAGATCAAGAGTGTTCGAGGACAGCAGACGCCTGGTCGTGAAGAGCTGACGCTGTGCACAACTGTACATAGGCCCCTCGCTCATTAGGATGAGTTAAAGATTCTTGTGTACAACTACTCCTCAACGTATTTATCACGTTTGAGTTTGGACTACTTCCAAAGTACTACTCCAGCGATAGAATTACAGTAGCATGGCACAACTTAATCCACGGCCGTTCCGTCCCGGTCGCACCGACCGGCCAGGGCGGTGAGTTTCAGCCCCACGATGGGGTGGAATGCGCCCGCGCCGATAAGAGCGATTATGTCAGCACCGCGTCTCGGCGGAGGAACGCGTGCGGCGCGTTCGAAGCGTCCTCGTTCGGCCAAAGTGGTGAACAGTGCGACACGTTTATTGTCAATTTGATACCTCTCAAGCTGCGAGGGTGTCCATCTCTCAAAGTTCACAGCCATGGCCGACACGACGAATGAGCTCAATGAGCTGTTTGCAGCTCACTTTCCAGATGGCCTACCCAAGGACATACTCGCCGAATTGCAGTCGATTCTGAGGATCCATTTGATCACACCAGAGGAGCTGTTCTACAAATGGGAGTCCTACAGTATCAAGATGGGTGACGAGCTCAAATTGAGTATGGATACTGTTCGCGGGTTCAAGCAAGACGTGCAAGAAGCTTTGGAACGTGAAAGTCGCGGTAAACTTGGGCGGCAAATGGAAAAGAGGAGCACCGTTACCGCAACGCCGCGCGCCGCGTCCGGTGCCGATGTCTTCGGGATGTGAGTCCTTACGTCAGGTGTGATCTCGTTTGGGAGTGGTGTGGGCTGAATGATAACCCGGGAATCTATAGGTTGGACGAATTGACACCGAATACCGCTAATGCTCGCAAAATGAATGGTACCGGGGCAGTTAAACGAAAGTCCGAGTTCACGTCGCCGACGACACCCAAGGTAGGCAGAGTTGAGAAATTTGGAACCCCAGCTGGTGTGAAAACGCCAACAACTGCAGCAAATGGCCCTGCAGTGCCCTTTGCGGAGCGGCCGAACGCAGGTCAGACAATAGAAACCCTGAATGCGCACCTTGCTCTCGCCGATGTTCCGATGGCGCCCTACTCCGAAGCACGCATTCGACCCACTGCAAACACAGACCTGAAGAAATTTGGATACAAGCCCATGGGCATGCGTCTTTCAGAGGCATCGGAGATTCTCGATGACCGGATTGACGAATTTGCGGCGATATTCCAGAAGCACTATGATTCCGATGATATCACATTTGGCAGTGCGGCCACACAAAGCACGAGCGAAGTCATTGCCGTTGGCCGTATCGCATCTGACTCCCTGGAAGGGAAACTCAATCCAGCCTCCTTGGTGCTGGAGATGTCACGCCGAACTGGCGCTGGGCGACGTATCCCACTCAAAGTGGACTCGCTGCCCTCATTGAATTTCTTTCCCGGTCAAATAGTCGCTCTTCGAGGAATCAATCCCAGCGGTGACTACTTCACAGTCAAAGAAGTTCTACCGATCCCACTTTTGCCCCCTGCCGCATCCTCGGCAGTGACACTGGATAATATCGCGGAGCGCTTCGAAAGCAGTGGGTCCAATTCACCCTTGAACGTCATGGTGGCGGCAGGACCATACACAACATACGACAATCTTGAATTTGAAGCCCTTCGGGAACTCTGCCAAAAGGCTGCCGACAGCTGTGCCGATGGCCTGGTACTTTTGGGTCCTTTCCTAGACATTGAGCATCCGTTGCTCGCTTCCGGCGACTTTGATTTGCCAGAAATCAAGGGAGTAGACCCAGATACCATGACCATGACCACTGTGTTCCGCCACTGTATCTCTGCCCCTCTAGTACGTCTTGCTCAGGCTGTGCCAAGTATCACGATTGTGATCGTTCCGTCTGTGCGGGACATGATCAGTCGCCACGTTGCATGGCCTCAAGAACAGCTTTCCAAGAAAGATCTCGGACTGCCCAAGCAGGTCCGAATGGTGTCCAACCCAGTCACACTTTCCTTCAATGAGACTGTGGTCGGTATGTGTTCCCACGACGTTCTCTCCGAGCTTCGTCGGGAGGAGGTTCTCCAAGGTAGGCCTGCCGAGGGTAACCTCCTAAGCCGCCTGCCAAAGTACCTCGTTGAACAACGTCATTTCTTCCCCCTTTTCCCTCCTACTGCGCGCGCCAATCTTCCCAAGCCCGGCTCAGACGCGGGTCAAGGCACCGGAGCAATGGTCGATATCCCCTACATGAAGCTTGGGGAGTGGTGGAACGTTCGCCCTGATATTTTGATTGTTCCAAGCATGCTCCCTCCTTTTGTAAAGGTCAGCAGCCTGTAGCTCCTTCTCGTTGTAATCCGTTGACTTCAATATTCTGACAATGAGATACCTAGGTTGTGGACAGTGTCTTGGTCATCAACCCAGGCACGCTGTCAAAACGCAAAGCAGCCGGCTCTTTTGCTCAAATGGCTATTCACCCGCGAGGCGTGACAGACGAGGAGCGCGAGTCAAAACAACTCGACCACAAGCTTTATGAACGATCTCGAGTCGATATCAATCGAATTTAGACGATTCGCTGATTCTCACCCAAAAACTAATCTCATTGCATTATACCTAGGCGTTTGCAGGCGTATACCAAGTGGTCTGTACCGGCAAAGAAGCAACTTCAAAGGACCTTTCAACGAATGAAACGCTTCAATGAAACACACAAATAGACAATCCCATCTGAACGCCCTCCCATTGGCATCGTAGTTGAACTCTTGCCATCGTAAAACAGAAAGGACAGCAAGAAAATCAGGCGAAAAACATCCCAACGCCCGTGGAAATCAAAAGCCTAACCCCAAGGTCGACAAATTCGAAGTACTGCCAAGAGCAAATACACCTCGCAAGCTCATCGCAGACTGATCACCCGACGACCCCCCATCTTCCTGCCTGCATTGCGGACTCGCACCGCAGTAGACGACGCAGCCGCCGCACCGCCACTACTCCCGCGCAAAGTGGCCGCCGGCCCAGAAATCACGCCCCCGGCGCCACTGCTACTAGTCGTGGTCGTTATTCCACCTCCACCATGGCCATGGCCATTCACCAAAGCCTCCAGTCCGAGATCCCTCCAGACGGCTTCTCGTCTCCGCTCCATTGCCCGAGCGATACCAAACGCCGCATGTTGATCCGGCACAACGTCGTCTTCGTCCTCGGGGTTTGGTGGCTGATATTGCGGCTGGAGGTAGATGTCTTCAATGGGGAGGAAGGAAGGTATGGTAGCAGGTGAGGCAGCTCCGTATGTTGCTGCGTTGGCATTGCCGGGCTGATGGCCTCCTGGTGGTGGACCGAAGTTCTGCGCAGAGCCGGAGGCGATCGTGGCGGCCGATAGATGTGGTTTTGTGAACTCTTCGAAGAGGTCGGCCAGTCGAGGCTGGTGCATGTGGAGGTGGGTTACGGATGAATCTTTGCTCTGGGGAAGAGTTAGCTGCTGGTTTCGCGATTGTGAATTGTCTCGGGAACGGCGAAAGTTACCATCTTCGACTCGACCTGCAGTTTCTGGGTCGATTTGGTATGGTGTTCGACTTGAAGATTTCGTAATAAAGAATGTTTGTTGGACGCATGCTGCGAACTTGACGTTTGTTGACAAAAGGACGGCAGAACATTGCTTATCGAACCTACCGCCCTCCAATGCCCGCATGCCAAGGGAACTAAGATACGGGTATAGATCAGGGCCCATTGGTTGAGATACATACAGAATTAGGCCCAAGTTTGGCCAGTAAGTTCATTATGTTTCCTCATGCTCTATTCAGAGGAATGGCTTGAAGTTGAATTAAGAATATCAAGAAGGCATTATCGAGATTAGTGTAATCCATCGGTCCGCGCACTATTTATTCGTACAACAACCGAAATAACATAACAGAGGCAAGCATTGAACCCTTACAACTGTCTAAGTGGCAACTCCAAAAATTCATATTTCATAACTTTTCAAAGATGACTTTAAACTCACTCGGTCATTCGGTGAACAATGGGAACGGCACTTGGTGGCAAGCTTCCCATTTCCGTAACCACCATGTCAACGTACTCGGCGGGCGTGACGTCGTACATGATATTGAGCAATTGGAGATTGGAATTATCTTTCCAATTGCTCAGGGGTGAGGAGGAAGTTTCAAGGTCAGAAGCCAACGTGGCAGGCTTTGCCGCATTGGATGCACCTTTGCCGCCTTTCTTGTTGTCGGGTTTGGAGGGAGCCACAGGATCAGTGACACCAGTGAGTTGCTGTGCAGACTGAGCGGAGACCAGCTCATCAGCATCAGCAATCTCATTGACAACAATACTGTCCAGGGCAACACGGTCAGTGAACTTGACAGTCTCGCAGCACACGATGACAGGCACCTCCACGCCCCCGGCACGTTCCTTGGCGGACATGGCCACAAGCGCCGTTCCCACACGAGAGTAGAGACGGCCATTGCTGGTCATGGCGTGAGCACCAAGGAAGACCTTGGTGGCGTCTTTGATGGCATGACTAATGCCATGGACGAGCGAGTATTCGACATCCAAACCTGCATTGGCCAGGGCGCGAGCCATGTTCTTCCCCTCAAAGAGAGGTCGCGAGTCGATGATCGACACGCGGAACCTTTTCTCTTGCTTGTGTGCTGAAAGAAGGGTCTGCTTGACGATAGAGCTGCCAGCAAACGTGACGATGACATCTCCATCTTGCACTTTTTGCGCAGCGCTCGCGGCGATGACTTGATCGGCCACTGTGATCTTCTCACGGATAAAGTTGTCGATGAATTCACAAAGGGTAGCCTTCGCGCTGAGCTCGGGGGTGGACGGGTCAATGGACGAAATCGCGAGTTTCAAGGCGCGAATAGCATTACCCTGTGTGATCGAGAGAGGTCGACATGTCGAGAGGTATGTGATCTGGTGTGAGAGATGAGTCGTCAAGTGGCGCGAGAGTGAGGTACCAAGTGGAGTCGTATACGATTCGATGACCTTAAGTAGTCAAAAAGTCAGTTCCATGGGAGAGTCTTGCCAAAGGGAAAGCCGACCAAGGCCATGAACTTACCCTCTTGAAGGCTAGCAACGTAGCCACACAGCGAGCGCTGCTACCGCAGACAACGTAGTCACGTAGCTGCAGACCAAGCGCCAGAACTGCAGGATGCACTTCCTTGCCGGCACCGGCGATGGTCGTCCGTCGCGGCTGACCATAGAGATGGCCAAAGACCGCAACACTTTTATCCTCCTTTTTCACGGGCTCGTCGCCGCCGTGACCAGTGGGGGCAGATCCTCGGCGGGTATGCGTAGCCCGCTGTGCTTTCTGACCCATACTTCCCCCGATGCGTCTTTCTTCGGCGTCACAGGAGGGCGACCCTGGGGCGCTCCAGAAGCTGGGCTGCCAGCAGCACCAGCCCCGCCCTCTTTGGCAAGCTTTTCCTTTGCGCGTCGAGCCGCTTTCTCTGCCTTGGCCTTCTTTTTCAGCTCCGCTGGTGTAAGCGGTTTCTCACCTCCTGCAACGGTCGAGCCATCAGTAGTCGACGTAGAGGGCGTTGGTGCGACATTTTTCTTTGCGTTTGCGTTGTCCGCGGAGGTGGGGGTCTTCGTGCTCTTGGCTTCGCGGATTGGCAAGGACTGAGTCACTTGTGAAGTGGGATGATCGCCCGTAGCAGTCGTCTGCGATTGCGTGGATGCAGTGACAGGCAGATTTGTCTGAGCCATGTCAGAAGAGTCAGCCATAATGACTGGACTTGAGTTTTCGAAGAACGAGGGGGCTAAGCTTTCAATTTAGCGTTGCTCGGTGGGTAGGGACATTGATTATTATTGACTGAAAGAAAATGGCAGTGATGGCATAACCGGCCCACCGCGTGAATGGGACCGCCTTTCTCTCCGCCTGCGCAATTGAACCGCTCTTCCCTCCACCTCCGCATCTGCACGTCCTCAAAGTTAGGGCCTGGTCAGGTATTTGTCTCTCTTCTCTACAGTCTTCATGATGAGTAGATCCACCTTTCTTAGATGGTTACTTGATTGCCTACTAACGCCAAGGCCGACAATGTATTGAAGAAATTCGGGCTTTTACAATCAGTCATCTATTCTTGGTTCAACACCACTTTCGAGTACACAGGGATTCATCTTGGGTTTCATTACTCATAGCAGGGAATCTCTCGCTAAAATCACAAAAGTCAACAAATGAGTGGCGAAGGAGCCAATACAACAATGAGGTACATCACGCAAGGCTATTGACTACCTTGCTCCGGGCTCATTTCGTAGAAGAATGGCTATGCCAATCGCAAGATGGACAGGGTTCCGCCCCATACAACGCCCAATGTACACGCTTGAACGATAGTAAGACAAAATGCGAGGTCCAACGCCCTAAAGAGCGTTCGAAGTAATGCTTCCGAGTACCCGGCGTGTGCGGACTGCTGGAAGATCATTACGACGCCAACGCTCGTGGTCAGAGGCAAGCTTGCGTTTGAATAAACCAAGATCACCAAGCAGGTCTTGCATGCGCTCCTGCATCTGATGCGCCTCGTTCTCGTCGTTACCAAAGATGATGGTCTCGTCGTCGTCCTCGTCATCTTCATCCTCCCAAATCTCTGGCTCGGATTCAGACGCATCGATGATTGGAGATCCTTCCGGGCTTTGCTGACTATTTTCTTCCTCGGCCGATTGCCCGGGCGACTCGATGGCGACGGAAGGAATAGGGTTTTTCAGACTCTCGAGAGCCAGCTTGAGATGCATACGGAGAGCCTCGTTCTCCGTCTGCAACTGACGAATTTTACACTCGCTGACCATCTTGGTTTCCTCCATGAGTCTTTGCATCTTTTCCACTTTCTGTTGGTACTCTTCCAGACGCTCGTCCTGAAGCTCGGTCGCACGTGCGTTGGCATGCGCTTGACTCACGCTCAACTGGAGTGTTCGAATAGTCTCCGCCATTTCGGCGATTTGCTGATCACGTTCGGCAGCCGAGACGCTGTCTTGGTTGACGCGCGCGCGAGTGCGGATGTGTTTGGCCTGATCGGCATAACGAAGAGTTGAGAGGGTCTCCTCGTAGTCGGCTGGAGAAATGCAAGCAATCATGGCTGTCTTGGAATTGCCGCCTAGGCTATCCTTCAAGAGCCACGTCAGGATTGAGTCTCGATATGGGACCAGCGACTTGCTTTTCCTGCCCCCGCGAACTTTCTCCGGATCAGCCAAGGCTGCGATGACTCGGCCGAGCGTGGTCAATGATTTGTTGATGTTGGAGCCTTCACGCAAACGGGCACCTGTCGCCTCAGTTGCTTTGGCCCGTTCAGAACCTGCGAGGTCGACCAAACGAATACGAGCTGTTCGTTCAGTCGTCTCGTCTGTGGAAAGATCGTGGTGGATTTGTTTCAGAGTAATCGTAAAGACAGCGTGAGATCGTGATGATGTGTCATTCATCTTGGTACTTGCCACAGTTCGCGATACATCGCCCTTGCGCATAAATTTCATCAATTCGGTGTAATTCCTCGCCGTGACTTCCGTTAAATCCTTGACATACGGGCCCTCTGATGGCGACTCTCGAATGCGGAGATAATGAGGTGGATCCGTTCTGGGAACCAGCAGATCCCGCACATGCTCATTGTAGACCTCGAAGTAAGATACACGGACATTGTAGCTGATATCCGGAGAAGGCGAAGACTCAATTCGTTCAAACAGGTCCTCGCAGGTTCGTGGAATGAGACCAGGCTGCTCGGGGGTACCCATCATTGTATAACTTTTTCCTGAGCCCGTCTGGCCGTAGGCAAAGATACAAGTGTGATATCCCTCAAAATTGTGGTCCAGGAATTCTTCACCCAGACAATTGTAGACGTCTTCTTGGTGCGCATAGTGCTCATCTTGCTCATCGTGTGACCAGAATGAATTGTCGAAGGTAAAGGACTTATCCTCAAGGACCTTCCCTCGAGCTTGGGATTTGGGCTTGCCACGGTCGTCAGCGCTGGGTGTCGGGGCTTTGAGGCGTGTCATCTGGGTGACAGGGTCCATTTCAATCAAGCATTCCGCCTGGCGTTCGGTCTCTATTACTGCGCTGTCAGTCTCTCATGCATCCTGCGCCAGTCGCATGGAGCGTACTGAATATCCTGCTGCTACACCTCAGCTTCAAGGCACAACGTACCTCGTGGGAGGAACTTCCGCACTCGCACGACCACACGCACATTACCGCCGGGCGCAGAGCTTGCGATTCCATCTTGACGGTTGACCGGGACAGAAATGCTTTCTCGGGCTCGCAGAGAAGGACTAGATGCTGTTGATCGCATCGTCGCAGCAGATGCTGAAGTTGAATGCATGCTAGGCGATGTGATTCCAGTAAACGCAGAGGACTCGGACGATGTTGCTGATGAGATTGACCCCGGCCCATGCGCATGGCCGATGTGTCGATAGAATCGGGGATCTAGCGCCATTTCGTAGCTGTAATTTCTTAGTAAATAGACCCAAGCATCGACGGCGTCGCGTCGGCGTTCGACCAAGTGAGTGTACATGCAACTCTAGTTGGGCGAATCCCGGGGGGGGGGGGGGAGGGGGGGGGGTTCAAATGTGGGGGTAGAGCGTCACAGATCTAACGAGCTTTGTCGAAAGTCGACAAGTATCGAATGGTATTGGGAGTGCATGGGAGAGAGTGCAGGTAGTATCAGCAGAGATGATTGCGTACAGTTGGGAATTGCCAGGTTGTTTGCTCTCTTAGTTCTAACCGGTCGTGGTTTCTTGTTTGAGCGCGCAGTCGTCCCGAGGCGGGGATTGGGGTAAACAAGACTCTGGACCGATACGGCAAAGATGTTTTCAATTGATCATAATGCTGCTGTAAGCGGGAACGAATGATTTTTGATCAAAAGTTGGATATCACGAGAGAAAGAAAGCTCGTCGGGATCATACGAAGCAAAGTGTTAATCAGGTCTCGTAATTAGCTTATCAACACTGCTTAGGATGGTTGCTTCGGTACATGCGCTGGGCGATAGACGGTGGGCGTTGCTGGGGCAATCGAGCGCGCATGGATGCCGCCCGACAGGAACTATGGCGCCTTCCAAGGTACACTAGCAGACCACTAGCCTGAGATTGACTTGGGGACTTGGATATAATGATATGACGACTTGGTAGGCTCTGTCTCGTTGAGTGAGGATCTGGGCATCTGTCTCCATTGTTTGCGTGTGCACAAAGGTCTCCTGCATGAAGTCCAGCTATGAATAGCGCCGTGATGAATTGAGTCCTAGTATCGTGCATCTACAGACAGCTATCTGGAAGACTCTGAATTTGCCGATGCGCACCGCCACTGCACATCACACAGGTAAGGTAGGGCTTTGTCTTCAATCAGGAAAGGATCCCCTGTGCCCAACCTTGCCCAAGCCTTCCAGACAACCCCTATTCAAACCGAGACGTATCCGCATTCATAGCCTCAAACATGTCGGCCTCATCCACGTGGCCAGATTTGCCCATGGCTCTGGCCTTGGCGCCATCGCCAAAGGTCGCTGGATCAGGCTCGGGATTACCGGCCGCATTCATATGGGCTTCCAACATTTGTTCCGGGGACCAGGTGGTGCTCTTTTTGGATTGCTCCATGCTGTTGCCACGCTCGCTGTGCGCTCTGGCTGCAGCCTTCTTATCCTGGGTGGTCCACATCCGTCGTTGCTGGTGTTCGCTGGCTGGGAACCGCATCGCGGTGTCTGTTTTTGAGGAGGGCATTGTGGCAATACTGGAGAGATCACGTCAGTAAACCTGAGCAGGAATTCTCCTCGTGGTCATAAAAGTCGAAAAGTGTGGAATAACCACCATGCATTCAAACATGGACAGGGTACAACTTTGCGTTGCTCTGGAGTGGTCGGGTGTAAATCAACGGACGGAAGAACAAAGATGACATAGGACTCACCGAGTCGTTCGCGTTTCACTCCTAATGAAGACCCTTCAGATACAATGGAAAGACGTGAAAGCAGAACTAGTCACAAATCATATAAAATCAGGGCATTTGATTGCAAATACTCAAGGCTAAATACCTAGCTGGGATTTGAGCGCCAGTGGCGCTTGAGGCGACAGTATGATATGTTCATGACGGCCAGATGCATCACGGCTGCGGCTCTTGCGTCTCCCACCTATGAATTGATGTGAGCATGCTCTCGGTTCATACTACGGATGTTGACATCATGGAATCGCAACACGAACCAGGCCTGAGGACACTAAGAGGCGGTACCCGGGTTGTCTTTTAGCTCTGAATAAGACTGATGGGTAGGATAGGAATCTAGGTACTAGGTACACCTACTCGTTGCCCATACATTTCATGGAATGCCTTGCCGGTGACATCTGTAATTGTAACTAACGACTCAGTACCTGTAGATGAGTAAGTGTGTCACAGCTATGCTTTTGGAATTGAAGAAAAATTGATGAAGATGATAGGTTTGAACCTTTTGCGCGTCTTCATGACTATGCCTTACGAATATGCCAAAGTAGCACATCCAGGTACCCTTCGAAGCGAAATTATGTTAGGGTTGGGATTTACGTCAGCGTTTACTAAAAATAATATTCTCTCGTTAGGCAAAAGTCTACGTGCTAATCAGAATGGCCTTTCATCGGGTAGAAGATGCACTAGTAAGGTAGTATTGCAAGGGCTTACATAAAGCGATGAGATTTGAAGCTGATGACTCAATCAAGCGGCTGTCGAGTATCATGTCTTTTCGAGATGACGGAAAATTTAAATTGCAAAATTGGCATTTGAAAAGCAGAGATTAACGAAGTGAGAGTTCAAAGTCTCATGTGTCTTCGGTGTCTTCGATCCCCAAATCTCTCTCCTTCTTCAGAGTGAATTCCTCAGCAGCATCGTCAGTCTCACCTCTTGACAGAATCGACGCTTTCTCCTGTGTCGCCACATAACGGACTAAGCTTTCGCAGAGTCTGTCCAAGATCCATTCAGGTTCAGACTGGCGTGCAAGCATGGGGCTATCTTCACCGATCCAGTCCCAGTTAAGAACGCCATATTCATCCTCATCAAGGCTGGCGCTTGGTTGCTGGGACGATCCGCTTGGGTCTGAATAAGAGGTGGGTCGTGATCTGGGATTTGTGAATTGTATGAGTCGCGTGAACTCAACCCATTCCTCGTATGTGTATCGTTTGTGTTTGACTTCCTTTGCATCCTGGGTGGTCCGACGAATGGCAAAGGCGAGACGCTGTGCAAGTTCATATGGCGACGGATTTGCGTCAGACGCAAGCTCTTCGATTGTGCGGAGCAGATGGCCACCACTTGAGCGGGAACGGAGCGGAACAACTGGTGCTTGTTCCTGCGAGGGGGATGACACCGCGGCCATTCCGTCTCTCGAATCGGCTTCCGCGGCCATTCCGTCTCTCGAATCGGCTTCCGCGCCCACTTCGAAACCTCGCTCCAGGCGCTTCTTTTCCTGGTGAGCCAGGAGCCACTTTCGCAGAAACGGGATGCGAGATATGGCTTCTTTATACACCACCGACTGAGGCAAGACGAAGTAGTCGCTGAACTTCCCTGTAGAGCGCTTATATGCAGCGACCACGGTGTCGCTCATTTGCGATATCAGCATTGTCATGGTTGGAATGGCGATCAGTGACCACACCACAAAGAAGGGGCGCCCTGCGTTTGACTTTGGTGTGAAATCCCCGTAGCCGATGGTGATCAACGAGCAGAAGCAGAAATACAACCCATTGAAATAAGACATGTCTTCGAGTCTCCAAAAGACTAGGGCACCTCCGGTCCATACAATCGCATAGGCGATCACACTGATGAAGAGATCGTTCCATCTGCGAAACTGCATCGTCTCGTCTTGGATCTTCCGCATCGCGATGAACCGATCCTTCTCTTCTCGCATGACTAGTAATCGCGGCCGCCGAGCCGATGTGAGAGTATTGATGGTAGTTTGAATGGGACCGTGCCTTCGATGGCTCTCATGGCCATTATGATGATCATGTTGATGAGCAGTTCGACTCACGGTTCTTCGAAGATGAAGCTGGTCGATACTGGGTGGGGGTCCATGGTCTCCGACAAACTTGACGTTTTGCAGTTGAATGTTGGGATCGTTACGGACTTGTTCAATGGTGACCGATCTATCAAATGTGGCTTGGCGCTTACTCTCGATGTGCTTGCGGACGACATTGTCGTAGTGGACTTCTCGAGCAAATTGATGGATACTGCCAACCACCAAACCCAGCATGACGATGCCGATTACTGCATAGGGCCATATGAGGCCCTTGCCCACCGAGCTTTTGGGAACGATATCGCCAAACCCCAAAGTGAGAACAGTGATGTCACAGAAGTACAAGGCATCGGCGAATGCAATACCCAGCACCCTTTGGAAGATCGCGGCACCAATCAGCAGCCAAATGACGAAAGCAGTCATTTGCAGGATCAGGGTTCGCTGGTCTTCGGTGAGTGAGAAATGTTGAGGGTACTTCCCCAAAAAGTAGCCGAGCATATTAATCATCAGAAGTGTAGCCAGGACAAAGTACAGTACTGCGGCGATGACAGCGCTCCAATATGGCTGGGAGTAAAGCTCATCGGGAGGGATCGGTGGACTATAGATGGACATGGATGCTGTCAACCCGCAGAGCTGTCGCACGAACCAAGTTAGACTCAGAAGCAACATCCACAATTTATCCGAGCAATCGAGATCTTACAATGAAGGTTGCAAGAAACCAAGAAAAAATGGTCACGGGTAGAGCAATAATGTATCGCACCACTTGGGTGAAGTTGAACAACAAGAACACATTGCCAACCACACCCCAGAAGAGTGATACAGCATTCAGGGCCAGTACCCTATAGCTCACTTGCCGTCAGTGTACCAGGTCTTGCCAACATGGGCAGAGTGCAGAAATGGAACTTTACCAGTGAGGGTCATTGAATCCGTGCTGAATCGTGGTACCCGCGCGTCCTATGTCGGACGAGATGATCTTATTTCTCCATGGCGACACCAGTGCGACAATGGACATGACATTCGCCAGGGGACCCGTGGCTGCAGCCACCAGCGGGATCGCCGTCGAGGCAATCCACCACGACTGGGGCTCATCATCTTCGGCGGGTCTCATTTGGAATTTGCTCAACAAGCGTTCCCATATTAAGAGTTCTGATGCAGCTGCGTTAGCGGCGGCCGCGGCGCGCGGGAATTCAACGTTCATGATGGCGCCATGCAAAACCAGGAATGGGTCGCAAAGATGGCAGCAAAGTTTCAGCTGAGGCGATGGCTACAACAGACGGAGATGTGCACGCCATCGACGGTGACAAGGTATGAGCCGAAGCGGCTGAGTTCGAAGTGCGCCTCCTGTGACCAAATTTGGGCGAAATTTGAACCTTCACTTTAGGTGCTCCACTAGGCCGTCTGTATCACTTCGAGGCGCGTACGTTTTTTGTTGCCGAGTTTGAGAGCACACCCTCTCCACTCACGATCCGAGGTCCTCTGTGCTTGCTGTGTGGTATGCATGCAGTATATATATTTTTGATCAGTCGCTGCGAGGCAGCGAGAGCGTCCAAAGCTTGCGGACTCTGCGTGCAAGAGTCGTCAGTCGTCGCAGGAAGCAGAAATCAGTGTTCTCAGGTTCTAAAAGTTTGCTTGCGGTGGAGAATGGAGTGCGGCATGTTCGGAGTGGCGAGGACGAGGTCACTGACCCGTTGCGCTCAGGGCGGGTACAAGTTTGTCGATGACTGGCGAGTTTCAGATATCACGAAAGCTGCCAATTACTCTAGAACTACAGTACCTCACAGAACCCGTTGCGTGCACCTGGAATTTGACCCTCTCCAGTTCTGTGCTATACCGATCACTGAAGCAATGGGGAATGGACTTCAATCTTGAGACTATGACTTCGACTCCAGGTCTTAGGTAGTATACAAGGCTGAACATGCGCTGTGTTTTACATCTAGTGACCAAAACAAATCTGCGGTGCATTTGGAATTGGTCGGCTCGACGGATTCGAGCCTCTCTTATCTTTTTTCCAATACAGACAGCTCAGATAGACTGTCGTCAATTCAAGTGTTTTGACCTGCAGGAAGGATCTTCAGCCGACTCGGCGGCCAAACACTCTTTGCCCGACACCTGTCAAGCATCGCATATCGGTAGATGAGCACTCGCCCCTCCAGAAAGTCTGGTTTGACAATGATCGCGGCGGTTGATGAAGTCTGGAAACACTTGCTCGAGAGAACAACGTGATATTGTCTCCATTCAGTGTCATTTTGACCAATCGAACTTGACTTCCAATCTCATGTTCACTTCCAGGGCTTTTGAAGAATCTCGCCAACAAAGCGAAAAGATCGACCCAGTTTCGTCCGAGATAGGTCGGTGCGAGCTTCAAATGAGACACCGTTAGACCATCTTCCTTCCCTCTCTGTTATTGAAAGAGGTATCCATGTCAGAAGTTTCATAGCTAGTATGTCGTAGCCGCAGAGGGGGGACTCTCTTTTGTTCGTGAACTCTACTATATCGATGCAGCTTGTCTGACACACGGGCTGCAGCTGGGTGTTCTTGGACTCATCACTCAGTGAGTCAGTAGACTACAGAGTACAGAGTATAGACTACGGTACAGAGTGAGTCTGTAGTCTGTCGTCTGTCACTAGTTACCATACGTCATCGGACTTTTCCTCGGCTGCACACTCTCTCTTGAGTGACCTTTCCGACCATTTGCCCGGTCGGGGTTGTAGGCGGGGCGCTTTGGAAGAACAACTATGTCGCAATAAGCGCGAAAGGAAAAGCATCTTCAACCTGACTCGATGAACGCGATCGAGCACTAGAGTGGTGGAATGGGTTCGGTAAAACTACTGGAGGTAGAACCAAGCATGGTGAAGACCTATTGTATTAATGCGTCGACAAGACCTGCACGGCACGCTGCGGGATTCTGGCCGTGCTATCTCAGTTTGCCGAGCGCAAAGGAGTTATCTCCATCTGTTTGGGGCTTCCATTTTTGTGAGTCCACAAAGAGGGTGGAAGATTTCGGCGAGAGATCTTCAGAGAAGCCCGTCGAAGAGTGCCGCAGGCGGCAAGCTCAAGCAGAGCCGACCGAGCGTTACTCGATGGATTGTGGAATGTAGTCAATATGTATCCATAATAATAGCAATGGGCATATCTCGGCGACTACCCACTGTACCACTACCCAGTGCCCAGTGCCCACTGCCCGGTGGATCAGCTCTGTGAGTCAAAGGAACAGCTAATGTTAACGCGTAAACGACCACGGTGAAGAGTACCATTATCGCACCAAGTCTTGACCCTTCACCGAGAGAGCGACCTGGCCCGAGCCACGACGTGGGAGGCGGCCGCGGGTCATCCCAACGACGCCATGAGCGGTCGCCCGCAGGTCGCACTACTGCAGGCCGTGCAGGCGCCAGGGCGATCGAGCGGCCAAAGAGCAAGAAACCAGGATTGATATGAAGATCTCGACATTGCCACGTACAGAGGCGTCGCGGGACGAGATGTAGCGGGTTTCTCGTCACGCGACCGCGAGACCAAGGTGGCTAGAAGGATAGATTTGCCAACGCGCAGCGCAATCTGTCCTGAAGCACGATATCCCCCTCCAAAACGGTTGGGACTCTTGCTGGGACTCTTGCTGGGACTCTTGCGGGGGCGCTGTCACATGCAAAACCCTCTTTTGCTTCTGGTGCATGTTGAGTAAATGTTCAACTGAACAGCTCCGTTCAGACTCCAGAGCACTCACGGGGACTATGCTATTGCACCGGTGCTCGGTGCTCAGTGCTCACTCTCAGTGCTCACTCTCAGTGTTCACTGTTCAGTGCTCCACTGCTCACTGCTGCTGTAGTGGGGTGCAGACGAGGTGAGATGGAGTCCATGTCAAGCGTTGCCCCTCATGACTGCATGGGTCCTTGGCCATGACTGGTTGGCCTCATGGCTCGTCGAGGCATGGATCCATTCAAAGAGGGTCTCCAAGACGCTCGACTGTCCAAGCTCGGGACAACAATCAAGAGATGAGAGGATGGAGATTGTTGTAAGGAAGTCGACCGTAGACATGCTGACGCCGTTGAGCCACATCTGCTCCTCTCACCAGGGACGGCATCTTTTGATGCTTTGCGGAAGGATCCTACGGTAAAAGTCTCCAGTCGTAACGAAACGGGTTGCATCCGCCATTCGATGCGTGAGGTGCGTGATATACGTAGAATGTTTGGACCGACACCAACTCTGGTTGTCGACGATCGACGACGGAAATTTTCGACAATTTGGACTCTGAAATTTCCCGTCTGGATGAATGTACATTTGCACATTACTGAGTATGCCCCTAGCGGATATCCAAAAGGGTGGAAAGTTTGGCGATGGGCGATCGAGGCTGGTTCAGGGACCGGATGGGTGTGATCCAGCCAGGCCTTCCTTGGCTCCAGCGCTACGAGAGTTAACCGGACGGGGAGAGTCAGAAGAATGATCCAGAAGTAGTGATTTCAAGGTCGACACCTCACTGAGGGTTCGACCACAGTGCCTGGTGCCAACGTGGACTCCTGAATCGACCGCCTGGTTCTCGTCGCGGGGAATCTTGATCTGGTCACTCTGCGGTCATCCCGCAGACCAACCACGCTGAGGTCGTGGACCCCCGTTAGCAATGACGACTCCTCATTTGAGAGACCACCGAACCTGTCTCCAAGTGCAGCGATCATAGTACATCATGTACATCAGTAGTCGTGCACTCGGTCTCTCCAGGGACAATCATATCCACGATGCCCGTGGACTGGAGCCCCGCCCCCTCTGCGGAGGAGAGCATCGAGGTGGATATCGGAGGAGGGTCCAGATAATGGCTGCGCCATTCATCGAGGAGTTACAACCGTCGAGTGGATGCACGGCGATGGTGGACGGAGGTCGGTACTCTCTGTCGCCCTCGGCTGCTTTTTTTTTGAGTTTAGCCGTGAAGCTGTAGTCCTTCAAGTGACAAGCCAGCTCATCGCTTTTTTTTTGCTTTTTTTCGTCTGCTCTACTTTCCGTTGTTATTCTCTGTTGACTTTTTCTGGTGGTTTGACCGGGCGAGAGTTCTTTTTTTTCTTCCACAGTTTGGGTTGAGCACGGAGAGTTTTCTCATTCACACATCTCATCTGGCTTCGTTTCCACTGCTCCTCCTCTGTTCAGTAACTCTCTGGTCCGCCGTGGTTGAAATATTCCCGGCGAGAGAGACAGGCGACGGTTGCAGTCTACACGATCGACAGCGGGACTCAAGCTTCCAGACGAACATACGAAGTCACGACATCGTCATAACTTCCTGAATCGAGGTCATTACACTACAATTGATCTCTCAGAAGGTCTACACTGTCAATCTGTCGCCTTTGACGGACTTTGCAGTCAACGAGAACAAGACAAAATCACGAAGCCAACCCCGTACATTTTTTTAATTGCCAGTGGTTCCACCTCCACCGCCCAACGACAACCCCGAAATCATGACTTTCATTGATACCAGCAAGGATCTTCCTACGCTGTTCAGGCAACAAGCGCAAGCCACACCTGATGCCATTGCCTTGGAAGACGAAAACGCCAAATATACCTATGCCGAACTCGACAGCCAGGTTGAATCGCTGGCGAGTCACCTGCGCCTACATGGTGTCAGTCGAGACTCCCTCGTCGGAGTCCTCTTGCCTCGCAGCGCATACTACGTGATTGCCTGTCTGGCTGCCCTGAGGGCTGGCGGCGCGTTTCTGGTCTTGGAGTTGGCATATCCAGCGGGGCTCCTGGCCGACGTGATCGATGATGCCAAACCGGCGGCCATTGTTACACTCCAAAGCCAAGTTCCACGTGTCCAGTCAGCTTGTCCCCTGGTGGTGCTGGACCAACCTCTGGCAGAGGTCAATGGTCACACAAAGGAGCCATCTCCATTGCCAGCCGAGGATGATCTGGATCGCCTGGCCTTTGTCTCTTACTCATCCGGCACAACGGGAAAGCCCAAGGGCATTGCCAACCCGCACCGCGCCCCCGTGCTTTCCTACGACTTGAGATTTGGTGTCCAAGATGTGCAGCCGGGAGATCGGGTGGCGTGCAATGTCTTCTTCATCTGGGAGATGCTGCGTCCGCTGCTGCGTGGTGCCACGGTCGTCGCGGTACCGGATGATGCCAGCTACGACCCCGCCGCGCTGGTGGATTTGCTAGCCGCCAAGACCATCACCGAGACGCTGATGACCCCAACATTATTGACCACCGTGCTGGCACGCTATCCGAATATCTCGACTCGATTGCCCAAGCTGCGCAATTTGTGGCTGAATGGCGAAGTCGTCACCACAGACCTGGCTCGCAGGGCCATCAAGGCTCTTCCCAATACCCGTCTCCTGAACTGCTACAGTGCCTGTGAGACTCACGAAATTGCATGCGGTGATATTCGGGAGGTCATGAACCCGGACTCACTCTATTGCCCCGTAGGCGCATCTTTGGATCCCAAGCATACATACGTCCTCAATGAGAGTGGAGAACAGGTCGAAGCAGGTATCGCGGGTGAGCTCTTTATTGGAGGAGATCTACTCGCGCGAGGATATCTCAACTTGCCTGAAACCACGGCAAAGGCCTTCACCTCCAATCCCTTTGTGTCTGACCCCAATGCGCGCATGTACCGGACAGGTGATCTGGCCCGCAAGCTGCCCTCGGGCCATCTGGAAATCACTGGGCGTGTCGGCTCGATGATCAAACTTCGCGGGTACTCGGTGGTGCCAGCCAAGGTGGAAAGTGATATCTGCCAGTATCTCGCTGTCAGTCACTGTGCTGTCATCGCACATGGCGAGGGGCTCGAGCGACAACTCGTTGCGTACTTCGTGTCGGATAAAGAAGGCGGCGCGGGGGACAGACCCACCGTGGAGATTAACGAGACCGGACACAGCCCGGCAGCGCGTCGCATTCTGGAGAAGCATCTCGCACACTACATGATCCCCGCGTTGTGGGTGGAAATGAGCGAACTCCCGACTCACGAAGTGTCTGGCAAAGTCGACTTGAAGAGCCTCCCCCCACCGCGCAGCGCCAGCCCGAGCGGTAGCGAGAAGGCGATGGACAAGGATCCTATCAGCCTCGGCGACGTTGCTGCCATCTGGGCGACCGTGCTCAAGACGTCCAAGGCGTTGCTCAAGCCTGAAGACAACTTCTTCGATCTGGGTGGTCACTCCTTGTCTCTGGCGGATTTGGCCTCGCGGTTGTCCGCTCACTTTGGCTTCCGTGTGCCGATTCCCCGTCTAGCTGACAACACGACTCTGGCGGGCCACTTGCAGACGGTGAGGGATGTTCGCGATGGCCACACAGCGGCCGTGCAGGCCGACCTGCCAGCGTTCCTGGTCGCTGATTCCAAGCTCGAAGAGGAGATCAAACCTTCGGCTGGTGTCTCCTTCACATCAATCACGGACGCAGATACCGTGCTCTTGACTGGTGCCACCGGCTTCCTCGGGGCGTTCTTACTCAGCGATCTGCTTGAAAGCACCACCGCAAAGATCGTCTGTCTCGTTCGATTCAATGATCCGGAAGACGATGACCAAGCGAGTGGTGTAGCCCGTATCCGCCGCAATCTACTGGATCTTGGCCTTTGGCGTGACACTCTCATGGAGCGAGTGGAAATTCTCCCTGGTAACCTGTCACGACCTCATTTCGGTCTTTCCCCGGATGCTTTCGATGAACTCGCCGGTCGGGTTCAAGTGGTCGTTCATGCCGCTGCTACCGTCAACCTGGTCTACCCCTATGCGGCTCTTCGCAAAGCCAATATTGGCGGAACTCGCGAGATTCTCCGCTTGGCTGCCAAGGGAGGTGCCACCGTGCAGTACGTCTCCACCAACGGCGTTCTCCCTCCGTCTGGCGAAAGCGGCTGGTCTGAACATAGCATGCTGGATGTCAAGGACGTTCCCACAAAGCTCTTGGACGGCTATGGCCAGACGAAGTGGGTTGCCGAGCAATTGGTGCTGGAGGCCGGCAAGCGTGGTCTTCCTGTGAAGATCCATCGCTGCGGTACCATCAGCGGTCACAGTCTAACAGGTTCCGCCAACGCTTGGGATCTGCTTACCGCGCTACTGGTCGAGTCCATTCGTCTGGGCTACGCCCCCGAGGTCGAGGGATGGCGTGCAGAGATGACACCGGTGGACTTTGTGAGCAAATCCATTATTCATCTCGCCACTCAGACTCAGGCGGATGAGACTGTGTTCCATCTGGGTGACCCCAACCCTGTCAACATTCGGTCCGTATTTGAAAATCTGAACGACCTCGGGTACCCCACGAAGTCTCTTTCGTGGGAGGAGTGGGTGGCACTGTGGTATGAGAAGCGCGGCTCCGCCAAGGGAGGAGATGGCTCTTTCACGGTCGACATCCTGCGCAGCGGTATGCCGACGGTTGGATTCCTAAAGGGTATTGTTGTTCTCGACAATTCGTTGACCCGACCCTTCCGCGAGGTTGTCGAACGACCCAAGGTGGACATTCTCCTGCTGGAGACTTATACTCGCCACTGGTTCGCCCGTGGTTGGCTGCCGCATGCGCCTGCTCGCCAGAATGCCCTCAACCGCCAGGCTGTACAGGCCAAGAAGGGTCCTCTCAGTGGCAAGGTGGCAGTCGTCACTGGAGCATCCTCCGGTATCGGTGCCGCCGTGGCCGAAGCTCTAGCGAAGAAGGGATGCTCTGTTGCTCTGGGCGCCCGCCGTCTTGACGCTCTCGAATCAGTCAAGCGTCAAGTCGAGGCGCATGGAGTCAAGTGCATCATTCGCTCGACCGACGTCACCAGCAAGGCCCAGTCTGAAGCGCTCATTCAAGCTGCAAATAACGAGCTCGGTCCCGTCGACATCCTTGTCGCCTGCGCCGGCGTGATGTACTTTACCATGATGGCCAACGTTCAGACCGAGGAGTGGGAGCGAACTGTTGATGTCAACTGCAAGGGTCTGCTCAACGCCTTGTCTTCCACCATTCCGGGAATGCTTTCCCGCGGCCAAGGCCACATTGTGGCCATTTCTTCCGATGCGGGACGAAAGGTCTTCCCTGGTCTGGGAGTCTACTCGGCCAGTAAGTTCTTCGTCGAGGCCACTTTGCAGGCACTTCGTCTCGAGACTGCCGGTACAGGCTTGCGAGTGACCAGTATTCAACCAGGTAATACCTCCACCCCGTTGCTGGGCATGTCGACCGACACCGAGGCCGTGAAGAAGTATGGCGAACCATCCGGCGCGAAGATCCTGGAGCCCGCTGATGTAGCAAATTCGATTGTGCACGCATTGTGTCAACCGGATTACGTCTCTGTCAATGAGATTCTCGTTGAGCCTCGTGATGAGCCTATTTGATTGCACTCTTTTTTCTTAACGTGGAGGGGCAAGTTTGTTTGGTGTTAATTTTTCATGAGAAGAACGACCCATTCATTAGATTCTTAGCTAGACATGAGGACTTTGGTAGGACAATTTTTTTTTTCCTAGATTCCCAACCTTAATCGATTTATTATTCTCAACATTGCCATCATCTTCCTTGCGACATATCGTATTTTCAAAAGGCTTTTTGATCTTTCCTTGCACTTGACACCGACTTGAGTGATGCCAGGTCGTCAAGGCTCCGTCTGGTGGGGTTTGATGTACACAGATTCACAAAAGCGGGCATTTTGGGACCGCTAGCATCGGCCCCAACATGCATTTGGTATTGCAATACGCTCGCAATCAACTTTAGCCAGCCCACGATATACTTACATAGGATTACGCCGAGTGCAGACCTAGGAGACCGAGTTGGAGTAAGGCAGGACCTCAGGTAATAATGGAGAATTCGAAGACGATCTCACTGACAACTTCCACGCCAGCGTTTAAGCATCTATTAGTATCAACCTGCGTCAGTGACGGCAATAGACCATCCACTTGAACGTCGGCCCACTCTTCGAATGATGTTCGACAAGTTTGGTGCCTAGTGCCTCGTGCCTACTGCTTCAATACCTCGTGGTACATGAAAGAGAGCCAGTCCTCCGATGGTCTGCGCAAGTCTCCATGTACATCAGACTAAGCATGTGCATCCCGACTAGTATCGAATCATCGATAGGGCTGAGGCTACCCCTCACTTATAGTGTCCCTCCATCTCATCGGCTGCGGCGGGATGCTTAAATGAGTGCCGGTTTCCATGCTCTCTCAGCATGAACAGAATGAATGCGATTTGATTCATTGGATATACTAGTATTCTACCAGTAGCTCCTTACCGGAGGTGACTCCCCTCCACTGACTCACTACTAATACAAATCCCCCTCATACCTACTCAGTACTCCGTGCATTAATCCAGTCATCATTATGGGCTCTGAGAAGCACCCAACCTGGGACTTGATCATTAACTTCTCGGCCTCTCCTACTAAAATATCCTCATGGCCACTCACAGAAGCCATCACACTCCAATCACCCTTGCAGGACAAGAACTTTGTATATACCCCCGCTCCGTATTACCAATGATCTGTATAGCCCCCCCCCCTCTCCTGCTATATGTTCTCAAAGTAAATGACACAGTTGGAGGACCGTAGAGTGAGTAGATGCCCGATGGAGCTGTTTTCGGGTGAGGTTCTGTCGAGATAAGATGATCGTTTGCTTTGGTCTGGAAGTACGGTAGTAGGTGGTAGGTACTAGGTACTAGGTACTAGGTACTAGATACTAGGTAGTAAGGAGGTACCAAGGCAGTTGGTTAGGTATCCTTCTACATAAGGGAAGTTGGTACAAAGGGTGCCTCATTTCTGTTACGGGGCCACGTGTATAGAGTTGGGGAGATCAAAACGCACAGAAGTATTGATTGTAGGTACTTTAGGTAGTTACCAGGTGCTGGAAGTTGTTGAATGGAGTAAGGACTGTAAGGTCCATCTGATGGGGTTGGCTTTTTGTAAGGAGATTGATATCCCCGGGGACCCCGTGGATCAATAAATACTACTACTACTACTACTACTACTACTACTACTACTACTACACCCTACACAGAGGAATGAACAAGCCTAGCAGGAAGCATCACTAGTCGACCATATGCCGTGCTTTGATCATTCTTGATACGCTCTACCTACCACAGCCCCCTTTAACCTAAGCGTTCAGCGTTCTGTCACTCCGAGTTTCCGCGGTAGCCGGTAGTCCCAGCGCGTCAGTAAGCCTGTGAAACAGAGCTATACCCTAGAATAGGGTCTCAGCTGCAGGACTAGTACTAGATAGTAACACTAACTACTACTTGGTGTTGGCCCTTTTACCTTTTGATTTTCTTCTATATCTAGCCGAACAGTCACTAAATATAGGTACCAGTAAGGTATGGCTGACTGAGGGCTGTCGTGCGAGGTCAGTACTGTACTTTGGTTCTACGATCCTCTGTAGAGGTACCTACCGAACTTATCAAGTTATCAGTTATGAGGTTGTGGTCGTAGCAGATGACATCATTCTCGATCATAGGCTCTAAATGCCGTCATGGTCGAGGAGATCAAAGTAGAGTTTCTGCGGGGGGAGCTACCCACGTCAGATGATAATGTATGCTTGTGCACAGATTTGAGAGCTGGAGCTAGATACCTTGGGCATGTTTCTGTCATCATATGACTTAGGTATTCATGGTACTGACTTGAGTTCCGAGGGGTATGATGAGTCAGAGCTTCATCCTACTGACCTAGTCAGGTCGAAGTTACAATGCAACTATGGTCGACGAGGACGTCTATCGAGGGCCGTACAATTTGGGCATACGTGTCGAGTTAGGAACTAGAGGAGTAGTGTGCACACTGCACACTGTGTGGGGTATTTCTCACAAGGTTGTAAGATTGAAGCTTTTGGATTGAATGAGTGAAATTCTGCGAGTGTGCGCCTCGTTCAACTACACACATCACAGAGACGTTTAGGTGAGACTTGCAAAATGCAAAAACAGAGACACTGACAAAGGAAATATTAAATCCAAAAGCCCCGCAAGTCACAAGACAAATATACTTCCAGACAGTATAATCAAATCACAAAACAGTCGCGAGATGGTATCACCAAAGTCAAAACGACACAAACATCAAGGATGCCAGGAAAAGCAGGTCCAAATGCTGGAAAGCCATGCTGGGAATAGTAAACGCCAACCCCGTAAATAAATCAAGGGGACAGGAACATATCAGGACGCCCACCTCCAGTATGGAAGATTAAAAAGTGTAGTCCCAAATCAGGGGCTGAACAACACGGCCAAGAACGATGAGCTTTTAGGTAACCAGAATCGAAAGAAACATGAGCTGAACCGGATAGCAGACGAGTAAAAAGCAGAAAAAAGTGCTCCCCCCTCCCCATATAGGAAGATGATGGATATCAGCGGCAATGCAACCCCATGGTGAAAATGTGAAAAAAAGCGGATCGGTGTCAGGAGTAAACAAAAGCTCATCACACCGACCAAATGCACTGATAATGCAGAATCTAAAGCGCCTGGAATGCTCTGCAGTGGCAGAGAAAAGAAGAAGTAATGTTTCAAAAACACCGGCGATGATTGACAGGCGGCCTCCATGACCAAGTATCAATCTTCAGAGGTCGCTGTCCCACGTCCCCGCTTGGGGGGGGGGGGGGGGGGGGGAAGAAACGGGAGAAGAGTTGATCTCAAGCGATGTGAATCGAGAGAATGACCCTTGTCCTGAGAGAGAAAGCAGGAGAGTCGGCTGTCCAAGCCGAAAAGCACGGCCGAGGAATCTATTTGGCAGAAGGGCGACGCAGAATCTCCTCGCAATTGGCGTCGAAGCGCATGTTCCACAGTCGAATGCTGTTCATCAACTTCTCGGTATTTTCCAGTTCGCGATCACGGCCAAAGATGGAATCCACAAATTCACAGCCGGCATTACGCCCCATGGACACGGGGCCCTTGCCGCCCTCGCGCTTGGCGGCCTTCCACATGAACATCTCGCACGCCTTGAGGAGCTTCTTGAACCGGTTCCACAGTCGATCACCGCTCTCGAGGAAATCTTCCACAATGTCTGCGGCTTCGACGCGCTTGATCCGCGGGAGACACTCGTCCGCCCGCTTCACTTTACCGGCTAGTTTGATCAGCAGCAACCAGAGATCACCTGCCACATCAGCCATGGGCGTAGATGCGCCGTGATGAAAGACGGTCCAGTCGTAGATCCATTTACCCAGCGAGTTGGCGTCGAAGACACTGCCAAGGAGGATAATGGGCGCTTCAGTGGGGTCCCAGTTCTTGGTTGAGTAACCGGGCGGGATGCCCGCGCGCTCGGCGTCTTCTTCTGTGGCAACGGGTGGCGGCTTCGAAGGGGGCGGTGCAGGCTTAGGCTTGGACGGCGTACGCGTCGAGGTGGACTGGCGCCGGGCGTGGGACCGACGAGCGGCTTCGAGGTCGTCAGAATTGGGAGCCTGGTTGAAATAAAAGTGAGAATCAGCGGCTGACGATTTGCGATACGTGGTTGACGCGGTTCGACGATGCTGGCCGGGGCCATCTCGTGTCGGCGTAGAGGGTTCTGCCGCAGCGGTCGAGGGACGGCCATGGCGCGACGCACGAGGCTCGCGCGGCGATGGCTTCTCATAGACCGAGGCGTACCGTGGCGGCGCATAATCATCAGCCACATCCACAAAGATGGGCTGCTTGGTTTGCGGGTAAGTGCCCACTCGAACGCCGGTGCCCGTACCTGTGTCTGCGCCTGCGCCATAGCCATCCCCCGTCGAGGACCCCATTGTACGGGTGCGACGGTGTTTGGGTCCCGCGGAAGAAGCACTTACATGGTCGTGCTTGCGCGACGGGATACCGTACTCGGGGGTGGCCTCGTAGTAGGTGTGTGGGTAGCCGGACTGATATGCGGAATCTTTCGCGGTCGCCGTGTAGCTTGCCTTGCGCGTGTGGCGTCGGGAGGTGCCACGAGGTGAGGCATATGTGCTTGCGTATTGCGAGGCATATTGCGCGTAGTATGGTGAAGTGGGTGGTGAGTGGGAGTAATCGTAGGTTGACCACCCATGAGGTGGACTCGCGTAGTGATACATGTTCACGTTGTATCAACGGATCGCATGCGACTGAAGCCAACAGCCGCTTGGTCTTTAGAGGTACGGAAAGCTGGACGTTGATGGATATCAAGCGAGTTCAAGCTGTTGAGAAACGTGTGGCGTTGGGGATACTGTGCCGTCGGTGGGCGCCAGGAGGTGGCGAAAAGCGACCCGACGATGCAAGAAGCTGGTTCCGTGTCGGGATCGGTGGATCACGCCGGTACCGGGAACAGGGGCGGTCTTGTTGAAGACTGTTTCAACTGCGCAGAAGAAAGAAAAAAAAGAGAGGTGTGACAAGGATGGAAGTGGACATGCAAATAGAACAGATGTTGACGGTCGGTTGAAGCAGAACCCAATCAAACCCGGAGCGAGAGAGAGAGAGAGAGACAAGAAATAATACAGGATATCGTGCGCGCAGAGCCAAACGACGCCGAAGAAGGAACACCAAATTCTCAAAAAGGTTGAAGTAAGACCGTCACCGCTGTACGGTTTCCGATCGGAGAGGAGAGGAGGGTCGAAGCTGACTGTACCGAGAGTGCATTTGAACGTTCTTTGGTCTGAATCAGACACGATAATCCAGATGGATGAGACTTGCTTGGGAGGCGAAGCCGAAGAGTTGCTCGATATCCGTGGAAATCGAGCGTGTTTTGGGGGGGGGGGGGGGTGGGAGACCAGTCTCCGGAATGTTGAGGCAGGGAAGGAGATTGAGATTCCCACACGCGTGTATGAGCCGGTCGAGACAGACTCTCCAGGAGAAAGAGATGTTGTTGCTTTGCCAAAGTGGCCACACTTTCTGCAGGTGTGGGGGAGTGGTAAGAAGGATGGTTTGGAGGAGGAGAGGAGAGGAGAGAGGAAGATGTGTGGGAGTGATGAAAGGTGTGGCAGTAGGCAGTAGGAGGCTAGGAGCACCCTTGACTTGGTCTTGTGGGTAGACTCCGTCGAGCGGGCCCCTTGTTTGCGAGGGCGGGTTGGGATTGGTGACTTTTTTTTTTTTTTTTTTTGTGGGCGTCGGGGCTGGCCCAAGTACAGAGTACTCCCCAGGAGGGAGTGGAGACCGAAGTGGAGAAGGTAGTCGATACACAGGAAATTGCTCAACCCCATTAATTACAGCAGTACTACAGTTCTCTCAAGGGCGAGCCATGGATTCCACTGCCAAAGCCGTTGGAATCGATCAACGTGGAGATGGTCAGAGGAAGGCGATGTGATGAGTGCGATCAATATTCATCACCAGGTACTGCAACTGAAATAGATGCCTCAGTGAGTCAGTAATAGTGGCTCGCAGGATTAGCCTGACTGCAGGTGTCAAAGGATTCGGTTCTCTTTATTTTTCGCTTCCTCGAGTGAGGCAGTACTATCTCGACGTGTATGTAACTGTCGCTCACGTTGAACATGGTCGTTCATATACTACCGTTGTTTTTTATTGATTTCCCGGGTGCTCTTCCTGGCTGCCTAGGGCACTTTGTGGGCTCCTAGTTGGCTATTTTGCTATTGGCAGTAACAAATCATATATCAGTCGCCTCTTCCACCCAATATGGATCATTGGATAGGGAGGGAGCCAAGCCCTTGCAAGTTCATCCTTCTTCCCCCCCCCCCCCCCTGGCAAAAGTCCCAAAAGTGGCGCTCTCTGCACTCTCTGCGCTCCCTCCAAGGCTCCGACCGACACTGGAGTCCCGGACTGCACAGGTCTTGAAGGCTGTGTGGTTTGGCGTCGTTGGGACGTGGCGATAACGCCAACGGTTCGCTGGACATGCATCGTCGCAGCTCGCCTTATAGAAGCGGCAAGGATCACATGTGCGAGCGATGAAAGGTTGGAGGATTATTCCAAGTCTTTTGTTCGAGTCATAAACTCTGTGGACAGGTTCTCAATTTGGGTGTTTCTTGAAGAATCCAGGTCTCCATCTCCTCGGGGAAGTCTGTACAAGCACTGTGCTATGTATGGCGCCTGGGAATCATCTCTCCTGTATGAATGCGAGACATCTCACACTTGCCCGTTCTGTCATCGGCTCAAATGGGATGGAACCCTAGTTGTATTGATCTTCCAGACCATCGCAGCGTCAGCAGGTCAGGATGCTACGATCGTCTCCCGATCTTAATATCAAGTCCGTCTTAAGCCTTCCCATTCAGTGCCAGATGTTCCAGACGGGTTGCGACCGGTAAAGCAGGGTTTCATACCTGACTCCTATGCTTTCTTTTGGGACTCTTGCGGTCGCGGTCGTTTGGTCGCTTGGTCGCTTCGGGTCTTTCCCCTCACGACCTCAGTGTACTTTCTTGAGCTAATCCACCAACATATTTAGAGTGAAAAAAAAAAAAAAAAAAAAAAGAGAGAGAGAGAGAAAACAGGAAAAGAAAACGAAAGAACCGAAAGTGTCGCTTAGTTTCGAGGCTAGTCATGCACAAGTCAAGGTGACTTGCGATGAGCCTAAGAGATCCCGGGTCCAACGGAGATATTGATCCAAGCGCCAGCCAACTGCGGGACCATGTGGACAGCTCGGCCACGGGCAAGGTCAAGATGCCTGCACTGCCCAGGAAAGACCGACTCGAGCGACGCCCGACGCTCTTTGTTCACTGTCCAGTATGATTCCCGTGGGGCTTGGAGTCATCGCCTACTGCGGTTACCTACTTCCACTACTTACCCACGTACCTAGTCACTAACTTAGTCTGGATCAAGTCTTCCATCATTCCGACATGGACTCTCGTAGTCCCAGATGGAGGGTACTCGTACCTTCGTGTGGCCACTCTATGAGTCCGCCTGACGAAAGAATTTCAGATCGCATCAATCAGACGTTTCATTGGCAACCCCAAAATATATGGTCGCATGGACGAGAACCGCCACAGACTCTCGTGTCCGAATACGGTTGGATCGCGGGTTCGTCCTTAGTACTTCTTCCTCCGTAGGGTGCGTCGGCTGGTCTTCCAGAAAAGCGAAATCCCCCCATGCGCAAGGCTGAGTGAGATGACCCCCCGGCTCACGCATCCACGTATGGTACTCTTTCGCTCGACTTGTCCGCCTTGACCCATCAAAGCTCTATCGACATCAATATCAGATAGCATGACAGATCTCCTCTACTGCCCATTTGGCATGATGAGCCTGTTCGGGGTTGAGCAAGTCCATGAGTGTTCCCTAGTTCTAGTCCTTGGCGGATGAACCTTATCTCGTCAGTTGTTCGGCACCGTCCAAGATCAAATCTGCCCAACCCAAGCCTCGGAAATTAAGCACCACATCCTTTTCCCCCCGCCGCAGCCTGACGTACATCATGTACAAAGTCCTCCTTGCCTCTTTGCTGTACGTCAGTATGCCGGCAGATGTGTGCGATCTGGATCAACCCCGTTTAAGCGACTCGACTTGCACCAAAACAGCCAACGGTCAAGATAGCCAACGGTCAAAAATTTCCCGGGCGCTGTATCTCGGATCGCACCTGGAAAATGGATTCAGTTTGGAAAATGACATCCATCGCCCATAGTCTAGTCTATACTCCTTGGTCCTCACTCCACACTCCCCAGTCTATACTCTCTGACCTACTATAGTGAATACTCTATGATCTATAATCTATTCTCCCAACCTGATTACCCGTTCCGTGGTTTCACGAAACGGAGCGCACTCGACGGACGGACCATCCCGTCTCATCCAGTGGTTCTCGACTCCGCAGACCCCATCGTGCAATTTGCGTGAATACCCACTCCAGCTTCATCGAGGTCTGTTGAATACTCGCCGTCGCACGTTGCCATGGCAAGTCACCAAAGTGGATGGTCCAGTGTCCAGTCCACCGACCAGAGCGAAAATCAACAATAATACCAAAATCGTCACATCTAGTCTAGATCAGGAGTAGATTACCAGATATATAGTCCGAATGGTCCTTCTCTATGCACACGCACTTACCAACACCCACAAACCCCCCCCCCCCCCCGTTGGGCAAGATCCTTCACCCCCCCACGGGCCACACACCTGGGCTTTACCGCTGCGTGGTCGCTGGGCAGCAACCTCGCGAATCGGGCCATCATGACAGAAAGCTATGAAGCGCTTACAGACCGCAACTTGCAGCCTCGAGAGCAGAGTTTGATGCTGCCATGCTGGTGGTTGTGTTTTCCACACTCGCCTATCAGGCCGGTCCACATTGGGGGATGTTTTTTTGAAAGTGGCAACTCGCGTGATGTCAATAGTTCTGGATGGAGACAGTCTGGTAGAAGGTTTGGTGGGCCATATGGGATGGTCAAAGACCAAGGTGGGAAATCCGTCACCATACCTACCGATAGTAGAAAGGTTACTATGTACTAGGTAGTAGACCACTAGACCTACATACTAGAGTTACAGCGTAGCCGCATCCCCTCGACTACTGGAGTAGGGATGAAGTCGCAATTCGCGCAACGCTGTCCAATATTCGGCAAACACTCTCTAGCTGATCTCCAGTGCGGGCAAAGTCTCTCTGCTCATTTTCGGGCCATTGATCTGCCGGTCTGCCTCATTTCATGGCGCGCGAGAATCTAGGTGGTCTCGCTTTTGTCGCCTGGGGATGTTGTACACCATCTGATACCATCCATTAGTTATCGGCAGTGGTGCGTTTGACCTGGACCCCCTCGAGACAGAAATGTCATACAGATTGAAAATTGAACTGGTGCAATATCTCACACATGGCTGACAAGCGACTAGGTAGGTCTGCGCATAATCTACTTGAGAGCACACTGAGCACAGTAAGCACACGACCCGTAGACAAGATTGAGACCAAAAGCCGGTACATGCATGAGGTAGCCTGCGTAATAGCTAGCCCTAATTAAGTATTTTGAGAGGGGCAGGCGTAACGGACGACTCGCGAGTCACGACAGTATATGACTCTCTTCCGGACCTCGACAGTCATGAATTGACTCAGTGCCGTGTATCGCGGGTGCATCATGTCCGAGGTGAACACCCTACAATCTACCCCGACAACAGATGGCAACCGAAAGATCAGGCGGCCGGAACCCTACTTTGTCTGATCATTCCCCTTTGCAAGCACAGAGACACGTGAGGAATGATGAAGTTAAACAAATTAGAAAAATCAAAAAGGACCAGGGACCTTCTAACAAGCTCAAGAATCATCGACGTCGCAGTGTCTGTACCGCGATTGGCCAGAACATACCCAGACCAACCTCAAGGACAAGAAGGACGGCGAGACCGAGCATTTGATCCGGAATTTCTTCTGTTGCCCCTTTCGTGGACCACAGTCAGTACAAGACCTTGAGTCCAGGATCCAGAAGGATGCAAATGAGCAATGACTGCGCCACCGGTAGGCAGAATTGATCGACTCGTGCTAGGGGGGGGGGGGGGGGGGCGTGTCGCACATGGCAGGCCATCCATAAGTGTTCTTCATGGATTTATTCGATTCACCCCTTTTTTCCTGTTTGGGCCAGTCTCCTTTCCGGACAATAAATGGATATTCTCGCGAGCAGAACTCAACACAATCGGGACTTGATGACCTTTGGTCGTCGGAGAATGTTCTAGATTGGTCGTAGATTCTACTGGCACTGTACTGCTATCGGATCTCTCCCATGATCTCCGGAGCCCTACCAAGGTAAAGTAGCGATAACCTTGGGGTACCCGCTTGAAGCAATGATGAGAGTTCACTGAAGTCTTCACCTTCCTCGATTCTCGACAGTTCTGATTCAATGCACCTGTTCGTGGCTTGGTCCAATCAATCTCCATTGCGATCGGTACGTCTTGCTTGAAGGAAGGAGACGAGGCTCACACATGTCTATTGCCGGTGCAGCTGATATCACAATAAATGGGCAAGCCTGAGCGGTATCGTGGACACTGACAGTGGACACCGTATGTACCGGGGTTGTTGTTGTTGTTTTCCTCTTTCCTAAATCATATCGTCGGTTTCACTTTGACAGATCTGATAGAAACATTCTCCGGAATCCGAGCATATTTGGTATCTCTTCACAAATAAGAATGATCTATGTTCCCATGGATGGATGCACAGGGTACATGTAATCCATCCAATCTTTCCAAGGGAAGAGAAAGGAGTCCTGTCCTTCACCTTCCAAGGCTCAACAAAGTTGAGATGGTCCATGCGCCTGGAGGAACACACATTCACTCTCTCTCATTTTCCAATCTGAATGAAATGTTTCAGGGACTCCGGCATTTTTCCCGATATGTAGATGGCGATGCGCTGGAGTAAATGGGATTCCCAATCCTCCAATTAAAAAAATAAACCCGCAACGTCTCATTCCTCTTCACAATCTTGCAGTTTGCTTATTCCCGTTTTATTGTTTCTTTCTTCACTCTTTCTTCTTCACGACCCCTTGCTTTGGATGCAACAGGACGCCAAAAGCTAATCTCATGAATTATCAAGATCAACTCTAGATCAAAGGCCTGCAATTGAATCGAGGGATCATCCTACCAAGCAAGGGATCATTCGCTCCAGATCTGGGATTCGGGCGGAATACAGTACTTGGTACTTAACACGTAAGTTAATACTTACCTACTCTTAGTACCTGAGTACGCCAACACCATCACCGTAGTATGCGGCTGAAGATCCCTTGATATGAACGGACTGGAATGGGAGAATTCTAGTTTGAGGGGGGGGGGGGGTTCTCTTCTCCCCTTTTCAACGGTCCATTGATGAAGTCTTACCTTTTTACCCCTTTCCCGGGTTTCCTTCTTTGGGGTCCTGCGATGATCGCTATCTGGAATTGGAAGCATTTCCCCGCTGGTGTCGGTGTGTCTTGTGGCATTTATTCTTCATCGTTCATCCAGCAGCACAGTACTTTATTTAGTAGATGGGGCGCAGTGGGCACTGATCACATGCTGCGAAGTGCAAATGCGTTTCATGTCCGTCGGTCTGCCCTTACCCTGAGCCCTGATTGTCACTGATCCTTGCATTCGCTAAGCGAGATGATCAGGCTGGACTCTGCAATGGCCTGGTAGATGGATCGCGACGCTGTTCCAAGATCATCAATCATGGTATCGCATGCTTCGGGGGATGGTTGCCAATTCGTAAGTACCAAGTACGAAATACTAAAGTGTGACATTTTGCTATCGCGTAGAGACTGGAAGCAATCAAGGCCTTATCTCACCTGCACCTTTTGTGGCATGTCGCCCTTCCTCCATGGGTCTTCTCTTGAATGAGACGAGACGGAGGCGGAAACGTGAGACATACATGCGCTCAGTATAAGTGGTCTGGAATTTCGATGGTCAAGGGTCTCTTCGGGCCTGCGAAATTTCACCTACGAGGGACAGAATGCGCCGCCGGACAGATAAAGTACGGTAGATCCATGGTAATCACTGTCATAGTACTTGGATTGACCATTTATGTTGAGAATGGAAGCGATCTCAATTCCGTCTCTATCGACTTTGCACCCCGGATTGTCGAGGGTTCGAGTGGTGGATGTACGGTAATTAAAGTGGATGGAGCCGAGGATCGCAAGGGAAGTTGTTAAGCTTGTCATGAGTACCGCGGTACCTCGAGCACCGTGCTACCGAATGTTCCGTGGTCACTGTGGTGCAAACGGTATTGGAATGTAAGATCGCCATGTCAAGATCGGATTGGGGTACATGGAGCAAAAGTTACTGATTTCTGAGCTTCGGCTCATTCCATTCTATGTCCACTGGAACGGAATAGAGGTCTCGAACGCCTCGGCAAGATAAAGACTCTCGGCTGTAAAACGCAGTGCGGGCTCATTCCATATCCATTATCACTATTCACAAGAGGAAAACTTTCCAAAGATGCTTTGAGAGGCTGAATTCACACATGAAAAGAAGATGGAATGTAGATTGGAGAAAAAAGAAAAACAAAATGGGTATGTTGGGTATGTTGTAGACAAGAACTGCGTGTCGTATTGTATTTCGTGATTTAAACGACCATGTACTCGCCGTCTCCTCGTTTCGCCTGCATGGCTCGAGACCAGCGAAAGGCTTGCGATGATGCCGGCCGCCCGCTACCGTCCCGCGGTGGCGGAGGGCCCATTCCAGGTGCATAGACAGGATACGAAGACTCGTCCGAGTGATCTGCCCAGATCTTTTCCAGGAGTTCCAGACAGGAGAGGTTGTTGACAAATCCAGAGTCCTTGGAAATATCCTTGCAGCGAGCACGGATGGCGGCGCGATGATCCTCCTGCACGCATTCCGATCCGACGATGAACAACGGCCAGAGGAGGTAAACGTCAGACTCGACTGTACGAAGACAATGCATGGCAAGGCGGACAAGATGCTGGATCCGTGGATGACTAGATGGCAGGCTTGGTTCGGCGAGTCGTTCGCAGTAGAGTAAGGCAGCGTGGCGAAAGCACTCTGAAATTTGATACACATCATGAAGGTTTTCAGGGGCCACTTGATAGCTCGGCGAGACAGCCATGGTAGCCGGAGCGGCGGTCGGGTCGAACGATGATGAAGATGGCCAGGGAGTGCTGGAGCCCGCGTGGGCGGGGGAAGAAAATGATGCTTGGGACGCGGACGGCGGATCAAATCTCCAGGATTCGAGGCGTTGTCGGAGCGAATACCACTCGGTCCAGAATGCCGCCGAGGATGGTCTCCCAGTCTGGTCACTGCTTGGCGGCATGTTCCCGGCGGAGGGCTCGTACCCTTGCGCGTATTGGGTGCCGGCTGTAGTGTCCATGTCGACGGTATTCCAGCCAGGGAACACCATGTTGGGAGGAAGTGAGGCGGTAGGAACAGAGACATCGGCCGGGCGAGACTCGGTGGGTTGTTTGTCCTGGCTCAACAGATTAAGACGACCGAGTTGAGAAATCAATTTGAACAGACGTCCGTCACAGCCAGCCAGATTCTCAAGACCCCATTCGCCATCTGTAATCGAGCTGATTTCCAGGCATTTGCCGCGTAGTTGCACGTCGCGATCATTGGTCGTCGCCGTCAAGGTGTCAAACCAGGAGAACATGCGGATAAACCACTTCAGATCATCCGAAATGACAGGTGAATGGCGCATGCGGATGGCGAGCAGTCTTGTGACCCCTTCAAACTGGGTTCGAAATTCGGCCACGCCAGTATCGCAACCGTGGAAAAGCGAAAGGACAAGCAAGGTGGCTAGCACGGAGTCCGACAGTCGGCGCTGGGGATCGGCGAGATCGGCATTGAGAGCCTTCACGGCCATGCCACGATGGTGATTCTCCTCTCGAGCGTATCCTTCAGGCACGGAGATACCGTATCGGTCCTGGAAGGCTTCCTCGGTCAAGGCCCGATGGGCCATCGAAGACATGCGGGCGGGCAATGTCCTCTCCGTCGAGGTGTGTTTTCTTTCTCGGCGCTGGCGAAGATTGCTCGTGGCCAGAGTTGCGATTGCTTCTTGAAGAGCTGGACTATCTTGAGCAAGATGAAGCATCTGAATCCGAAAGGGGTTGGTCGGCGTGTCAAAGGCCACGATCATCGGAGCGATCACTTCGGCAAAGTAGCTGATCAGATACCGTAGACGGGGAGTTCGACCGACCGATCTTGCCAGTAGCATCTGCGAATAGGACGGACTGTGTCCCGAGTCCCAAAGTATTGATTGATGGGAATCGTCACGCTCGACTTCTTCATCCGCCTCATCCGTTCGGGAGTTCATATTCGCTACCGACCAGTTCTGATTGCTGACCGGCCACGTAGACATGTTGAAGCTGGCTTCGGGACTCAAGGTTGACGCATATTGCATCGGCATTTCCGAGGTGAGACTTGGGCTCGACCGGTTCACCATCATCGGGCGGCTGGGGATTGGGAGACCCGATATTTGGGGAGGCGCAGCGGGCACATTGGACCATGTATGTGGATCAGGCATATCCCAGGCCCACGCCATGCTGGCTGAGAGCTCTGGATGTGTCGACATGGGGAAGCCATATCGGGGATCGGTGGGTTCGATCGAATTGGCTTGTTCGGGAGCGGGCATCGAGGTCGCTGCCGCCGTCGCCGACGACGTCGCCATTCCCACTGACGATGTTGCAGCGACAGCGACCGGTACTGAAGGCGGATTGGGGGGGATATGTGACGACGGGGGGCTCTGACTATTTGTAGCTGCACCTCGTTGTGTTCTTCCTGTGCCCGCCGCTGAGGTTTCAGGCTCGGTCTCCATGACCGGCAGCTTCTGGCCTCGCAACTTCCCCCGACTGGCCACTCCGACGCCCCATGTCAAGGTGGTTTTATATCCCGAACATTCACGGCCCATCTCGAGACATTGGGAGCAATACGGGCGACGCCGGTCGCACCGGGCTCCCCGTTTGGCGCATGCAAAGCAGTCATCCGGGGCACCGCTGACTACCGTCCTCTTACGTCGTTTTCGAATCGGCGCCGTGTTGACGTCTGTTTTGCGAGACTTGCCCTTTGTCGCGGTTTCCTGAGACGGTCGAGCCATATTGTCGGGTCCTATTGGCGACATGAGCGAGAGTTCCTCTCGCGGGCCTCCATCGGTCGGGCTGGTCGCTTGCTATACAGAGTCGGGCAGGGGAGCTGGTACCCGTAACTGAGCCGGGGGTCTGGCACGATGTTGGGTGGAATTTTTTGCGGTGGTAGTTCTGGGCGTTCGTGGCGGATCAAGTGGAGCGATTTCTTCAACGGGGGAAGCAGAGGAGTGTCCGAGTGTCGTGTGAAGTCGATCGACGATCGAGTTTCAAGAGCCAAGAAAAGAGGGTCCGGGGTGATCGGCCAAGCCGTAGGGTTGAGAATGGTTGCGAAAGATGTCTGAATGATCGCACACGCGGGCGGTAGGTCGAAGGAAGGAGAAGAGTCCGGAACCTGCGAGCAAGATAGAAGGGAAGACGGTGAAGATGACAAAGTGCATCGGGAGATCGGATACGGCTAGCTGGGTTTCCAGACGTTTTGACGGTCGGGGTGGGCGGGTGGGAATGGATCAATCGAGCAGTTTGGGGTGGATTTGGGGGGGGGCATTCGAATTGGCTTCTGGTGGTGGAGGAGCAGAGCGATGAGGGGGGAGTGGGTTTCTCTCGAGGGCTTCCGTGGGTACTTGGGTGCTGCTCGGGCGGTACACTTGTGGTGCTCTTTTGTGGGCACCGCCTTCTGCAGAGAACGTGACCTCCAGTCACTTACTTGAGGCACTTTCGCGCTGTCCTACAGAAGTTTGCAACAAACACACCTCCACTCGGTGACTTCACGTTGTTTTCTCTCAAACTGCCCACTTTGTGCTGGCGGTCCTGTACAACCCATCTGGAGACATCGGCCTGTTGGCATATCTTACCCGAATTTCAATGACCACGGAGGATTTGGGATGACTTGTGAGGGGGGTGTCCCACCGTTGCTTCTTCTGGTCCTGCACGCTGCACGGTGATCTCCCCGAGTGGAGTCGGATCCGCAACGATTTTTCAGGTCAATGGCTGTGATCTGAAGCAATCTCTCTCGAGCCCCTACACAGTATGATCTTGCTCTCCACGTCCAAACACTGATGAAATCTAGAGGCTCGAGTTATGATCTGGACTCGAGCCGTTTAACATCAAGCCGCCCACAGCGGCAATTCACGAGATGTAGTCCACACTCCACAGTACCTGGGTTCGTGGTCCGAGGAACTTCCGTCTCATTAGCTTGGTCAATCAGATCCCGACGATCACCTGGAATCGTCGCCAGCTGGAGATAAGTGGGCGGAGCAAAATACAGGTCTAGTTACTCGAGTCGCTAGTCGCGGCTCGCTAGTACGCTACTACTCACTCAGAAGCCTCAAAGGGCACCCGAAAAGCCAAGGAAGAAGGACATGCTATCGCTGTTGGCTGTAAAGCCTTCCTGAATGCGAAATGGTGACTTTGCTTTTGTCTCTCACTCCTCTCTGTCTTTCCCCTTTTTTTCCTCCATTCTCTCTCTGGTGCGTGGCCAGGGAGACCCAGTGTGCCTGTCAGACCAGTTCAGACCGATTAGCAAAGAGGCAGCCATGGATCCCGTCTGCGGCCAAGGGGCTGGTTGCAACATGCAGTGTGCAGTTGAGCACAAGCGAGCCAGCCACCGGTGGGGATGCTAAGCAGGGATCGACGGCACGGGACTCTTGGCCCAACGAAACGTACCACGTCAGACTCAATCTGCCACGTGGACAAGGATAGCGCCGCATAGCATTCCGCTCGGGGGAAGCCATCGAAGCGTGGTGGGCAGACTTTCTTTCCATCAACCCTCCGAAGACTACTGCATAGCGCGTAATTGTGTACTGGGCAGAGCAGAGGCACCACCATGGCGAGACAAAGAGACCCAGAGATGGCAGGGAGAGTTCTGGTGGGTCAGAGGTGACAAATCCAGAACTTCGGCGAAGAGCCTCGCAGATCCCTAAAGCGGTGGAAATTGTTGTTCCAGCAACTCACAGATCCGCGGAACTACATACGGCCCTTGAGAACGTAACGTACAAGACCGCGTACTTTTCAGTTGACTTCCGACTGCTCATCACTTTCGCTCAGCACCGTCTTGTATTTCAGGGGATGTGTACTTGCGTTCGGTGATGGGAGTCCTGTCTTCCATATCCGACTCTGACTGCATCGGCGTGCAGACCGGCTGAGTGTGGACGATCCAACCTGTATACGCGCCAATCCGGGATGAGCAAGTGGGAGCTCATCAATCTCGTCAGCCGGGATCGACCCAAGTTGCAAATCAGTCTGACTCGTCATTGTTTAATTTAGAAGTGGGGAGTGTAGGATCTCATCGTTTATGGAAGGTATTTGATTTCTCACACCGTCAATTGGGGGACTTATATGGACCAAAGTTACATTTGTCTGATCCTGTTGAATGCTACATTTGTCTAGAAGCGGATGGAGCATGAGCACAATGATCATTTCCTTGATATCGAAACAAGAAGTGGCAAGCGTCTAATGCGTGGAAGCACCTACCTTACCGAGGAGCATACAGCCAAATATTTCTGGGAATAGGTACTGATCTAAGATGTGTACCAGGATCGAGCTCCAACCCAACCTGGCCTCAATTGCCAATAAGGGGTCAAATTACCGGAATCCTAATTTTTTGGGTGTCAACCCGGGAAAGACTCCAGTCAGTCGATGTGATTTCATAGTCGGTGCTATCTTCAAGTACAATTTAAATTCTTTGGGTGAACACAATCTTTTATGGTCCTTGCGAATCAGCTCAATCCTTCCTTTCAAAAGGCGAATGTACTGGCGCAACCTTGAACTTCTTCGGGCCCAGTCTGGTCAAGATGCCATGATTCATTTGCTCTTGATATTCAACTGGACCTGAAGAGATTCGATTGTCACACGGACGGGAGAAGAGAAAACTCGCGATCAGTATATGTAGGGCAGCCGTTCCAAGTTTTCAAATTACCCTTGAGCTGGGATCAGCCGCAGTTCTACCAGCGCGCCTCGGCGACGGGGCGTTGCTGTTGCGCACGGCGAATTTTATGTTCTCTGCCTTTCAAGGGGTGGAATAGAATAAATAGATTAGCTAAGCGTGACTTCGAACTGAACCTTAGTAGTAGCGTTCGCGAACCCGAAACTTCCGACTTTGATGCCCTTCTTCCAAGTACGCAGAACATCGGGCGAGGCGTCCATCTCCGTAATTGTCGTGCCCCGCTGCCCAAAGTCTACTGCTCCGCACTGTAGTCATGAAGATACCCAGGCGAGCCACCAAGCCACAGGCCTGCAGAATCTCAAAACAAAAGGACTAGGCAATTCATCAACTGTTCGACTCCAGTCTCATGGCTGGGTAGAAGCAACTTTGCTCGGTTGCGATGTGAAAACCCTGGGCCCGCACGAATCGTGACAGGTCAGGGTCCTCAAACATCTTAAGGTAGATAAGGTGGTGGAGCACGGTTTTATAGGTGGCTGGGTGCTCTCGGTCAAGCTTTGCGCTGAAAACCTCTCCACCCAGCCAAGAAGTGTTGGCCAAAGCCTTGCAAGGCCGTGAATTATGGTCGATCGGCCTGGGAGCGGAATAGGCCGGTCAGAACTCTTGTTCAATTGCTAACATTTGTCACATATGAGCCCCGTCAAATTCCTTTATGGCGGTCGAAGGTGAAGCGAATAACAGTACGCCTGCTGAGATGTAGGAGGCCGAAGTCCGAGAACTGTGTGGGCAGGACATATGAAATGATGGTTTACGAGAGCTTCCTCGACAGCTTGTCCAGGAAAGCCGCAGATTAAGCCATCCACGACAAGGACAACTGATGTTGCACGATGGTTCGCCGCAGCGCTACCAGGTCGGCCATCATGGTAACGGTATGGCGACTGCCCTCGAGGTATAGCGGCCTCAGGTTTCAGGCATGAATCAATGAGCGACGCGCACGCGCTAATCCCTATCGGGACTATTCACCACGCATTGGCGCGAGGGTCTGGGCCCCCTCAGGCACGACTGGCCTATTATTGTTGAAGACTTGGATGTAGACCATGAACTACAGATATTACTACTAACAACGCAGCAAGGTGCTACCTGACGCTCCAGTCGTCCTATAGTTATTGTTTTGATACCTGCGAGTGGTAGCTCGCACTTCTATTCCCTCACCAATTCAATCAAGGCCTGTGACGGTGTGTAGCATATCAGAGGAAGTGAAAAATGCCGAAACGCCCCGACTTTTCTCCCGACGGGATCCCTTCTTGTCAGATAACGACGTTGTCTGCCGATCAAATTTCCCGCCTGCAATGATTTGAATACCCTACGATCACAGCGTCACAGCGTCCCGTCGTCCCTACGGCGTTCCTCTCTCGGATCCAGCATTCCACGTGGCCCTAGCACTCCCCATACACTCTCCTGATTCTATCACCGGAAAGTGTTCACGACCGGACCGACCAGCTGTGCGCGAACAGTCAGCTCCTGCCCCTGGTCGAGAGTGCCGCGTGCCTCAACGTCACGATATTGACCCACCACTTCCTGACAGAGACGGGATCGCGTTGCTACGGCGAAATAAACAAGCGTAATGGCAGTTCTCCGGCCGGGTCGACTTCGATCCCTTTTACTCGCAATCCTCGCATCGATCCTCGTATGCACCGTCTATGTATACTGGACCCCAACTACCGCCGCTTCCTCTACCGTCCCCGTTGTACCCAGTACGGCATTCGAAGTCCCACTTGCAGAGCGCCAAAAGGATTTCTGGAAGGCGTTGCAGCCCCTTCTAGATCAACATCATCCGAACTGCCCGTCTCCTATGAAAGAAGGGGACGCTGCTGCCAATCACTTCGATCCGAACCAAGATGCGCCGAGGCCAGACATGACGGTGATGAGCGAGGATGATCAGAAGGCGATGGAGAATGCACACACTCGTTTTGTCGAGGCGATTCGGAACCCACCCAAGGCATTGAAGCCGGTTCACACCCCGGGAAAGCGAGGCCTAGTGTCAACCGCCGGTGCAAAGTATCTCCCTGTGTTTCTGTCGAGCTTACGAATGCTTCGACGGGCTGGGTCCACGTTACCTGTAGAACTGTACATGAAGGATGCCAGCGAGTACGAGAAGAAAATCTGTCGCGATGTGCTTCCCGAATTCGATGCGCAATGCATCGTTTTGGCCGACGTGATGGGGAAGAGTGCGATTGAACATTATCAGTTGAAGATCTTTGCCGTTCTATTCTCCTCCTTCGAGCAGATTGTCTGGATGGACGCAGACTGCTTTCCGCTCGGGAAGCCAGAGGACCTTCTTCATTCGGAGCCCTTTGTCTCGACCGGACTGGTCACCTGGCCTGACTTTTGGGCTTCCTCTGTATCCCCTCTCTACTACAAGATCACTCGCCAAGAAGCGCCCCCTCTGACAGTCCGTCAATCATCAGAGACAGGGGTCTTCCTTGTATCAAAACAGACACATCTCCAGGCCCTGATACTCGCCGCCTACTACAACTTCTACGGCCCGTCGCACTATTTCCGACTTTTGACGCAGGGGGGTCCGGGAGAGGGCGACAAGGAAACTTTCCTGCATGCCGCCATGGCGTTGGGCGCACCTTTCTACGCAGTGAGCGACCGAGTCCAAGCGATTGGACATCAAAACGGCGGCAAGCTGTCCGGTTCAGCAATGGTGCAAACGGATCCACGAGAAGACTACGCCCTCACTACTCAGAACAAGTGGCGCGTCAAGGACCCCTCCGTTGCCCCAGCACCTCGACTCTTCTTTATTCACGCCAACTATCCCAAGTTCAACCCGGGGGACAACGTGTTCGGATTGGGCTGGGAAACCACTCCCACCATTAAGGCGGATGGATCAGACAGCCGTGCTTGGACCGCGCCGTCAGACACCCTTCGTCGTCTTGGTTATGATGCGGAGAAGGCGTACTGGGAAGAAATCAAGTGGGTGACCTGTCATCTTGAGAACGTGTTTGAGTCGTGGAAACACAAAGCTGGTCTTTGTATCAAGGTGGAAGACTATTGGAATAACGTGTTTGCCGAGCCGCATAACGATGACCCTGTGTTCTCCCAAGATGGCTGATGGTTCAAGCCGGGGCATCTATTTCTGAGCCTAGCCTTGCGAGATCACCCCCGCCATCTTGACGGGCATCGCTCGAAGTGGTGCAGTCGGTGGGTAATGTGTCCTCCACACTTGCGGCTTCGGAAGCATCTATCGCGGAGTGCTTGACTTGTTGTTTGAACAGATCAAATGGATCTGCAACCCTGCACATGAAGCTGCCGTGTCATTGACCCGATCAAAGGCGATGGAAACATGACATGGCTGATTCCCGTGTGCGCTCAGTCTGGGACAAACACGAATGCGATCCAAAGCGCCAACCCATAGGCGTCGCAAGTCTTGCTATAATTCCCGGTCACGTGGATGGACTCTCATACCGGTACCATTACGGCAGCTACAGCGACAGTTACTCGACCACAGATTCAAATGTCGTGGACGAGAGAGAGAGAGAGGGGGGGGGGGAGAGAGAGAGAAAACAAAAGGTATTTTTGCTATTCTCAATGCTTTCTTTGAAAGGCAAGAGTACCGAATTATCCATATTATCATACAGAAAGAACCATCATAAATGCAACCCCGGCACCTAAGCTGGAGACATCATCAAACTCATGCGATATCGTGAAAAGTCAAAAGGAGATTCGTCTATTTCTTGATGCCCTTCTCGCGCAGACGCTGCTCATCTTCGGCCTGGAGCTCAGCGTCGATCTTGGCACCCTTGGAGGGCTCGTTGCCGTGCATCTTGGCCTGAAGTTACCGGAATTGCACGTTAGCGGGAAATGGTCTTGTACGTGAAAACACCAAAATAGCTGGGCAGGTCATGACTTACGGGAGCAGTAGGGTCCTTCTTGCTCAGCTCAGCCTCGCGGTCAGTGACGTTGTTGTGGTGGTGAGAAGGATCAGCCTTGTTGCCCTGAGAGGCGAGCTTGTTGGCGATGGAGCGCTCGTCCTTGGAGTCGAGGTTCTTGTGGCTGTTCTCCTTGCCCTCGGTGTAACGCTCACGCTCGTTGATGACGGACTGGGGCTCGTTGCGCTGGTCACCGGCCTCATAGAGAGAGTTGGTACCAACGCTGGACATGCCGGCGCCGTGGGTGGGCTTGTAGGATGCCATTGTGATATGAGAGATGTGTGATGAAAAGTAAATTTGTGAGAAGGAATTGATACGAAAGCGTGAGCTTTTTTGGAGGGAGAGAGGCTGTGATTAATGTGGAATGTAATATCTTGGCCTTGAACCAGTCGATGGAAGAATCTTTCCAATCTTATACCCGGAGTGTAAAGACCAAATGGCCGGATGGGTGATGTCATGAGAGAGTCACTGAGATCATCTCGGTGGGGCGGTGGGTGGTTCACTGGAACACTGGCATGGCCTACATCACCGATGCCCGCATAGACGTAGTTGTACGCAGGAGAGCTCTCATCTCTTTTCTTTTTGGGATTGTTGCTCCTTTTCCGTATGCCGTGATCGTGTGCTTCGATGGATCCCTTCTTGACCCCCACCTCCACCCCCTTCTCTCACTGTAAGCTCGTTCCTAGAATCTCAAAACCAAGGCAGAATATCCCCAATTGAGGGCTCGACGGGGAAGTTCTGACATCGGCGATCCACTTTTTTTCAGTTGACTTCACCCAAGCTCTCGGGCAGCTGCTGGCAGGGGCCGAACGAGGGACCGATTACTTCATCGGCGATCCTGCTGACTTTATATCATCGTACTGCGGTATAGAACACTAGACAAACTGTACACGTAGTCTTGTTTAAAGGGTTCGAGTCTGGATAGTCGACGGTTCACACGGGCAATTGACATCATTCGCTCACAAAAGTGTCCCCAAGAAGATCAAAGAACATCAAACTCCTAGTGGTACCCAGATTCATTGAGTACACTACACACCGGACCTTCAATCGTTTACGCGCAGGATGCTGTTTCGCGTAGATTCCATGTCCGATCTGCTCGACGATCCTGTGCTCTTCTCGCAGACGAATCCGTGTGGACTCGGTGACCCCGGAGTAGAGCGTTCCTGATGCGATGAACCTAACTTGTGTCGACACCGTCAAACCACGGCCAATGGAGCAATTAAGCCCTTACGCTCTTACACAACCTCGCCGTGAGCCATAATGCACGCCAGTTCAAGGCCAATTCGGAGCTTGAGACGACTACTGCTTAAGTGTCCCACCACCCGCGGATCTTCACCGTCGCCCCCGTCCTGCTCGGCAGGGATCAAAGAATATCTAGTGGCATTGCGCTCCGATGATCGGCCTCGAGCATACCGGGCGAGAACACCCAGGAAGCATGGCTATTACGACCGTAACTGCTGCTCTACTCAGCTTCACACTTCAAAGCTCGCCCCGCCTTCACCCGTCATCTCTCGTCGATCATTCTCCCAGCAAGCCATTCGCACCATGAGTTCAGCACCGGACGCAACAAGGGACGTGGATCCCCGCTACCAACAGCTCTTCACCGAGCTGGAACAGCGCTTCGCATCAACCTCTCTCGGCCCGGACAAATGGTACATTCTCGCCATCTCCACGCTCGCGGCCAGTCCGGACCCTGAGCGCGCAGATCAACTCTACCTTCATCTCTGCGCCCAGCCCAACAACACCACCCCGTCTGCCCGACAAGCCCTCGTCCGTCGGCTCCGCGAAGCCCTGATTAAATCCGTCCCCATCGTCGGCGTCTGCAAACCCATCGAAGCCATCCTCTCCATCGGCAAGATCGAACGCGACGAGGACAAAGATTACTCCTTCACCCGCGAGGGCTGGCAGTGCGATCAGGCAAACCACGAGCGCGGCACGGCGTGGATGCAGAAGCTTTATACGCGTGATCGGACCGGCACGGTGAATCTCTTTGCGGCGCATCAGGATTTCAAGTGGCTCTCCGAGGAGATCACGTATGGCTTGTATTTGTCGGATCGCCAGGTGCTGGATGATGTAGATACGCAGCTGGTGGTGTTGCCGGGGATTATGAGCCAGAATTTGCCCAATGAGACCCATTGGCATATTCGGGGCACCAGGCGGTTGGGCGTGCCCAAGGAGGAAGTCCAGGTCATTTGGGATTGTGTGCAGCTGGTTGCGAAGTTTTTTGATGTTACGCTGAACAAGGTGCCTACTGTTGATCAGGTGGAACCTGATGTGTAGATGTCTGGATATGCCAGAAGTAAGAGAGGTTTTTATAGATGCTAGGTATTAGGTAGGCTGACCGCTGTGTGTTAGGTACTGCTTCTACATTGATGACTTGAGATCAGTCACTCCGGATGTTGACTCTACCTTACGCCCCGATTAATGTCATTAATGTCATTAATGTCATTAATGTCATTAATGTGATGGAAGTTGGAAATAGAAGCTTTCGGGACACTATGGAGACCTAGACCGAGTCGAGTACGGCATCATTCACGGATACATATCCGTAGTTCCGTACTGATTCCACAGACTACATTCACCTTAGATACCAGCTTAGACCCTGTGCGTCGTCCCGAAATAAGAGGAGCTGAACTTTCTGTATACACCGGCTTTGAGTTGTCCAAAAGACTACCTAACAACTTACCTAAAGACATAGACTGTGCTCGAAATGTTCTGAAATTAGTCTCTACTCTCTACGAGAAGCCAGTTCGGATGGGTGAACACGCTTGTGCTGCCGTCTTAATTGATCCCGCATTAGATTTAGAGCTCCAAGGTTCCGATAACGACCGATAAGAAGGCCCCAAAAAAAGTTCGCACCGGCGGGCGCGCGGGGGCAATTACATACTGTATTTTGGATCCAATCCACCCTTTTCTACTTGACTTATTTCCTTCGCGATCATACTACGAGACACAGTCAGAGATTTAAATACCCACGTCGCAAGATGGGCAAACGCAAGCAAGATCTCGGCGATGTGCCAATGGGCGGCACGGGTGCCAATGACGACGACTCGGACGATGTGAGCAAATCTCGAGAAATGCTTCTTCATTCCCCAAAGCATCGCCCATTTGCTATACCCTGGTCAACGTGTATGCTCACATAACAATGCCTAGGACGTTGACATGGTCAATGTTGAATTCGAGTGGTTTGACCCGCAGCCTGCCGTCGACTTCCATGGACTCAAGAACCTTTTGCGCCAATTGCTCGACAATGATGCCCAGATGTTCGATCTGTCCGCCTTGGCAGACTTGATTCTATCGCAACCCACGCTGGGTTCGACGGTGAAGGTGGATGGGAATGAATCGGATCCGTATGCTTTCTTGTCGGTGGTGAACTTGCAGGAGCACAAGGTATGCCACTCTCGATTGATTGATCTCTCGTCACCACTCATTCCCAATTGTCCCTCCCGGCATCTAACGCACACGCGCCCCCGCGCTTTATAGGACAAGCCCGTCGTCCAGTCTCTGATCAACTACTTCCGCGAGAAAGCGGCCGCCAATCCTGCCCTCTCTCCGCTCAAGGACCTCCTCTCACAGAACCCCGTGCCTCCAATCGGCCTCATCCTGACCGAGCGCATGATCAACATGCCGACGGAGGTGATCCCGCCCATGTACAACATGCTGGTCGAAGAGATTGCCTGGGCGATCGAGGACAAGGAACCGTTCAACTTTTCCCACTACCTGATCTTGTCAAAGAACTACGTGGAGATCGAGTCGAAGCTGGATATGGAAGAGTCACGGCCACAAAAGAAGAAGAAGAAGGGCGGCGAAGCGGCGCCGCGCTTCTTCTTCCACCCTGAAGATGAGATTCTGGAGCGACATGCAATCTGCTCCGGGCCAGTCGAGTATACACACAAGCAGGACGAGGGCCACTCGGACTCCAAGCGTGCGTTCCAGGAGCTTGGTGTCCAGACAAATGGCAGCTTGATCTTGATTGACGGGACCAAGTTCGAGTCTACGGTCAAGGCGCTCATCGAATACGTGAAGCCGCCGGGCATGTGAAGAGGACAACTGGAATGACCTCAAGAAAATCATGTGATGTATGTGTCATGTCACGAAATAGTCATTTTGCCTTCGTTGCGGTCATGATTCTCCATAGTCCATCTACTTCTTAGCCACACCGTTCAACCCATCTAGGGAAAGGAATTTCATAGCGACCAATTTGCAATTACTCCCATTTCGTGCCCTTCAGACGCTGCATCAGATATTCCACTTCGACCACCTTGGTCAGTGGAATCACACATTCCTAGGTGATAGGGATTGGAAGATTAGTATACTAATCCGAGCAATCAAACTTCACTTTGTACAATCCATTGACTCACCTTGTACATGGCTACCACTGCATCAATGTTGATCTTGGGGCCTTGCTCTTCTGGAAACGCAGGATCGGTACCGTAAGTCTTGGCCTTGAGACCGAGACGTTCCAAGACCTTCTTCTCCACCGCAGCATTGGTGATAGCGGCATCGATACCCTTCCAATCGCCCGCCCGAATCAGGCGGACAAACAGCTCCGGGTCCTTCTGAAACTTGGACTCGGCAACGAACTTGCCAAAGTGAATGCGGCGCGACAGGGCCTGCAGACACGCCACGTCGCACGTCGCAGCCGAGCCGTAGTTCTCTTGGGTCTCACCGCGATCCTCCCGGTCCTGTCGACAGATGGCGGGGAGAATCTCGTCGATGTAGCGCCTCTTGATGATGTCGTTGACGTTCACGTCATTGTCGTGCAGGATTTGCGGGTAGGAGAGCGGCTGCAACACGGGCTCCTCGAGCGCATCGGGGAAGAATGGATACTCGTCCGGGGACTGGTACCGACGCACGCGGGATTGAAGACGCTCTTGCTCGCGCAGCAGATAGTCCATGAGACTGAGCTCGCTGTGCGGAATCTTGACCCCACCGGGGACGTAGATTGTCCTGTTGAGCTGGAATTGAACTCGTTCGATGAAGTGGAAGGTAATGGTATCTTCGAGACGACTATCATAGTTTGTTACCGGTAAGTATCATGTCCCTCCACGGCTAATTGAAACTTTGAGCAGTGGTCCTCGTTCCGTCGGCACGGGCGATGCCGAACGAACAGCTCTCGCGGTGACATAGAGGGGCAATGCGATCGTGGACCCTTGGAACGGACCTCGCACATTACTTACATCAATTGGAAACGAATGTTCGCAAGATCCAATGCCTTGGAGGCATCAGACAGATCAATCGCAGCATCCATGGTCTGGAAATTCGTGAGTGTCAAGGAAGTAAAAGTTGCGTCGCGGGTGATGCGAAGTCGGAGCAAGCCGTCCGGATGGAGAAGCTATAGCTTTGCCTGGTAGCTTTGGTGACACTCCTGCCGGACTATATGGGTTTCTGGTCCCGAGTATTGTTTGCAGGGCTTCCAAGACTTTCGCAGTTGCTCTTGTCTCATCCATGGAGCCCCCTACACAAGCAGATGACCTATCACACTTCGTCAATTCTGCATGGGATTGACCTCTGCTTTGGTTCTTGACGTGCGTTACGCCGCGATCGGGCCTCTTGAGTGAGTGCTGATGGTCTCGGACGCTTCTGCCCAAGCTCCCGTCAGCCCAGCGTGGGAAGCCGATCGACAGTCAGTAGGTAGCGGTTTCGGTCTCCGTCAGCTCAGACTGGACGAAAGAGCCTCGAAAGCTCCTCGGAAGAGTGACCAGTCTAAACCAACATGCTGGAGACCACTGAAGAGGGCCCACCCCGGCATCAGTAGTATCTCAATCCACAGATGCCCCCCAAAAATGTGAATTCGGAAATATTGCAAAAGTAAGATCAATTGCATGACCAAGAGGACCGCTGCTCGAAACAAGGGAGCTTAATCAGGGCGTAGCCGGAGACCGCGGTAACGCATCGCGTGGACACATGACGATTTGGTCTTCCGCTCTCCGTAGCAAACTACCGCCGCTACCCACACCACCTCTTCCCACCGCGCATGGTGCTTGCTTGATTGTTTCCTCCCCCCCCCCCCCCTCTGCAAGTCTATCTCCGGGCATGGCGACTCATCGTCGCGACGACTCGCCCTCGGGTCTCTCAGACATCGTCGAGGGCGAAGGTCTGCTGGGTACTGGTATAACGGTAGGCGGATCTTTTCTCATCCCACTCCACCCTCTCGTGACGCCGGTTTTTGAAACGGCTCTCTACTCCCACGTCAACGTCAACACTTCTGCTCGCTTTTCTCCCATAATTTGAGCCCCGATCAACGTGGCTGACATGGATCTTTCCACGATTGACAGACTCGACATATCGAAGCCTTTGGGCGAAAGGTCACCTCTACTGCGGGACATTTGATCGGACCGGGCGACCAGGCTCATGGCTCTCATTATCAAAATGCCATGTCTGACATTCACCGCGAGCTACGTCGGCCTGCGGCGCAGCGAAAAGTATTTTCGCTGACGCAAACGACTCCAACCGATTTGATGCGATCGAAACTGTCCACGTCGGAAATCCAATCGCGGGCGCTCTCCTCTCTACCAGATGATCTGTTGGCGAATATTCCCGAGGACACGAGCTCTTATTCCTTATTCCAGGGATTTAAGGCAAGCGTTCCAGAAGAAGAACCGACCACTAAAAAACACAGGAGGCGAAGTTCCAAGGCGCAAAAGGTGCTCAAGGACAATGAGAAGGCCGGGATGTTAAAGGCAGGACCCACGGCGTTGAGAGAGGAACGAAAAGCGCTGGCCCGCCGATTGGACCTCATGGGGATACGAAAAAATATGTGCAGCGCTGAGATTCACGAGATCGACAACAAGATCGCCAACCTGCACAAGATGCGGCAGATTGTGCTGGACCGTCTAGCTGGGCTAGAGATGGATGAAGCTGCAATGGAGGTGGAGAGTATGTTGACCAACCTCGATCGGGGCCGTATCCATACATGTCAACGTGCGACGGACTAACACAGGACCACTAGTCACGGAGCTCGATAACAAGCTGGAGGACTTCCCAGAAGAGGAAACATCAGAGCCACCGTCAACAGTCGAAACGCCAAGGTCCGCTGATGCTACGAGTGACACCGCTACCCCCACAATCGATCCCGCCATGGATGCTTCCTTCATGTCGGAGTCCATTTATGAGAAGCTGCCAACATCGTCTCCTCGGAGCCTGCGACATCGATCGATCCGAAAGCGATCTATGCCGATCCTCCACGAACACTTTGCTCCTGGCTCCTTGATCAAGGAGATCGAGGCTCACACCGACATGGTCACAGCGATTGACTTCGATTACCCCTTCGGGACCATGGTCAGCGCAGCCCTGGATGACACTGTTCGAGTTTGGGATATGAATGTCGGCCGCTGTTCTGGACTTCTAGAGGGACATCATGCTTCAGTCCGAACCTTACAGGTGGAAGACAACATTGTGGCGACGGGCTCTATGGACGCCTCCGTGAGATTGTGGGACCTCAGTCGCGCCAGACCTGTCAGTCGGGACAACCGATTGAATAGACATGAGCGCGAAGGCCTGGATGGAGAGGAAGGGATGCATCAGCCTGTCGGGCCATCTTCGAACCTTGAAGACTGCCATGTCTTCTCACTTGAGGCGCACGTCGATGAGGTCACTGCCTTGCACTTCAAGGGTGACACGCTGATTTCCGGCTCTGCAGACAAGACTTTGCGCCAATGGGATCTGGTCAAAGGTCGCTGCGTTCAAACTCTAGATATTCTGTGGGCTGCAACTCAATCATCCGCCTCAAGTGCTGGCGATAATCACTGGCGCCCCTCTGGCCGCCTTCCGGACGCATCGGCCGACTTTGTTGGAGCGGTGCAATGCTTCGATGCGGCGTTAGCCTGCGGAACGGCAGACGGCATGGTCCGCCTCTGGGATCTCCGCAGTGGTCAGGTTCATCGGAGTCTAGTTGGTCATACAGGTCCCGTGACCTGTCTCCAGTTCGACGATGTTCACCTGGTGACGGGTAGCTTGGATCGAAGTATTCGGGTGAGTATTCTCATGTGTTCCACGCATCGAGAGTCTTGGAGTGACAAAAAGCTAACCTGGCAACTAGATCTGGGACCTTCGGACTGGGTCTATCTACGATGCCTACGCCTATGACAAGCCTGTCACTAGCATGATGTTTGATTCTAAACGCATCGTGGCTGCTGCAGGGGATAACGTGGTCAAGGTCTATGACAAAGCGGATGGCCACCACTGGGACTGTGGCGCTGGCGTTGGTCTCGACGAGGAAGGCTCCTCCCCTGCTATTGTCGAGCGAGTACGCCTCAAGGACGGATATCTGGTGGAAGGCCGCAAGGATGGTACTATGGGTGCTTGGACATGCTAAGCAGGCGTAAACAGACTCGCGCTCCCATGCCTTTGACTGTCCTTCCCCCCTCCCCCTCTCCCATTTTGCATGCTCAGCTGGCGACTCGCCCAGCGTCTTTCCCTCTATACCCGTTGTACATTATCTCCATCATCGTATCTAGAGCATCGGGGGTTGACCAGCCAGCATACCGCGAGAATCGTCGCGGTGGGTAACACTACTTGTATTCGTCAGCGTCGAAAGTTGAAAAGAAAGTGAATTCGATCATATGCATCTCCAACATGACTTCTCTCCAAATTAAGTTTCAAATCTTTGTTGTTTGATGACTCGTGCATGTGGAGGTTCGCGGTGGGGATGAAAGTCGCCAGACGCTCAACCCGGGACCACCACTTTAGCTTCTGCGAGTCACAAAGAAACGAATGTAAATTTAGCACACATGGCCAATCAGCACAAGACTGCACAGATATCAGCAGGGACCAGAGAGACACGCTGGGTTGGATTGTCTCGCAAATAAAGAGACAAAGAAAAGATGATATCGAACCCAGACAGTCTGCTGCATTCTGCCCCCTCGAGTCTACTTGACTTCCATCTTCGCAGACTCGAGCCCGAGTGCCCGCTTTACATCCACCTCCCCTTCTGTTTCCCGCTCGCTTTCGCTTCTCCTCTACGCCTTGCATCTTGTAGTAGCGCGAATTCACCTTGACGTGGAATCGCCTGGTTCTCAGATGGCATAGAGAATATTTTTCATCTCAATCCCCTCAATTTTCCTGGTCGGCGAAGGCATCACAGGACAAGTACGACTGTTCACGTCCCGTCGCGTCTTTGCGCGTCATACCCGCCGTAACTACGGGGCCGCAATTCGTGAATAACTACTACTTGAACACAACAAGACAACGTCGGCTGCATGCCGAGCGAGAATCGGGTGCCTGACATCTTGCGCATCGGTAAGTGCCGCGTGGACGTCTCTAAACTTTCAATCGAATGCCCCCTCCCCTTCTCAATTTGCCCGAACCATTGCTGCGTTAGAAGCGCCGGCGATCTTGGAGACCCTTGGTGCCGGTCTGTCTGCGTGTGCATCGCTTGATGCAAGAGGGCTGTGATTTCATTTTCCATGGCTCTGAGCCGACTGCAATATACGACATATTCGCAGATGCTTGATGATGATGGTGATGATGCGGCAGGCAAGGTCTTGCTGCATCTCCCTTTGCTACCAAGCAAGAGATCCACTACGCACCTACGGGATGCGATTGACAGCCATCCACTATCTCGGCACTTTTCCAAGCAACCAGCTCAGGATGACCGGCAGCCTTACTTATTGTGTACCTCTTATCTCGAGAAACGCTTCAGAGTACATGTTTGCAAATCTGGGGTTCAGTGCGCAAGTGACAGTTGTACTCCAAGGCGCATTTGGGAACGAATGAGCACTAAGCCCCCAGCATCAAGATGCACACATTCAATGTCCCCTTTCACACGATGCCTCTCACGTCTTCGTGCCATTTGAGCACCCTGCCATCGAGCCCGGGCAGATGCCATTACTCTATGATGGCTTGATTTAGGCTTACATGAGCTGACACGCCTCACGCAGAATGAACTCAATAAACCCACATTCTCCCCTTAAGGCCTACGCTAGTGATCCAGAAGACCCCAACAGTCTTGTGAGATTACTGGATCTCGACCTAGGGGAGGACTTACCAATACCACTCACCGCCGTTGCGGGCTCGTACAACTACGGCACTGACTTGGGAACTGCTCTTCCTGAGCAGATTACCACGGAACCCGTGCTAGAGAACGATTACATCGCCAGAAAAATCGACGCTGGGCTCGACATGGCGGAGAGACGCCCGTGGAACCCACCTTCGAGGCGAATCTCCAACGGAAACCTCGATGCTTTGGGCACGAAAACCCGAAGAACAGCGGCTAGGAATCCGGGCCCCGGTCCACGGAGAAGCAAGCGCCAACCTACACCAGATCAGACGCAGCTTCTGCGTTCTCTGCGAGAGGCAACGACCTCCTCGGATGAATCTGATATCATGCCTTCACCACCCATCGCGCAGACAGTCTCCACGGACTCTAGTCCAGCTGCTGATCCACCCTTTCCACGACGACTGTCTGAATTATCCGATGAAACATTATATCCTTCATCACTGAAGCAGCGCGGAGTTCATGTGGACAATATAAGTGTGCGTAGCTCTCTCAGTCGACAAAGCTCAGTTGACAACGCCTCGGAAGTCTCGTGGAACCTAGAGCGGGACATTCACGAAGACAATTTGCAACGAACACGACCAGGTCAATACCGCGAAGAACCTCATGGCCGGGATATTACAAAACCACCTCGTCGGCCGTCAGGCCTTTCCATGATTCAAGACACGATACTCGAACAGGACGAAGGGGAGGAGGAGGAGGAGGAGGATGAGGTGGAGGATGAGTTGATCATGGAGCCTGAAGATGACGTCGAGGCACTCACTTCGCCCGATTCGCCGGAGGAATGGGAAGCGCCGGCGCGGACCATCATTCCGCAGGAATTCCGCTCTAAGACCTCCTCAGTCACGTCAAACGATGATACATATCATGAGATAGACGTGGCCCGGCAAACCTGGTCGGCAAAGTCTTCACGACAGGTCGGAGGCGTAATGGGCGGATTGTGGACATCAAAGCGACGAATCAACTGGTCGCGAGTGCTCATGATCATGTTATTTCCTTTGGGACTTCTTTGCTGCTTTTACTACCAGGGCAGGCTAGCCTCCCTCCTCCACAGCGACGCCCTGGGAAGGATTCGCTGGTGTCTCCCTTTTGGACAACCTCCGTTCGACGTCCCATCAAACTTTACCGACTCTGCTGCCTTCCACGGGTTGCAAAGTCAAGTGAGAAATGTTAACTCCAAGGTTTCCTCACTATCGCGTGAGCTGGACTCTTTGCGCTCTGAACTGGCTCACTCGCCCCGGGCTCCCATCGACTATACCGGTGTACCTCCCAAGCCAGCACCAAAAATCAATTTCTTATCGCCAGGAAATGGAGCAATAGTTCATCCTGATCCAAAGAAGACATCGCCGGACGCGGGGCACAAACAGTCGTTCATCCAAAAGATCGGCCACAAACTTCTTCGAGGCAAGGCCAAAGTCCCAACGCCCCCACCCCCTATAGTCGCCCTCCAGCCCTGGAGTGATATCGGTGACTGTTGGTGCGCCTCACTGCGGAACGGCCAATCTCAATTGACCGTTCAATTACAGCGTCCGATTGTTCCTGAAGAGTTGGTGGTTGAACATATCCCGCGAAGCATAACCCTCAATCCACATTCTGCGCCCAAGGACATTGAAGTCTGGGCACGTTATGGGGTGTCTCCGCTCTCAAATATGCAGGTCGAGAACAAAACAAAGACCTCGGCGAGGTGGTCGTTGCCCGATCTCTGGCCAAGTCGAACGCCGGAAGTCAATGAGCCTGAACATGCAGCTCCATCGAAACCTGCGGTGACCAAGGAGACCCTTCCTCTTGTGGTAATGAATACGCTCCGTATAGCCAACCAAGGCGTGGCAGAACGCGAATATTCCAACGATCCCGAGCTGGGTCCCAGATTTTATCGCATTGGAACAATGAAGTACGACATCTATGCTGTAGACAACGTGCAGTATTTCCCCTTTGACAGCATCATCGAGATTCCTCATCTTCGTGTGGATCAGTTGACGTTCCGGATGAAATCAAACTGGGGCGCGAACCAAACCTGCATCTACCGGCTGAAGCTTCACGGTCATCTGTGATCCCCTGTCATTTGAATGTACAGTAGTATCGATAGATTCTGATCATCAGGTGCGATGAGGCTCTGATTGTTTCTGTTCTGTTGTCTGCGAGTTGGATTTTCCCCTGCAGCTAATTTCATTCCACCCCGTATGCTGGCGGCTTCATTTGTGGGGCGGAATTGGTTTCTGTTGGATATGCTTTTTTTATCTCCTGTCCGTGTTTTGGGACCCTGTTTACCGTCTTTGTGACTATTCTTGTTTCAAAATCTGGGCGGAGGTCCGGCGATAATACCTTGAGTTTAGCGTGTGGCATGGTCACGAGGATGGCGTTTGCGGTATTGGCCCCTTTGCAAATCCAAATACACTGCATCTTCCGTTGTTCTTGAACCAACACAACATCCGGCACGTTAGTTGGGGGCCAGTTTCTGTTGGTTGCAATCCCAATATAGACCATCGATCCGGACACGATTTGGATCCAACTTGGATCGAAGCGAGGTCTTTGCCAGTCCGGTAGTGGCGTCTACCTACATCGGGACACCAGCAAACAAACGGGAGCATGTAGCCGCGCGCACTGCCTTGTTCCCGCTGAATGTGATAGGATAGCCTCATGGATCTCCTGCGGTAACTGTACGGCGGCAATGCATCCCCTGTTCATATAAGAGTCCAACCGCGTGCTGGATGTGACGGGGGGATCGAGGGTGATCACAAATCGCAGTCTCAAGCTCTTTACTCCACAGATATGATCACCATGAAAGACTCTCCCAACATGGCCGAAGATCAACAAAAGTATAGGCACAATCAATCGAATCTCAATATCAGTAATCAATTCTTCGGGGCCCGGTATCGTTGGTCTACAGTTCCGCAGGATGCACCCCAGTCTACGGAGGAAGCGCAGGCCTTGATCGACCAGCTGTATCTCTCTGGCGGGCCGTTCTTCTCCAAGGAAATGATCCGACTGGCCTTTGAGCAGTGTCAGCGAAAGCCTGTCCGGGGAGAGATGCTATACATCAACGATGTCACCGGTGCCGTTGTCGAATTTGAGTGCCAAACAGGCGAGGTGAAGATTCAGATTGACCATGACGGTGAAAAGTCCACGTACCTCCTGTGCGAACGGCCATGTGAAAGTGCTCGGCGCAGAATGATCGAAAGCTGACCAGTGCCATTCCCAGACTTGACCCGGTGCTCTCATACGAATGCCGCGCTCACCTGAAGCACCATCTTTGGTGGACGGGCATTCGAGAGGATCGATCCCCATTCTGTAGTTTGACCCTGCTACATCCCTCCTTCAAGTTCAAGACCGATACCAGGGAGCCCATTGACCCCACCCCGCGCCGTCCACCTGAGGCAGTTGCGCAGGAGTTCCTGGACCGAAGCCGCAAGTGGCAGAAGTCCGAGGTTGCGCAGCAGCTTGTTCACATTCTGTGTGCCCACGCCGCAGGACACGAGATTAGCAAGATCATTGGGCTCGCGCTCGGTGCCATCTCCTACGATACTGATGACCGCTCGAGGTCATTCGTTCAGCATGCTTTGCTGCTCACGCTCCAGGATTGGCTGATGGGGCGAGACAAGAAGGACAAGCCCGTCTGTTACGCCCAAGATCCAGCATATCGGTCTGTCGACCGACAGATCCTGAAAGAGCATGGGATCGAGGCCATCGACGATCCCCGGGCGTGGCTCGAAATCGACAATGAGTCAATTGTGTTCTCTGTGGCCCCCAACGTGCCGGTCAAGGAAATCGTGGCGGATATTGCTCGTCCGGCGATTGTCATTTGGGAACGGGTGGGATATAACGATGCAGATCGGGAAGGGAAAATGTCGTGGTAAGTGTAGTGTCTTTGGTCATGCAACATGAATGCCCTCTGCCTTTGTTGCAGCTTCATCCTCTATGATGGTCACTTGTTGCGGCATCACCTTTGTGGAAGCAGTGTCTCTTGCTCTCCATTCAAACAAGCATTCTTGGTTCTCACTCTCAGTCTAGTACCGACCCCGATTCCCCACGGGTTCGAGCGATGCTGGCGCAGTACGAGGTCTTTGACTTTGGCGCAGAAGATGACCCGGACTTTTGCAAGACCGTGATATATATTCGTCGTTGCAGTAGTTAGGGAGTGCATTGCAGAGAGCAATATTTTCCTCTCATGGAGGTGTGGTGAGTCAATATTGATACGTTCATCCTTCTTTACCCTCTCTCCAGTTCCACTGCGATGGAGCCTCAACCCCGAGTGTGTGGCCTGGGAAATCGGGCCGAGACTCCAGCAAACGCCCGCGCTTCGTCTCGTTGCTTATCCTCGTGTCCTCCCTTTCCAAGTGACCTGCCTTATCTCCCTCCTACCAGACTGCTACATAACTGCTGCTGCTAGTGTCTCGCCCCTTCAGTTCAAACTGAAGACCGGCTCAGCGGACATACACTACGAAAAGGAAGCGCGGCTGAGCGGCCTGATGCGAGACGTTTTGGTCGTCGTGAGGACGTAGGAGGGGCCTTGTCTGCAGTTGGACCTAAGGAGGCTTCGGAGAGCAGGATTTGGCCCTCGCAATACCATCCATTGCCTTTGCGCTGTTGATTACATGACCCGGTGAGGCTTGAACACTTGGAGACCACATTACCATTACCGTCCGGGACCTTTGCGACAGTAGTCTATTTGTTTGACTTTGAACCTCTGTCTCATTTCACACTTCATTCTCCATCTTCTCTTCCTGCACGCTGCTCTCTCTCTCTCTATCTCTCTCTCTATCTCTCTCTCTCTCTCTATCTCTCTCTCTCTCTCTCTCTTCCTCTTTCTCTCTCTCTCTCTCCAGATTTTGGCCTGTGTCTCTTCAGTTCAGTAGTCCTGTAGTCAAGAGATCTCCCCCGCCTCAACTTTTGAAGGTTCCTCAACCCCACCCGCTCCGCCGCCAAAAAGAAAAAGAAAAAGGCAAAAAAAAGAAAAAAAAAAGACCCGGAAAAAGAAACACAAAAAAGAAAGGATGACGAAGGCGGAAGACACTCGGCCTCACCTCGCAGGGCCATCCAATTTCACCGGTCACGCGCCTTTCGTGCAGCCATCCTCGTACCTTCGCCCTCCAATGTCCTCCCAACCCGAGAGACCAATTGATGTTGAAGAGCGACAAGGCCTGGTAAGTTTGGACTCGTGACAATTCCATCCTGTCCGTCTCTGTGTTTCCCCTGGAGAATGCCAATGCCCGTCCCACCTCGTCTTTCTGGCCCCTCCTCCTCGAGGAGCTTCCCCCGCACGTCCGACAACTTTCCGCTGCGCACCGCAGCCAAGCCCCCAGTCAGTCTGCAAATGCGAACGATCGGTGTTGTTCAGAAGATGCGGAAAGCTTTATTTCCGTTCGGGTCGGCCGTGGCCTGGCGATAGCCTGTTGATGGCGCCGGCGGTGAAATCGCAACCGCCTATTTCAAGGGTCAATCGCGGCGGGACAGGGAAGGGCCTCTTGTGATCTCGGACACCCGAATATCCCTAACCCTGAGATCCCCAACGAGACTACTGTAGTGGTGGTCAATATCTGGAATGTGACTAATGGAGTGTCACACAGCGTGCCATTCGCAATTTTCTCAAAGTTCGCACGAGTTACGATGTCCTTCCCTTGAGTTTTCGCCTCATCATCTTCGATACTGGACTATCGGTCAAGGAGAGCTTGAACATTCTCATTCAAAATGGCAAGTCAACACGTTGTCCCCACTCGCTGTCCCGGTTCTCGGTTTCGAGAAGCGAGCACTTGTATCGCAGGTACACGATTTGACGTGGAAGGACTGGATGCTGACTGGAACACGTTGGTGGTGACTCACAGGCATTGTCTCAGCCCCGTTGTGGGACTCAAAAGCGTCCAAGTTCGCCGGCCTGTTGACCACCTCTGACTACATCAACGTTATTCAGTACTACTTCCAGAACCCAGCCGCCCTCGACCAGATCGATCAGTTCCGGTTGGATAGTTTGCGAGGTGAGACATTGCTCCTGCACTTTCAGCAACGATCGATCTCCATTCTCATCGGCAATGATCTGACTCTTTGTTTTCCTTTGCAGAAGTGGAAAAGGCGTTGGGTGTCGCCCCTCCCGAGACCATCTCCATTGATCCCGAGCGTCCCCTCTACGAGGCGTGCCGGCGCATGTTAGAGTCTCGCGCCCGTCGTATTCCCCTTGTCACCAATGACAGCCAAACCGATCGATCGCACGTCCTCAGTGTCATCACTCAATACCGCATCCTGAAGTTTGTGGCTGTCAATGTCGGTGATACACAGAAGCTCCGCCGCCCACTGGGGGAATTACTGCTGGGCACATACAACAATATTGCGACAGCTTCGATGGACACTCCAGTCATTGATGTGATTCATATTCTGGTTGAGCGCAGCATCTCCAGTGTGCCAATCCTAAACTCCGAGGGTACGTACACAGTCTGAATTATGATCGATCACATGCTCCGCAGTATACCTCTCATCTGAACGCGCACCATGGAACTTAAGCTGATACTGAGATCACCATGTCTAGGGGTCGTCTACAATGTCTTTGAAGCAGTTGATGTCATTGCTCTGATCCGCGGTGGTGTCTATGATGATCTCGGCTTGACTGTGGGAGAGGTTTTGAAAAAGCGATCGCCAGTAAGATGCTCCCCCTCCAGGCCCAGCTATATCAGTCCTCGTTCGGCGCCACTGACAGATCACTAGGAATTTCCCGGCATTTATACATGCTCATTGAATGATGGACTTGACACAATCTTTGATACCATTCGCAAATCTCGAGTGCATCGTCTTGTGGTTGTGGACGAACATTTCAAGCTGAAGGGAGTTTTGACCCTGAGTGATATCCTCCACTACATTCTCCTTGAGGGCGAAACTGACGAAGTATGATTACGTGGCCGAGTCTGGCTTGCAACGCTTTTTGATTTATTGTTCTGCTCTGTGTCTTTCATGCGTATACACCATCTTTCTTGGCTGCTTTGCATTGGCATGGCGTTTCCGTGTTTCCTTTTCCGATTCTTTCCAAGGCCCTCTGGAGCCTCATGCCCCCTCCAAGAAAACTTTCCACAAATCATGTATCATGTCTGGTTACTTGTTCACTTGAATCTGTCAGAATCATCTTTGCATTATGTGTAGGGGAATAATGGAAAGACCGTTAGCAAGATTTGAAGTTCCCAATTGTCTGGTTTTCAGGACGAAAGATTCCTCGTGCAGGGATACGATGGATATTTACAGATCGTGAGCAGGATTATCCTTTCTCGTGTTATCCTCTCAGTCTGCCTCAAAGATCGATTGGAGTCGGCGTGCTGCATTCTTGTCACAGGTTAGAGGTCCGATATAGGGCCGATAAATCCGTCAGACATGGTCTTGTCGATATGTGATTTTGGCACGAAATGTCATGGATGTTCACAGACCATGAGAGAAGCATCCCTTCGTTGCTCAAAGTTCTCTTTCTTCACCTTGATGGACAGGAGTCACGTGCTCGAAGCCTGACCTAGGGTCTATCAATTTATCGGGCGTGGTGCTCGTCCATATATCGTGAGCAGAGCGTCCCTTGCTTGGGGGTTCTCTCTGTTCGTCTTGATGAACTGGAGTCACGTGTCTAGGGCTTGTATAAGGGCTCATAAACCCGTGAAGCCTGGTATCTGTCCATACGTGGTGAACGACTTCTCGTCCAGGAACACCATAGATGTTCACAGATTGTGAGCGAAGCGTTCCCATCCTTTGGGGATTCATTATTTGTCTTAATGGACTGGAATGAAGTCGAAGGCTCGAGGTCTGGGATTTTTTTATTCTGTTCTTGGGACGAAAGACTTCTTGCCGGGATCTATTACGCAGGGAAGACCATCGATTTTCACGAATCGTGAGTGAACCCTTTTTCTATTAGGGTTCTTGTGACTTACATTGATGAATCAGAGTCATGTCGGAGGCTCGAGGTCCGGTGTTGATACACTGTGTTTCTTCAGAACGAAAGATTCCTCATCAGGGAATACTATGAAGGGGAAGTTACGGATGTTGATCAGTCTTGAATGCAGTCTCCTCGAAGTGAAAGAAGAGCGTCCTTCATCAGGGTCTTATATCTACTTCTTCGCAGGACTAGCATCGTATCGAAAGTTCGAGACCCGGACCCAGGCCTAAGCGTCTATAAAATGGCCAGTCCTGACGTTTGCCCTCTCTCTCCCCCCCCCCCCCCTCCTACTATCATCCTCCGAAGGAAGGCGCCCGAGCCATCAGTCCTTATATGGATGCGACGACTAAGCGACTGAGGCACGAGGCTGCTTTGGCATGCTCCTATCTGTCGGAAGAGCAGTTTCTGCAAACACCGCCCGGGAAGAACCTTTCGCGGAGGAACTGGCGGCGAGACAGAGGAAAGAGCACTACGCGGAACGTGCGAAAGTGAGAGAGAGAGAACTGGACTTTGTCATCCGATGAAAGAGGACTTCCAAAAGAGAAACAGCAGGAAATACCATCAACGAAAAGCGCAGTCGGTGAATGAAGAAAAGAAACAACATCTTCTCCTCTGGGGGCCTGGAAATCGAGAACTGAAGCTCGGTTTCCTTTCCATCTTATTGTGTTGGCGTTGTAAATTCCTTCAAGTAGTCTAAGTAGATGCTAGAAATCCGTTATTGCGTAGTAGTAGTACAGTAAGCGGCCGAAGAATGGTCTACTTGATTCTATTGCTACAAGAGGAAGAACAGATGCGTTGATCTCTAAATCCCCTCAAGCTGAGTCGAACTGTGTGATTCTGGCAATAGCACCGAGTGCCCCTCACAAGCACACTCGATGGAGAGAACGGTGACATCGACTGAACGACATCTCATCTCATAGTGAGAAAAGTCCCAGAATAAAGTACCGGCGGGTCTAACTAACATGTGCCATTTCGAGAATACGACGGAGACGGCCGTCCTCCCATCACGCCCGAGACCTTAAAATACTGCAGGTGCTGGCGGAATTGCTAGGAGGTCCTTCTCAGGTCTTCCGGCGTTGAAGGAGAACAGCTATTCCCAAGTTGAGTCTCAATTACGACCGAGATCAGTCTATGACCATGGCCACGGCCCACATTGACTGGGAGGAAGTATGTGTGTTCACGGCATAGGCATCACCAGATCGCAAGCGAAGCATCTCGTCAAGGAGAGTATAGTCACTGTACCTAGTATGTAGCTGTGTACACTATACAGTATATATGGCGGTGAGATGTAAGTGAAGTGATGGTTCCATTGGAAGGTCCTTTCGTGTAGCTCGCATGAGAGTGCCGAACGTGGCCGGAGCCAAATGTTCGCTGGCGTTATGAGTGCGAATGACCATCGGGTATCCCCAAACTTGTCGCTACTTTGACCGTTGGATAAGCCTCACATTGAGTGATGCATACTATGACCCTTTACCTGTATCTTCCCGACATCAAGTTGAACGAGTCTGTCAGAGAGATACACTTCCAGAAGTCCTACTGTGTCTGTGCGCTTCCATTTGCACCATGACGAGAGCTCCACCAGCCTCGGTGCCGAGACACTCCCGACGTCCAGTCCAGTGGCTGCAGGCAGGCTGGATGGATTCATGTTGAAACTGCCCCTCAAGAAGGGTTGCTGACTGAGGTGGATCACGTGCTCTGAGTGGACACCTATCCTCAGTCCCGCCAAGATGTTTCAGCTAGCCTGACGTCATTGACAGGTTGGATCGATGTCCGACTGGCAGTTGAACATGGCGAACTACTGCATTCTAGACTCGGATTGTGACTATTGCAGAAGCACAGAGCCCAACCTGTGTACTATGATACAGCACTATAGTCAGTGGTTAGTGAACAGTGTACACTGTTCACTGTACAATGTTTATGGCCTCCGTGTGAAGACGACTTGGACAGTCAAGAAACTCCTCGTTCCTCCCGAATTGGGTGCCTCTCCTTTTGTACCGCGGTGACAGTAGTCGTCGTATCTGAAGTTGATTCCTCTTTGAGAAACCATCGGATCTTCCTCGGTCATTCCCATTGATCGGTTTTTTCCACCTCTGGGCTTAGCTCCCGACCAATCCGCGACCTGCACTCCAAGTCTAATTGATGACAAAGGCTACAACAAGTATGAACAGTCCGACGGATCCAAGTTCAGATTGGCATTCTTGCGGAACCATTCCGGTGGAGCAGGTGGCCGGCCGTCTAGAAAGTCCAAAGAGACGGGAGCATGAACCCGAGAAGGGGGGGCAATATGATGCCTATTGCCTATTGCCTATTGTCCACAGACCCTTACCCCATCGAGCATTCCCAGGCTCAAGGGTTAAAAGTCATTATGATCCACTTCTCGAACAGGAGCTACGGAGTCTCGCAAGGGGACCGATGGCATCATGGCGGCTGTTTGGTATGTGTGCAGCACTGCAGACTGCAGACTGCAGATTCTTACAGAGTCTTGGGGACAAGGTCCGACCGACCATAAGGGAAGAGAGGCTCTCTTCTCAGTCCATTTGTTGCTTTGTGTTCGATCGTAGAGTCGGGGATAAGAGGGTGGGCAGTGTGGCACTATGAGAGGTTTGTGTTTGAGAATATCTTCTAGAATACTTATCATGACGAGTCACCACTCACTGCTCCAGTGAGCAGTGAGTGGTGAATACTGACTACTGAGTAGTAGAGTACGTCCTGATTGTATCTCCTTGACAACCTGTTAGCATTGCGACTTGAGATTTACTACTGCATTAGTGTATGGTGTATAGTGTCCTGAGTATTCTCATTGAGGTTACCAACAATTGGTCATGCAAGAACATACTCAATAGTTATCCATTATACTCCATATAGTATATACAACCCATCTGATTGCCATACGGCATAACTCAGCTTGGCAGCAATGAGTTCCTTTGGGAAGAACAGACTGGATGAGTCGTTGTGGCACAGAAAGGCCCGGCTCCACCAGACCGCACGACTGGGCGGGTTCAGATCCCGGACGAGGCTTTCACTGTTCTTTTCAAAGTGGATCTCTCCAGCGACGGAGAGGCCTCCCAGTTCCACTCGATGGTCCCAGTTGCACCGAGGTGACCAAGTATGTGAACCGCCTTGGACTTGGAAACTGGACTTGGTTCCCTCCGGTTGGTCCTGTTGGTCCTGTTGTAAATCATGTCATGTTCATGTTGGCCTTTGAACGTGGAAAGTTGAGTAGACTGGGTCAATGGTGTGGTCACTGTGGTCAGTCCGGTCGTGTATATCAAGTGAATGTTTGCTATGATCAGGTTCAGATACAGGTACCGGTGACTGGGCAAGATCCGCCACGAGTACTGCTTCACTAGTGGTATCAGCCAAACAATAAGTAGAGAGTACCTCTGTCAAGGAACACACAGCCGGTTTGACCATTTGCGCTACTGTTAGTTCTAAATAAGGTTGATTGCGGACTCGTAGGTCACTAAATAGTAAATAGTAAATAGCGTGAATTTACATGATCAGTCACGCATCACCTTCCAAGTTCATTGAAAGACGTAATACTACCACTACTATTGTACAAATGTACAACATTGAATGTACACTACTACTGTCTGTGGCTTTGTACACCTGTCGCATATCTATCCGATCTTGCAGGTTCAATAGATGTGCTCTGCCTTCGTGACTGGTCATGGCCAGCCACACATCCACTCTGGTGATGGCCCCCCCCCCCCCCAGCTCCTGAAAAGAACCGCTGAAAATCTCCGTAAATTGTCAATCTCAGAATCATAATAATCATGAAAATACAATTGGGTTAAACTATCCTCCATAGGGCTCGTTCTTTCAGTCCACAGCTACGGTGTTCTTCTTGCGTCTCAGCTTGTTATGGACCCCCCTTCACTTGATTTCTCCATCCCCCTCTCTTCTCTGCAGATCAAAAGAAAGATTCCCTGTTCGTCCTTCAGTTTGTCTCTTGCGGTGATCCAGGTTGGATTCCCGCCAGGCCTTGTCTGCATCCAGTCGTCCTGAGTACCCACCTACCCACCTCTACGGATGGAATCTCCCCCGGAATTATCTTTGATGCCAAATGCCGATCCCATCATGGTTGTCCACGATCAGGTGAAGATATGATGTCGCTGAAGTCAAAGACTGGCCGCGTGCTCCACTTTTGCGTTGGTCTTCTTCCACGGCCTCCCAGGAACCATGATGCCCTATCCAGTATCCAGTATCCCCTCTCCACTCTGCAAGCCAACGTCCTGGTATGACAGTCACGTATTCGAGGCACACTGTCAATCATAGAATCAACATGGATCAGAGGCCGGCCGCGGGAACCCGGTACCTGTATCCTCGATGATTCAAGACCCCTCGTTGCAATTCCTATTCTAATATAGCCGATCATCACTCGACGGTTTCTCTTCCGCAATCTTATTACTCCATTCCTGATTTCTGGCTGCCACTTCTCCTCTTGCACTCGAGTCTCCATCAATCAGCACGCAATCTGACCTGCCCGGCTCTCCCTCCCCCCCCCCCTCTCTCTCTCCCATTCGAAGGGCCTAGACTACTAGATCGGCCTTGAACATCCTCCAACTCGGATCGCAAAGTACCCTGGAGATTGTTTCTTCCTCTTTAGATCTTCCCTTCCTTCTCTGAAGCTCGATTTGTGTTGTGAAGCAGAACCTTCCTCCGGTGAGTGGAGATGTCAACCCTGTCCTTGTCCTGACTTGCGGCTTGGAGCTCCAGTCGATCATCGTTTGTCGCAAGATGCCTCCTTCCACCTGCATCTATCCCGACTCTGTCGGCCCATGCAGCCGGAGATTCTGCCTGGCTTACCTCCGCCGCAGCTTGCACACCATCACTGCCATCAATCATCTTCATCTCCCTCACTCTTCTCGTATCTTCTCCTGAAACAGGCTCCTAACCTGTCTACCTAGGACTCTCATTCTTTTCTTTCTAACTCACACTTTTTTCTTGGCTTTTGACTTTCCCTTCCAGGATACAGAGCGCCTCGACAATTCCACTTCTTCCGTCTACTGACCCTTATCCACACGGAACCCGTGCCCTCATCCACGTTGGGCCCCGTCGTGTTCTTGGACCTTACCTTTCCTACTGTCCTGATCAAAGATTCGTCCGGACCTCCTGGACCGCTGGAAGTTCTGTCCGACCGTGGCTCGGCCCAAATCGACCACCCTTTCGACATCTCCATTGAGACGTCGCAGGCAAGGCGAGCAGCCACTCATTGATTTAGCTCCTGTGAACCCGTCCTGTCAGCCACTAGCCACCGCGAGGAGCCGTGGTTCTGTGCGCAATTTGGCCTCACTTCCACTACGGGACCCGTGTTCCTGCTAGTTCCTGGCGCCAGCAGACTGCCTCCGCAAATTGCCCTCTCCCTCAGTTTGTGTGTAAGTTTGCACTGTTGAAAAGGGCAATCAATCGCCAGCGGTGGGACTTGAGAGTCGAGCTCAAAAGCGGACGCGAGAGCTGATGCTGGAGGCCGAAACTCGAAATCTACAACAAAGACGATTGTATTCCGGAAATCCTCTCCTTTTCCAATAAGCTCCATTCTCTTCTTGAGGGCTTTTCTCCATTTCCCGGCATTTCCTGGATCCACGATTGATCGACCAGGAACAACCCCCCCCCCCTCCCCCACGATTTGACTTTAACGGAGCCAGCCTTCTTGCACATCAGAGCAATCGAGCAGCTGGTTCATCACCAAATTGATACCGACTATTGGAAGAGCTCTGCCACTTCGTTTCATCACCACTGTCCATCAAAGGAAGGATCGGCCATCGCTCTTTCCCCAAATCACAATTTTCTTGTGCAACCCTCCCCAACCCAGCAACTACGCCTGTAACCCTCCGCCGCCCAAAAGAGGAATCGCGCACCATGTCTACCGGCCATGTGAACCCGCCGCCTCTGCCTGGAGCTATTCCCATGTCGAACTCCCTGGGCGCCGTCGACCCATCCACCTTCTCTTCTATCAACTCTATCTCTAGTGATTTTCTAGGCTTCCCGCTCTCCGACAACGACCATTTGTGGGGAATCGGCTCCATCTCTCCAACTATGGCGGGAGGCAGCTGGGATTCCAAGATCGACTCGGCCACTTTCGCTCATGCCTCTCTTGAACGGGATCTGAAAAACGCCCAGGTCCGCAACGGTCAGCCCACTCCACCTCCGTATCAAGATCAGCGCTCGCAACAGACTTCCAGTCCTGAGCTAGAGCCCGCTAGCAAGCGTCGCCGGGCACGAGAGTCGAGAGTTGCCGCCGCCAGTATGAGTCCCGATCTGGATGACTATCCTCGAGACGGCACCGACAAACGAGCCAAATTCCTCGAGCGGAATCGACTTGCCGCCAGTAAATGCCGACAAAAGAAGAAAGAGCACACGCAGCAACTCGAACAACGATACAAGGAGCAGTCTGAAAAGAAAGAGACACTCGTGGCCGAGATCGCCCGACTGCGCTCCGAGATACTCAATCTCAAGAACGAAGTGCTCAAGCATGCTCAATGCGGAGACGAGCCGATCAAACTCCATCTTGCGCAGATGGTGAAGAAGATCACCGACCACGACGGCGCCTCGTCGATAGGACTTGAGCATGTGATGCAGGGGTCCCAGCAGGCTCGAGCTTCGCCAGTAGATCGAGCGTCAACGCCAGCAACGTCAGTCTCCACCGCAGCATGTACAACAGCTCCACTGGCGGCGGTCTCCTCGGCACTGTCCTTTGGATTTGATGATCCGCTGCATGTCGAACCGGCTGCGGCCGCGTCGGTGAACCCCTTTGAGCAGCAATTTCGGCGGGATTCTGAAGCGACGATGGTCTCGGAGTCCTCCCTTGCCTTTTCCGCCGAGGACAACTTTGACGATTTGATCAATGTGTAAGATGAGACGAGTGCTGTCTTTGCAGCCTTTTCATGCTCAACAGGCCGACGAGAATGGCCTCGGCGATAGTTCCCGGCATGGGTCTTCGGCACACCTCCGTTTTCGATTCTTTCTCCGATTCGAGTGCTCTTTTTTTTTGCACGCTCTTCCATCTTTCCATGGACCTCCAGGCTACCATGGCCTGTCAACGACATTTTGCTTCAGCCACAGCCCCGGCTTGGGTCCCTCATACACAAGCCTGAAACGACTGTGCTTGTGGAAATTTTTCGACCCCTCGGCGATTGGCGCTCTTCTCTTATCCCCTTTTGCTTCCTCTCGTATACCCCCTCATGGGGCTTTCTCGAGATCAAAATCTGGGCCCTGTCTCGGGTACGGAGCTAGTCTCCCTTTCTCAAAGCTGGGGCGTACTCGACCGAAGAAAACTAGCGAGTAGGGGCCTCCTTGTGTCATTCTTTTGGCGTTTTCTTTGCTAATTTTGTCCCCGATTCAATTGCCGGGGATCATTGTTGCGGTGTTGAAACGGGTGGCGTCTTTGTGGAAGGGCTTTGCTTCTCCAGCAGTTGTCAGTATTTTCTATATCTCAGCGCTTCAGCGTTGGTGGAAAACGAAGCGTCTGTTGTTTATCACGAATTGATGAAATGAGCTCGACAGTCTCGAACGAGGGTTTTCATTCTTCCTCGACGAGGGGTCCAATTGCTCGCAAGCAGAAAACATAGAATCAACATGATTAAGAGATAGAAGACCAAGACACTACGATCATGTTATCTCACGCATACCATTTCATCTAGGCACACAGCTAGACAAACATGGATATTGATCAACCGAGGTACGTACGCAGTTTCGTCTATTGATACGCTGGCGTAAATTCAATGGCATGGGTATCTACTACCTACCACCTAGTACCTAGTCCTACTCCCTCGGATACGCGAAAGCTTCGAGATCCACTTCGGTAGTTCACAGCTTCAAAACCTTGGGTAACCTTATTCGTGGAGGTCAGGTGTCATATTGCCGATTCAGTTAGTCTACCCGAAGTCGGAATGCATTTCCACTCCGCGATTCTGCTTCTCCCGTTTCTGCCAGCCACAACGGACCCTCCAAGTTCAGCGGGAGAAGAGTCATGTGATAAGACAACACTTGAACACACCGGGGTCCCGCGTCCTCCATCCGGCTTCCTTTCTTCCTCAATACACAAGTCCGCCCTGCCATAACAAGATAACCTGGGAACAAGCCGAGGAAACATCAGACAACTGGCTAGTCCAATTTCTTGAGCGTTGACATCTTACGGCCGATTGCAGACTTCGTCCTCGTCCTACATCAGAGGTATAGCCACCGAATTTGCCGTACTCAGGAAAGGTTCTTATAATGTCTCGTTACGGCTGAAGTACCGAACTGGTGTGACGGTTATACGGCTATCGCAGCCCGGTGCCGTGTTTTACTTATTGAGAAATCTGAGTACTGGTCAAAGGGCATTGACGACTGGACGAGAGTGTTTGATTCTCGTTTCAAGACGTTCCTCAAGGGAACCAAAGACTGTGAAGACATAGCGATCCAACAGGGTCGTTTGAAAGAGGACCAGCGTCTCTGCGGCCGGAAACGGTGGCGAGAGGGCCGAAACGTCGAAAATACCAGGGACAGACAACCAAGTGACCATAAGTGATAAGCCAGCCACCACCTAATCGTCTCGGTAGTGGTGACCGCCGTCTGGATCGATTTTCCAAATGGGAGACCGTTTGACCAAAAAAACCTATGATAGACCAATGACCAATCGATATTACCCACACTTTCTTCGACCCGTGTCGTAGATATAACCCAGTTGGCGACTGAACGGGCGGTAGGCGATGTGGCTGGGTATGCTAGGCTACCTCAGGACTACGTATTTCCATTCAGCGAGGTCCTCGCAACTCGCAGCGAGGCGCCCCCAGACCCCTCATTCTGGAGAGAAACATTTCACCCCCGCATGACAATTTACCATCGCTTACCGTATCAGCCACCAGATCTCGACAAGACCTGTTGTTGACCCACTACGGCTCCACCAACATACAAGAAGTCGAGAACATGATTCATGAAGGTGTGAACCGGGTTATAATTAGCTTTTCCAATTTCGCGAAAAGAACGATCAGCAGTGGAGGTCTGAACGTGACGATCAGACCACAGCATTTGTTATGTGGACTGATCTCGTGACACAAGCAACCCATCGGATGGCATCATCTCGACCCTAGCTTATAGGAAACCACACTCCCAGTGTGAGTGTTCCCCCGCTTCAGGCGTGACAGTCAAAGCGAATTCAACCAAGTAGCGTACATCCAACCCACCTGCCGAGATCCAGGTATTGGTGTTATTGGCAGCTGAGCAGCTTCCGTCTCCGCATACGCGTGTCAACTTACCCCTCTTGGCCATCTCTCAGTTCGCAGGATTGTCTGCCTGCTCAGGAAGCGGAGTCTCTCTACAAATTCCATTACCCTCTGCCATTCACCATTCACCCCCTGAGAGTGACCGCTGTCAACACATACCACAAGGACCTCCATCATTCAGATCGCCATTATGGCCAAGCGTCCCAATGTTCTTGTCGTCGTCGCAGACGACCTCGGGTTCTCCGATGTGGGATGCTTTGGCGGCGAGATACGGACTCCGAATATTGATCAGATTGCAAAGGAAGGGCTTCGATTTACCGACTTTCATGCGGCGGCAGCATGCTCGTAAGTCCAGGATGATTCTTTTCGACAGCGGATGGATCAAGTGCTTCGAACGAAAGATCAAAAGAGAACAATGCTGACCGAGCACGATGCTCGCGAACAATCAGTCCCACAAGAGCAATGATCATGACTGGGACCGACCACCACATCGCAGGCTTGGGTAACCTCATCGAATGGACCAACATCTCAGGTCAAAATGGCCCCAAAGGCTCGGCCATGAGCACCGCGCCGCAGCGAGGAATGCCGGGTTACGAAGGATATCTCAATGAACGGGTGGTCGCACTGCCCGAACTCTTGCGAGACGCGGGCTATCACACGGTCATGTCGGGAAAATGGCATCTGGGATTGACCCCCGAGCGATCACCGCATGAGCGAGGCTTTGTGCGTTCGTTTGCCCATTTGCCTGCCTGTTCTAATCACTATGCCTATGAGCCTCAGCTTCAAGATCAGGACAGTATCCCGACGTTTATCGAAGCCAGTTACATTGCGCTGCACATGGAGGACGGGAAATATGTGCGTCATCTGCCCGAGGGTTGGTACTCGTCGGATGGGTATGGAGATAAAATGATCGAGTATCTTCGGGAATGGAAAGAGAGCGGGGGCAGCTCAGGGCCCGACGGCCAGGGAGACCGGCCTTTCTTTGGGTATCTTCCTTTTACTGCTCCACATTGGCCCTTGCAGGCTCCGCGGGAGTACATCGATCATTATCGCGGAGTATACGATGAGGGGCCGGACGTTCTGCGCGAGAAACGCCTTCAGAGACTTAAAGAGTTGGGAATGGTCCGTGAAGACGTGATCCCGCACCCCGTGGACGCCGACGAGGTCAAGACGTGGGAAGAGTACACGCCCGAGGAGAAGAAGAAATCATCGACCGCGATGGAAGTCTTTGCAGGGATGGTAGAGTGCATTGATCACAATGTGGGCAAAGTCGTCGATTATCTGACTGAGATTGGCGAACTCGACAACACCTTTGTCTGTTTCATGTCCGATAATGGTGCCGAGGGCGCAGCTTATGAAGCCTATCCCATGGTCAAGAACGGAGTCATGCCGCATCTTCAGAAATACTACGACAACAGTCTGGAGAATCTGGGCAATGGGAACTCGTTCATTTGGTACGGTCCTCGCTGGGCGCAGGCAGCCACTGCTCCATCTCGTCTCTACAAGGCCTATACCACCGAAGGTGGTGTGCGTGTCCCGTTTACCTGCCGATTCCCCAAATCCATGAATGTCAAGCCCGGTGATACTACTCCCCCAGTAGGTGGGATCACCGATCAATTCGCCACCGTGATGGATCTGGCTCCCTCCATCCTCGAGATGGCCGGGGTCAAGCATCCGGCACCCAGCTATCAGGGACGGGAGGTTGTCTCCATGCGAGGACGCAGTCTTTATCCCTGGGTGACAGGGGCTAGCAAACGAATCCACCCCGAGGATTTCATTCAGGGCTGGGAGACGTGCGGTCGAGCTGCTCTACGCTGCGCTGACTGGAAAATTGTCTTCATTCCCAAGCCAAAGGGTCCCGAGCGTTGGCAATTGTACAACCTGGTGCAGGATCCCGGTGAAGTTCGGGATCTGTCAGACCGAGAGCCTGAAATCCTTAAGAAGCTGTTGAAATTGTGGGATCAGTACGTGATTGAAACGGGGGTCATCCCGTTGTGTCCCGATCTGGGAGAATTTCTGGAAGCGACAGATGCACAGATGCCGGAGAATGCGTGGATGGAGTTTGATTACTGGAAAGAGGGTGCTCGTGATCATCCGGAGAAGTTTACTCGTCGACCGCCCCGATTTCAACGAGTAGTGAAGCAATTCTGAGGCGTCTTCCGCACTGATCAATGCACAATATGGGGCTGTAGTTGGGTCTCTACGACCTATTCGTTCTTTGAGAATAGGTTTGACAATGTTTATCCCCTCATTCACTTCAAGAAACCCGTGACCTCAGTCAAATATGAGACATATTAGGTTTGTCTGAAACCTCGCAAAATCTATACTCAACCTTGACGGCAGATGCACAGGTGAAAGGGTCCCCTCTGTCGAAGCGTAGCATGGCAATTTCCGAGGCTCGATAACCGCCGTCACCGGCCTTGGTTGGAATTCGTTTCAATCCACGAAGGTGGACAAGAACACCCGGTTATAGATATTTGAGTCATAAGGCACACCATGTTGAAAGATGTGTCAGCCAAAGCTTCAAGGATATATTGATTTTAATACAGGTTCAATAGTTCTCATAGCCCGTCAGAACCAGAACTACTAGGGATTAGAACGTAAGAAGAACACAGACAACCACACACGAGTGTATTCACATCATCCTCTCGGGCCTTTTGCCTACTCTTCGATCCAACGAAGACCCTCATGCGTATTCTTTGTTCGCCGAGCCAGAACCTCAGAGACCTTCTCGCGAACGCCATCCTTGAAATTCCACTTCTCGGCAAACTCCTCCACGATCAGGCTAGCTTTCCGGCCGCTTTCGCGCACAACCTTCTCGATTTCAGCCTCGGAGGGTAGGGAGAAACGCTCATGGGGATAGCGTTGGTAGTCTCCTTTACTCAGGACCTCCAACCGGTTCTCCCCCTCTGGAATATTGAAGAACTGGTCAACAGTCTCGTTGGAGACTTCAGCCAATGTGGCCGGCTGCCAAGTAGCCTGACGAGGGGGCTTGGACATCAAGCGAGCCTTGACACCCTCGATGAAATCGGGGTGACGCATGAAGTTGGCGGCAATTTCGTATTCCCGCTTAAATGTCTCGGTGATGCTCCACTTCTTGCCCAGGCGCATCTGGCGGAGAGTGACCTTCAGAGAGGTCGGGGAGCGACTCGAGAGGGTCTTAAGCGTCTTCTGTGCCCACTCCTTTTGCTCCGTCTCGCTATCCAGAGCCTGGAAGATCTCCTCCATGGTGTTGAACTTGAAGCAGCGGTCGATGGCGGACCGTAGCTCCCCAGCCAACAGAATGGGTTCTTCCTGCAAGGAGGGAAGTCCGAGCGAGAACTCGGCCATGGTCTTGTTCATGACGTTGAGACGTTCGGGCAGAGCCATCTCGTCGGGGAAAACGAGCTCGGACAGACGCTGAGTCATGTTGCTGAGCACACTCGAGTGAAGGTAGTGGGTTGCAATACCGGCGTACAGAGCCTGAACACCGTTCAATCGCTCCGACGTCAATGCCAGATAAGTGCCTGTCTCTCCGTCCAGACGGGGGAGGAAGAACGATCCACCAACATCGGGGAAGAATCCGATGGTCGTCTCGGGCATGGCAAAGACGGTCTTTTCTGTGGCGATACGGAATGGCGCGTGCATGCTCAGACCAACACCGCCGCCCATTGTGATTCCGTCCATGAACGAGATGACCGGCTTCCGGTATGTCGCCAGGGTGTGATCGAGGCGGTACTCGAGTCCGAAGAAGTCCGTAGATTCACGCTGTCCTTCCACACCCTTTTCATTTTGCAATGCCAATGCGGCCACATCGCCACCAGCGCAGAGCGCCTTGTTGCCAGCTCCGGAGATCAAAATCATGTTTGCCAGATGAGACTTTTCCCATTCCTGTTGTAGTCGAGGATGATGAGCATGCGTTCGCGAGTACATCAAGCTTTGGATTCCGCAAACCAACTTACCTTCAGGCGAGGTAGGATCTTCCGAGCCATGGAGCCATTGAGTGAGTTGAGTTTCTTGGGTCGGTTGAGTTCAATGCTACGGAGACCGTAGATGGAATTGAACAAGACATCATCAGGCTCGTCGCCGGGGAGTTCTTGAGGAATTTCGGGGCTTGTAGACATCTGTCTTGCGAATTAGCAACAGCACTCAATCCATCAATCTGGTCGCAAAGCCAGTTTCACGTGGAAAAAAAAGAAAGAGCAAGAGACAACCGTACCGAAGCAGCTGCGCGAAAGGCAGGGTTCGTCACTTTGGCGCGAAGAGGCATGACTGGCGAATGACACCGCGAGATCCAGCTCGGCGGCGAGGGTAATCGGGAAAAGGATTGTCTAAGCAACATGAAGACTGAGCCCCGAGGCGAACGAGGATCCGGGAGAATGAGGTGCAGCTTATAAAAGGGTAAGCAAATGTTTCTCCGCTTTACCGTTGCCGTTGACCTCGGAAGTTGGTTTTCTCTGGATTTTCTTCCGGTCCGAGAGCCGCTTCTCCGCCTCAAAGCGCAGGACGATCAACACTTCTCCGAGAGGCGATTACATGTGTAAGATCTTATGACGATCCTCACCTTTGACCTGGGTCTGGGATGTGAATCTCTATAAAAAAAGAAAAGGGTATACTTTAGCATTTACAGCATCTTAATTTTGACGAATGGAACTCAGGCTGTCCACAAAGCTCACGTTTCACTCCCTCGGACGAGGGCGACGCGCGTGCAGATACACATAGCAAGGCCCCAGCTTCCCGATCTCTACTCGGCAGTCTTGAAACGCTTTCAAAATAGTGCTCGACGAGCAGCTAAAATTCACTCTATTTATACATAGCACTCCGAAATTACAGAAGGCTGAGGTTGAAAGAAATCAAGAAAAGAAAAATATGAACGTGAAGCCTCCCTTCCTGGACCGAAAAGGCGCCTACAGATACCGAGCTTTAGCCGGCTGGCTGCTCAAATCTCGAGAGTGCTTCTTGAGAATCTGATCCAACGCCTTCTTCTCGATGATCAGTCTCGCCGTCTCCAGCAAGTTCTTCACGTCCACGTCGCTGCGGTCCATGATCGTGGCGTAGCGTTGCATCTTCTCAACCTTCGCAAACAAGTCCATGTCCACCTCCGACGTGATGAACGTTGAGCGACCCTTCTTTGTGTTCCAGTTGTTGGTCTCGAGAATCTTCTCCAACAGGTATGGCGTAGAGTTCGATGGCAGAGAGATCTTGTCGTCAATCACGATCAGCTCCCCGCGCTGAAATCGGTAACTCAATGCAATGCGCCACGCCTGATCGTAGAGCTTTGCAGGAAGATCTGTCGAGAAGTCCCGAGGATGAGGACCGTGGGCAACACCACCACCTCTGCGGATGGGCGACTGCTTGTCACCGGCACGGGCACGACCGGAGCCCTTTTGAGGATGCACCTTCCTGTGACTTCCGTGGACATCGTCCCTCCACTTCGTGCTAGCTGTGCCTTGTCGGGTCATATCACCCTCGTAAACAATCGCGCGATGGAGGATATCTTTGCGGATCGGCATCTGAAGCTCCTTTTGACTGTAATTCACCAGGCGTACAGGCTCCATTGAAGGGAAGGAGTAGGTCATCACATTAACGGGACGGTCCCAGGGCGCAAGCGTGGAGGGGTCGGTAGAGGATGAAGCGCCGATCTGGGCATCCGTGGCCATAGATCGCATAAGGCATCGTCGCTATAGGTATATTGAGATCAATTAGCGTCTTCGCCATTCACAGTGGGCTCCTGGTGGACCTCCGGGTCGCTAGGATCGAAGAGCGTACAGTCACATTCTCAGGGCCCGAGAGAAGGCCGCATGAGCTGCGTGAGAGCATTCGAAGTGCCCGGAAAGTCTCGCCGCCCGGCATCTTTGGAAGAGGTCGACAGATAGTGTGGTGGCCGCGTAGATCGAGTCGATATTCCGGGTGTGATGGTCAAGAGCAAAAGTTGATTGATTTCGCGGAGGGCGGTGGAGACAAGCAAAAGTCTTGGCTAAAGACAGAAAATGTTCCCGCGTCGACATCAACATCCGTCTCTCCTGGTGACCTGTTATCTCCACCACTCACCTTCGCATCCTCCTTACAATGGCGCAGTGCGAGCGTGCCTCTAGGCCGCTTCTACAATGCCTTCGCACGACTTATATCCGAGGACTACCCAGCGTCCAGGCGCGCGGTTTCCAGTCCTCGGCACCCGCCTCCGAGGCTCAGGTCGAAGACAGTCAACCTTTCCACAAGAACCCTGATCCCTCCCTCGTCTCAAGTCCACGCCTGGAACGACGATTGATGAGACAGGGAGTCAACCCCGTGGGCTCCCGACGTCGCCGAGCTGCTCTTCAAAGTTCCTCCAACATCCCCTTTGAGCAGCTGCCCTACCAGTGCTTCCAGGAGGCACGCAAGGTGCTCTTGGAAGATCGCGCCGAGAAGTTGAACGAAATTGAATCAATGAGGCAGAAGATTGCGAGAGTCCAGACTCAGTCGGCAGAAGAGGCGGGAGGCGAGCAGGCACAAAAGTCCCGATTGCGGGCTATGCAGTTGCATCTTGAGCGACTCAAGATCAACGCCGATATCAATGACCCATTGGTCAAGCGAAAATTTGAGGATGGAAAAGGTAGGGCTGGGTCTCTTCGACAATTTACGGGTTGGCGTACAATGCTAATGACCATGCTTCCGGCGAGGATAGGTGACATGAGCAAGCCCATCTACCGCTTCTTGGCCGACCGGAAATGGCGGGAATACCGACGCAAAATCTTGGTGCAGCGCATCACGCAGATGAAAGTCACTCCCGACGTCCTTCCTCACTGCGACCCCGTAGTCGACACGAAGTTGTACTTCAACAAACGTCAGATCCAGCCCGGAGATTTCGTCGAGGCGAAGACCAGCGCGGAGGCCCCGAAGCTTGACATCCAGATGTTTGAACGTGGAGAGAAACTTGTGACCATTGCTGTTGCTGATCCCGATGTTCCTAATGTGGAGGCGGATAGCTTCGACTACAAGATGCACTTTTTGGCTGTCAATGTGCCCATCTCCGCGGTCAACACCAAGGTGGACCTCGCCAATCTTGCGGAAGATTCGCAGGTTGTTCTTCCCTGGCTGGCTCCTGTTGCACAAAAGGGCAGTCCCTATCACCGTCTATCGATCTTCATCATGGAGCAGAAAGATTCGAAGCCCCTCGACTTTGCGGCTGTCAAGGCGAACGAGGCGGACCGAGACAATACCCTCCTGCGCACCCTCCAGGCCCGATACCACTTGAAGGCCATTGGCGCACACCTGTTCCGCAGCCAGTGGGATGAGACAACTCTGGAAGTCATGCAGCAAATCGGCTACAGTGGAGCTGATGTTGAGCTCCGGCGCAAGAAGGTCGAGCCTCTTCCCTACAAGCGGAGAAACCCGTCCAGCTTCAGGTGAGGAGAGTGTTCTTTTTTTCAGTCTCCTCTCATCTCCCCCCCCCTATATGTGTCGTGTGTTTGAGTCAAAGATTTGTATTGTACAATTGAAGATGTATGAATATGCACAGCCAGCTCCGTTTCCCATATCCAAACCCCCTCAAAACTCCTCTGTAAATGCAATCGGAAGGATGTACGTGATACGGACGTATCAGTAGGATGGACGCGAGCTTCACTAGGATATGTCTTGTTCCACGGGTTGCAATGGATTGCGCACCCATTCCATCTGCGACGGTGGCCAGACTCTAGCGACGACTTTGCCGTTGATTAACCCCATTGGAACGGAACCATAGGTTCTCGAATCCCTTGACCAAGGAAGGTTATCGCCGGCTACAAATACATGACCCTCTGGAACCTGTTGACAAGCAGAGTGCAAAACTCGTCAGTCTTTGAGCCCAACATCTTTCACATCACCATCGCTCCCATGCACTTACTCGAATCATGTCTGGTCGCGTGCCAGCCCCAAAGCTGTATGGCGGGTCTAGACAGACAAAATCCCCAGGCATACCGACCACTCGCTTCGCAACTTGGGCACCAAGAATCAACGGGTGATGATATCGCACTATATCGCCGACTTGGATATCCTTGCCATACGCATGCCGTCTTGAAATCATGAGCCAATCACCCCTTATGTTGAAGGTCGGATACATTGACGGCCCTTCGCTCTTTTGTATGGTGACCACGTTCTCCCACGTCCAGGCGCAGGCGCAGAAGAGACCAGCTCCATTGAAGACGGTCATGGCCGCTGCTCTTGGATTCTGCAGGACTGATCTGAGAAGGCGTTCCATTTGGCGCGACAGATTATGCACCTTTCACTCTTCGAACCGGAGATGCGGAAGCTGTCCGGGCGCAGACGACTGCCGTCCAAGCGTTCCGGTACACTCGGTATCACGTGACTGTGCATATAAAAATTCGAACATTTTCAAACCTACGCCCACTTCCTTCTTCAACATGCCAATGGCTGTGATTGACACGCCTTGAAATTCCCAACAACAGGGGAGTGAAATTGTTGCAGACGCTGGTCATGATTGATCGATCCTTGTCTTGCGGTCTCGAGGTCTGCCTCTGCTTATTATCTCCATTGATGCATGGGTAAAAAGATTTTAAGTAGGTGTGCACTTTCGTCGAGTTGCGCGGTCCTGGAAATCTCCAGACTTGCCTCAAGCAAGGCTAGCCGATACGATTGACAGCCTGTAATCACCTTTCTTCCCCTGGGAAATACTTAGTCATCACTCCTCTTGCTTCCTACTTTGGATTGTGAGAGCCGCAGCTTCTACAAATGCTAGAGCTTGCCGTCGCCGAAATATATCAACAGGACGAGCAAGTGTGGACAATGAAGCAAGATGAAAACAACCAGCTCTGTCGGATGACACGGCTGTCCTCCTTCTGGTTCTCAATCTTGACCCCATTTTACTATGGGACTGGACTTTTGAGACTGGTGTAGCGGGGAGACATTCTTGTCAACTTTCAACCTTCTTTATGATCTTTAGTGATAGTCAGCCTTGAAATACAACCAATTCACGTCTTGGTGAAATACTTCCAAAGTCCCAACCTCAAATCAGCCCCATACATGGTCCATCTGAGTCTGACTGACGGCCCAAAAGTCTTCTCTTATTTAGTCCCCTTCTCGCCCCAAGAGTCGGCGTCTATTTGAATTTTGATCCTTGGTCAGCTTTCGGGAGCTTATAGCGAGGGACAGGATGCCAACTCACCAGGATGCTTCTCAACGGGGGGATGCCCTCCCGCTTGCGTGCCTTTTCTCGATAGTCCACACCATACCTCTCGTCACGGCCTTGGAGCAAGCCATCCATTCCACCTGGATGTGCCTTCTCGACCGTCTCCACAGACGTGAAGCTGCCCATCAACTGTGGCGGTCCCATGGGCACCGGATCCCCTCGATCAACCTGCCACATGTGGTACGTCTTACCGTAGATCGGCGCGATATCCTCCATCTCCGCGGTCTCGGCCACGTCCCAGACAGCATTTGGTACCCCGTTTGGAGTCGGCATAATGAGCAGTCCACTTTTCACTTCGAATTCGTGGGTATGCCATAACTTGCGCTCCTCGGCGGGGAGCGTCTTGAAAATGCGAGGCGAAACCATATACTCGACACCGATGAGGCGCGCCTTAGAATCGGCGGAATCGTAAATCAGACATTGCCGGATATCTGGGGGCGCGACGAATTAGTTCCCTATTCAAGTGATCTGGCTAGAGCCTGCGGGCGGGGATTTACCTTCGTTTAAGTGAGTACAGTAGTGGTTGGCTTCCACGCATCTCGTGGGATCATCGGCATAGACGTGGAATGCATGTAAATGTGCGCAGATCTGTTTGACTGGTGTAAAGTCCTGGGTCATTGAAGTACCACCCTCCAGTACACGGCTCTTTAGCGTACGAGGCTCTCCTGGGAGGCCAGTGGAATCCGTAGACATGTCTTTCGTAGTTGAGCTCATTCTTCAAGCTTGGTATTGATAGATGGAGAGTCTGTTGTTGCTGTGAACGCCAGCTTTTTGTGGGACGTTGTAAGTGGTGCCGAGCTAGCTTCGTGATGATGAAATTTGCAGAATGGAAGCTGTTCTTTTTAAGGCTCAATCTAAGTGAGTCGGAGGTTTCTGTTTTGAATGTCAAGAACAAGGTACACCGCTGGATCTTGTTCACTCGTTTATACTTGTATATTCTGGCCCTTACGACGGGCTTGACGTCACCATGATTGAAATTTTGTTTCACGGGCCAAGGTGTGATAGTCACAAGTCACGAGAGGTGTGGGATGCCTCAACAGCCCAGCCTGTATGATGGATTGTTCGCAATCTGATAGTCAGTATGCTCGCTGAATGATGTCAAATAGACGTGTTTTGAGTCTTCCTGAACCTTAATCAACTTGCACATCAGCACAGTCAGAAGGCGCAACCACCGCTCTCTACTGGTGTTCAGACAAACAATAAGCGATGGGCTTCGATATGGACGGTTCCATTCGAGCACTTGCAAAGCATGCACAAGAATTGACGGACTTGTCTGTCTCATAGATATAGTTCTCCGAGCACTCAAATCCACATGCATTGCACGACCTCGCTAATGGGCCAGCCACGGCCCGATGAACAACTTTCGACCTCGCATCTTGATCACATGGACTGCATCGGGAAAGAGTGATCCGTAACTGAAATGAGTGAAATAAAAAGCATGAGCACTCCTCACTCTGAGGCCAAGCATCTGACGGGGATTTCGGGGCGAATAGAAGACCTTGAAACACCCAAACTCCCATGTCGAGGCCTCAAAAGGTTCTCAGATCATAGATCAAGCATGCTGGAGACTCTGGACAATTGGCCTGGCTGCAAGCCGTCCATGAAGCTATAGCTGCTTCGGGTGTATTCGACGTTGATCGACTGACTCCCTTGAGACTCGATGTGATGCACAGGGGACCTGCTGCACCGCAAGCATGGGATATTGCAACTTGATGAACAGTGCCGCCGACGGACAGTCGTGTTCTGGATACAGTCTGGTCTTTATTCGTCATTGGTCTTGGTAATGGATCATTTCAATCAGCACTGGATGTGTGATCCTTGATATGAATTCTGATATATGGAGGAACGTCCAGCCGACTTGAAAGCCTGCGGCTTCAGAACGGTAACGGGATCAGAGTCGTGGATCAAAGGCAACGACATGGGGAACTTTCAAAACGATATCCATGAGGGGCTCTTTTTGCATATCAGTGGGCTTGTTCCAAAAGGAAGCCTGAGCGGTCATGGTCATGTTCGGGCTCACGGCTTGATACTGTGATACGTTGGGCACTGCCAATATGCGCAGGTGAATCGCATGGGCAAAAACAAAGCATTATGAACTCCGTTGTGGTCTATTGCTGTCTCTTGACACGAGGAAATAACCCTTTAAATCAAACGATTGACACATAGAAAAAACTTCACAGCTCTTCCTCGGAAGGATCTGTCTGATGACTGCGTTTCAGCTGTTTCGAATGAAAGAATTCACCTATATCAAGTAATATGTTTCGACCAGCACCTGCTGCAGCTTGTGGAGTGTTCATCCGAAGGGCATCGAGCACGTGCCTGTTCGTCTCACACCACAGGAATTGTAGGCACGATCCTCCCTCACTGAACCTTTGCGAGCAGTTCAATCCAGCCCGAGTTTTTTCTAGCTTGGCAGGAGTGAATCAACATTCCTCGCCCTACGACGTGGCCCCGCAGGGGATGAGCAGAGGGATGAGATGGAGATAGGTCGATAGACTGTCTCTCTTCCAGATCTTCGCGACAGAGCATTCGGTCATACCACCATGATGACTTGTTGATCCCTTGGAAAATATCTATCGGATCAAAAGATCAATGCATTCCACCTACAGGTGGTGGGTCGTCGATTAGAATCAGCTCAACCATGCACCGAGTTAGACCCATCTGGATCACGACCACTACCGCTGGGGCAATCACATCTATGATACAATCGAAAGCACGCTTTGACGTTATGTGAAGAGCTCGCCGCGATGGACTACTGACGAGCCTCTCAGACATCAAGACATGGCACACCTCACGTCTGTTTGAGATCCCTTACCTTCTATTTCAGATCTCTATTCAAGTCTGCATACGTGGGCAGAGAAGCATACGATCGATTTCGGAGGTATCAGATTGGGCTATGCTCTTCAAAGAAAGAAAAGATATATGCTCCCTGGCTGCACGGGGTTCTCCCTCGCAGATGATCGAGATATCTGCTCAGCTTACCGGCAAGGGTATCATTCTTGTCGCTGTGATGGCGGCGATCAAACCTCACATGTGCGGCTCCATCCACATTGCTCATATTGCCGGTGCTTCCACTTACCTTACCTAGTTGCATGGATCGTCCGTTCAGTTGACTCCTGGCGCGGGGGTGGTACATGTGTATCAGCGGCTGACGGCTCGTGCATCATGAGGACGGGGGGAGAGCAGTCGTGAAACTCGAGGCAACCATGAAGCAGTGAGATCTGGGCTCATGGCGGGACATGAATTGTTGACAGGGGCCGAATTGCAAAGGGAGTGCCACCACTTCGCATGGCACGTCGTAAGGACGACTCGCCGGGAAGCAAGCGTTGCTCAAGGTGACAACCTCGACGATCCCTGCAGAAGCACCGGCATGCGACCAGTAGAATGAAGTATGATATTCAAACGTATCACATTACATTCGGGGAGAAGGGAGTGGGAATGACCAGACTTGGACATACACATGGACCAGTTTCTAGGTAGGGGCACCCGCCTGTCCGACCGATGATCTCGATCCTGAACGAGATCCCAAACACAATCTCAAGGCCGTCGCATATTTTGACTTTCAACGGCTCGACATGTGCGACAAGAGTCAACGATCGCTGCCCCGGGGATCCTTAGTGCAGCTGTGGGCAAGACGGGGTCGGATGTTGAATCACACGCTATAGCCACCTCCCGTCGAGCTTTGGCCTTTGATTCCGCGGGCTTGAGACCAGTAGTCAACGCGACCGGCGGGCTGCTGAACGGACAGGTCAGGACGATCCCTGGAGAAGGGTCACTACTGAGTACGACGGCCAGGGATTCTAGTGATTCTAGTGATTCTACTGCTGTCGGCGAAACCCAATCCCCGAATTAGAGCTAAACAAAGCCTCCCAATCAGATGAGAACAGCCAAGCCGCAACGAATCTGGTGCAAAGGCGAATCCCGTTCCGGGCGTTGCCCAGTTGCACAATCCTTATTCCTTTCTTCCTGCAGTAACGTGAGCAGCGCTGGATCAAGGTGGACCGGACTCAATAGTGGGGGACTCCACTGTTGGACTTTGTATCTCGTCCGTCTCCGTTGGAACTTGGACGGCGCCAACTGGGCCTGACCGCTCCGTTTGGGGTCTCAAAGGGCGAGCAATGAGATAATTCACCGAGACAGCGGCGATTGTTGTGGGTTTGTTGAATGCGCATGCTCATGCTCCAGTGCGTTGCAGATCTCCGAAACAGCCCCTCGTCTCTCCCAGACGATCTTTCCTCTGAAGTAGGAACATATGGATGGATGCAGCCAATGGTGGAGATGACTCGGGCAGGCTCCCTCGAGATGGATGTTGAGTCGGCTACGAGGCTCGAGATCTTACCTCAAATCGATAAAGATGGTGCCGGGGGAGCTCCGATCAGATCATTCAAATCTCAGAAAGACCACGAAGCTTGGGTAATGACAGAGTCTTTGCATTGTCGCTTGCTTGTGATCAGAGCTAGGTACAGCAACCATCTGGCATCTACTAGGTAGTGTTTACTGTTTACTGTTTACTCGCTCTGAAAGTGATCAAAGTTACGTGAATCCTGGTCGTGACTCCGCCACCTGGTTTCGTGACCTCCCTCCGGCAAGGACGTTGGTGAATTGGTCGCTTCTAACGTAGTAGTTGGAAGGTAGTTATTTCTAGCTGCCCGGTTCACAACTGTTGGTTAGCGTGTGCATGTTAAAGGTCATTTTCAGGATGCGATTCAAAATTGGGGCGGCCGTGGGGCTTTTCATTGTATATCGAACGTAGGACTAGGTACTAGGCACAGGTACCTCCAGGCTCTTAATTACTAGTTGACTAGTAACTACTAAACTGGCGAGTTAGCTAGTAACTTCCGACTCCGACAGCTACGGGCGCATCACAGTTCACAACTTCACACAGAACTACCTTCAATACTCATATATCCTTGTTGAGACTCGAGTGGCGTATCCGGGCGTCGCGCCCTTGGAGACCAGGCCCATCAGCTCAACGGCCCTAGGCTCGTTTGGAGGGGTTGTCCGCATAGGGGCCGGATTGTAACCGATGCTGGAGTCAGGGATTCCAAGTTGCTGTTGAAGCGTTGAAGCGGGGGGAGGAGCTCGGTATCATTGCTTCGAGATGGATCCTGTCGGAAAGCGGAGTGGCATTCTGGAAACCCCTGCGGTTTGGTACGAGGGGGAGTATATCCATCTCAGAGGGAATGACTTCTTCCCACCTCGCTAGACGGGACATGACCTCGTCTACAGTCTACACTCGTCACTCGTCACTCGACGCGGGACACTCGACAGTACGAATACCGAAGCAAGGAATGAATCATTGGGCAGAGACGTCTTGAAGACCTAGTATTAGGTGCTCAGAAGACTGATGACTGGTCAAAGTCGTACTCTCGGGCTCCTCCCTGGTCCAGAACTGTCGATGTCGATACAATAGGTATCAAAATAAACGCATGTATGACATCTGCCACACCTGGGGGCTTAAATCAATGAGATCCTCTAATCCTTCATCGGTGGGTTGCATGGACGCTATCACAACATCTCCCACCACGCATGTTGGGAGCGGGCGTGCATCTGAGTCAAGGGTATCAAACAAGCCAGGGCCCGACCTCATATTGGCTATCAACTGGCAGGTGTGTAAGGGGTCAAAGACAAACCCTCTTGATGGACGCCTCGCGATCCTAGCGATGACGATATCCATACAAGTGTCTAGATCGTTCTAGTAGGGCTTGATCTGA